CATGAATGCATGCATGAGTCAACTCAAGTATCGTTATTTGTATGAAAATAAGAAGATGTGGCATGATTGTCAATGAGACAACTCTCCACCAGAGATCTAATTACGTAGAAAGTTAGCAATTATAGGTCACCTGGATTTACCTTTATCAAGAATGCAAGACATAATTACTACTTTTTGGACTTTTTGGTTTTCAATGCTCTTCAACTTTGAATGTATTTGGTCATTCAACTGTTTTGATTCGAGCGCCATTAATGAGTCTCATTTAGACGAAATGCGGGTCCGGCGTACCAAGTAATAAGTTAGTATCTTTTATGAGTTTTTACCAGACCTTGACCTAATTTTCATGGATCATAGATCAAAAAGACCTAGTCAGATTTTCGTCATATGTATATTGTATAAATAAAGGAGGATTTTCTTTCTACTTGTGCAATACCTTCGGCCATTTGTTTTTTTTTTGGTCACCGGATTTTTTGCTCTCTCTTTTCTCCTTTCTCCCTTCCTTCTTTTAAGAGGTATTTCTAAATTCAGTTAACAAGGACTGATTGCGACTTAAATCGATAAGAACCCAAACTAGACTGAAGATAATATTTGCTTATCATATTCACATAAAGAAAAGAATATTGATAGGGAAAAAAATAATGGAAAAAAAATCTAAATACATGAAAGATCAAACGAATAATTTTCAAGACGTTTTCTGCTTTTCGACTTATACAAGTTGAGTCCTTCTGCATTTTTGTTTTCACTAGCTTCTCTTTTATTCAGAAAACGACATACGACAGGATAATGATCTGGCAGGAATATATACACTGAACAATTTTATTCTGCAGCCTTATCAAAAAGGGGAGAAAGGTCTTGCAGGGCCCAATTATATTTAACGAGACCTTGATTATAATGACTCAATTGTTGTTTTTTTTAAGAAATATGCTATAATTGACGAAATTGTTTCGAAAATGTTTGAAAGCACAACTTAATACTGTTATTTTTGTTAATAAGTGCAGTCCAAAATTATTACTTGAAAGACATGTGGCCTATTGCATTATTAATACGTGGCACGAAAATGTTAGCATAAAAATACAGAAAACAGTAGAAATTGTCCCCTTAATGCCGAATGATATGCATTGAGACTCGTCAGTAGGCATATGAGGTGACAGAAAGTCAGGTTATTCAATATTAAAATGAAACCAGATATTTGCACTATCTTTATTATTCACTTAGACTTTTTTCAATCAAACGAAATAAACCATCAAAGCAATATGGCAAGTTGAATCAAAATTTAAAAAAAAGCTATTTTTAGCTAGCCTTTGCAATGTTATCAATTTGCATAAAAAAAAGAGAGGGACGATACGAAATGGACAATCAAAATTCATAAGTCGAAGAGAGGATGATCTAAGGTGTTCCTAAAATAATAAGAACTAGAGTATTGACAGGGTAGGCATATCTTGCTATGCACGTGTCACCTGTCACGGTAGTTAAAATTCATATTCAAAAGTCGAGTGCATTCGACATGTCATAATTTGTCAAAATATTGTGTATTATTGTTATACAAAATTAAGAGTGATCCAGATCTGTTGTATGGTTCATAACGCAACTTGTCTTTTAACTCATAGATGACCGTAGCGCTTAGGAAAATTAACGAAAGGTGTAGAGAGCCAAGTAATAGTATGTATGCCGTGGATTACAATTTACCCTATGCTCACACAATCTTTTCTATATAGTGTATTAGAGAAAGTATAACTTGCCAATGTCAAATGTATTTTCTGAATATGTATGTTTAAATACTGTAAATATTAGAAATGTATGTTATAAATCATGTCAGTGGTGAAGCACATTTTACTGAGCTTATGATACCCTTGGGGATTTACAGTCTACAAGGAGCAGTATCGACTCATTGATAGAAAAAGAATGCATCCGACGCGATTTTCTAAAAAAAAATCCCAAAAATTATATCGTATGTTGATATTATGATTAAATCTGATTCTATATAAAAATAAGGTGATGTGGTATGATTGCCAATGAGACAACTATCCACGAAAGTTCAAATGAAGTGTATGTAAGCAATTATAGGCAATCGTACGGCCTTAAACAAAGAGAAAACCACATATAGTATAGTCGGCTATGAGGCCCCCCGACATGAAAAATATGAACAATTCAATAGAGATAGCTAACGGTCTAGTTTATGACAAACCAATTTACGAAAAACAAATACCGTATATTGGGTTTTTTTGGCGTGTGTTTAATTATCGCTTTGTTCGCGGTAGCTAAAGAAATGCGAAAATTTGACCCCGCGTAAATTTCCCTGCATATTCCAAGATTTATCAAAATTGGAAATTTTTATACATTATACGGCTAATTATGGAGTCATTAATGTAAAGAAGTCAACGCCAGATTTCATGATCTATTGAGAACTTGGAAGATATCCTTTGGAAATTAATATCAAATTGCGGGTTTTAAATTACTGGTCGAAACTTATGTTAGGAAAGCAAGAAAAACATATAAAAAGTATGGGATAAATATTCCTTGGCTTAATAATATCAAATCTATTCTAGATAGTTGTGGATTGTCATATGTTTGGAATGCACAGTACTTTGTTAGTAATACATGGTTATATCACAATGTTAAAGTTAGTTAGACCAATTTAAATAAAATTGGCACTCAATCTTAATAGAATCACCAAAAGCTATTAATTATCGTCTATTCAAAGACAATGCTGAAAGGAAAACTATTTTAAGATCCTAGATGATAAGAATACAATAACTTTTTGTAGATTCAGGATCCTCAGTCATAAACTTCCTATCGAAACTGGAAGGTGGAAAATGTACCTTGAGAAAATCGTTATTGTAAACTATGCAATTCAGGAGATATTAGGGATGAATTCCACTATATTTTAAAATGTTCGAAATTTAATTATGAAAGAGAAAAATTTTTGAAACCTTATTATCTAAATAGACCAAACATATTGAAATTTCATAATTTAATGAATACTAGAAACATCAGTATGCTGAACTCTTTGAGCAAATTTGTCAGACTGATTAATAAACAGCTGGACTCTTAGGGGAAACATTGTTTAATAACTTTTAAATCATATTGTATACATACATAATGTGTTTTTATATAAGCTGGAATTTCTTTTTTTCTAGTTGTAGATCATACATTTGTATTAATTCTGACAATTTGCTACATTATTAATGTTTATAATATCTCTGTACCTGTACCATGGATTTTGGTTTATGAGAATAAAGATATATAGTCTTTTGTGTTGTTTAACAGATCACAAGAATGAGCATACTTAATTAAAATCTCTGTTTTCATAATAATTAAATTGGCTAAACATACGTGTCACACCTTTCAGTTGAAAACACAGCAATCAGATATTAATTAGTGACGAGGTATTGTATTGATAGGTCAACCCAAACAATAAAAAAATAGAATAAAAATAAACCACTTTTACACGGTTATTTGTATATCTGTATTGATCAGATTTTTATTTCTAGCATGCCCCAATGTTCAAAATTTACGTTCCTTAAAAGTTCTCTAAATTGTGTACTTTCGTTTGTATTACCGGTACTCGTATTTATTTGTGATTGATTACCTGTCGGTTAATCAATTTTGTGTTATTTACATCTTAACAATGCTAAACAGTTATATTTTCGCGTGCATTTACCCATTCAGCGAAAATTATGGACAGTGAAAATTTAACCTGCCCATTTTGTCATGAAATCGCGAAAAACAGCCGACGCGAAAAAAACCGATATATGGTATGACAGACATGAACCAACGACAACCACTAAACTACAGTTTCCTGACTTCGGACAGGCACATAAAGAATTTGGTCTCTTGTGGAGTAGTTTCATTGACAATCATACCACATCTTCTTATTTTTATACAAAGTACAGAGAAGAGTGTACTCGCAGTTACTGACAGCTAGTTCATGCTAATTTAAGTTTAATGCAGTCGTTTGATTTCAGATTTTATTTTTAGAGATAAATTATAGAATTTAGATAAACAAATATATAATGCATCTTTTTAATTATAAAAAAACAAATAGGTACATAGCAATTTATTTGGATAGATTCAAATAATTTTGGATCATGAAGAAGCACTTTAACACATTCAATTTAAATAATAATCCATTAAAGAAATAAAAGGTTGATCTTATAAAAGCATAATTTTGCATCTTTGACCCTGCGAAAGAGCAACATTTAAAAAATGCTGAAAATTAAAAATCATAAAACTATGAAAGAGAAATTCGAATACAAACTTTAAACACAAAAACATCTGCTTTATCATCTCGCTTAAGATTTCATTATTTTTTTACATTTCTACGCTAAGTTGAATAAAAAGCCTCAAAATAAACATCACTAGAAAAAACAAATATATGTGTCAGGCGTAATTCATTGGTACAGTGCAGGAGTGTCAGTAAAACAACATAACCCGTGCTACCATTATTGTCAAGACTTTAAGTTCACTTATTTAATTTTCTTTGATGAATTGTCAGAGTACAATGTATGCATGTTTATTATCTTATTCGTGAAAATGTACTGCAAAAAGAGAAGTCGTGACATCCCCTTAAATTTATCCAAACACCCTTGACAACAAACCTTAAACAACATGAGTTCAAAATATTAGTTTTGTATGTTAACTGTGGATATTACACTTTTGAAAAATTCTAGTCAGCCCTTTCACCATTTGTTCATAGATTGTTTTAGTGTTTTATTGAGCTTTCTTAAATTCGCCCTGATAATCAATAAGGCAATAATCGTTAAATACCGTAACGACATTATTAAATTGTGATTATAAGATAGAAGAAACATTTGCCTTTCAAAATACAACGTTGATGCATGGATCGTAATGCGACAATATGAATAAAATTGACGGTTTTCAGAACTATCATGAATACAATGTTCTTTATATTCTTGTTTATAAACATCTATTCGTTTGATGGAAGGACAATTCTGGCGAAGTGAAACCTGTTTAAAATTATGCTTGCAATCATCAAAACATTTAAAAAAAAATATATAATTAATTTTACTAGTTAAAGCATAAAACTTTGCCATGTCAAATGAGTCAAAATTCGTGTTCATTCACAGATACTTATTAATTAAGAGCCCCACCTGCTTGTCGAAACAAAACAAAACAGAGGCAACAATGGCAACGATAGCTGCAAAGATGACAAAGGCAAAACCAAAATGAAGATTTTCCTTTTGAATACTTAAGGTTTTTTCTCCATATATACAAACCCCAACCAGGATCAATGTTGCTGAAAAAAAAAACGTATCGTCAATATGAATAAGCACAATCAAATGATCTATAATTGTATTAAATCGTTACAATATTATAATAATGTTAAGCAAAGAATTACAGCATTTGTACGAACATTTCATTCTTAATTTTACGCATTTTTTTTCATTATTCCCGATTTTTTCTTTCAAGTATGAAGTTGTTATCTATAAATATAATTCATCTAAATGGCACAAATTGATCTGACTAAAAATCTTCCAGCAGCTTTTTAAATGACGAAAACCTACGAAAACGTCCTTCCAATAATACATGAAGGACGCCTCCGGGTGCGGGAGTTTCTCGCTGCATTGAAGACCCATTGGTGGCCTTCGGCTGTTGTCTGCTCTATGGTCGGGTCGTTGTCTCTTTGACACAATCCCCATTTCCATTCTCAATTTTATTTTACATAATGATTAAACGGATATATCAATTTCGATTTCAATTTCAGATCTTTAACTTTTATATTATGTTTTGAATGCCTCTAGCATCACTGGAGTTATCTTTTGGCAAAAATACATCTTGAAAAGTAAAACTAGTACCTTTTAATGTTATTGTTGTTAGTATTATATATATCCACCCCTACATATCAAATGACATTCGTGTTACTTTCACGCCCTTGATTTTGTGTTAGAATAAATCTATTGTTTCTCAGTAACTGTGAATGATAATTCAATAAAATATTACATGTTTATTCAAACCAATTTTGACCATTGATAAAACATCACCAACTTCACTTTCAAATACTGTTCGTAAGTTGAAGACTAAATATGCTTATTTGAACCTATATGATATAGGTCACCAATACACGGAACGGAAATTTTTTAATTAAAAGAACATTTAGTCAGATGCATAAAATTCATAAAGCGTTGTTTTCGTTTTTGTGTGTAATTATTTGGTCTTTAAAACATGTGCCAAAATTGTATATAAATATTGATAAAAATAGGGGATAAGTTTTAATTCGTCAAATAATACCTGCTGCTGCTAGACATCCAACTGTAGCCCATTTGAGAACTGATTTATCTTTAAAGACGAACAATTTTAGTATGACGACAATACCAGCAGCCATAAGACACAAAAACCCTAGTGTTTGCATGGCTTGAACGGCTTTGAACCAAGCTGAAAATAAATAAATAGTAAAAACATGTAAACTAATATCGCTGCTGGTGGACTGTTAGTATGAAGTAAAATCACAAAAATACTGAACTCCGAGGAAAATTCAAAAAGGAAAGTCCCCAATCAAATGGCAAGATAAAAAAAAACAAACACATCAAACGAATGGATAACAACTGTCATATTCCTGACTTGGTACAGGCATTTTCTTATGTGGAAAATGGTGGATAGAACCTGGTTTTATAGCTAGCTAAACCTCTCACTTGTATGACAGTCGCATCAAATTCCATTATATTGACAACGATGCGTGAACAAAACAAACAGACACAATAGGTAAAAATGTCAAAAATAGGGGTACAGCAGTCAAAATTGTGTTATCATCTTAATCACTATAAAATAAACAAATTTAACGAAGAAGCACAAAAAGGCATACATCAAATTTAACATCCTCATTTTGCTTATATTATACGATTTTATTTATCTATGTAAAATCCACCCATAAAGGATGGAAGGTTTTAAGTACTTGCGTAAAATCGCGCGTTTGAAATTCGCACAGGTAGACATAAAATAGTTTTGTCGTTCAAAGTATGACAGGAAACATAAATACAGAGTCACGTAAAATGGATATAACAAAAAACAGACTTAACAGTAAAAGTAATATTAATAAATAAAATAAAATAATTGTGTGGAACAAAGTATGACGATATACATAAGTACAGAGTCACGTCAAATGTATATCACAAAAAACACAGACTGAGGTATCTGAGGTGATCATCAGTTCAGTCTGAGTCAGTGCTTCAGCATTGACATAATTTGCAACATACCTTTCTTAATTTTTTCGTTGATTTATATTGAAATTATTATGATACTAGGGTTCCTGTTCCCTTAGGCAAGGTTGACCTTAGAAAGATTTGGTTATTATTTTAGGATCATTTTAATCATTTAGCTCATTTTACATTCTTGACTTTAACATGTTTGGATTTTAGCGTTCCTGATGAAGGGTTAATCATGAAAAGTGCTTCGGACGCATGACATTTATCAAGTGCTATTTTCATTTTATAATTTGGTGTGCAAGACGCGTGTTTCGTCTACATAAGACTTATCATTGATGGTTGAAACAAAACAATTGGAAGGTCGAATATCAAATACGAAGTTGAAAAGCAAAAAAACAAATCCTTGACATTGTAACAAATACGGCTAAATCATTCTATGCCTTGGGGAAGAAAACTTGGGGTTTGGAAAACAAATCATTATTTTAAAAAACAATAAATTTACAGAAAATAAACAATAATAAATCATGTCAACACAAAAGTACACAAAGGTGTTGAGTGTTGGAAGGAACGACCCAGTAGTTGTAAAGACTCATTAAAGGTGTTAGGCTTATAATTAAGAACGACAGACGTATGTTATGAGTTCTATCAATATACTTCATGATACCTGTGTGGCAGATCACGATAGTAAGTTTTAGCTGGCTTAGCCACAGTTCCGTCCTCTTCTAATCTATTTCTACGACTTACCTGGATGTTGGTAAGATTCATGTTGTTCAATCCTCAGTTTTCTCTGTGTGTGTTTGTGTATGTATGGACTGATTCCTATTTCGTTTGTTTAGTTCTCCTTTCATATATTCTTACCTTTTTAAAAGATTTTTAACGTTTATTTGCAAATATAAGTAAAAGTAAAGGTTTATGGAGTCCAGAAAATCGCTGTTGGACTATTTACGACGATTTATGAAAGTATTGTATTCCAAAATAGATTATATATTTGTAGCTGTGATATTTTTTATTACTGTTTTATCAAAAAATCTTAAGATTAATCTTTAATGAAAGCCACCATAATGTGCAATCAACATTTTGTGTGGAATTCAAAACTTTGTTTTATATGACAGGAAATTATATAACTATCATTGGTTTTTTTCGAAAGACTATATTTCAATGTTTCGGTTAAATAGAAAAATAATACCAGTAGACTGTAAATTGAAGCTGTCCTAAGATCATCCTACCTGAGATGCTCTTAATGACCGTCATAAGTAAAAGTGAAACATCAGAATAAAATAATAAGAGTAAAAAATAATTAATAATAATACTAATTATACTGATAATTATTATTATTTTCTATTATTACAATGTTTACAAATGTTATATTTTTATTATGATGGCAATGATAAGCAGCAATAACTGTCCTTTTCTAAATTAAGAGGTTTCAGTTTTGAATTGGAAACTACACACAAAATTAACGACAAAAAGGAACGATTTTTCGTTTACTGTTGTTTATTTTCCTTTTTTGGACAGTGATGTTCCTTTGGCACCATCTTACGGTAATCATTTGTCCAAACTTGTTCGCTATGCTCGTGTCGGTAGTGACGTTTTGGATTTCAATGAATATAATCTATGCATTACTGTTAAATTATTAAGTAACCGATTTCGTTACCACATTTACTAAATTCTTTCATAGAAACGAAGATTTGGTTTGGAAGTTTGGCTTTACCTTTAGAAAAATTATTACAAACGGGATGGCACATCATAATTTTCACGATGAAGTTGTTTACTGAGTCCGTAAACTTAGATACCATCCGTGTAAACTTATCGATCCTTTAAATAAACGTTTTCTAAAAGGTTACCAATTCAACACTATTATTAGATCATTGGATATTGTTTTTATCGGTATAAATATTTATTTTGTTATCAATTAATTAAAATCCAACTAAATATCATTGTTATACACATATGTACATTTACCGTCCTGCAATCTGTCGATACCTATAGTTTTGCATTGCAGAAGGTCCTGTTTTTCGCTGATTGTTAATGCAAGTCTTTACACTCAATCCATTGGATGTTGGATATGTGTACTGATTAATAATTAAGTGTTAGATACAGGATTTTTTTTATTAGTAGTAATTGACTTTGACATAGCCTTCAGTAGCTGCGAGTACTCTCTGCTCTGTACTTTGTGTGTTTTGTGTTTCTGTTAGGTTTTTTGTTGTGTGCTTTGTTTCAATCTGATAAGTTAAGCCCTTTTAAACTGATTTCATAGTTTTTTCTTATGTTGTACTGTTACACAACTTAGGTTAGGGGAGGGTTTGGCCTCAGCAAATATGTTTAACGCCGCCACATTCTGTATGTGCCTGTCCCAAGTCAGGAGCCTGTAATATAGTGGTTGTTTTTTATTGCTGTATATCATATTTGTTTTTCGTTTATTGTTTTGTACTGAATCGTGCTCGACCTCCTGTCTGGTCAAACCTTCCACGTCTTAAAAAGTGCTATCTGCTGCTCAGCCACTAATGATGTGGCATCTAGAAGTAACAACAAAGCATGGTCTAATCGGTGTTAGACTATTGTATCCGTGTAGGGTGAAATGCTTTCCTGCAGGTTGTTACCTTGTGAACTGGCATTTTGAAAATCCGGCTCAGAGTGTCGGTCAATTACAAAGCAGGGTTCATATTCGTATCATATTAACATGTTTATGCATTTAATTTGCAAGTGAACGTTAAACAGTCATCATTTCACCATTGTTGAAATGAAATAACTTATGTCGATATCACGTAATATCAAATTCTCACGAATGCGCGAGATGGTGATGGCTGTGTTTTTTAGCCGAGTAAAATTTCAACATGTTTAGATAATTGTACCTCCGTCGTAAAAGGGAAAAGTGGTAATTTTTCATGGAAGTGCTGTTGGATTTCGTTTATTTGACATGAATTGAAGAAGAAGGTATTAAATTCTATAAACGGAACACTACTTTGTAAGTGACTAAGTGAGCGATGATTTGTTTACATTTTCCATGTTAATTGTGTCACATCGAACACACCGACACAGAACATATTTCCCAACATAAAATATACCAGCTGATATCAACATACCAGTATTAGCGAATGTACTAAAATATTAATCAGAACACAATATCAGATAGCAAATCATATAAAATGTATTAACAATGTATTATGTCCAGAGCCACCTCTTGCCATAACATACGTCGTCGACTCTGAACCTTCTCCATCTCAAGTACTTATATCGGATAGACCGTTGAGAAAAAAATTATTTCAAGAATTAGACTCTGAAAACGAAAGTATGATTGAAGGAACAGAAAAAATATCTACAGCTTCGTCGTCATCAAGCGTCATCCCTCAAGATCAGATGACTCAACACTCTAACAATAACCAGCAATCCCTGTTTACTGATAACGACGTCACACGTCTTGCAAATGCTGTAAAGACAATAATGTTGGATGATTTCCGAAAGGAACTAAAGGCTGAACTACAAATGTATGTTAATAATATAACTACACCCTTATACAACGAAATTGAAAAACTCAAACTTGATAACTTTAACTTAAAAATAAGTATGAATGATATACCAAGCATTAACAAAAAATAGATGACTTAGAACAACATAGACGCAAAAGTTGCATCCGTATCAGTGGAGTTACCCAAACTAAAGATGAAAACACAACCAAGCTAGTATGTGACATCGCTGGTAAACTTAACGTTGACTTGAGTCCAAATGATATTAGTATCTCACACAGACTCCCCACTGAAAAAGGTCATAAGCAGATTATTGCCAGATTCGCCCATTCTAACAAGAGAACTGAATTGCTTAAAGCCTCCAAAAAAATCAAAGAGGTCATTGAACTCAAAAACGTAGGTATAAGTCAAGACCTAACCAAAACCAGAGGGAAGATAGCATATCTAGCACGTGAAGCCGTTAGACGGGGTAATCTCAAACAAACATCCGTCTGGGATGGTAAAATTTTTATGACTGACAATAACGACAACAAACATGTCATTACTACTGAAAGTGAATTTTATCAAGTCACCTCAAATAGGTCTTCGACAGAACAGCACTTTTCAGCAAGTTCAAACCAGCAGTATCCTCAACCTAATCATCCCAGTTATCCGATCCGTTCACCAATGTCTAGCTTTCCGCCACCGATGATGCAACAACACTCTTCATATCCCCCTGGAGGAATGTACAACCCACAGATATTCCAGATGCAGCAACCGCCAAGATTCTATTGACTTATCTCAAATACCTAACGAATCTAATCAACGCAGGTCATTCGTGGTATTACTTTTTATATGAGAATTTGATAAACTAACCTAGCCGAATCTTTCTTTTTTTTTGTTGTTATTGGTAATACTGTAATTACATTCACATGCTTATTGAAAAAAGTGTTTATATATTTTTCTTTGCCTCAATTTATTGTTCTTTCGGGGAAGTAACAGCATAATATGGAATATTCGTTACTCATGTGTAGTGATTTATTCACGTTAGTATCCCATCTTCTTCTACCCTTTTAATTTTGAGCTGTCCATTACCGGCAACTATTGATTTATTTTTTTTTTTTCAATTGAGTGATCCCTCTTTGATCATTATAATCCGACTTCCTTCATAAGCAACACTACGTTACAAAGAACCACCCGTACCGATTACGCTTAATAGTTCAAAAGTACATGTGTTCTGTATATACTCTCACATGGCTTATTTTGTTTAGTTTGTTCAAATTGTACATAGTGTTGCATAATGTGTATCATTATTTGTTCGACCAGGTGCATTTTGACTGTAAGTTTTTTGTAAAATTTGTGTTGAGTCCTATTCTGACATATTACGAATCCTGGGATTCCAAAATTACATAATGCCAATATCCAACAATGAGTTTCGTGCCAGAGTAGGACTCTTTTACACAAGATCTACACAGGTGGCTAAACGAAAGCGTTTAAGTATTGAACATGTATTATTTATTAATCTCTATTTTTGTCTAGGTATTCAGTGTGTTCCTCTTATGCTTATCTATTGTGTGTCGTTAAAAGATCACTGTGATGTAAATGAAAACAATGTCAAACTAAGTCAAGAATCATTAAATACAAATAGCCTTATATGTTCCTCAGTTTGTTGTAAATCAGTTGCTACACGTTTCATGTCGTGGGCATACTTACAATTTAGATACACATTTTTACTGGGAACCTTTATTGTATATATATTATATCTTATTATTTTGGCTGGTGATGTTGAGCTAAATCCGGGGCCAATATCAGAAAGTGAGGTATCTTCCGTATCGTCAGTGTCCGATGGAACTTTAGATGGTTTCAATGCGTGTCTTAGTGCTTATACTTCATTTGTTCATCTCAACGTTCAAAGCCTTGTTCCTAAGTTAGATATAATCAATGCGGAACTAAAAAGTATTGATGTTCTCTGCTTTAGTGAAACATGGCTTAATTCGAATATCAATGATCAAGACTTACTTTTGGGTAGTTTTCATCTACCACTTAGAAATGACCGTGTTGGGAGAAACGGTGGGGTGTAGCCATTTATGTTAAAAATAATTTACATGTTGTACAAAGACATGATTTAGATGTCAGTGGTATAGAAAGTCTTTGGGTTGAGATTCAAGCTAAAAGTCACAAAAGAGTGTTAATGGGTGTATTTTATAGACCACCAGATTCTGGTGATAATTCTTTCACGCTTATCGAACACTCTCTGGATCAAGCAGTTGATACAGGAGTTGAAAACATTGTCATTTTGGGGGACTTCAATGAAGACTATCTGAAACCAAGTAATGTCCGAATGAAAAATATCATCAGAAAATATGATATGTTTCAGTTTATCGACGAACCTACACATTTTACGGAAAATTCTACTTCCTGTTTAGATCTAGTGATTGCTAATAAAAGGAATGTAATCGATCTTGTACATGTTGGTCATCCGTTCCTAAATGCAAACATTAGATATCATTGTCCGACATTCGGAATAATAAAAATTGAGAAACCTTCTCAAACGTGCTTTAAGCGTCGAATTTGGATGTACGATAGAGGGGATCTTAATTTATTCCGAGAAAAATTGTCCGCAGTCGATTGGGAAAATTTCATAATAGATGGAAATAACGATGTCGATCTTCTTGTAGAGACTTTTACACAAATTCTATTGAAAACCGCAGCGGAATCGATTCCTAATAAAATCATAACAGTTAGGAATGCTATTTTTGCGTCGCAGTCAAACATTTCTGATGAAAACATGTCTGTTCCTACTGACGATACTCCCCCTGTCACGTGTCTTGACAATATAATTCTTCAGGAGCATGAGGTGAAAGACATTCTACAAATAACCAATGTTAATAAAGCATCTGGTCCTGATGGAATTAGCCCAAGACTTTTGAAAATTGCCTCAGAAATTTTAGCAAAACCTTTGTGCTATATATTCAATCTAAGTTTGACTAAAATGTATTATCCAATAGCTTGGAAGTTAGCGAATGTTATTCCTGTTTTTAAGAAGGACGATAGAAATTATATTGGTAATTATCGACCCACCTCATTGTTGAGTGTTATAAGTAGAACTTTTGAAAGATGTATATATAAACATATTATGAACTTTATAAGGGATCTCTTGTCGGAACACCAGTCGGGGTTTATGTTAAAAGAGTCAACTCGTAACCAGCTATTATACCTGACTCATGTTTTTAGTAAGGCCTTAGATGAGGGAAAAGATATCAGAATTGCCTTCTTTGATATAAGTAAAGCCTTTGACCGCGTCTGGCATAGAGGTTTATTATTTAAACTAAAAAAGATGGGCATAACTGGGAATCTTCTTCTTTGGCTCAAAAGTTATTTGGCTGACCGTAAACAAAGGGTGGTTATAAATGGGCAAGTGTCCTCCTTGGCAGACATTAACTCTGGTGTTCCTCACGGATCAATTTTGGGTCCATTGTTATTTTTAGTTTTTATTAATGATATTGTAAATGAGGTTAATTGTCATATTAAGCTATTTGCTGATGACACAAGCATATATGCAGTTGTCGAAAATCCTCTGGTTACTTCTATTACTCTAAATTATGATATGCATCGAATTCAAAAATGGACAGATGAATGGTTAGTGAAGTTTAACCCGAAGAAAACTGAATCAATGATAATATCTAGAAAAAAAGACCCTGATCATCATCCGTCATTAATTATGAATAGTAATGTAATAAAAACGGTCGAGTCACACAAACACCTTGGTTTACATTTTTCGAGTGACGGCAGCTGGAAAATACAAATTGATGGCATCATAGCAAAAGCATCTGTCCGTCTGAATATGTTAAGAAGGCTTAAGTTCAAGGCGGACAGGAAAACTCTTGAAGTCATGTATTTTTCATATGTTCGACCTATTTTAGAGTATGCCGATGTAATCTGGGATAATTGTCCAGAATATTTGAAAGATCGACTGGAACAAATTAATTATGAGGCAGCACGTATAGTTACTGGGGCTACTAAGTTAACAAGTCTACAAATTCTTCTAAAAGAGACCGGGTGGGAAACTCTCAGGGAAAGGCGAAAAAATCACAAGCTTATTTTGTTTCATCAGATGGCTAACAATAACTCTCCAGCCTATCTTTCAAATCTAGTCCCTACCAACTTTGGCCAATGACATCCGTATGGGACACGCAACGCAGGAAATGTGCCTCACATGCCTGCACGAACGAATTATTATCATAACAGTTTTCTTCCTTCTACTGTCCGTCTTTGGAACGAGATTCCAATTAATATAAGAAATTCTTCTTTATATATATTTAAGAAGTATTTGAAGAAAACTTGGGTTGTCCCAAAATATTTTTATAGTGGTAGTAGACTAGGACAAATTTTGCACACTAGAATTAGAACTGAGAGCAGTGGTCTGAATGAACATTTGTATAGAAAAAATTTAGTTACTGATCCTTTTTGCAAATGTAGACAGATTGAAACATCTGAACACTTTTTATTGCGTTGTCCGCAATACCAATTACTTAGAGAGTTTATGCTGAGTAACTTGTCATGTCAGCCTAATATAAATAACTTACTGTATGGTAATCCTTTGATGTCCGACATTGAGAATTCTGATAACTTTCTCATTATTCAAGATTTTATTCTTAAAACAAAGAGATTCGTGTGAATTTGATATACATGTATTGAGATATATAATTATGTATAAATTAAATTGTCGTTAATTTATATTTATATTTACACCTGTGTAGTTTGATAGCACTGTAGTTCAGTTGTGAATTTGGTCAACAAATGCTTCTTATTTCAGTTAAAAAAATATTTCTGACGCCATCCATATATTATTATATTATTATATGGGAGAGGAATTTGTAAAAGTGAAAATTCACTTGTTTTCCAATCCCAATAAAATTGTCATTTTGTAATGTTTACGTTATTATTATTTTCAAAGTAAAATATTGTTTACACTAAATTCTCATGAGTATGTACACCTATTTCTCTTATGGAACGAATTTTCTTTGTGTGGCCTATTTTTGCTGTCACCCATCGTTAGTTGAGACACAAACTAACACGAGACTTCGGTGGGATGTTGAAAGTGGTTTTGCCAATTATGACCCCTTTAATGTCGTTGCAATATTCCACACACCGGCTCATTTCGTATTGTCGCGTCCATGATCGATCAAATGATGACATCGCAAAAACCAGAATCAAATTAACAGTTGCCGTGGAGAAGAGTAGTCCATCGTGACCTTTGCTAAAGTCGTTGTTTGATATCCCAATTGCAGGATAAACTAGCATATTAACACATTTGTTATCACACCCCAATCAGTGTTATACTAGAAATATGTCTCGAATACAAGGCCACTTGCAAACTTAAGAGAAACATAAAAAGCAAAAATTGTGTACATGTTTTGTTTTATCAAAGTCGAATTAATCAACGTAACTACGTATACGTCAATACAAAAAACACTTCCCTTTTATACTAAATTGTTACTTACATTCCAAATTATTGCCTAATTGTGAAGTGCACGCTGTTGTCATAGAAGATTTTATACAGGAACTCCAAAGTCCTCCATAAATTTCCATTATACCAGATATTCTATACCTATACCAGTATGGAACAGAAAAACCAATTAAATCTAAAACTGCTGCAACAATTGTCAAAATATAGCCAACAAAAGTAAGAATATTTAGTCCTTCAACTTCCATTGTAACGCTATAAGGTCGATTACTCCTTACTCTCAACAGTTAGTTACATGGTTTTATGTTCGGGAAAAAATACAAGTATACAAAGGTATATCATAGCCAAGTGACAATAACAGTCGCAGTTTATGGTTTATTGCGTTATCTAAAATTTGTTTTACCTTGCGTTTTTCCTATTCAGACACATAATATCAATTCTAAATAGAATAGAATGTAATTAATGTCACGTCTGTTCATTTTTACAAAAGAAGAAGTCAACAGATGCACAAAAAATTGGGTCGTGTCACGCAGGGTTATAAAGGTAATTATTGTATTCAGGTTTTAATTATTATAATATCAAAGACTTTTAAAAAATAAATACACGTATTACAAATAATACCACTTACGATTTGAGCAATTTGTTACATATTGAAAGGTTTTAAATTTCCAAAATATGAAAAACATTTTACGGTGATATATAGTTCATCATACAGTGACATGTTTGAGCTTGTTCTAATATTCCCAATATCTAATTCACGTAACCATATCAGAACTTTTACGCATTATATTTTAATATCTCACTATATTGTATATAGCAATCACATGTGTCCGTTTGTCCGTTCGTCCGTCAGTTCGTTCTCAAATATTTCCATTACACTTTTCTCGTGTACTATTGGACAGAATGACTTTTTATATTATCGTCCTTCTCTTTGCCTATATCACCTAGCTCAGTCGCTCACTCCGTAATTCTCGTGTCACGGCCTTGAGAAGTTATCAGCGACGTCACAATGTGTAAGAAGACGTTATCAAGCTTACTTTTGTCAAGAGTAAACTGTTTAATGGAAGGGGAAAAACAGAAATAGCACGATAAACAGATTGTCGGGTTTTCTTCGTATAGATATCGTAAAATATCAACAGCTTCACATTGCGGCTCGCGGCATATATTTTGATACTCTGAATTACGAGTAGGTGTATGCTTAGAACAACAACGAGTGCATCTTTTTTGTGTCTTAGGCTAGAAAATTTTAACAATAACTGTAATAACATAAAGCACCGTCACTTTTTATACAATGAAATAATCATATATAAAATTTTATCATGTTTTCTATTTTAAAAGGTTTTAGAATTAAGCTAGTTTTGCATAAAAAAATTGCAAAGGAAACCAACCTAAATCTTATATTGATAAAAAAAACAACATGATCACTATTTATATTTTCCATCTAATTCAGTTTTTAAACTGAAATTGTATCGAACTCATGACATTTTTAATGCGTTTAAAACAATGACCCTTTTGAAAAACATAAAAGATATATGACAACAATTTAACTGCTATAATGGAGAATCATTACGTTACTGTGTAGTGTTTAATACTATTTGTCTTATCTTCTCTTTTTTCTTTTGGTAATGGTAGTTGTCTGTCCCTCATTGTCCAACGGTATTTGATTATTTCCTTAGCACAAGGAAGTAGGTGTCAGAGAGATTCTAAAAGCGTCAACACTTACAACTCATCACTGTCAATCTGCTGACCAAATATGTAAAGATTATCGTGTTTTCTACACATTGATATTATACAGTTATAGCACTCATACCACATCTTCCTATATCTATAGCCTTTGAATGAGGCCGATACGAGGTTATATCGACCTAAGAGAAGTATATTGACTGAGAATGAAGTCCGAGGTCGATATGCTTCTCTAGGTCGATATAACATCGTATTGACCTCAACCAAAGGCTACAATTTTTATATTATTAATCAACAACTATTGCATAAACAAAAGTAAAATTGGGGATTTCTAGAATGAATTTTAGTAACATGCTGTATGCCATGTGTAATATGCGGTTTTTGACCTACGAAAAGCTAAACAGAACAGTATTGGCGTGCAAACTGAGTAAATACAAACATACATGTGATCAAGTTTTATCGAATCCTAAATCATTAAAAATATTCGATTAATAAAATAGTAAAATATCAGCCGCGAGCCAATGTGAAGCTGTTGATATTTTACGATATCTATACGCACAAAACCCGATAATATAGTATTTTTAGTGACTTTTGAGTTTTAACCAAAATGATTATTTTATTTTAGAGAGGTAGAAAATGTATTAATAAATAAAGTATATATTTCAAAATCAATCACAAATTTCAAATTTTTTTTTAAATAGTGACTTAATCCCCCCTTTTTAAGTCAAAATGAAAATTAGCAATGTATAAATAGTTACAACCCTGTTTTGATACTCATACTGTTTACGATTCTAATTTCAGAATCATAATCCGTTGTTGTTGTATTAAGTTGTATGTTAGCGTTTTTGTCCTTTTGATGGAAGATTAAGATTGGGCGATTTAGAGCTTGGTATATAATTACATGAAAATAACCTTTAAAGTATTGTAAATTATGTCAATGTTATATATGTTTAAAGTTAGAATCTCTTTGTGATAAGATGCTTGCGAAGATTAAGAAACAATTAAGGAACAATGATTCTTTCAGTTCCAATTACTAATACTACATGATGAATTTAAGAGAATTTCTATGAAAGCTTTGCATAATTGTATTCATTTAAATGTCATAAATTTGTTCGAAACGATTGAAATATATATATATATATATATCCAGCCCCGCTTGGGGAGGAAGTAAAGAATCAAATCTACTCTAACATTGTTAGGTTGATTTTCTAGGCACTTTATAAATATTCTAAAGCCTGGCATTTCTTAATCATAAGAAATCCGATGGACAAGGTATAATTTACAGTTGTCACTACACATAGGCAGACATACATATATATAAATTTACAGTGATTGTATGCTTCTAAAAATAGAACAGCATCCTGTAATTATACTAAAGAGATGAGTAGATGATCATTTCTGTACACTTAAAATACTTTGTGTATTGCGTCTAGATGTCCTTGTTTAATTCCTACGAGAAGGTAACACCTCCCGAAACGAAAGCTGATTTTTATCAGCTATAGTTAGAGGAGGGGATAAGGCGTCTGCGCAATGCTAGGCGGTGTTGCCGTAGAAGTATGAAGTGAAAAGTACAGGTTCCAGCCCCGCTTGGGGAGGAAGTAAAGAATCAAATCTACTCTAACATTGTTAGGTTGATTTTCTAGGCACTTTATAAATATTCTAAAGCCTGGCATTTCTTAATCATAAGAAATCCGATGGACAAGGTATAATTTACAGTTGTCACTACACATAGGCAGACATACATATATATATATATATATATATATGTTCTGTACAAGTTATCATTTTGTACAAATTATAATTTGTACAAAAAAAAATGCACAAATTATAATTTGTATTTTGACTTTGTACAAAAAGTGCTTGTACAAATTGTAATTTGTACAAAGTCAAAATACAAATCATAATTTGTACATTTGTTTTGTACAAATTATAATTTGTACAAAATGATAACTTGTACACAACATATATATAAAGAAAGGTGAGCTTAACTTCACCAGAATTTATTTTACAGTAGGGTCATTTTCTAAAAAGTTTCAATCTTTACTAGAATTCAAATTTTAATTGCTTCAACTATGTAATTTGAGGATGCAATCTTATTACGAACGACTGTAATTTATAAAGTAAGCGTATGGTCATTGAACGCAAGACACTATTAAAAACTTATAATTATCCAACTGAAACATGACTCGCCCAAATAAATCGGTCTTTGATAAAAATAACATTCATTTAAGACTAACATAATTGATTGCATAAAAAAACAGGATAAAGCAATTCAACGAGACAAAAAGACGAAAACATTCCCTTATTTCTCTCAACATCGAGCCGCATCGGTGGCCTCGTGATAGCATGCTTGCCTCGGTGGTTCAGTCACCGTCCGGGTCAAACAAAAGAAATTAAAATTGTTTTTTTTTTGGCCTCCGCTAATAATTTGCCTTGATAGAATTACATATCTTCCTGTGAACTGTTGCCTTGTGAATTAGCATGTTACAAATCCGGTTCAGTGTGTCGGTCTAGTACAAGACGTAAGTTTTATATTCAAATCGAATAAACATGTTCTCGTCCTTATATGCATGTAACATTTGCCACTGGACCTTAAATACCAATCTATCGTCATTATCATCATCTTTTAGTAATCATACGTGTGTTTTATCATTTGACAACGTAGATTTTAAAGTAATCTTAATAATTGAGTTTTCATGTGAGCGATTTCGCAATTAAATGGATGAATTCTTTCAAAATACAACCGGTGAAGATACGTTCTTAAAATGGTCTTATTTGAAAAAATCATCAAACAAAAAAAAATTCTAAAAGATTATTTTTTGTTGAGACATGACTTTCCGTTTTGTTGATTTATAATCATAGGGTAACCTTCTTCACTTTTTATCTAGTTACCAATCTATTACCGTGTTGGTAGTGAAAAAAGTAGAAACACGTTTTAAGGTTGTCATGTGCAACGATTATTTTACACCATCAAAACTGAAAACATGAGAACAACATGTCGATTTTTAGGGAAAGTCTTAGGTCAAGAATTCCAAGAAGAAGTTTGAAAAGATGTATTTTGTGAACGTTTACCGAGTATTTTACATGCATGTACTTCAAAAGTTGCATACAAAATCTAACAAAAATCTATAACATAACTCATTAACTATCACTTGACCTCAACTAATCTAAATAATCACCTCTCCCAGGATTTAACTGATACTCAAAGCGGTATAGAAAAATTGTTTTTCTATATTTCATGATGTAAAGTTTACTCGAATAAAAGTCTGTCTTGTGAAAATTACAATAGCTTTAAAATTGATGGAAATCTGTGAGGTGTACTTTTTACGAAAGTTGCTTTTTCTTTTTGACAATGAAACATCTTTGTTATTTATATTGTGTCATAGATCACAGAGGCGGATTTAGGGGGGCAGGGTTTGTGGGAAAAATTTGGGTGATTATTTATAGGGAATCACTGAAGCATGACTGGAGCGCCCCTCTTCGGCATTCAGTGCCCCCCCCCCCCTTATGAAAATTTCTAGATCCCGGCGCCACTGGATCAAACTTATTTGTTCAGTGTATATATACTTGTTTTTGTGTATTGTCCTTTTGATCGAGTTAAGCCATTTCAATTGATATTTTATTGTGTGTCTTTTTATGTTGTAATGTTATACCACTGTTTCAGGTTAGGGTGGAGGTTGGCGCCTGTTAAAACGTTTAAAACCGCTGCATTTTTATGCATCAGTCAGTAGCCTGTTGTTCAGTGGTTGTCGTTTGTTGGTGTGGTTTATAAGTGTTCCTCGTTTCTCGTTTTTTTTATATAGGTTAGACCGTTGGTTTTCTTGTTTGAATTGTTTTACACTAGTCTTTTGGGGTCCCTTTAGATAGCTGAAGGCCGTACTTTGACCTATAATTGTTTACTTTTTACACCTTGTGACTTGGATGGATAGTTGTCTCATTGTCACTCATACCACATCTTCTTATTTATTTTTACACAAAATTTACAAATAAAGGAAATTTCGCCTTATTTTTTTTTAACAAAAATCATCATTTGTTGAATTATGAGAAATATTTAAGATGCCTACACAAGCGCGTGCGCGTAATTTCATTAATAAAAGTAATGTTTGTATTAGTGGTAGGGTTTAGGGATTTCAAATTTTAAAAGTAATAATTTAAACCATGAATCAATAAATATACAAGCATTACGTGCTCTTCGATTGGCTACATTGCCGCGTTTCCTTTGCTTAATGAAATGTGGATTCTATAAGAACCAAGAAGTTGCATCATACTCATACAAAGGTGTTCACGATTTAAAGTAAACATTTTCGTTGCAATGACTTGACGGCAAATATTTACATATTACATAGGTTACCTTCAAACAGAGACAAACCCACAATAGATAAAAAGATGTACATGAATGTCTACTCTGTCCATGATAAATTGTCAAATAGGTGTAACAGGACACAAAAATTAAAAGGAATTCAACCGCGTCATGACTAAAGAAATTTGGTAAATTACGAAAGGAATTCTTATGATTACTCGATGATTAGATATAATTTTATTTGTGATAACAGTAAAAATTAAGAAGCCGAAAATACTGATTATGTGATGAAATAAAAAAAAAACATACGATAAAATTGATTATTAGAATCATCATTTATAATTTAGCATATTTATTACACATTGAAAATAGAAACTGTCGAAATATGAAATTGAATATAATTCTTTCACATTTGTCTAGAATCTGGCTACATAAAACTTCAATAATGCTGACAGGTCAACATAACATTCAAATATAGAATAAATAACAAAAAAAAAAAACAATTTGTAGTGCAAGGGTATCTTAAAAAGATCTGAAAATTCATCTTTTTCAACTAACACACTTTGAAACGTGTAGTCGATTTTTTTTTTCGTTATAATTTTGTAAACAAAAATAGAGAGCAGTTTTTCATACCGCTAAAAGAAAAATATATATTTTTATTTTCTTTCACATTGCCTTTACCCTATTGGCTTCCTCACCACATCCCCCATCCATCTCGAGACCCCTTTTTAATCCACCACTAGATCAAGAATAACTTTAAGAAACTAACAGGAAAATGAAAATACACAAAGAAACGAATCAAAAGAGAAAAAAACAAAAACAAAAGGAAAAACGTGTCCAGTAAACTTTAAAAACAAAAGATTTGGGTAATATGAAAACAACTAGAAAGGACTAGAAGAGCAAAGAAACTGATCTAATGGTAATGTTTTCCTTTGATGGCTGATTAAATATGTGCATAGATTACACTTAAGCTGGCTAACTGTATTGACAGGTGTAACAGGAAAGTTAAATGTATACATCATAGCTTTATTTGGGTGATGTTGGAATTACTGATAACTTGACTTCCGAGGCTTCCTGTAGCCCACTGATATACATTATAATGTTGTTTAAAATCTCCCAAATAAAACATTCAGTAAATAAAGTTCTTACGTTTGGGATATAAACTTTTTGTTCTTTCGTAAAAAAAAAAATGGATTCAAAGTTAATTAGTATTATATATATATGGATGTTTTTCAGTTATTCTATTATAATTCAACAGGTACGTATTCTTATTCATTTTATTTTCTACCAAGTCGTCTTTTTTTTCCTTTTTCGTATTTTCTATATTTTAGTTTTTACTGTCCGTCCCCTGTATGCTTTCTATAAATGATGATTTTTACTGTTATTTTTGTTTAATTTAAAGTTTCATTATATACATATATAATCTTTATTCTCACAAACCAAATTACAAAGGTATAGAGATAATTATACATATTTCAATACAATTACATAAATAAATAATGTACGATTCGATTGACTGTACACAAACATGTTGTCAGGGTTTTCAAATAGGGTAAGATCATGCTTATTCTTTATTTCTTTCATATACTTATTTTTTTTTAAAATTATAAACTCAATAAAAGATTCCATGTCTTGAATCAATGATGTTGATCCTTCAATATATTCATTTTGGTCTATTTTTAATCTATTGTATTTCAGTGCAATGCTGATAATTTAGAAGGGAATAATCAATCAACAACAGAAGTAGAAAATTTGCAAAATAATAAGACAGAATTTAATTCAGACAATACTTTAAAGAATATAACCACCAGCATAAATTCAAACCATGCTTCAATTGAAAATAATACTGTAGAAATGAATGGCCAGAATATACAAAATAATTCAGAACAGCTTTTTAATAGCAGTAGTGCGGACTTAAACACATCCACCATGACCACTGAAACCATGTCAACGTTGTGGGTATCTGATAGTTCTGAAATTTCGATTCAAAGTACAACGGTTTTGGAGATATTGAACAAATCTGTGCAATTAAAACAAGATCATTTACGGAATATGACCTCATCTAAAGCATTAACGGAAAATCCCAAATTAATAGCTGGATCTGTTGAGAATAAAACTATGGTGAGTGAGATAAAAGCCAATGGAACACAAATACAAGAGTCGACGACAGAAGCAAGTAATAAAACAACAGGTGGACAAAATGTTTTGTATACAACAGAAAAGCAGGGGTCTACTAAAATATCAGATGTAGACAAAAATATTGTGGGCGGAATGAACGCAACAACCGAAACTAATAAGACGAACGGGATTGATACAAATTATGCGAATCTTTTCAATAACAGTCGGATTAATTCGGTATCGAATAAGAATTTATCGAAGTTAGACTTAATGGCAACAACGGCTGTTGTGACTATCACTAGCCAAGTTAGTGATAACAATGCTCAAACGACGCAACTGACTCCAATTAACAATATCACTGCTCCTTTGTTTAATCAAACTGACCAATCCCCCCTTAGACTTACAACAATTGGCGAAAAAGAAACTCATAATACGAGAGAACCACCGCAATCATTGGATAAGACAACAACTACAACCACGAGACCTGTAACTAGAGTAACAATTTCAAAAATGGAAGCTACAGTAAAAACTAAAGGAACTTCAGAAATAGCTGTAAACAGTATTTATCTCACAGACACAACTACGTCAAAAACAACAGCAAAAGTTTCCACTGAGCGATCAACAGAATTTACAACAAAAGCAGGAATACAAATATCGGTGACCAGGAATAATGAAATTGCAACCAAATCATCTTCACAGAAAACCGTCGAAAAAGACATGTACAAAACATCAGAAACTGGAGGCATTACTGAAAACTGGATGGAGTTCAACATTAGTGGTTTTGGTGTCAATTCTAATCTAGAAGTTCACAACCTTGGAGATAAGGAGGACGACCGTTACTGGCCTGTGGTTGTGGCAGTGACCATTGGAGTTCCAGCTATAATAATTATAGGCGTAACCATCATTGTAATGCATAGAAAAAGGTTAGGTCGAAGATCACTCTCTAGACCAAACAAACTTGCTTATGCTTAAAACCAATGCTTTATTGGGTTGGTAAGTGTAATGAATCGAAGTGCTAGATGCTTGCTTACATTAGTCATCATGTCTGCTTAGTAGAGCTAGTTTGAAAAGAATGTCAAAGTAAATGCAATGAATATTATATTTCTTCACATTTTACTAGACAAAGCTAGAATTAAGAAAATATTTGTAAACGTAAAATAGTATTGTTCTTCTGTCGGTCTCTATAGATACCATCTTTAAGATTAGTTTTAAAATATAATCGGAAATAGAAGGCTGCTCTTATTGATGCGTTATACAAAAGCATCAAATCTACACTGGCTTTCAAGCAGTTTCATCTAAAGCGCTAAAAGATATCTATTTGTTTAGTATATTTCTAAAAAAGGAACCTATATATCAATGTTGCCGCATCAAACATGCATAAATATAGAAAGAAGAGTAATTCAATATATTTTCAATAATGAAAGAAATCATATAAACTAAAAACAAATTCAAAAATCAATAAAAATAAACAAAAAAAAGTGTTCAAGAAAATTTGCCGGAAAAAAAGTCGTACCATGTAAAAGATTTCTCTATTTGATTCTGTCGAATATGAATAAAGGGAGATATGGGTAATATTACAATCAAGCATCAATCTAACAACACAGCAATCTCAAAAGACATATAGAGGTCTTCACAAGATAAATATGGAAATCATATATTTAGCTGTAAATCGCCCCGAGTCCGAACAAACCTTTGAACACATTTACAGAAACTTTTCCCTTTGATTTAAGACGTCGTAGGTGGCATGTTGCAAGGCAAAATTTCTGTTCCTATCCAATATACCCTCATTTTCCAGTAGCAGTCCAAATTTTCCCGACCTTTATCCGAACGGCCTCTATATATGATAGTTATTACAGGATCTACCTATTGTATTTATTGTTAAATTGTTCTCGTCCTGAACATGCGTGAAATATTTGTCACTGGACGTTAATTAAGCAACCAACAACTAATCAATCAATTGATTTCAGAAAATTGAATAAATTTAACAGAGACTACCAAGAATCTGCCTAAAACACCAAATGCCCGAAAGAACAAAAAACATGGGACATCAATTAACGAGGTTCCTGACTTTGAGATGAAGAACAACAATAAAAATCAATCCACGACAAAAAATCACTATACGTTTATACATAACACAAACAAGTAGTGATTTTTTTGTCGTGAATTGATACACCACATCCTTTCTTTTCCAAAACATGAACATGTAATACGGTTAATCTAAGTTTAATTGTTTTAATGAGGAATCCTGCCGTTCTACACAATAATATTGACGCACTTCCGGTGAGTAGAATTAAATACAGCAACGCACAGGGCAGTTCATAGAAATAAGATCTTTTGCAAAACCCGAAGTAAATTTGTATAACATTTCAATGCAGAAAAAAAATATAAAGGAACATTAGTAGTTGGGTTTCAAACAGCAAATATAAGCTCCAAAAATATAGGATGTAATGAATTAATAGTAACCGTATAATAATTATGAATAACCTTCATAATTAAGGCTGATCAGATTTTAATGACAATTATTATAATAGTTATCTTTGAAATGAATTGACCCTAAAAGCTTTAGGATTTTATTAACAACTTTTACTCAAATCCATAAAAATCGAATCAGATTTCTACAATAATTCTCTATACACAACGAAGATAAAATTTTGTGAAAGTTTTTACCAGTTTACAATATATATGTATCCCTGCTAAAAAGTGTTTAGTAACGAGAATATTACGGCATTAATTGCTCGTGTCAGATTTTTTCATTTTACATGTCTAATTTTCAAATGTATTAACTATTTTATCTACATTTGTTTTTTTTTTCTTTCAGAAAACTTGAAAAGGCACGACAGGCCTTCAGTGGATACAGCTATATAACACCTCCGAGGGAGTATGATGTATGAGCTATTATCTGGAGTGATTTACTTAGTGACGCAATTTTTAACTGTTGATAAGAAAGCATATATGAGGAACATAATCTCGGAATCTTTCCTATACAAATGGTTTTTACTACTTTAGATCACTCGCAGAATATTACAGAACTTTTCTATTTGAGTATTACAGAATACAAGTTTGCTTCTTTGTTAAGTTTATCATGACCTTTGATTACTATCGGTTGAAATAGCATGGTCGTTATTTTGTCAATTAGATCAAAAACTACAACACAAATCATTGCCTAATATCTGTTTCCATATAAAAAAAAATAACTACTAAGTAATAGAAAATGCATGGTTCACCAAGAAAAGAAGCAAACATTATGACCAACTCTTTTACCCGTGAATGGCTTAAACTCAGGCTGAGGTTTTGTGACTTACGTCTTTTTGCGTAGGAAGGTGTAAGTCTTGTCCTGGTTTATAGTTTTCAAAGGTAGAGCAAAAGCCATCACTTCTGAAGTGTTACGGTCGTCATCGTGGGTTGGTTAACTGTTTAAGAATGACTGGTTCTCGTAATGGAGCAAGATCTAATTACCTTAGGCCCCTTTTGGAATTTTGCCATTTCATTAATGTTTATAAACCAATGGATTTCTTTTTCTTTTTCTCCTGTTATGGTTCCCCCTGGCCTTCGTCATTTCAATTCTTGCATTGCCCATTTAGTTTATCTTCCCTTGAGTTTAATTTGTTTATGTACTACCAACACTACCATCAAATACTATCTGTCAAAATTATTTTTGTTGAACTATGCACGAATACAAAAGTTCCTACGTATATCTACATCCCAGGCTTCCAAATGTTCCATGATGTTTGAGCGTTCCGTATGAAGGTAAATCCAGAAAAGCGCTTCGGGAATGGACCCCACCTCTTTTTCAATATATTTTGTTATTGTGATGTTTTTTTGTTGTTGTTAATATTCCTTAATATTTTAACTTAGCAACAGAAAAAGGGCATGTGAAGTACAAATATAAAGTAGTATTCCCGATTTTTACTGGGAAATAACCATATAAACATTTTTGTTACCATTTTGTACACTGTTATATTATATTTTACTTTATTTTGTTATTACCAATCATCAAGAATAAACAATAATCATGTAGTATACTGTTTGTTTTTATTCTGCCCTTTGGGTGACTTTGATTGACAATAAAATTGTTGTAATGTTCAAAATACGCAAAATATAATTGCTTTTTACCATCTTGTTGAAGGTCTTAAACGAGCAATCTGATTAAAATCAGATCGTCCACTTGACTCTGCTACTTTAGATTTGTTTATCGCGTAGTCTAACCGAACCGAGTAAAAGATTTTATGTTTTTAATCGATTGTTCAGCTACGAGCTAAATAAGTCAAAAATCATTACTTTCATCTGTTTGGAAACTTTAAGTCGAAATATAAAACTTTTCAAAACAGACATCAAAGGGAGCTTTACAAAAACAGACTTAGGTCAATGTTGCATTTTAGCATAAAATAATCAAGAAGATCTGATAATAGGCAAATGTCTTCAATAATCTCAAACAATGGACTTTTGGAATTACTCAAATAAGACTTTTCTATAGTCAAATTTACTTTGGATACTAGTAACTTAATCTGTTCAACAGAAGGAAGGGAACAAAAGTTGCCCCATCTTGTATCGATTTGTGCACGAGTCCATTGAAGAACAAGAGTGCGCACGCTGAAATGTATCGCCAGTTTTATTGATTTTAACTGGAACTATTGTACTAGTCCCAGATTTTAAAAGACATGATTTAATGTTGAAAGTCTTAAGTAAATCTTCACTTTACAAATTATCCATGAAAATAAGACCAAGGTCAAATAAATTTTGTCAAACGAACATACACCTAATCATTTCGGGGCCTTTTATAGCTGACTATGCGGTATGGGTTTTGCTCATTGTTGAAGGCCGTACGGTGACCTATAAGTTGTTAATTTCTATGTCATTTGGTCTCTTGTGGAGAATTGTCTCATTGGCAATTATACCGAATCTTCTTATTTTTATATACACACCTAACAAAAATTCTGTACAATTACAGTTGCCCTTGTAGTACAGTAACTGAAAAACTAAATTAAGAAAACTTAACGTTGATCAATGGAACATGAAACGAGGTCAGATGAATTCTATCAGACAGACATTACTTGAAAGATCAAATTTAAGTTACGTTTTCCTTATAGTGAAAAACTGCTTAGCCTATGTATCTGTCCAAGCAAGATGCCTATAATCCAGTGTTTTTGTTGGTTGCTGTCTACCACAATGGTGTTTTTCGTTTATTGGTAAGGAATAAATCATGCCGTTGGTTTTCTCTTAATTTGAATGGCTTCACATTGAGACTTTTTATAGCTTACTCTTTGGTATAGGTTTTGTTCCTTAATAAAGGCCGCATGGTGACCTGTATAATTGCTCACATCTTTTCACTTTGATATATAATGGATAGTTTTCATTGACAATCATACTACATCTCCTTTTTTATACTTAATGTTAACCAACAAACCTTTGAAATGAGGTCGAGGTTAGATCAATGCTGTCAAATGTACATGTATACCTTGCAATAATAATATACACAAAATATAGTTGACCTATTATATATAAGAAACTGACCCAATTATAAAATTTTAATGTTAATCAATGAATCATAAAAATGAGGTTAAGTTCAGATGCATGAATCCTTTTAGGCGATCACGCCGTTCTACAAGATCAAATTTAGATGACCTATCATTTACAGAAGCTGACCTAATCACGAAACATTTACACTGACCAATAAACCACGAAAAAGAGGTCAAGGTCAGATTAACCCTGTTTAGTGAATAGGTACCTGCCTCTTATAGCCATTCTATAAATATCCTTATCAAACATTCTATTAAAAAAAGTTGACACATTACTTAAAATATTAGAAAAACTGACCTTGCCACGAAAAACTTACAAAGAAAATGATGTCATGGTTATCCTGTCAAATAGACTTGTAACAATAACAACCCCATCCTTTTGCCAATAATACAGTTGACCCATTTCTTATAGTTTTAGAGGAACTGACCTAATCGAAATCTCAACATTGATTATTGAACTATGACAATGAGGTCAAGGTCAGATGCAACCTGTCAGACAGACATGTATGTACCCCTTACAAACAATCTATATATACCAAATATACAGTTGACCCATTACATATAGTATCACAGAAACTGATCTAATCACGAAAACTTTACGGTGATCAATAAAGATGAAAATGAGGTCATGTACCCCTTACAATCATTCTTTATAGTAATATCATCTTGCAACCTGCAAAGTGAAGATGTCCGAAAAACAAATACATGTAGTTTATTTAGTAATCTTGTCCAGTTTAACAAAAAATAAGGATTAAACAATACTTTAATTCATCAACTACCATTCATACCTGCACTTAAAATCATACAAAACATCTAATACTTGGGACTTTTGATTGAAGGAGTTTTCATTCAAAGCATCTGAACTTGTAATATGCTTCTTGTTTCAAGGTTCAAGGAATCTGCATTGTCTGTTGATCCAATAATGTTGCTCAAAGTATTAGCTGTTTTACATGAGGAGCCCTTATAATAATGTAAAAATAGAATGAGGCCAAGTGTTACAACCAACAACAAGTTATTTCATCCTAAAGTAAATGGTAAAAGCAGTGGAAAATCAATGGCAAACAAAACATTGCCTTAAAATGATGTACCTACATTGAACAAATTGTGTAGGGAACAATTAAAGGACTTATTCCCTATACCTGGTTGATATCATAATTGAGATATAATTTGAAACTAGAGATAAAACAAAGTAAGGTTACAAGTTTCAGATAAAGATATCTACAAAAACAAACAGTCCATGGTTGGAGGTGTGAGCTAAATCCTTAACACATGCAAAGACATTGAATATCTTGTGTGTAAAATGCAGGTCATGATGACCAAACAGAATGATGTTAAATTGTGTTATACAAGCAAGATAGTGTTATACTCAAATGTAAAATGCAATAGAAAAATAAACTGCTTCGCCAAGTGCAGCTGGATACGACCGCAGAGGTCCAACCCTGAACAGTTGGGGCAAAAATGGACACAATATTCAAGCTTGATACAGGTCTGAATTTGGATTGTAATTAAATATTTGACACATTATATATGTATAAAATAAATGTATAAATATAGTCAAAGAACTTGAAATTGGTTGTATGATTTGAATTTATATTCAACTGAAGATTTCTTGCTGTGAAATACACTGTGCTTTTGCGCAATACTTAATAAATCTGTTTTCAGACTATATACAAAGAACTAGCAAAATAAATTGTGACCACCAATTTTTTTCTTTGGAAAATTGACAATTTCTTAAATCTTGATGAAAAAAATTGACCCCCCAACAAATTTTTTTTTACCCCCCCCCCCCCCCCCCCCTTTCCAAAAAAAAATATTTGAAGAGAATTTTCTTTTGAGAACAAAAAATTGCCCCCCCCCCCCCAAAAAAAAAATAAAAAATTTACCCCCTTCCAAAAAAATTGATTTTGAAGAAATTTTCTTTTTGTAAAATGTGGTAAAAATTAAGAGACATCCATACACTTAAACACAAGTTATTGTCTGAAACTAGAAAAAATGCTTGTTTTAGACCCTTTATGGCCCCTAATTCCTGAACGGTTTGGGCAATTACCCCCAAAATGAATCCCAACCTTCTACTTGTGGTATTTAACCTTGTGGTACAATTTCAGAGCAATCAAAATACTTATACTCAAGTTATTGTCCTGAAACTAGAAAAAATGCTTACTTTTGGCCCCTAATTCCTAAACGGTTGGGACCATCACCCCTAAAAACAATCCCAACCTTCCTTTTGTGGTATTGAACCTTTTGTGTATATTTCATAGAGATCCATACACTTAAACTAAAGTTATTGTCCGGAATCCAAATGTATGATTTGAATTGATATTCAATTGAAGATTTCTTGCTGTTGTGCAATACTTAGTAAATCTGTTTTCAGAATATATACAAAGAATTAGCAAAATAAATTGTGACCCCCAATTATTTTCTTTGGAAAATTGACAATTTCTTAAATCTTGAGGGAAAAAAAATTGACCCCCCCCCCCCCCCAAAAAAAAATTTTTGTTTACCTCCCCTCCAAAAAAAATACTATTTGAAGAGAATTTTCTTTTATGGAAAAAAAATTGCCCCCCTCCCAAAAAATTTTTTTTTTACCCCTCCCCCCCCCCCCCCCCCCCCCAAACACTTTCCAAAAAAAATAATTTTGAAGAAATTTTCTTTTTGTAAAATGTGGTACAAATTAAGAGACATCCATACACTTGGTTTTCCCGTTTGAATGGTTTTACACTAGTAATTTTTGGGGCCCTTTATAGCTTGCTGTTCGGTGTGAGCCAAGGTTCCGTGTTGAAGATCGTACTTTGACCTAAAGTGGTTAACTTTTATAAATTTTGACTTGGATGGACAGTTGTCTCATTGGCATTCATACCATATCTTCTTATATCTACTTAAACACAAGTTATTGTCTGAAAACTAGAAAAATGCTTGTTTTAGACCCTTTTTGGCCCCTAATTCCTGGACAGTTTGGGCAATTACCCCCAAAATTAATCCCAACCTTCGACTTGCGGTATTGAACCTTGTGGTACAATTTCAGAGCAATCAAAATACTTATACACAAGTTATTGTCCTGAAACTAGAAAAATGCTTGTTTTGGCCCCTAATTTTTAAACGGTTGGGACCATCACCCCTCAAAACAATCCCAATCTTCCTTTTGTGATATTGAACCTTTTGATTAAATTTCATAGAGATCCATACACTTAAACTAAAGTTATTGTCCAGAAACCAAATGTCTTCAGACGATGCCGACAACGACGTGATACCAATATATATGGCCGCTTTTGCGGTCGTGTAAAAACTACTTAAAATTATCTAGAAAAGCAAAAATTACAATTTCAGTTGCCAGATGATGAATGTAAAGTGATTACATCATGAATGGACTTTGGGTTTTGAGCTTGATATAGGTGTAGGTCTTCTTGTGAATATTGGTTGTTGTTTGTTTAATGTCCAGTTGCAAATATTTATACATATTATGTATAACTTTCTTTGAATACAATATTCCAACTTCTACATGACTTCTTAGTTTGTGGTCTCATAAATGTGTACTGCACACACCTTCTTTTAATCACGAGAGTTTAAGGGAAGAGTGAAGGCTTTCAAATATTTTAACACCACTGCAGACTACATGTATACATATGGTAATCCTGGTCATGCCTCTGTTGTTCAGTAGTTAATAGTGTCTTCTTATATCTCATTTTTCTTGTAGTTTATGAATTGCCTTTGTTAATGTCTTTAGAGGTTTTCCAGTAATTTAAGAATTTGCTGTTGGTTTTGGATCTTTTGTAGTATCGATTTATTTCGTTCACAACTCTAGGGAGTTGAGGGTTGAATATTTGGTATGTATATTTGTCTGTTATTGAAGATCATATGTTACACTCTAGATTTTTAATATTTAATTTGAACATTTATTTTTCGAAATATTTTCATTTTTTTGGAGTAAAGCAAGTTTGAAAAACATAAAGGCATTTCCTCTTGTTTAAAATCCTACTGACCAAAAGGCATGTAGTAACAGATAATCATTTATTTCCCAATTGATCATGGAAGGGTGACTGAAGAAAAGAATGTGCATAATTTAAAATTCTTTATTTACAAACATGTTTAAATAGGTAAAAACTTTCAATGACCATTCACACCTCTTTACACACTTCTCAAGAAATTATATATATCAACAAATCTGTCTTTTATATATGATATATAGCAATTCAGAACACACATAAATCAATTCATGATGCATGATTGATAAAATCAAAACTGTTTCTTTGATGTACAACATAAAAAAATTATACACATACACAAATCTCTGAAAGTCACAAAACAATCTTGAGCTAATCAGAATATATCAAATCATTATTCATGACTGCTGAAATAGCTACTCCAAAACATTACTGGATTTATTTTCGGATAATTGTAAGTGTAATTATTTAGTAAGAAAAGTAAGAAGCTGAACAAAACCTGGTGCTCAAAAAATAGGGTTCATACTATTTAGAATAGTAAATAAATTCAGACTTGGTTTTTGAGAATAGTTGAGTTTAAAAATGCATTCAGAATCTATCGGTTGCATCAAGTTTACTCAGTTTTATTACAGAAGTTGATATAATATGTAAATCTTAAGTTTTTTTGTCATTTTGTTTTGACCTGAAGACTTTTAAATATGAATCAAGACTGTTATATAGTTTTTTCTTCAATTTTTTAACTTGACTTTCCCAGAGATATGTACCTGGGCTCATGAGAAAAAAATCCTTAATGAGAACCCTTAAATCAGCAAATTCCTAAAACCTTTTTTTGCTCACTTCATAAATTGTGATGTATCACATATACATATATATCAACTTAAATAACTAAATTCGTATGTTTTCAGTCATGTCAGTATACCGGTACTTAATTACCCATCAACAAATAACATTATAATGCACATGTGAATATGAAACCATCAAATATGAAAGTCTATCTATGATGTTGACATGGTTTATTTTGAATGTCCCATCAGTTCTCTCTCGTGCAATGCCTGAGCGTCTCTCATTTCCTGTTCCTTCACCAGATTTATTATCTCATTCTTCATTGGAGGAGTAACTATAAAAAAAAAATCATCCTTTTAATAACAATCAATTTAAATCTTATAACTAGAAATTACCTTTTTTTTAATTACCTGAAAGTTTTACTATTAAGAACAAAAGATTTCAGCAGTTTGTCAATGGCAATAAGAATACAATCTTGACAATACAAACAAAAATAATAAGTTTGAAAAGACACCCAAAAGTCAAGAATTCAATGAACATGATGAAGGACAACGTTTATTTAATTATTTCATCTTTAATAAAAAAAAATCAATTATTCCATCTTATATGAAAAAGAGCTTCTAGTAAGACTGTGACATTAATAGCAAACAATATAGAGTGTTATGAAAGGGGAAATATCAGTGTTTCTAAAACTTTTTTTCCATACATGTATATCTACTTTAAATTATTTTGTTTACTGTTTAACATTATTCCATTCTAAAATTATCTAAAGGAATCACTAATGTATTTTTTTTCTGTAATGTTACCCAAACCAATTTTTTTTTAAAGGATTTTTGTATATAGACATGACAGACATAGAACATATTAATCAGATCACCACCATATTATATAGTGGCATAAAGTATAACTTACTATAAGAGATCTCGTACATTTTGAAAGCTAATACGGACATAGAATATAACATGGTACCAACTAATCCTATTACAGTGCTTTTATGTGCTATATCATACACAACATTCTTTCTAGGCAGCCTCATTTTCCTACAAAATAAAACAAAATAAATTGCCTTTTGTTGAGTTTATACATGCACATTGATAGTATAATATAATCAGAACTTTTTGTTCCAATCCTCAGTCTAAAATGGCTGATATTCTGATCATGACAACACTTTTTTCGGTAATTGAAAGAATTTTCAACTTTTAAAATAAGAATACAGAAGTTGGGTAGTAAAAAGCATTTTTCAGAGTCATTCATGAGACCACTGGGAATTAAACTAGGTTTAAAATACCCCACTGTGAAATATATCACAGGTACACAACCATAGAATATGAGATTATGTGCAAATTTTACTTGAATACATGGCCTTGGTATATGTTTCCAGGTGTAATACCACCATTGATTTTCCCCAATTAGTCTTTGTTAAATTTGCACTTTTCAAAAAATCGTGCAGAATTTATCTTTGTTTCAAATAAAGAAATACATGACATGAATAAAGTTTTATCCTGTCCAGTACTATAGAAAAAAATTCACATAACATTTCATTGCATATAACATGTATAAGAAAATAACCATCACTGGAAGTTAACCAATCAAATTTTCACCCCTTTTTTTCCTGTGTACAAGCTTTAGTAACCATGTAACCTCAAGTTTCCAAAATATTCTATAGAAAAAACAAATGAAAAAATAAGGGTGCTTTGAATATTTATGACTCAGAATTTTTTTACTGCAATGAAATGTAGTATAAGTGTATAATTTTCTCAGAGAAGTTGATGATCCACTAGGAAATTTTCAGGAATCTACCAAGATTCAAGATTTTATTAAGCAATCATGGACCCTCAAGGGGCATACATATAAAATAAAACAATTTCACTATGATTATCATAGCATAACAAATTATAAAAAGGTACATTGGTAAATGCACAAATATGTGTACTAAATGCGGCAAGCAATATATTGTACAATGCTACCATGGAATATGACATAGTTAATATTACCATACATTAAAATTGGAAGGTTTTCTAAAACAAATTCACTTATTTTTAGTGTAATTTTTATATCTTCCATAGTCATTAACCATATAAATCTGTTAAGACAGGACAAGTTAGAAATGGATAGACATTCTTTGGTAATAGAGTCAAGAAATTTTTTCTTAGCTGATTAAAAAAAGAACATTGTAAAAGAAAATGAATTTCATCCTGAACATCATCATAGAAACACCAGCTGTCACATATTCTTTCTTCGTAAGGCACACTTGGTTTAGTGTATCCCCGCGTTTCAACCTTTAACTTATGGTTACTTAAATTCTGAACTTTGTGTAGTTTTTTCTTTTTTTGAAGTTATGAATAAAATCCAAATATTTCTCTCGTTCAAATGAACATTTGAGTTTTAAATATGTGCGTTAGTTTACCATTTTCCATGATCAACTTATGTCTTGTATCTGCTCATACTTTTTTGTAAAATTTGAACAGTGTGTTTTAAGTTTACTGTTAAGTGTGGGACCTGTCATGCCTGTAGGTCTATCAAAATCAGATTTTGAAATATCAGTAACAATATTAGATACATGTACAAAATATGTGTACTAAGTGTGTATTACTTGATAATGTAACATTCTATTTTCTATATAAACATTTTCCAATAATGATTTATTGGACTTTTCTATTCGAGCCCAATATTTAATTATATTTTTGAATATATATATAACCAAAGGGTCAGCATCCTAGTTCGCTCATAACAGCAAAATTTAATTTTTTTCTGTGACGTAGGAAGGCGTTCAGAAAATAAAATTAAAATAGCCATTCAAGACGTCTTAGAAGACTATTTTAATTTTTTTCTGGGACACCTTCCTACGTCGTCGTCATTGGAAGGCTTCCCAGAAAAAATTAAAATAGTCTTTCAAGAGGTTATAATTTTTTGGACTAGACCAAGAATTTGTATACAAATCCTTGACTAGACGGTCTAGACTATATAAAAAAATAGAAAAATTCTCTGACACTGACAGCATGACTGAATGAGGCATGATCATGTAGGTGTCACATTTGTAACTAAATGATATATGGTTAAGTGTGCTATTACTTATTCTACATCTCTCAAAATACCTTTAAAATAAAATTCAATAACTGTCAAAAGCAAATGTAAGGAAAGGTTAGGTAACCTTGGTTAATTAGACGCTTGAAGAAAAATCCCGAAAACGTTTTTGTCGATATATCCAAGGACGTATAACTAACATATATACGTCTAATATACGTCCTTGATATATCTGTTTCGTATTTTACATTTTCCTGGTATTTTTAATTGACTTCAAAATGAATAAAAAAAATCTTTCTTTTTTGTATAAGATTTTATTTTTCGTGTATAATAACATTAAATAAAACGAAATAAAGTAAAATAAATAAATGCGAAACAAAAATTAACTGTAACTATTGTAAACAACATGGCCGCCTAGATTTTTTTTTTAAATTGTCTGTCCCTTTTTTTTGCCAAAGAATTACAAAGATTTCTAACTTTTACAACTGAAAATGTGACATGAAGCATATTCGTTTGATCAATCTCAACTCTCGAAATGGCAAAAGCAAATATGAAGAAGAATCCTACCGAAAATGGTCTTCCAGTTCTAGGAGAAAATGAAGATACATTTAATTTCTCTAATAGGTGACTACTATAAAACAAATATGTGTAATTGTTGTGGCAGGTTTAAATTAAGGTACATGGAAGAAAATTTAACTATGGCTGAACTAACTGTCATCAGGACACAACCCTGCATGACAGGATTGATAATACGAGGCAGGTGTTACATACACCTAATCGGTTTTTATTCCATTCCGGATAAGTTCGTTCTAAAATTACACAACTTTTTCATCCAGTTGAAGCTATCTGGGACCCTGTTTAAACAAAGCACTATGCATGATACTTTTTAATGAGACCTGTCATTGCCTGTTTAAAACATCGTAAATACTTCAAACAAAATATTTTTTTGAATATAATTTGAGTTTGGAAAAAGTGGATCATAATTTACAATGTTTCCTATTGATCGCTTTCTAAATTTTTCTCTCCCTCAGCTTGTTACTGATGACCTTTGTTTGCTGCCTGTTGACCCAAACAGGAAGTTGTCTAAATGACTGGGTTTTTCCGGATTGGACTAAATAGCGATAAGGTGTATTTTTTACCTGTGGAGGGGACGAAATAATTCTTTTAATATTTAACGTCTTTGCAAAAGCAAAACTACAGAAATGTGTGATTATTATAGTCATAATTTTTCTTTTTTTCATTTTACAAATAATGATGTTAAAATTCTCTCATTCTGATTTACAAACCATCGTAAATCTTCAGATACATGTACCCATCATCATTGGCTTCATGACTGAGGGTTGACAATAAATACTTCTTTACCAAACTGCAAAACAATTTATTCCAGAATACATTTCTGTTGAAATGTATTTGAAATACAGAAACGTATTCGATGTTCGTCCTGTTGTTATGAATTTTATTAATAAGGTCATTTTCAATGTATAAAAACAAAGAAACTATCTGCTTCAGGTATAGAGGTAATGTTTTTTTTTTTTCATAAAAAGTAAAATTTAATTAAAAGTATAACAATTTATTCCTTAAATGATGAAATTATCACATCAGCTTATCATTATTCCTTGTGCATCAGAATAGGATACACATATCTGCCTGATAAGGTTAGTTTTCCTACTCATTTTGTTTGCTTTTAAGATCTTGAAAATCATATATTGAATAAGCACTAGATTCATTTTATTACGTACTACACAAACAGACTAAATTCTTGATATTCGTCCTCATATTATCATGATTATTGCCATTTTTCTATATGGTAATCAGATATATAAATTTGCGTGAAATTGTATGACTTTCAACATGGCAGTGTCTGTCAACAGAATAGGAACAGGCATGACAGGGTAATGCGCCAGCACAACTATTAGGAAAAAAACTTAAAGATTTTAAGTTCATTAATATGTTGATTTTTGTATTGATTTTTTTACTGTTGTTGGTGAACTTCGACCCCATATTGTTCAATTCCTAAAATAAAATTTTATAAAATAGTGAATAGACTGATAGGTATTGATAAACAATGATAAATAAAAATTTACTTGCTTTTGGGATTCTGTGTCAAGATTGATTTTCTGATTTGTCTGCAGCCCTCCCAACACAGAATCCCATAAGGGATTAATTTAAATTTTATCAAAGTATAACCAATATCATTAAATGTCATTGGTTACAATTCCAAAACATGATCTTCCAACTGGTACTTTTTCTTGGAAAAAATTGACATTACAAACCAAATATCTTTATGTCACAATGTCTAATGATGCGTTTTCCCCTGAATGACACCCGGTAAACCTCGGCAGTTCATACATAAAATTGAAATTTGAAACTTGTCTTTGATAAGCTAAGATTCTCTTCATCAAAGTTTAACACAATTCAGCTGTCCTGGATGTTAAAGTGAGTCTTTTCCTGTCAGGGTCCCTTAGTGTATACCATCAAGAGATAATACATGTAAATGCAGATTTTCCAATTTCCGTTTTTAAAATAACCCTAAGGGTCGGTTCTGAAAAATCCCTCATAGGACATTGTGATGTCAAAATTTTCCTAGAAAAAAATCATCAATTGGAAAATAATGTTTTGCTCAACACGACCTTCTGTGGCAATCTGTTCCAGGCCTTGGTTCTTACTCTGTTAAGTACATTGAGTGCTCTTCAAACATTCAATAAAAATTAGTTGAGGCAACCTTTTTAAATTCAATTGATTTAAACATGTTAAATGACTGAAAATTGCAAATTCTTAAGGATAAACCAATAATGCATCTTTAGAATCTGTCACTATGAATATAAACAGGCTGTATTTGATAGATTGTAACTACATGTACGAAGGAATTTGGATTTAGGATAAAAGATGTACTCAGTTTATCAAGGGGAAGAAAATAAATGTAATACAGTTTGTAGTAGTGATTCTCAATTTTACCTATAATTGTACTCATGTAATTTTTGTAAATTGTATGCTCCTAAGATCTAAATGACTTAAAATTGGGTGCAAGTTGATAAAAGTGGCAAGGTAAAGGTACATTGTACATGTAGGAGTTAGTGAAAGTATGACTTGGTAAAAATCGGTATTAGTTGGTATTGAAAAGTACAAAATGTACAAGATGTAGATATAAGAGGATGTGGTATGAGTGCCAATGAGACAACTCTCCATCCAAGTCACAATTTATAAAAGGTAACCATTATATGTCAAAGATGCCATGGATTCAACCAACATTATATAGCAGCCTTAATCATCAGGGTCACTGATTTTCTTTCTCATACACTGGTAAGACAAGAACCAAGTTCGACATATTCAAGACTATTTATATATGTTTTAAAAATAATAACTTTATTTGCAAAGTACACCCATATTAGTCAAGCAAAAAACACAAAATATAACACAGTTAAGTATAAACACAATAGTCAAGACAATAAACAAAAACATATAGTCATGATAATATAACTTTTGATGGACACAGACCTCATTTTTGCAACTCTTTAAAGATTGCTTTACAAAGTCACCAACTGTTGAGAAAAGTTCAAATTTGGGTTTTAAAAGTGGGTTTAGCTTGAAAAGAGGTTGATAACATTCGTGTTCTTTTACTTACAAAAGTTGGGCAAATAAATCCCTAATGAAAATAAGATTGTTTACAGTACTGTTCTTGAAGGAGACTCAAACTTACATTTGTAATCCTGGTTGTAGATGACTCAAAAATTTTACCAGACAAATTGACAGAAATATTACCTTGTACCTTCTTATACGTTGAACCTTATTTTATAGTGATACACAAGGTTTAAAAAAATCATATTCTTTTTGTTCTTTGTTGATTCATTTTTAAAATTTTATTCATTTGTATTCAGTTGGGATAGCATAGAATCAAAATCTGAATGTTTTTAGTTAAGGTGCACTTGAATCAAAATTTTGTTTTGAAATGATTCAAATTATAACAGTAGTAATGAAAACAGAAATTATTGAAAAAGTACAAAATGTAAATGTATCTCAACAATAATTAACTAAAAACAAAGCTTATATAACTGCCAATTTTTGTTCATTTTCAGTGCCAGTCAGAAAAACCCTCCTGTCTCTAGTCGATCTTCATCCCAAGCTAGTAGAAGGACACCAACCCCAACAAAACAAATTTCACTTACAGCTGTCAGGAGGAGAGAAGAAAGGTAACTTTCACATTAAAAATGTCTTTTGATACAAAAAAATAGAAATCAATTCCACAACTCGGAAGGATTTTGTAACATCTATCTATCCACACATATTTAAACTCTGATCTTAAGAAAAATAAAATGAATACAAAAGATTTACTCATTTTCTCAAGGTGTATGTTTTCCATCTAGGAGTGATGCCCACCTGACCCCACATCTTACTGTGAACAGGTGGAAATGATGAATCCATCTGAACAGTAATGTACACTAACTATGGAAATCAAAAACATCCATCTGAGCAGTAATGTATACTAACTATGGAAAAAAAAAGCATCCATCTGAGCAGTAGTGTACACTAACTATGGAAATCAAAAACATCCATCTGAGCAGTAATGTACACTAACTATGGAAATCAAAAGCATCCACCTTAGCAGTAGTGTACACTAACTATGGAAATCAAAAACATCCATCTGAGCAGTAATGTACACTAACTATGGAAATCAAAAGCATCCACCTTAGCAGTAGTGTACACTACCGGGTAACTATGGAAATCAAAAGCATCCATCTGAGCAGTAATGTACCGTACACTAACTATGGAAATCAAAAGCATCCACCTTAGCAGTAGTGTACACTAACTATGGAAATCAAAAACATCCATCTGAGCAGTAATGTACACTAACTATGGAAATCAAAAGCATCCACCTTAGCAGTAGTGTACACTAACTATGGAAAAATGGAAAAACTATGATAAATTCCCATCGAAACAAGGAAAGTGATTTAAAGGGTTCTGAATAATGGCAAGCATATCCTGCTTCCCATGTAAATTAAGTTATGGAACCATTTTTATCTTCAAATTTAAAGAGGTCTATATCCTTAAGGGATTACCGGTAACCTTTATTCCTAATACTTAAAAATAGTTACACTTAAGGTTCCACTAAAGTCAAAATATAAGACACTTCATAAACATCTAAACTTTGCCTGTATTTTTCAACCTATAATGAGTAAAGTCCTAAACTATGAGATCATATGTTCATTTAAATATACTTAACATATACACACTGTGTAAATTGTAAATAAACTTGAAATTGTTATGCTGTGGCCAAACCGGTTCTTGGGGTGAACACTAAATTTTCAAAAAAATCTGAAGGCCTGCGAGACGTTTTAATTTGCTTAAAATTGGTATGGACGAATACTGTTACATGTATTGCAGGGCAAGCTCATGTTGATTTGTCACATACATGTGTTTTAATGGCATATTTGTCCAATTTCTGTATTGTACCTTCGATATTTGTTCACCTAGATACATGAAATTAACTGAAACTCGGAAATCGATACATTTTCTGAAAAATCAACATGAGCTTGCCCTGCATTAGATATAACAGTATTCGTCCATACCAATTTTAAACAAATTAAGTCATCTCGCAGGCCTCCAGATTTTTTTTTAAATTTAGTGTTCACCCCAAGAACCGGTTTGGCCACAACATAACAATTTCAAGTTTATTTACAATTTACACAGTGTGTATATGTTAAGTATGTTTAAATGAACATATGTTCTCATAGTTTAGGACTCTACTCATTATAGGTTGAAAAATACAGGCAAAGTTTAGATGTTTATGAAGTGTCCTATATTTTGACTTTAGTGGAACCTTAATTTCCATGGCTTCATCCAAAATTAAAGAAAGTCAAATATCTAATTATACCAATATTAAGAGTAATATGCCATAAAGAGGCTGTGATTGATTATGAGAAATTTGTTTAATTGCTACTAAATTATATGATAGAATAATGCACTTAAAGTGAAACAAAACTAATTACATTAAAAGGTGGTTCAGTTAAAAATCACATTTGCTAGTGGTGAGTGAGAGAGATTGAAGATGATAACAATCTTTACATTTACAATCTTGTCATGTATGACATTCATTATTTGTACATGTAATACAAAACATGTTCAAATACATAAACAGCTGTATGCATATAGTTCTGTTACATTTATTAATTAATTCCTATGGTATGATATGAATAGAAAGATATTTCAAAATGAATTATCAACATATACCACTATTTGCTGTGGAAAATCACCACCAAAAGTGATTTTTAACTGAAGATATTTGTATATTATGTTATTATTGATATATTAATACAATGCAAATCAGAAATAAAAGTACATAACAAAAACAGATTGAATATAATGTTTCAAGTTTAAGTTTTATTTATGTATATATTTATGTGTTTTTTATCTGTACAGTTTTCATCAGGAAGATGACCCCTCAAAGGTTGAAGAGCTGAGGAAATCTATGAAAATAGAAGCTGAGAGGTAAAACAATGTGTCAGCCTGCCTGTCCAAAATAGCTGCAGTGCATCTTTTGACAGGACAAGTTATTTTGTAAAAATCTGATATGTCATGCTTATTTATGTAAAATGAAAGTTAAGGCAGTACTCAACATTTGGGATAAATAATAGATAAGATTCATATCATTTGATTTTTTTTCCGATTATTATTTGTGAGAAATTGAAAAATTTAACCATACAATATTCAAAATTTTATTCAAATTGACAACCATACTCCCCACAATATATGTCATATATCCAATAACCAACCAAGGAAATGTTGTCTGCTTTGATTTTTTATGCGTCCTGAAAGTATTGGTAGCATATAGTAACTGCATTGTCTGTCCTTCTGTATGTCCTCAACAAATGGTTGCCAGATGATAACTTGAGTGTCCATTGCTCTAATTCTTGGAATGAAACTTATACATATGAAAGAAATAGGAAAGGGGAAGAAATTTTAATGATTAGGTCAAATATAAAGGTCACCTTTTCCTGTTTGCCATTTAAAATTAAAAAAAAATTTATTCATGCTTGTTTTCTTTAATTGTAGTGAAATTTAATTTTATTTGAAAGTTGACACTTGATCTCACTGCATCTTTCTATTAGCATGTGGCTATTATGAGTAAGAGCAAAGACTGGTTGGCTCCAATTAAAAAAAAATGTGTTTGTATGGTATAACCTTATTCCTGCTGACTTGTATGCAAGAATGTTGAAAATAAGAATATGTACATGTATGATCGTTTATCAAGGATCATTTCAATATTACATGAGCATGTTCTTGACTTAAATATGGACAAAAGATTAACTGCTCCATGTCAAGCATCCACCAATTCATGAACAATGAAATTAAGCATTTTCAGAATTTTAACTTTTTTGAAGTTTTGTATCAATAGTAGAATTTGAGAGAAATCTTTAAGTTAAATATGTGTTCATTTTTTAAATTTTTTCACATTAGGAGTTTTTTGAAAGAACCAACAGATCTGAATGAGTTTGTTGTGGAAAGAAATACAGCTGGAAGTCAGGTGACGAAGATGAAGAAAACTTCACGACACAACTGCTATCATAATGGTATAATTATTATTTGAAAGTATGGAATATTGGATAGATATATATATTATTTACATTAAAAAAAAATGTTTTGAGATAGAGACTAAAATTTTTATACATTAGATTTTTATTATACTTATTTTTGAAAAATCTTAAAATTATGTTATATATTTTTTAGATTATTTTGATTGAATATATATACATTCAGGAAATTAAAAAAAAATGCTTGTACCTATTCTTCTTTTTAAATATCAAAACAATGTATAAACTAGAAGATTTGCAGTGATGTCCATATTAGTTATCTCCCATTGAAAATTCACAAACTGCTGTCATAACTAGAAAGTATTGTCCAATCATTTCCTCCTAAATTGGATTAATTTTTTGAGGTTTTTTCTCCTTGCAAAATTACACATTTGTGTAAAATTTTGTTTTATAAAGAATTCTGCTGAAAACTGTGGTAGGGCCCTCCTCAAGTTTGCTGTTAGGTGTGAACTTTTGCTCTGTTTTGAAGGCCTCACTATAATCTAGACAGGAAGAACAGCAGTTAATGACCTGTTCCTTAGGTTTGGGTTTGGTAAGTGGTTATTTGGTTTTCAATTTGTAAAATAATACACTATTCCCCTCTTTTTCTTATAAAAGGACTTCCGTTCACCATCAGTCAGAATTGGAAATGACTCTCCTACAAGTTCGAGGTTTGGTGCATCAAAAAACTTTCCCATTTTAGATAGAAAGTGCCGATAGTAATCAGGGTATGATAGTTATTTTTCAATCTTTCAACTGTTTTCAAATATTTGTCAGTGATTTTTAACTTTTTATACATTTGAGTAGTTTTGCACATCTGGTATTGCCTTCAATATTTTTTCTTTTATTTCAGGGGATGTTGAAACTGCAGTACAGAAAGAAAAGAAAAAACCAATGTAAGTTCAAATTGCTCGATTTCATAGTTCTTCTTGGGAAGAGTGTCACAGGTTGAATGGAAATCAGAAGTATTAATTGTCCAGCATAACTGTGGCACCATTAATGACCTGACTAAGTCCACTTGAAAATGAGTAATTCATATGACAGGCCATTGATATTTGCAAATAACATTTATGAACTGGAGTAAGGTTTGTCTATGCTTTCAAATAAGGAAAGTTGTATATATATGTTTAAGTTTTTTTTTTACGTGTTTAAAATGTTTTTTGATGTTGTCTAAAGTAAACTACGACTTTTAAAATAATATGTTTTCTTTTAAGGGATGAAGTGCCTAAGAAACCAGTTGATAAACCAACGTCTAGCACTACAGACAAAAAGAAAGAAGATAAAAAACAAGAAAGTAGCAGTGAAGAAAGTAGTGATGAAGAAGAGGAAGAAAGAAAAGCTCCAAATCAGTTGTTGATGGAAGTATGTATAGATTTTAGATAAAATGTGGAATTTAAGTGCTAATATCTAATCTAAACTACCATGATAAGACTAAATAAAGTAGCACTTAATTACAGCAGACACCATTCAAGTGTTTACCAATTTTCTAATAGTATTGCTTTGGGCGGAGATATAGCTTGATTCAGGTGACTCTACCAAAGGAGTAAGTGTCGTAAAGGCCCATACTGGCCCCTAATATTAATTCCATTATTACAAGAAGAAAATGTTTTGAGGTTGATGCATATATGTGTGACAAAGTGAAATCTTGTTTTTGTCAAGCTTTTCTTACAAAGCTCTGACAGTTGCAACCTAAATAGGTTCAAATAGAGATTTGAGTGAAAGTTGACAGAATCATATTGATTTCCTCAAACATATTGTTGAAAGAATTGTTTGGTGGAACACTGCACTGCTCTGGTCCCAAAAACCTATTGAAATTCACATGTTTTCAGTGAGTTATGTAAAAAATTATTAATAATGCATATGATGTCATTAAAAGGGTCCTGATAGGTAAATTTTCAAACAAAAAAATGGATTTCTTATTCATCATTGTTTTAACTATGATACATTGTGACAATGGATATTAAATTCTAATTTGAAATTTTATCTATAAATAGAGCCAATATTGGGGCCTTATATAACATATTCCATTTACAAGAGTTATAAATATATTGTTTCATGTTGAAATAGCTGAAGAAAGCTTGGTTCATCTTTACCTTCCACTTAAGCTTGAAATGTACTATATTTGGAAATTGTTGTTGATTTCTCTATCTGTTGCAAGCAGATCTGTGAATGTTGAAATCTGTATGGTTGTCAGTTTTAATGCTTTATCTATATAAAAAAAAGTTTTGTGAGATAAAAAGAAAACTACACCATAGAATTTTAAGATAAAACGTGAGAAGATAGCTCTTATAACATGCTTTCAGATAAGAAAATGAAAAAATGGGGTCACCAGACTTGTTTTCTTGCTACATATTAAAATAAATAAATTCACAACACTTTCTATTATAAAAATTACTTTAACTGAGTTATCTCCCCTTCTATTTGAGTTATCTCCCCTTATGTGGCAAAGTTGAAAAAAAATGATTCAAACAAAAGTTTTGTGTTTTTTAGAAAATACAGCTCTAAATATGATAAAACAAATAATTTTCTATATTAACATGAAAAGTCTTACACATGGATTACATACTACTCTCAAAATTTGCACATTTCATTAAAGATCTAGACCAATTGTTATCTGCTACTTCAAAATCCAAGATTGAGGCCACTTTAAATGCATTTGCTATGAATAAAACAAGATATTAATTGTATATAAATGAGATAGCAACCCCAACAACAATATCAAGCAAAATTTAACTGTACAGTTTTACAACAATATAATACTAGTTATGTATTTTATTTGTTTTTCAGTTTTTAGAATGTATATATGCAAAAGACTTTCCTACTGCTGCAAAGTTATGTAAAATGAGTAAGTGTACACTAGCCTAGTCAATTTAGCTCTAAATCGCTCAACCTGCAACTAATTGCAACACAAGGTTTTTTTAGTGCAAATTATAATATAGACTTGTACTAACAACATACTAAAACTATACATTGATATAATTTGCGGAAAAGGTTATTTTTGGGTGAAATATGTGGTTTTTAGAGAAAAAATGCTGAAAACTGGAAAAGAAGACAAATTGTTATTTATGGTTACATTTTTAGACCTAAAGCTTGTTGAAGACAGGAAACCTTATCTTAATAGAGTATTATGTAGTCCTCTAGTTATTATTATTCATATTGAAGTAATTTTGAGGTGAAATGAGTGATTTTTAGTGAAAAAACGCTGAAAACTGGAAACGTAGAAAATCTCCGTTGTTAATGGTTAATATTTTTGAAATTTGATCTATATAGAAAAAAGAACATACTTTTTTATGTTTTATTTGTGAAGTCCTTTAGTTATCAATATTAATATTTGGGTAATTTTGGTTGAATATATGTTTTAAGACCGAAAACCCGGAAAACTGGAAATGAAAATATCTCGGTTATTGATGGTTAAAACTTTCAAATTGGGATCTTAACAGAAAATAGAGAATACTATCTGATGTTTATCTTAAGAAGTCCTATAGTTATTAGTATTTAAAAAATTGTAATTCTTGTGTAAAATGTGATTTGTAGAGAAAAATTGTGAAAATGGAAATAAAAAACTCGATTATTCATGGTTAAAACTTTTAACATAGGATCTTTATAGGTGTAATACCACCAAATCATAGTACGTCACATCCGGTTGCATACGAAAATAGGTCGAAAAAAAATATTCCCTTGAATTTGACAGTTATAGGTAATTGATCCTACATTTCATTGCAGTAAAACATTTCTGGGTCATAAACATATATCTTGGGAGTTTCAAAGCACCATTATTTTTTTATTTGGGGTTTCTATTTAATATTTTGGAAGCTTGAGGTTACATGGTTACTAAAGCTTGTACACAGGTTAAAAAAGGGGGAAAATTTGATTGGTTAACTTCCAGTGATGGTTATTTTCTTATATGCAATGAAATATTATGTGAAATTTTTTCTATAGTACTGGGCAGGATAAAACTTTACTCATGCCAAGTATTTCTTTATTTGAAACAAAGATAAATTCTGCACAATTTTTTGAAAAGTGCAAATTTAACAAAGACTAATAGGGGAAAATCAATGGTGGTATTACACCTAATATGGGAAGCTGTACATTCACCTTTGACCCTGTGAGTACTCTCATGTGTTAAAATTTCTTGTTATTTAAGTGAAATATTACAAATTATGAAATATTCTGAGTGGATTGAGTCTCCAAAACACATTTTATGAGAAAATTTCCTTGAAATAGGACTTTACCATGAATATTAGTTGACAGAACAAGCCATACTTAGAGTTTTGGGGAGCTTTTTCTCCTTATTTCTTATATTCTGCTATACTAGAAAATTTTCCCTAAGAAATACTTTAATAAATATATAGTTTTAAGTAAATGATATTATTTTTAAAGCAGTAACAACAAATTATTCACCAAAAGAAAAGCTTTTTATGTCCCTCTCTGGAACGCGGCGTAAATTTAAGTTTTACTTAAGGATTTATTGAAACCTCCTTGGAGACAGTAAACTTTTATACGGATAGTTCATTCAGCTTGAATACTTCAATTAATCATTTATTATAACATTTCTATCATAAATTAGTGAAAGTTACCCCCAAATTTTTATTTATTGGTCTAAAAAGTAGAAATTTTGAGGAAAGGAGAGGTATAAATGGACCAAAAGAGACCTTATAAGGAAGACAAAGAGGTCTATTAGTAGTATTTATCATCCTAAAGTCATCTTTTGTATCATATTCAACTGTTTGTAGGCAGATGAGATAAATATTTGATCATTTATTGGTCCACACTATATTCTATCATGATGTGGCTTGGTTTGGATTTTTCTAAGAAATTTTGCTCGAATCGCTGTAGATGTCATCTTACATTATACTAGATTTTTCTCAAACTATTGAACTGATTTTGACAAAACTTGACAGGAATGCTTGAAATAACCAGTATTACAAAGGAAAAAAGTCACATTCGGTTTATTTAACAAAAAAGTCTTCTTTAGGTGTAATACCACCAAATCATAGTACGTCACATCCGGTTGCATACGAAAATAGGTCGAAAAAAAATATTCCCTTGAATTTGACAGTTATAGGTAATTGATCCTACATTTCATTGCAGTAAAACATTTCTGGGTCATAAACATATATCTTGGGAGTTTCAAAGCACCATTATTTTTTTATTTGGGGTTTCTATTTAATATTTTGGAAGCTTGAGGTTACATGGTTACTAAAGCTTGTACACAGGTTAAAAAAGGGGGAAAATTTGATTGGTTAACTTCCAGTGATGGTTATTTTCTTATATGCAATGAAATATGTGAAATTTTTTCTATAGTACTGGGCAGGATAAAACTTTACTCATGCCAAGTATTTCTTTATTTGAAACAAAGATAAATTCTGCACAATTTTTTGAAAAGTGCAAATTTAACAAAGACTAATAGGGGAAAATCAATGGTGGTATTACACCTATAGACAGCCTATATTATCTTATGTTTATCGCATGTGTATTCCTCTTGTTATCGATATCAATAATAATCAATTTGTTGTGTGAAATATTTTGTTTTACACACTAACTACAAAACAAGAATATATCCATAGTACACGGATGCCCCACCCGCACTATCATTTTCTATGTTCAGTGGACTGTGAAATTGGGTCAAAACTCTAATTTGGCATTAAAATTAGAAAGATCTTATCACAGGGAACATTTGTACTAAGTTTCAATATGAATGGACTTCACCTTCATCAAAAAATACTTTGACCAAAAACTTTAACAAATAACTTTAATCTAAAGCAGGACAGACGGACGAACGATCAGACGTACAGACAGAAAAACATAATGCCCCTAAGTAAGGGCATATAAAATGAAAATTTTAAAATCTTGGTTATTTCTAGTTTGATTTTTAAAAACGAAAAAATGGAGAATGGAAACAGGGAATGTGTCAAAGAGAAAACAAGGCCACTAATGGGTCTTTAACATAGCAAGTAAATCCGGCACACGGAGGTGACCCCTAAATTATTTTGTACACTAGTTCAGCAAAATGGACACCACCCCAAACTCCAGTACATACAAATGAACCAAAATTATCACAAAAAAGAAAAAAACACACAAGACAAACAAAGGCTAGAGGTTCCTGACTTGGGATAGGTGCAATAATGTGGCAAGGGTAAAACATGTTGTGTGAGAACTCAACCCTCCCCTAGTTTCTCTAGACAATATAGAATAAACAAACACACAGTAAAACTCAGTTTTAAATATGTGCATTATGTGGAAGTTTGAAATTTCATCTTATGTTTCGGTTATGCATTTATAGTAATTATACGTGTAGGTATAATAAACAAAAAATGATTGTGTTCAAAAATAACTGTAAATCAGTTTGGTTACTGACTTTGATTTTGTCATGTTAATTGCTGGAAAAGTCATTTTTCTAGTGTCCTTGCATCGTCATTGACTGTAGTCCTTTTTGTGTATTTTTTCATTATAATTAGCTACTTTTACAATATTTGAATTGCATAAAGTCACAGTTAAACACAGACGATGTGATTGCAGATTTTGCTAATTTTATTTAGCAAGCTCTATCAACATCCACGTTTAATTTCAGATATATAAGCTTTTTAAATTTAGGAACATATACTAGTTCACTGAATTAGCATTAAAAGAGGGGCAAAAGATACCAGAGGGACAGTCAAACTCATAGATCGAAAATTAAATGTAGATCTGATATTGTTTAAGGCAATTTCAAGAGCAGCTTTGTCAATACGATTATAAGTTTACCTCAAGAGCTTGAATTTAAATAGTAATTGTTCTAAAGTGGTCCAATTTTGGATGCTGAAAATGAGATAAGCACTGTTGAATAAATTAATGGGATCACTTCCTGGAGGAAGTGTTAATAGCAACAACGCCTTATGTGTGTACCCTATAAACCTGCATGTATGTGGTGGTCTGAAACATCAACCAAATGGTAATGACAAAGAACTAACATGGGTTGTCTGCTATATGAAAATATTATGGTCAAAGATATATATATATACTTACTAGTACATGTATATAAAGAATAGCATTACCAAGTTCTTTATTTAATATATCTCATTGAATTAATTTAATAAAAGGTTAAATCAGATTTAGCCTAAGAACTGTAAAAAAATGATCATGCATCATCTGTGTATGAATTAAAATTTGTAGTGACTGTGGGCGACTTTGATGGCCAGAGATAACGTTTAGATAGTCATGTCTAATCTGAAAGTATGTCTGTTGGTTTTTGTTAGTCATTTGGGTTGCATTCTCGTTGACTTTAAAAACCTCAAATCTCTCTTTATTCATTAATATACTCTATTACAGATATATCAATGTTACAGACGCTGTTTTCTGCTTCCGGAATGCTGACCTGTATTCAACTCATTTGAACGAAACTATAAAAATATTTAAAAAAATACACCTCATGCCAAAAGATTATAAATGTTTAGCTTTTAAGGTCCACTAAACTCTATCAGTGATCTCTTGGTAGTAAGTTTGATCACTTGCCAATCAAACCATCACTTATTATAAAATCTCCCCACTTTAAAAACATAAGAAGATGTTGTATGATTACCAATGAGAAAACTTTCCACAAGAGATATCAATGATGTGGGTGTGGATGTAAACAACTACAGTCCATCGTCAAAATATAAAACAAGTCAAACGAAAAGCTGAAAGGCCTGATTAATGTAAAAACAATAAACGGAAAAACAAATATGACAGACAGCAAACAATAACAACCAAGTAATAAAGGGCCACTGACTTGTGATAATCATATTCATAGTGTGCAGGGTTAACCCTGTTTGCGAGCACTCAACCCTCCAATAATCAGGAACAGTTTTTATTTAGGGGCCGGCTGAGGACCACCTCCTGGTGCGAGATTTTTCTCGTTGCGTTGAAGACACATTGGTGGCCTTCCGCTGTTATCTGCTCTTGATCTGGTCGGGTTGTTGTCTCTTTGACATACAGTATTCCCTATTTCCATTCCAAATTTTATTTAAATAGCAAACAACGTAAGAACAAATTGTAAAACCCTGTTGGAAAGGGCTCAACTCAAAAAGATCAGCACAGAGTATATAACCAATTAACAAAAAGACACTGAGTTCTCATAGCTAGTTCAAAGCTTAGTAATTACAGTTGATGAATAAATACTGTTGGCACTGACTAAAATATGAATAAGTACACATCCGATTAGTAACTAAAGTGAAAAGTGGATTCAGTGTTACAGTCAAAGCTTTATTTATATGGTGTGTGAGTACTGAGATCGTCGCAAATTACATGAGTAGCTATTTGCTTTGATGCGCCTGAAATTTTCATTTGTGAAAAAATATTTAACATAAAATCATTTAACACTCTTCATTCTTATTTTTTTATGAACATTGTTGGATTCTAAATCTTAACATGTTTGTTCCAGAAGGTAAATGAAAAAAATATAATGTTTTCTTTCTAAAGTTGTGGAGAAAAATACATTAAAGACTTTGAATCTTGCAATAACATTTTTTTTATAAAGAACAGAACATGTGTTTCTGGAACCCCTCCCCCAACAAAAAATAAACTGTCTGTGCCTTTAACACAGGAGCAGAATTCTTTCCAATACAAAGTAAGAATGTGACTAAGTTGGTAACTCTAATTCAGTACAGTTTTCCATTTACAGGTTATTTACCAACACTATTTTGGAGAATTAGATTCTTGGATTGTAAAATAGCAGAACACAATCTCGGTCTATATCTTTATTCAAATATACAAATTTTGAGACAGGAATGTGATTCATTTGTAATAATATTCTTTGAAATTGAAATAATTATGTATTGTATTGTATTAATTCAATACAGAACATTTTTTGTATAATTTTATTTTTTTCAACTTGGGCAAATAAGGGGAAGCAACTCATATAACCTTTCTTTTACTACAAAACATTTTTGTCGAGCCTGCGACTTTTGTCGCAGAAAGCTCGACATAGGGATAGTGATCCGGCGGCGGCGGCGTTAGCTAATTTCTTAAAAGCTTTATATTTTAGAAGGTGGAAGACCTGGATGCTTCATACTTTGTATATGGATGCCTCATGTTACGAAATTTTAGTCAGTCACATGTCCAGTGTCCTTGACCTCATTTTCATGGTTCAGTGACTACTTGCAAAAAAATTTAAGATTTTTTGTAATGTTGAATTCTCTCTTATTATAAGTATGTGCGTACCTTGCAAGGTCCTCATGCCTGTCAGACAGTTTTCACTTGACCTCGACCTCATTTCATGGATTAGTGAACAAGGTTAAGTTTTGGTGGTCAAGTCCATATCTCAGATACTATAAGCAATAGGTCTAGTATATTCGGTGTATGGAAGGACTGTAAGGTGTAAATGTCCAACTGGCAGGGGTCATCTGACCTTGACCTCATTTTCATGGTTCAGTGGTTATAGTTAAGTTTTTGTGTTTTGGTCTTTTTTTCTAATACTATAAGCAATAGGTCAACTATTTTTGGTGTATGGAAATATTTTATGATCTATATGCAGTCGCGCAGGTTTCATTTGACCTTGACCTCATTTTCACGGTTCATTGATCAGTGTTAAGTTCTTGTGTTTTGGTCTGTTTTTCTTATACTGTATGCAATAGGTCTACTATATTTGGTGTATGGAATGATTGTAAGGTGTACATGTCTAGCTGGCAGGTGTCTTCTGACCTTGACCTCATTTTCATGGTTCAGTGGTCAATGTTAAATTTTTGAGTTTTGGTCTTTTTTTCTAATACTATATGCAATAGGTCAACTATATTTGGTGTATGGAAATATTTTATGATGTACATGTCAGTCTGGCTGGTTTTATTTGACCTTGACCTCATTTTCATGGTTAATAGCTCAGTGTTAAGTTTTTGTGTTTTGGTCTGTTTTTCTATTACTATAAGCAATAGGTCAACTATATTTGTTGTATGGAAGGATTGCAAGCTGTACATGTCTTCCTGGCATGGTTCATCTGACCTTGACCTCATTTTCATGGTTCATTAGTCAATGTTTAGTTTTCTTGGTTAAGTCTGTATCTTAGAAACTATAAGCAATAGGTAAACTATATTTAGTGTATTGAATGATTGTAAGGTGTACTGTACATGTATTTCTTCTTTGGTTTATATGACCTTGACCTCATTTTCTTGGATCATGGTAAGTTTATGTGATAGTTGTAGTAAAGCTTTATATTTAGAACTATCAACATAATATCAATGATTAGTAAAGAAGGCGAGACATTTTAGTGTGTGCACTCTTGTTATGAATTACACCACTTTCCGCAAAATATATTTTTGTATAGTTTAAGTATGTTGTTCATAGATAGTAACAGACTTGTTTTTCAGAGAAAAACTTTGAGTTGCAATTAGTTGCAGGTTGTTCACTAAATTGACTAGACTACACTGCTGGCATATACAAAACTGATATGTTTTGCTTTATAATCCTTATTTAAAGAATGAAAAGATACACTAGGTTTATGAAATAGATGTGAAGCAAATGTCAAATTGATTGATTGATTGTTGTTTGCTTAACACACAGTGACAAATATTCATCATAAAAAATTGCAGGAAATATTCAGGTTTTTTTTACAACTCCTCTCCATTACAGTAAAACCAGAACTACTGGTAATTCACAGAAAGAGTTATGATTCACAAGAAATTTATGTTTAAATTGAACAAAATATTAGTATTTGAAATAATTTCTTTCACAAAAGAACTCATCTATCTACTATAAGAAGCTTACTTCATTTAAGGGAATTGATAAAATATCTTATTATAATCACATTAGCTAGCATGTTTCATTTGTCTTAAATATTTCCGAAATGTTTTGAAAATTTAAATGTTAATTATATGTTTGAATGAGTGTTCAGTATGCACATTAAGTCTGGTTAAGTTAATAATGTACAATGGCAGTTTTTGTCTCGCCTCCGACAAAAGTCGCAGAAAGCAAGACATAGGGATTGCTTTCCTGTGACGTCGGCGACAGTTCCAGCGTCAACAATTGTTAAGTTTTCTGCTTAAGTTAGTTTGATAGGAACTACTTGTGATAGATCATTGATGTTCAATTTAAAGTTGCATTACTATCAGTACATATCAGTTTGACAACTATAATGAGGCCCTGTCCCCTAGGACATGGTCCAGTGACTTTGAATTAATTAGCAATTTTCAATGTTAAGTTTTCTGCTTAAGTTAGTGTGATATGATCTACTTGTGATAGATCAATGATATTTAGTATGAAGTTGCATAACTATCAGTTCAAATCAGTTTGACGACTAATTTGAGGTTTTGCCCCCTAGGGCATGGTTCAGTGACTTTGAATTAACTAGCAATTTTTAATGTTAAGTTTTTCTGCTTAAGTTATATTGATAGGAACTACTTACAATAGAAAACAATATTTTCTATAAAGTTACATTACTGTTTGTTGACCATTTTCAGGCCCTGCCCACTAGATCATGGTCCAGTGACTGAATTAATAAGTAATGTTGCTGTCCATCAGATTGTCTTTTTTCGAAATTTTATGCCAACAGGCGAGACATATCTGTGTCAACAGTTTATTATTCAATATATTGTAAATATAATCAAATTTAAAATATTTTGTTGTAGAAAAGTTTCTTTAATATCATCTTTATTTTTTCTCTTTGCTTACAGTTTTGATATATGAACCTGACCACCCAGTGGCCTTGCAATTCCAACCTGTAATTGAAGAAAAAATCCAACAGGGTAAGTATTTTGTTATTAAATCAAATTTAAATTTAAAAAAAATCAAATTGATAAACAACCAAAACACATAAACAATATAATTTAAGACAGACTTATATTTTATTATAAATTCGGTTTGTTTGAAATTATTCCCTGCTTAGTGCATTCTATGTTTCAAATCTTTTCTACCGGTAGTAAATTTTATGTTTTGATGTGAATAAAAGGAGATGTAGGGTATGTAAATGAGACAGAAATCTAACATCATAAATAAAAAGATTTATCTGGAGATTGATATAAATATTGTATGTGTCTATATGTTAAGCTTTAAATCATTACAAGTCTAAACAAGTTCTAAATGAATTTAACAAAAACATTTAAAGATTGCCACTTACACAAAAATTTTCATTTTATGTTTTGCAGTTTCATTGTCATTTTATTTATCTAGTTTTCATTTTTAGAATTCTATTTCTTCTTTGCATCCTTCAGTTTAGCAAATTATTTTTTTTCTGTATAAAATATGTGTAAGCACATACTTATAAAATATTACTTTTTCTTAGGCAGTGCAATTAAAAATTTTGCCAAACAACCCCTATATGTGTCAATATTTTTTGAATTTTGGTTGGAAATTTATTCTTTCAAAAGACAAAAGATACCTCTGAACAAAATTGAAAACTTTGACATAATTCTTAATTGTTTGGTACATTTTGTACTTGATACTTAAAGAATAATGGCATTTTTGTTTTTGATACTTATTTTTTTTATCAGCAAGAATTATAACAGAAACAGCTAGGGCGAGTTGATATTCCAGCTAATGTACTCAGTATAAAAAAAAAATTAAGTAGTTAAAAAAACTTTTTTGAAATTGCAAAACTTTTGGATAGTTGTTTTGTTTGTATGAATTATGTCATTTTCATTTTATTGATAAATTGAAGCAGATGTACATAGAAATTAGCATGACGTCATTGCCTGGTACTTTCGAGAATCACTTCATGTCCGCACTCTAAAAACATATTAGGCAGTAGGAACAAATTGGAAATGTGCAAATTGTCATTGATTTCTTATATTCCTCTGTATGTAAGTTTAGTTAGTGAAATTATTGTTTGTTAGGTTGAGACTATCCCTCGTGACATTGAACAAAATTTCATATTCCCTTCTGAGTATCATATTCCCCTCTGAACATCGGGACTACCTTGTGCGAATATAAAATTTTATTATTTATTCTCTGACAAGTTTTTTTTCCATTTTGCTTAAAAGTCTGAAATAATTTTGAACACAATAATTACTATACTATCACTATTTAAAAAACGGTAAAAAGGTTTAATGTCAGAGAATAAATAATCTTTTATCTAGATATAGAGGCAGAACAAGAAGGAGAAGGGAGTAATGAGTCTGGTTCTGATGATGATGACAGTGGGGAGGAGGATGACTCAGATAGTGATGATGATAGTGACAGCGATGATAGTGATGATAGCGATGATGATGATGACGATGAAAATGAAAATGAAGATGGTGACAATGAAAATGAAGACAATCAAAAGTAATATACATTTCACAAATGTTTTTATAATTATTTAATAATGAGGTAGTTTTTATACGACCGCAAAAAAATTTTTGTGGTTGTATATTGGTATGACGTTGGCGTCGTCGTCGTCGTCCGAAGACACATTAGTTTTCGCACTCTAACTTTAGTTTATTAAAGTGAATGGATCTCAATGAAATTTTACCATAAGGTTCAATACCACAAAAGGAAGGTGGGGATTGATTTTGGGGGTTATGGTACCAACAGTTAAGGAATTAGGGGCCAAAAAGGGGCCAAAAATAAGCATTTTTGTAACTTCCAGACATAACTTGTGTGTAAGTGTATGGATCTCTCTGACATTGTACCACAAGGTTCCATATCACAAAGGGAATGCTGGGATTGATTTTGGGGGTAATTGCCTCCAAATTTTAGGAATTAGGGGCCAAAAAGGGGCAAAAAACAAGCATTTTTCTAGTTTCATGACAATAACTTGTGTGTAAGTCTATGGATCTCTCTGACATTGTATCACAAGGTTCCATATCACAAAGGGAATGCTGGGATTGATTTTGGGGGTAATTGCCTAAAAATGTTAGGAATTAGGGGCCAAAAAAGGGCAAAAAACAAGCATTTTTCTAGTTTCATGACAATAGTGTGTAAGTGTATGGATCTTTATGAAATTGTACTGCAAGGTTCCATATCACATAGGGAAAGCTGGGTTTGAGTTTGGGGGTAATTGCTCTAAACGTTTAGGAATTTGGTCCAAAAAGGGGCCAAAAAACAAACATTTTTCTAGTTTCCAGACAATAACTTGTGTTCAAGTGTATGGATCTCTCTGAAATTGTACTGCAAGGTACCATACCACAAAGGGAAGGCTGGGATTGAGTTTGGGGGTGATGAATCATAAGGGGGTTCAAAAAATTTGGGGGGGGATTTTTTTTTCCTTTTTTTTCTTTAAAATTTTCCATTTTAAATTGGTTATTTCTGATTTATATATAAAAGCAAATAATAATGATATGGTTTGAATAGGTAAATTAAAAATTTTTAAGTTCTTAGACCACTTTCATTCTGTGTCAGAAACCTATGCTGTGTCAAATATTTAATTACAATCCAAATTCAGTGCTGTATCAAGCTTGAATGTTGTGTCCATACTTGCCCCAACTGTTCAGGGTTTGACCTCTGCGGTCGTATCAAGCTGCGCCCCAGCGGAGCATTTTATTTTGGACCTAAAACTATTTTCAAACCAACTCTAAGAAAGTTCATCTACAAATATGCAAAGATTTATTTGGAATCAAAGAGATACTTTTGGAATATTTTTTATGCCCCTGCTGCTATGCGAAGGGAGCATTGAGTGTAACCCTTGTCTGTCCGTCCGCACGTATGTCCCAAAATTGGTTTCTGTTCTCTAACTTTAGTTTGCCTCAATCAAATGTTATGAAACTTATACACAATGCTTATTACCATAAAACACAGATCAAATTCGAATTTGGATGGCATCACTTTTTCAGTTCTCTATTAATGTCCCTTTATAACATTATATGCAAGCAGGGGCATCATCTATGTCCCATGGACACATCTCCATTTATTTGACTTAGTGTTAAAGTTTCTTAAAAAAAACCTCAGGACAATGGTTCTTAGACTATCATTTGTAATTAGAAACAACAGATAATAATGAAAATAATGCATAATAAAAGAATTTTGTTTTAAGAAATTGGTAATTTCACCAGTTTTAGCCATGATTTTAGATTGGTGTACTAATTTATTTAAAATAGGATACCTCAACCTCAACAGAAACTTTCAGTAGGACCATTTAAAGTTTGATGCAAGTAGAAATGTTTGGTAATTAACTATCATGCTTGTTGAAGTTGTTATTTCTTCCTGTTTTCTTCCAATATACCTAGTCTTTTTAACAAAATGCTTTAAAAGGATGGAAAATCTTGTTGTTTATTTTTCAATGTTCCAGGGAGTTTAATTTACTTTTCTTAATTTTTTGGCAAAAATACCAAAAAAATATATATTGATTGTTCAATGTAAACATCTTCAGAAGCTACACTTTCAGTATGAATTCAAATTAAAAATTTATTGTGATGGTTGCTTCCATTTTCAATAGTGTCTTTGCTTAATAACTCTTTTGTTTAAATGGAACATTTCTTCAATTGAATAACAGTTTTTTTAACATCCTAAGAGTTGAAGGCCAAATTTATAATTTTACCTGGTGAAAATTATATACAAAGATGTTATTACTCAAAGAAATAAGTTGAATTTAAGAAGAAAAAGACTAGGTAATTTTAACATGTCCATTTCTATAAAATTATTGCACTCTTTTTACATTGGTTTAGTTTAAAATGTCACCATTTTTTTACCAGTTAATTAATGTACTGTGGATTCATGATAATTCATTAGATACCAATTTTTGTGGATTTTGTGGTTACAGGGGAACCACTAATTGAAATGTTCAACAAATTACAAATTTCTATTGGAATGTATGCAGACTTTGGCAAAACCAAGTATTCAAATGTACACAAAAAATGCAAGTTTTCCTCAATCCAAGAAAATAAATGAATCCACAGTAACTTGTTTGTTAATTATTATAATAAGGGATTAGGTATTTTATCATGTTTATGTACTGTTATTTAATTGCATAAATACCAGAGGGATAAAGATAACAAAAAGAAATGTAAATCATTAATGCAAAGGTTTTTATAATTTGTTGGTTTATGGATCTGTCGACCCTTTTTTTCCGATTTTTAGAAAAATAATTTAAATTTCCATTTCATGCTTTTTTATTCCCACCAACCCTAACAAATACATTAGCAGCATTTTCATGAAATTAAATGCATCATTTTAGCATGATTACACGTTTTGTTCTAAAAAATTAAATCTAAAAATAATCCATAGTTTGTGGTTCTAAAAATAGACAATCATAACTGACCTTGAAATGTTGTTTGCACAAATAATTTGCGGAACCAAACCTTTGTTAAAACTACATAACAAAAATTTGTTTTCTTTTTTTTTTTGCATTAATTCTGTAAGATTTTGTATCTCATAAATGAAATGGACCTGTCCAAACATGACAGACATCAAGTTAAAAGTAAGAGATATCCACAAACAATTTAGAATTTTGTTAGTTTCATAGATTGAAAAAAATTGTTTGTGATTTTGGATATAAAACACAGGATTGCCTGACAAAGCATGAAACTGATATACTCGTCTTTCCAGTGAATGAGTCTACTTTGTTTTTGACACGAATCATAAAGTGTTATTTTCTTGTGATGTGTTTGTAATTTTTATTTCACATGTTTTCATGCTTGAAGCTCATGATTCACCATGTTTCCTGAAAGTTGATAAAAAGCTGTTTTCTCTTGTTTGTGAAATTACCTTTCATTTTTCTGTTTGTATGTGCATGGACATACCCCCTTTTTACAAAATTAGATGACAATGGCATGCATTGCTTAATGAAAACAGCTTGCTGAGCAATAATATTTTGAACTAAAATTTAAGAAATTTTGACAAAACAGCATACCAAATGGCAAAAATGTTATTAGTAAGCTGAAATACATATTTATTTTATACATATTTATGACTTAATACTCAAAATTGACAACACTTCAAATGGTCTGCAATTTTATTTGCTATGGTCTACATGTTTCGCCTGAAAGTTATATTTATGACTTGTATGACTTTTTTGCATTTTTTTCCCCGACTGATGACCAATATTTTTCATATAATAAATCTGTAAACCAACAAATTAAAAAAAACCATGGCCTAAGCTCATTAAACAAAAATATCAATTTGTATATGTCATATGTTATGTATTGTAATGTCTTAACAATTAAAAAATCTTTTTCTTTTGAAACTTCTAAAAGTATATTTAAAAAAGTACAATGATGTATATGGTATGCTGGGTTAAGAAAATAAATGAAGTCCAACAGTGAGGCTATATAATATATTATTTCAGCCTGCATCACAAAATAAAGCAAACAAATGACATCAAATTAAGGTTATTTTTGTCTCGCCTTGACGGAGTCAAAAAGCGAGACATAGGTATGCTGTATCCGGTGTCGATGACAACGGCGGTGGCGTCAACATTTATTAGTTTGTGATTAGGTCTAGTTCATGGTGAACCACTAGTGGTAAGTCAATGATATTTGGTATGCAGTTGTATAAGCATTGGCACATGTCATTACCATGGAGATTATTTGGCCCCGCCCCCTCAGTCAAGGTCTATTGACTTTGAAACTTTGCTTAGTTTACATGTATTAGTTTGTGATTAGGTCAGTTTATGGGGAACCACGAGTGGTAGGTCAATGATATTTGGTATGCAGTTGTTTAAGCATTGGCATATCTCATTTCCATGGAGATTATTTTGCCCCGCCCCCTCATTCATGGTCTATTGACTTTGAAACTTTTGCTTAGTTTTCATGTATAAGTTTGTGATTAGGTCAGTTTAAGGGGAACTGTTAGTGGTAGGTCAATGATTATTGGTATGCAGTTGTATAAGCATTAGCACATCTCATTTCAATGGAGAATATTTGGTCCCTACCCCTCAGTCATGGTCTATTGACTTTGAAACTTTTGCTTAGTTTACATGAATTAGTTTGTGATTAGTTCAGTTTAAGATGAACCACTAATGTTAAGTCAATGATATTCGGTATGCAAATGTATTGGCATTTGCAAGTTTCATTTCCATGGTGATTATATAACCCCACCCCCTAATTATGGTTCATTGACTTTGAAACTTTTACATAGTTTACAAGTTAATGTTTGTGTTTAGGTTTGTTTAAAGGGAACGACTTATTAAAATTCAATGGTATTCGGTTTGCAGTTGTATTAGCATTGGCACATCTCATTTCCATGGAGATTGTTTAGCCCTGTACCTTCAGTCATGGTTCATTGACTTTGAATATTTGCATAACTTACTTGTTAAAGTATTGCTATTTTAATTTCAACATTTGCATTATAAAAATAACAAATAGGCGAGACATATCTCTGTGTTAACAGTTTATTAAACTTTTGTAATAAAATGATGATATATGTGCTTAGTTGGTACATATGATACAGGTTCTACAATCTACTAGATTCAATCTCTGTATAGGTATCTATATCATTTGTTAAGATATACTTGTTAATCACATGAGAAGATCAATAAAAGAAATAAAATGATAATGACTAATTTAGTGGTCATTTTAAAGTCATCACTTAGAGAGTATTAAATATAAGTTTCTTTAAACTGATTCTTGACACACATATTGCTTTATAATCTCACCTATTCGGTATACCTTCATCCTTGTATTCTCTATCTTTTCTGCAAAGATGTCTTCTGAGCAATATAGGCTTCTAATGTACTGGTAAGGAGTAGAAGCCTCTTGTATATATTATCATGAAAATTTCATACTTTATTGTTTTTAAAATTGCAAAAGAATGGAAGAAGAAAACTATTGTTTTGGATGTTTTTTTTTTTAAACCAATCAAGATGTAAAACCTGAGAAATGCAAGACAAAAATATTGGTATTAAAGTTGTGCTTTTAACAAATTTATAGAGTAACATTTAAGAAAGTACAAAAAGATCCCATACAACTTCATTAGCACTTTCATTTATTACATTCTTATTTGCTAGGGCTTCAATTAATTAAAAAAAAACTACTAGCATTTTCAAAATATTAAGATCAATAAGATAACAAGAAATTACTTTCAAACCATTTGCAATTCATAATTTTTTCTTCAATGACAGATATGAATTTGGACAGCTTATATACATTTGATAATAATTTTATGTTTTTATTTTATTTTAGCAGTGACAATTCAGTTGTGGGTGAAACAGAGGATTCTGGGATAGCTTCTACAGAATCATCAGATAGAGATTTCTATGAAATGTGACATTAGTATAAGATATTTACATAAATTCTTATAAGAGCCATTGATTCATTTCATGACCCATCAGTCATTGTCATATATACCATCATTAATATGATAGTACTTCTTATGTCATCTCACATTTTAACTAGGAAATGCAGGGTTTTCTGTTTTGTCTTGCTATATTTAGAAAAATTATTAGCAGTTTTGGTTTGCTCAAGTGAATTGTTAGTAACTTTTGTACATTCCATTAAAAATTGAGAAATGAATATTAAATACATTGTATTTTTAAGTATGTTGAACACAAGCTTTGCACATTACACCTATATATTTCAGATGAAATCAAGTGTCAACGAACTAATAAAAAAATAAATCACCCTAATGGCCAAAATTCTGAATGTTTGAATTTTTTTCCTATTTTTTTATGCCCATGTTGAATGCAATGATTCCATGGCTGTCAACTCTGGCATAAATTTCAAAAGATTTAAAAAAAAAATTGGATGTTTTTGATTTGTCACGTATGTCAGATGTGGAAGGTTTGAAATTCCAGAAGTTGATTTCCTGTTAAAAATGCCTTTCAATGCTGTGGAACAGATTGAATTTGAAATAAAATCAATCAGTTGTTGCCCAGCCATATAGTTTGGTCCTTGTATTAGAACTGCTTGCCCTCAACTTAGAGTTAAAAATTCAGACATTTTAAAAGTTATTAAGACCATTATTCATATAGATACTATAAATTGGGATAAAGATGTACTTGTTTTCTCTGACAAAAATCCTGATAATAATATTTTAATTTTTTTGAATGACTTTATCAAACCGAATGTTTTTTTGTGTTTTTTTTCAAGGCAGTATTAAGGAATGCCAATTAATACTGTAAAAGTTTTTGTTCTCATATTATTGCAAGGGATACAACTTTTCTTCTTATTCTTTCCTCTGTAAAGACACATTTCAGTGCCTATAGCTTACTTTTATTTAAAAACTTTCAATTCCCCAATAGTATCCCTATTTTATCATGTCAATAGTTTTTTACCCAAAATTGGATAAAATTATATCAACCAACAAAACGAATTGATAAGAACTGTTTTTATCCAACCCAATCATAGGTTTGAACATTGTTTTCAATTTCTATATATATATATAGATTGTAAGGTGTATATGTCTGTCTGGCATGGTTCATCTGACCTTGACCTCATTTCCGTGGATCATTAAAAAAGTTAAGTGCATGTGATACTTGTAGTGTCCACCCTTCATATTAAAGACTTTCAACATGAATTCAATCATGGCCCGGTAAGTAAAGCATGCAAGACATTTCAGGGTGTGCTCTTTTTTATGTGCTTTGATATTGGTTTGACGAGTCAATACAAAAAAAAAAAATTACGGTATGATTGCCAATGAGACACCTCTCCACCAGAAACCAAATGATGTAAGTTAGCAACTATAGGTCACACTACAACCATTATCAATGAGTAAAACCAAGCCCTCTTTTTTTACAGATTTTTAGTTTGTTCTTGTGTTGTACTGTTACTCACTGTTCCAGGTTTGAGGGAGGGTTGGGCGCCCACAACATTGTTTAACAACTCCACACTTTGTATGTGCTTGTCCCAACTCAGGAGCATGCAATTTAATGGTTGTCTGTTGCTATAGATTATATTTTTTATATTTATTTTTTAGTTTTTTTACCCAAAATTGGATAAAACTATATCAACCAACAAAATGAATTGATAGGAACTGTCATATTATGACTTGGTACAGGCATTTTCAGAAGAAAATTGTAGTTGGTTTAACCTAATGTACAGTATTGGTATTTACTGAGAAAAAGGTTCAACAGTCATTTTTTTGTTTTATCATATCACAAGAGTTTATTAGATTTAATTTGATATAGTGAAATGTAAAATGTGTGGTTGAAAAAACAAATGAATTGTCATGCATGTTTGTATGTTTGTGAGAACAAAATAAAATGTAAACAAATGTATGTGTGATAAAAGACAATATGATACTGTGGATTCATTTATTTTCGTGGGTACCAATTTTCGTGGATTGAGAAAAACTCACACTTTCGTGGATATATAATTTCGTGGTTTTACCATAGTCTGCATACAGGCCAATGGAAAATTTGGAATTCGTTGCACATTTAAATTCGTGGTTCACCTGTACCCAAAAAGTCCACGAAAATTGGTATCAAATGAATAATGATGAATCCACAGTAGTGGTTGTCCTTAACCTGTGAGCTAAATTAACTGTGATATTCATATTTTATAAATACTATTTTGTATTGATAATTAAATGTTTGTGCTTTCATCTTGACCTGGATTTATATTGTTTATACATATTCAAAAAATTAAACTCAGTCTGGTGAACCAACACCTGTGTGAATCCTTTCTGTAGAATCCATGAAGTGGATACCTTGGTGATTCCATGGTATGCCGGGTTGTCAAATAATGCAAATGACTGCAACACTTTGAATAATAATCTAAATTGACAACAACACTTCAAATGGTCTCGCTTTTATTTACTATGGTCTCCATGTTTGCCTGTAAGGCAGGCATCATCAGGACACCTTAGATATAGAAATTATTTACTGAAGTTCCCAAACTGGTATCTTGAATTTGACATCACAATGTAGATCATAGTAAATAAAATTGCAAACCATTTGAATGTTTTGTTGTCAATTTTGATTAATATTCCAAAAATGAATCAAAGAAGTTGTGGTGAAAAGTTCAATGGAAGAGCAACTCACTAAATTAAATAACCAGAAAACGTTTAGAGGTCACCATACTGCAAGTTTTTCTATTACTCTTTTTAGCTCACCTGACCTGAAGGGCCAAGTGAGCTTTTCTCATCACTTGGCGTCCGTCGTCGTCGTTAACTTTTACAAAAATCTTCTCCTCTGAAACTACTGGGCCAAATTTGACCAAACTTGGCCACAATCATCATTGGGGTATCTAGTTTAAAAAATGTGTCCGGTGACCCGGCCAACCAACCAAGATGGCCGCCATGGCTAAAAATAGAACATAGGGGTAAATAGTAGATTTTGGCTTATATCTCTGAAACCAAAGCATTTAGAGCAAATCTGACATGGGGTGAAATTATTTATCAGATCTATCTGCCCTGAAATTTTCAGATGAATCTGACAACCCGTTGTTGGGTTGCTGCCCCTGAATTGGTAATTTTAAGGAAATTTTGCCGTTTTTGGTTATTATCTTGAATATTATTATAGATAGAGATAAACTGTAAACAGCAATAATGTTCAGCAAAGTAAGATCTACAAATAAGTCAACATGACCAAAATGGTCAATTGACCCCTTAAGGAGTTATTGCCCTTTATAGTCCATTTTTAACCATTTTTCGTAAATTTTTGTAATCTTTTACAAATATCTTCTACTCTAAAACTACTGAGACAAATTTAACCAAACTTGGCAACAATCATCATTAGGGTATCTAGTTTAAAAAATGTGTCCAATGACCCCACCTACCAACCAACATGGCGGACATGGCTAAAAATAGAACATAGAGGTAAAATGCAAGTTTTGTCTATTATTTTTTGAACCGTTATAAATAGAGAAAATCTGAAAGGAGCAAAAATGTTCAGAATAATGAGCTCTACCAATTGTCCATATACATCAAAACTGTTAGACAAATTCTTATAGGAGTTATTGCCAATAAATGACAAATTTTACCATTTTTTTCATTTTTGATTATTATCATGAAAACTATGATATTTAGAGAAACTTTTTTTTTTCTGTTATGCCTTATATGATTTAAAGTATAATAGATAGATAAACACTTTAAATCACAAAAATTATCACCAAGGCAAGATCTATTAAAAAGTCAAAGGAGTAGGCCCAGTAAGACCCCTTTTTGGCCTCAAAATATAGCAGTTTTACAAAATTGTTAAAATGTAATTTTTTAGCTATTTGTTGGAAAGAAGAATACTTCTGTTACATAAATATGGGCTGTTTTTGACAATACAATGCACATGCATAGGGTACTAGCATCATTAAGTCATGCTAAATTACTGAAATCTTCGAAATTTTAAGCATTTTGGTTAATTTTTAGACGGTTTCCGTCTGAAATGGAAGTGGTCGCATTTGTGTTCATTCTTAATGTTCAAATTTAAGTTTTATTTGATAATATTGCATAACATATATAAAGATTGAGAATGAACACGGATGCGGCCACTTTCATTTTTGACAAAAACCATCTGAAAATTGACATATTATGGCATATTTGATAGATTTTTCATATTTAAGCTTGAATTTGAGCGTCTTTAATGACTAAATCAGTTCAAATCTTTCACATAAACTAATTGAATCGACTGAAGTAGACACTAAAGTGTTTAAAAAGTGTCAAAAATCTTTCATCAGATGAACCTGAATTTTGAGGCCAAAATCGGCCCTTACCGGACCTACTCCTTTTGCCGATACAGTTTGTAGACTGTCAATCTTCATAGGAGTGATTGCCCTTAAATGAGGATTTTTTTTACCCTCTTTTGTGTTTTAAGCAAAAACTAAAGAAGATAGAGAGAAACTAAACAGACTAAAAGACCAGAAATACAGGATCAACAAAATAGAGATTTTTGTCATGAAGTCTATTGTCGTCTGCAATGTTGGAGAGTGTCCTTTGTTTGATATGCACATAGATCAAGGAGAGCCTCTAGTTTATTTTTTTGGTCTTTTGGAAAATGTTGTTTGTGCTGTATTTAGACCCCTCTACCAAAAATTTGTTTTGCAAGCACACGTATAAAAATTGCAGTTTTTATCCAATGCAATCATAGGTTTGAACGTTGTTTTCAATTTAGACTTGTTTATATTTTTTCGTTTGGGCTTGTATTATATTTCCCTTCAGATTTCTTTGATCCGTTCATCTTATTTCGACTCTTAAAAATTCAAGAGTCTATTCTAAATTGAGGTAAATTATATGGCCTTCCAAATACCGTTTCGATTCCTAACATCACTGAAGAGACATTAATTGTCGAAATCCGGATATGGTGTACCAATTTGTGCACCTTTTGTTTGCGGTATACCATCTTTTCCACAAGTTTATTGTTTTCTGTTTGGTATTAAATTAATAATTAATAAAATAAAAATTGCGGTTTTTATCCAACGCAATCATAGGTTTGAACGTTGTTTTCAATTTAGACTTATATATATATATATATATATATATATATATACAAGTCTAAATTGAAAACAACGTTCAAACCTATGATTAACGCAATCATAGGTTTGAACGTTGTTTTCAATTTAGACTTATATATATATATATAAGTCTAAATTGAAAACAACGTTCAAACCTATGATTGCGTTGGATAAAAACCGCAATTTTTATACGTGTGCATGCAAAACAAATTTCTTGTTAGAGGGGTCTAAATACAGCACAAACAACATTTTCCAAAAGACCAAAAAAGTGAAAAAGTATATTTTAAGATGTTATACCGCAAACAAAAGGTGCAAAGGTTTTGGTACACCATATCCGGATTTCGACAATTAATGTCTCTTCAGTGATGTTAGGAATCGAAACGGTATTTGGAAAGCCATACAATTTACCTCAATTTAGGATAGACTCCTGAATTTTGAGGAGTCAAAATAGGATGAACGGATCATATAAACCCGAAGTCAAATATAATACAAGCCCAAACGAAAAAATATAAACATATATATATATATAGATAGTAAGGTGTATATCTCTGTCTGGCATGGTTCATCTGACCTTGACCTCATTTCCGTGGATCATTAAAAAAGTTAAGTGCATGTGATACTTGTAGTGTCCACCCTTCATATTAAAGACTTTCAACATGAATTCAATCATGGCCCGGTAAGTAAAGCATGCAAGACATTTCAGGGTGTGCTCTTTTTTATGTGCTTTGATATTGGTTTGACGAGTCAATACAAAAAAAAAGTTACGGTATGATTGCCAATGAGACACCTCTCCACCAGAAACCAAATGATGTAGGTTAGCAACTATAGGTCACACTACAACCATTAACAATGAGTAAAACCAAGCAATTTTTTTTTACAGATTTTTAGTTTGTTCTTGTGTTGTACTGTTACTCACTGTTCCAGGTTTGAGGGAGGGTTGGGCGCCCACAAAATTGTTTAACCACTCCACACTTCGTATGTGCTTGTCCCAACTCAGGAGCGTGCAATATTATGGTTGTCTGTTGCTATAGATAATATTTGTTATATCTATTTGTACATAAACGAGGATCTGGTTAGGTTTACAGAATAGAGTTAATGGACAAAAAGGAATAATAATATAAAGAATAGAGATAAATAGGCACAACATTTAAAAGAATACAGAATGATAGTGTACTGATGTATATAGAATAGAGAATAATGGGTAAACAAATAAAGAATAGAGTAAAATAAATGGTGTAAAAGTTAAAGAAAAAAGCAATGAAGGACTCCAACCCTCATAAAACGGTTTCCTTGTTTGAATTATTTTATATTTTATAGCTTGCTTTGCAGTATGGATTTTGTTCATTGTTTAAAGCCACACTGTGACCTATTGTTGTTAACATTTACATCATTTTGACTCTGTTTTGATAGTTGTCTCATTGACAATCATACCAAACCTTTCATGTTTTTAACTTAAGATCTCGAGGATGACATTGTTTTCAATGAACGTCGTTTGTTGTTTGACATAGCTTAGATTGCGATAACAGTTACACTGAAAATATACAAGATAACGACAGAAGTTAAACTTAATTCGGTGTAATCTTTTGTATTTCTGATCTGAGAGCGAAGGAAGGTTTTGTGATATGCTACTTATAACTGGGATTTAACCTGCTCCATTGTCAACTATATAGCTCTGATATTCAATTTTGGTAAACAATCTTACCAGTGAAATTTTCAAAAGAGGTATTCGTGAATGATTCGTCAAAAAGATAAAATATTTTAATAGTAAATCTTACAAAAAGCAATACAATGTGAAAAATATAATAAACGAATAATAAATACAAAATATCAGATGCTAACTTTTCTACGTTGTTGACATGCACAAATCTTTGCAAACAAAAGTTTACTACTATATTCCACCATTTTGTTCCTCAAATGAGGGAAACTGAATTTTGTTATCCGAGCTAAAGACATTAAAACATTGTAACCAACACGTTTATAGTTCATATGTGCTTTAAAACAATACAAAAAGAGTTTACAATGCAAAATACAAAACGACATTAACTGACAGAACAAAAAATCAAATATGAACGGACAATGACAAAAATCAAGACCCCCAGTTAAAATTTCTAAATAGATTCTAAACATCACTTAAATAAAAATCGCAGAGATATTTGCATCTTTTTATCAATTTGAAAATAAAAATAAAAGTAAAATCAAAGAGATATTTGTATCTTTTTAATAATCAATCTAAGAAGACAAGATAAATATTAAATACTGATAAATATTAACCTGCAATAAAAAGACATTATATAATCATGTTTTAACATAACAAAATAAAACAAGATTACATTGAAAAACTTTTTGAAATATAAAAATTTCGTAATCTTTGAATTTGGTTCCCTTTCCTATTAAAATTGAAAGAATTATATTTGATTTTGTCATTGGACTGTTAAACATACTCTTATATTATAGCTGTAAATGTGCCAATATTACATAAGCAATATGAAAAAGAAATGAATACAATTACAAAATTATTATATCATGTTCATATAACCATAATTCATGTAAACTTTAAAAGAACATGTGGTTCTGTGCCATTTTTAACAATTAATGTCTAGAATAGGAATGGTTGTTTGTCAACCATTGTTACAATCAAATGGTCTATTTACATACAAATTACATGCAAATATACCTGTATAAACAAGGGCTGTGAAAAAATGACGACACAACAGAGTTTCACTTCATTTCTAAGGATCGGCGTTAAAACAGTTAAAACCATTACTCATAAACAGCAACAGTGAAACTTATAAAAACAAAGCTTGTGCTTTGTATTATAAACAACACATCTATATTAAAATCAATGGTAGAACGGTTCTCAAGTTTTAACACGGAAACGAAATAAAGTGTCATTTTTCCAATCAATCTAGATCCATAACTCCTGAACGATAAAGTAACAAGAGTGGACACCCTGAGATATCTCACCTGCTTAACTGAACATTATTGGACTTATATTGAAAGTCTTTATAATCAAGGTTTTACTGTATATATTACATATAAAAATTAACATTATCAAAATTCAATAAATACGGTCAATGTTATACAAACATTGCCAGAAGGACACGTACATCTTACAATATTCTTAACACTTAATATAATTGACCTATTGCTAAAAGGAGAAACACGTGCAAAAACTTAACATTGACAAATGAGCCAATATGATAAGTTCATGGTCAGATGAGTTCTGTCAGACGAAAATGTACAATTTACAATCATTCTATACACTAAATATACAGTTGATTTCTTATAGTATCCAGAAAAAGGATGTAACAAGTAACGTAATATTAACCAATGAACCATGAAAATCAGAACTGAAATATAAAAAGATGACTATACATATTTTTAGAGATGAAACATGATCAAAGTAACTAATAAGAAGAAACTAATATAAAGATAACATACATTTTTATATGATTATGAATTGTTAATTATTTAAAAATTCTAGAATTTTATCTAAATATTTTTATTATCTTAGTTGTAGCTTTCATTATGTGTTTCCTTCACATTTATTTAAACTTCATGATTTCTTTAACAGTTTTTATAATGATTTTTGCAAGTCTTAGTGCTTCTATTGCATCGCTAATGCTGTACAAATCTGAAGGTGTTTTTGGAAAATACGCTGGTCTTGGATATCTCATTCTTGTATAGTCTCCAACTAGCCTTTCTAGATTTTTTGCCGCTTTCTGTAATGTTGGATTGCTCATTGACACTTCTGTTATCAATGAATGGTGTTTTTTAGCTTTCTTATCATCTTTTGAAATTTGAACAGCCTTAAGAGCCTTTTCTGCAGCCTGAAATTTTAAGATCAATCAAGCCCTTATGAATGTGGCTCTACATAACCAGTGATAGCAATATTTTGCATGACACAATTTTCTGTATTTTCATATCCAGAAAAATGCTAATTAGATAACAAGCGTTCATTCTTAAGCTATAGGGCACGGAGGACAGACAATAAAAACGTGTACTATAATTTCAGTTTCATATTTATCAATAAATCACTTGATTAACTAGTCATACACGCATATTTTTTTTTCTGTCAGGGGTCTTTTTAATGGATTATGTACACATTCTCTTGAAATTAAGTTTATATCCAGTATACATAAATCGGTTAATCAACCAAATAAGACATCGTTTTCAATAAGACACTTCCTTATGATATCTCATTCATGGCTTGTATTTTGTATATCATTATCCAATTTACCAAATTTACCGGGGTTTGTTTGTTTTTCTGTATTATTCGCTTGTCTATTGTCTACAAATGTCTCTCGAGTACTAGTATATCAAATAATGTGTTTCTTGTACATTGGATCAACATACATAATAGTTGTGTTTAGGATTTCCCCAACCATTCTTTTTTAGTGAAAATAAAACTTTATATATCGAATTTAATCTCTTAATCAAGGCTTTTATGTGTAGTATTTCTTAATTTACCATTTTTCTGGATATTGATTTTTGTTGTTGTTGTCTATTCCTGTACATTTTGGCATGTCTATTATATACAGAGTTTTGTCTCTCGGATATACTAACATCGACTATTGTGTTTCTAGTACATTATAGACCTAAATAAATAAAACTCAGGGTTTCCATCACCAACATTGTTTTTTAATGAAATACGATTTTATCATTACTTTTGGCAATATATCTCTACAAAACTGTAGGAGTCCCCAATTACTCAAAGCAAAATGAAAAAAAAAATATCCTATCTTATCTTCACTTTTCTTTAGGAGGAAACCTTAAACACAAAAAATAAATTTTGAACCTTATTAAATTATCAATTGTGAATTTCTGTTTCATGTCTACGTACCTGGTGACTTGTAACGCATATCCAGTTGAACGACTGTGCTGTTGCCACTCCCATTAATGCATCTGCGGTAGCAATGTCATTTTGAGCTTGTTTGAACCATATTTCGCCGTCGTAAGGTCGAGGATCTGGGTTATAAACATTTTCCTCGTAACTCCGATTGCTGGATGAATGCTCGCGATGAGCTCTGCTTGCAAAGTCATCTGGGTCAAACCAATATTCATTCTGCCGGTTAAAATTCCCACCGCTCCGCCTTCTTCTATATTGATTCCATTGACGTCGATAATTTTGCTGGTCACTTTTACTACTTTTATTCCGTTCTTTATATGATGGAAAATTGTCTGGATCGATTTCCCCAGACTGTATCAGTTTCGCAAACGATATGATGTGTTTAGCAATTTCATTTGAATCACTTGAATTTCCATGTTTGTCGGGATGCCAGCGCAGGATCAATCTTTTATAAACCTTTCGAAAGGTTGCATATCCTAATCGCCAAGAATCAATAAGTGCTTCCTCAATTTCTTGCAATACATCCTCCAAGTTCAGTTCTGTTGTTTTACTAGTATTGTCATTGCTTTCCTCACCTGTGTGAACAACTAAACAAGAGCTTTGGGGTTCCGTATCGGAATTTGTACCACTTGCTGGATGACTATCTGAATCTGATTTCGGACGTTCTTCTTTGTAGAGTTCAAATGAACGAACCTTCTTACTTTGACCATCTCCAATATCAATTTCATACTCTGGAAACGCCTCTGGTTCAGTAGAAAGACAACTTATAACTTTCACATATATGTAGACCGCGGCTTTTCCATGTGTTTTGTCATCATCAAATCGATTGTCGAACACCTCGAAAATAGCATGATCCCCAGGTTGAAACCGACTTATACCATGAATCAGAAAAGCAAGACATTCTCGTGGAACGGTTTCCCCAGGTGTTGGTATCCAAGAACTGTCAGCCGGGACATAGTCGATCTGTACAGCTCCAAGTTCATCTAACAAATCCATCATTTCTTTTGCTGTGGCATTATAGTTTAACAGAACAGTTTGTATGTGTTTTGGGTCTACCTTATCAAAGCATAGGCTATAAATTACTTCTGACAGCAGATGACTGTATTTTGCTATCCACTTTAAAACATCTAAATCAGATGCAGAAATAAACACAATGTTTTCTCTCTCATCATAAAACAGAGGTTTATATTCCATACTTCTTTCAATCTGACAACCTTTGTAAGCAAGAATTGTAGTTACAGATTCGAGAGCACCAAATCTCAAGGATTTGAAACGGCTGGAAATGTCTTCTACTAATTTGTCTTGAAGTTTCTCTCTTTTCAATTTGGTTTTTGCCAGCCGTAACATAGAATGTATAAACATTTCACTACCAATAAAAGACTCAAGTACGCTGCCTATTTCGCATGATAATCGATTGCAGAAGGATGTTAAAACCTCTTTTACAATCTTGCTGAGATATTGTGGACGATTGCCCAAAGGCAACAACTCAAAGCATTTATCTACATCAAACCTATCCTCAGTGAATTTATCCATGGTTTTCATTAGCTGAATCGTTTGCTGGTCTTTTAGTCTTTTTTGTAGTGAGTAGCTGTCTCCATAAATCAGCATACAGGATGGTTCAAGTCGATTGTGTTCACTGAGAAGATGCAAAACTGGTTCGTTTACAATAATATTGTCTGGTTCTAGCTTAAATTGTAACAATGTAAAAATTCCGCGTACAGCTTTATCTGTAACTTCCAATTCCTCGTACACGAGGACATTTTCTTTAACAATTGCCTTTACACCAGACAAAACTCTGAAGTAATGGTCTAATGTTACTTCATCTGTAGCTCCTAATTTTCTAAACAAATCATTGAACTTTCCGTATTCCTCCGATCCCACCAACAAATACGGCTTAATTTGGGATGTTTCCGGTTCTTTCAAAACAATATTTTTAGCTTCTAGAAATGCATTGTGTTTTATGACGTATACTAACGGAATACCGGTAATCCTTTCAATAAAGCTGCTTTTTTCTTTCAAAGTTACAAGATATTCATATATATTACTCATGAACGTCTCAACGAAGTCTACATCAGTGATGGTTCCCTTTTGTAAAGACTGGCACACTTGTTCAAGATGACGTACGAAATTGTTTTCGGTCGGACTTGTTTTTATATCTAATTTTTCAAAAAGGTGTTCATCCTTTGGTACCGCATAACTAGGTAAAATACTGTTCGTAGTCCAGGCTAACTTAAAATTTTCTTCAGATATCGATGTAGAAAAAGCAACAAGGTTTTTGGTTGATATCTGTGGAAAAATTTTTATATATTTATCTTGGACAATGTACGGCATGATAAAAGTTATTTCACGCATTTGTTCAAGGAAATCCAAGTCATTTTTTAAATCAGACTGTGCAAACAAATGTTTTGTAAGCACTTTTGATTGGCGCAATGATAGTTGATTCGGTCCTTGACTTTGAATTTGCTTAGCAAATTTGATGAATTGTTCCTTGCTTACATCTTGTACCATACCTGCAGAAATCATGAATTCTCCCCATACTGTCTGATTGAAAGGAAATGGCGGTAATTGTGTTTCATTACACAGTGTCTTGAAGACGATATTACGTGGATTGTAAAAATCACTAGCCTTTTTCAGATCTCTTTCATGTTTCATAGGAATAAACCTCAGATTAGCGAGCTGCTCTTTTAATCTACTATTTTTACTAGACAACAGCTTATCTCGTACAAATTCTAAATGCAGAAAGTGAAACTGTTGTGGAAGATATTGGAACTCCGGTAATATATATGCAATATAAAATTCGAGCAATTCATGCTCATCTTTTTCACATATACATATTTGTACGTTTAATGCTTCATACATTTTTTCATGATTCGCATTATGTTTCATTAAGTTTGTTTTTGTTGCCTCAGCCCAGTCATTTAATCCATCCAGAATTATGCTGCTGTTCCCTGCTTTTATCACCAAAACGCGACTACGTTCATTTAAGTCGACGATCGTATTGTCTATTGTGGTAAACAATTTTAAACCTCTCATCTGGTTCCACTGGAGAAGATTAATTCTATTATCAAAAAACGATAAAAGTTCGTCGCACTCATGTACCGATAAACTATGACTGGAAATGGTTGCTTTGTGAAATACCAAACATTCAGACAGCTTTCTTGGTTGTGCCGTTGATGAAACAAAATGCGACAAGTGATTTGATGTAATATTGAAACGACACGGTTTTGGTAAAGGCAGTTTTTTCAAAATATCATGAACACTACAAAAGTTTATAAAGTCACCTTCTTGTATATTTAAGACAGTGTACGACAATTTGAAAGGAAGGAGCATATGCTTATTTTCTCCAAAATATGCAGGGAAAAGACACCAGTTCTCTATGTCAATAAAAGGCCATGACAAAGTGTCAAGATATTTCCAAAATTCTGACATCCATTTGGAGTTCGGCAACTCATTTTGAGAATATTTCCATAGTATCGGTTGTCCACTTTGAAACGTATTTTGGTCGAAAGTTTCAGACACAAGAGAACAAAATGTTGGTAAATCTAAGCGCTGAAACAAATGTTCAAACTTGTTGAGATGAGGAACTAAAGATTCATGAATAAATCGTTTACTTGAGCATGGTAGTAGCGAACAAAACCTGGCCAGGATAATTTGGGGTGATAACTCAACTAAATCTTCATTATTGTCCACAAGGAAAGGAAATTGAGCAAATCTGATGTCAACAGCAGGATCCATGAGGCAAAATTTTAAAATGTATGTAAATCTCTTTAACGATTTGAATACTGTCTGTTGTAACGGAATGTTTACAACATCAACTACACACCTGTCTATGTTGGAAGTATTCCAGGACTTCATGAAGTCCACGACAAGAGATGGTGAAATTTTCTGTATTTCTATACTCTTATTACTAAGATTAACATGGTCAGATTCACAATTGGGATAAAGTGCGCCTGAAATATTCTCATATATCCACAAAGGAGTGCACGTCAGTTTCATACCAAGCTCTACCAACAGTTGTCTTAAAAGTTGATCTTCTTTTTGCACAGGATCTTTCTTCCATGGACTTGTCAAACATTTGTATACATCTTGTTTGTGTTCATATTCGCCTTTGTTGTTGTCAAGTGTGTGATTGTAGTATGATTGAAGATCGTCAAAGAAGATTGGGTAGACATGTTCTCTACACTGCAGGGACTCCCATTTTAAAATTCTACCTTGAAAGTTTATCCCCATATCATTTTCATCATCTTCAAATGCTTTCTCGGTATACTGATGAAACTCAGGACATATAGGAAATAGTTTCATTTCCCTTTTGTAAATGCTGATATACACTTCCAAAGCAAGATCTTTCCACATAGGACTTGTAAGCTGATCACAATTTGGGAACATGTCGAAATAAATTTTCAAAGAGCTTAAACTTTCCTCGTTGGTGTCATCAGTTAAAGTTTGTCTCATGTAATCTAAACAGCTAACGTATGAATGAGCAATGGTTTGGTGTAATATTAATTTGTTCCAAACAAATCTAATGTCATCTATATGTTTTCCTCCAAAAATGTCGTTCCTATGAGAATAAACCGAAAAATGCCCATTAATGTGGCATGGTAATCCAGTAGCAATTGGCAGAGGAAGAAAACAGAAAGCTTCGCCATTTGTCTCTATTTTTTCAGCTGCAGTTGTTCTTAATGTGTGGAATTTTGTACAGTTATCAGCTACTTTCATGGCAGTACCTCCTCTTGGTAAAAAGTAAAAATCTTTTCCCGCAGCTGCATCTATGACAACGTCAGGGATTCTTGCATTGTCTGAAAAGCCGAAGGTTTGGACCACGAACCATGTTTCAGAACATCCTTTATTGTCCTCAACAATATTTGTATATTTTACTTCCTGAAATTCTATATCGTTCATTTTCCCGGCTTTTGATTTTAAGTGGCCGGATTCATGTATTATACGGGACATAAAACTGTTATAGTTTTGCTGGTCTGAATTGTGCAATATCGATCTAGCACTGTAAGTATCAGAAAGTTGCATTTCACCTTCCTGTATACATGAGATGCTTATTTTTGATATATTTGACAAAAATAATAAGCTTTTCTTCATAACCTCTTTCATTTTATTAAGCAGTTTATTCATATCACTCTTTAAAATGATATTTCTACTAATTTTAGATGGACATTCCGGATTTTCTGTGCGAAGTGGAAATCTGAACCATGTGCCAATGTCTGCGGGTAACACATCCTGTAAATATCCTTGATAAATATCATTGTATTTTGCTTCTAATTTCTCAGGGTATAATCTTAACCCAGGTGCATCAATCTTAGCTCCAGGGACATACCAACAATGCGGGTCAAAAACGCAAAAAGCACCACCATTTGGCGTACATGGTCCAAGTGTTAGGAATGATGGCACATCTGTCAAATGATATACTGCATTAAATCCTACACCAAATTGTCCTGTTTTCGTTGCATCATTTGACTTACTGCCCTCTCCAAGGTTCTTTATGCCTTTTAAATCATTCTCTGAAAAACTTGCATCGTTATATACACAGAGAGCGGGCCCTTGAAGAGGACTCCATTTTTTGCCAAATGTTTTCTTAGTACCAAGATGTCGTAAATCATACACAAAATGGATTTCAGTGGCTCCTGCGTCGTCAGCGTTTTGTAGAAGCTCATTAAGAACAGAATGATCCCTTGGATAATCCTTTAGAAGACCACGAAGTCGAGTTACAAGCTGTTCGGTCTGTCCAAATGGAATTTCATCTGCATGTCGGCATAAATAGATTTGACGTCTAGACATTATCTCTAAATGTTTTATAATCAATCCTGTAATTTTACCATGAACGACGTAAACATCGTCTTCATCGTACTGAAAGTCACCATCATCATAGCAAATGTCAAATATACTACGCATAAAGCAGTTCTTGTCTGGAATTTTAATGTTTACCGTTTCTTCTGATGATAGACATATGTTGCCATCTTCCAAAAGGTCACAAAGATTGGAAAGTAAATTTACAACACTCATTGTTATTTCACTATTCATTTGATCAAGTCCTATGCTTTGACTATGTTCTTTCAAAGCGCTGATGAAATTGGATTTATTAAAATGATCCGGTATTTCTAAAATTTGCCATACATTTGTGTATGTTTTCATGTTTTCGTCCATTTCGTACAAATATGGATGACATCTACCGGTCAAATGCATGGCTATCCTACGAGGTTCAATCATTTCTGTTCCAACATTCAAAATCCTCATTCGTTTCCACGAATGTATATCAATGTTTGCATAGGCAATGTTGGTTAAATCAGCAATGAATCTGTCCAGCTTGTTATATAATAAGTAACAAGTCATTTCAAGCCCATTAGATGATGATGTGTTACTCTTTCCAAGAACATTTATTTGTTCTATAATATCTTCTACTTCAACACTTCGAATCCCAATTTGGTACATTGTCTCTTTACTAATGGATTTTCCTTCAATGTCTGCAACATATCCAACAGAACCTACCAGATATTTATCAAGGGGCGAAAATAGTTTCTCTGGCGACATAAGTTTCTTTTCTTTTTGATTTCCCTTCCAAGGTAGGAGCCAATCAAATGGTTTGGACATAACAGAAAGAAAAGGCTTTGTTTTTAAATCATTTCTTACATCTTGATGACGTTTAACATTGTCATTTAAATATTTCACAAGTGCCTTAGATCTTTTCAATGCGTGTTTTCTTTGCAACCCCTGGACTGTATCCACTCTCTCCAAAAAGATAGGTGACGAAATATATTTAACCATCATGCCCATGTTGGTCAATGTACCTTTTAACTGTGTAAAAGTTGATTTTGGAAATAGCTTGTCCTTAATCTCAAACAACAATTTTAGTGGCCCATGTTGCCATACTAAGTCTTTTGGCTGAAGAAGAATTTCTGACATTATTGCGGGTATGCATTTATGATTTATAACGAGATTGTGTAAGGATGGGTCGTTAATAGCTTCTATTACAAGGTTGTCACGTTGTTCTTTACTGAATGTAGTTTCCCAAACCAGGTGATCCAAATTGGGAAAAAAGTATAGATTGAAAAAATTCTTTTTTGAAATTATTCGCTTTGTCAACAAGAATGTGTCATCACATGCAGCTTTCATTAAATGTTCATATATACTTAAAGGCAAGTCCATCACAACTGAGCTACCGTCATAGAAAGCAATTAAGCAGTCAAATGCTATTTGTCCATTTTTCTCCGAGTTTCTGAATGTAGGATCTAAAAATGCGACAGTGTTAAACGAACTGACAATTGTTGTATCTCCAAGCTTCTTTCGGTAAAACACTGGTATGTGAGTTTTTAAAATTTCCCGATAGAAAGATCGACTGAGACAAGCGATATCTTGCATTGTTTTTCCTGTAATTTGAGGCCAAAGAGTCCAATAATTTGCATCAGTAATCCCATGATTCTTCAATGTTGCTAAAGAGGACAGTAGGTTAATATAGGAGCTTAGAATAACATCACTGAGCATATTTTGATTCCATTCACTATTTACATTGTATTTATTTTCAGTGTTAGAGCAAATGATACTTTTTCGATTTTGCTCCACCATAAAACAACCATTGATATGAAGTGGAAGGTCCGTAGACAACGGAAGCGGAAGCGGAAGGAAACAAAATATTCTGCCTTTTGAGTAAAAACCATTTGGAAGGTTTTTGAAATTCGTATGTCTTATCAATTCATTCCCTTTCCTTTCTACTGGCAAAGCTACAGCGCCAATTGGAAGAGCCCCCTCTTTTTCTAGTTTTCTTGCCAGTCCGACTGAATGATTTCCAATGCCATAAGTACAAACAAATGACTGTGATGCTTTTGATGGCCGAAAGTTATCTAAAAGCTTCGGAAAGTCTTTTACTAAATGTTTTGCCGAACCATATACTTCAATGCTAATGTCATATACTTCCATCTCGAGATTGAGATCTGACAGCCGATCTTTTTTCATAGCTTCGGCGACTGTCTTTAAAAGATCTTTTCTAATATCTTTTCTATTTGATTGTGATTTCCATGATTTAAACAACAGTTTCATATCTTTATCTGGATCTTTACTTCTCCCACTTAAATGATAGACCAGTACTTCTCTAACATTTGAGGTAAATAAAAGCAAATTTGCAACAGCCATCCTAAACTGTTGTAGCAGTATCATCATTTCATTTTTTGAGTATTCTATTCTTTTTATTTTTTGATCTTCTGAAGACGCCTGATGTCGAGTTCGAAGAGGAAGTCTGAACAATGTTCCATTGTATTGATCACAGCACTCAACCTGGAATTCAAACACATTCTCATATGGCTGGAATTGATCGGGAAATGTAGATATAATGTTCTTGGTCAATGGAATCAAAATACCGGGGTTTCTGTCCATTGTAGCCTCTCCAAGATGATGCAAATGAGGATCCAATACACCAAACTTGTTTCTGCTTATTAAGCTTGGTACATCTGTCAAATTGTAAACCGAACAGAAGCCTAGCCCAAACTTTCCTATTGTTCCAGATTCTTGAAGTTTCGTTCTTCCACCAAGTTGAATAAGATTTTCAAAGTCTTTATCCCTAAATAAGGCATTGTTAAACACCCATAAAGCTTGTCCTTGACATTCAGCCATGCCAGGATCCAGCAGTGTGTCTTTCAGATGCAAATTTTCCCGTTCGTCATACAAAAAGCAAACTCGTGTTGCCCCAGCATCATCAGCATTTTGGATAAGCTCTTTAGGAACTGCGAAACCATCATTATACTCTGCTAATAAATTGAAAATCCTTGTTGTTAAAGGTTCTCTCTGACCCCAGGGAAGAGCTATGATGTTTTGGGTAAGCATAAAACGCTTTTTAGTAGATACAACTCCTAACTTTCGGGCAATATGATTAACATCGGGATGAACAAAAACCATTTTCCCTTCACTGTTTTTTTCATGGCCTACTGAAGTATAAATGTTATTTTCAATTCCATAAGTGCACTCTTTTACGGTTTTAAATTGAAGATTATCTTGATCAAAGGTGCAAACTGGAATAAGAACATCCAACAATTCAGTTTTCTTAATCTGCATTTCAACTATACTTGACAAAACATTTACTGCAAGTTTTCTGTCTTTTTTCACATCTTGTGAGTCGCAAATTTTTCCAGACTTATACTTGTCCTGTATTCGTTGTAAAATTGATTTTAAAATAATAAAATCAACTTCTTCTTTGACTCCCAAAGTTTTCAAAAAATTTGAAAAGTCTGTAACATCACTTGAAACTTCAAACAAGTACGGTTCCATATTGTAGCTAATGAAAGAACCAGTTTCAATTACTGTTTGCATTACTGATTTAAATCCATGGTATTTAGTTGGAACACTATTCATTAATTGGAGTTTACGTATGATGCCATCCTCTATTTCATTTTTACGCATCTTCTTTTCGAAAAACTCAAAAACTTGTTTTGCAATCATTATATACAGTGAATTCTCTCTCCGTTGGTATGATTTAATTACATTTTCATAATGCTGTAGAACTATATTAACGGTAGGAGGAGAATTCCAGTCATAAAAGTCCGCAATCGGTTTGAAAGACAACTCAACATCAGCTAGAGGAACTACCGACCCACAAAGGTAATTGAAGTTTATATGTTTTACTTCTGTAGGTGCACAAAGGCTATTTTCTTGAAACCAAACTAACTTTGATGGGTAAGATTCTCGTCTTTTTGAACATGGAAACCAATTTAAATGCTTTATTGCACGCAATGTTTCTTCCATTATCATTGAAGGATGCTTTTCCAAGAACGATACCAAAGCTTTTGCTTGTGACAAATTTTCTTTTTTATTTTGATCTATTGCCTTTGCTACTGTAACCAGATTATAAGAACTTACGTGTTTTTCATCCTTAATTCCAAAATGTCCTAAAAATGTTTGCGTGAAATTGTTAGTCTTAAGGAATGCAGCGATTGGAAAGGCACCTTTCTGATTTTTGAATAGTTTTGTCAGTATGACTGATGCTGGGTTAAAAAGGTCTTTTACTTTGTAATATTTTCCGTCAGATGACGGCATAAAGTCGACCTCCACAGCTTTCTTCAAAACAGCTATCAATAAATCTGGTCTACATTCTAAATGACTCATCATTTTCAATTTCTCACTTTGACCATACATTGTGCCCCCTTGTGTCATATATTCAAGTATTTCTAAAATGCAATCCTTTTCGGTGATTTTGCTTCCTCCTAGATATTCAGCCAAAGTTGAATTATCTGCTGTTAAATATTTTCTCGGATACTGGAAACCTTTTGATAACGAGCACTTTGAATGGATTTGTGAGTTTTCTTTCAAACATACCATTTCTTTTCCTTTTTTGTTATCATCTTGTTTGAAAACTTTAAGGTACTGAAATATGTGAAATGAAGCTTTGTCAATGATATGTCTATGTTTCTCTAAATATTGTGCGAACTCGGTACGTTCTTCATCAGTGCAATTTGCGTTGATTGTTTTAGCAGTTTCAATTACATTTTCTTGCAAAGATGCATTGGAAAAGCCACTTATGACATTTAAAGGTGTTGGTTGTTTGATATACTTCTCAGTTACATCTTTGATTTCAAAATGAATGGTTTTTTTCGGGGAAATAACTCGAGTTCCCAGTAATTGCACAACTCTTTTTAGTGGTTTGGCAAGTTTCATACTGTTAAACTTTGAAAACATGTATTTTCCTTCAAGTGTGAGAAATTCAATGATATGGATGTTGGTCATATCCTTGCGTTTTTTTCCCTTAGAGTGTTTACAATGAGATTCCTTTTTTTGTTTGATGGGAATGATAGGTACAGAGTGGAATTGATGTAAATTAATGTATCCCCTTGAAATAATACATCTCCAAACTCTCTCTATCCACATAATCCCAAGAAGCGATTCATGTTTAGGAACGTAACTGCCATTTTCTTTTTTAGTACAATTCATACTAATTGTTTCTTTCAGCAATTTTGGAAAGTGGTTTTCTGTCACCAACCTCAATTGGTATTTTTCTGAAATCAAGACATTATCAATTTTATAAATTTTGTTGTAATTCTTAAAAACTGAAGTGACAGTGATCGACATTATTGATGTACAAACTTCTAATATTAAATTCAAAAGTGGATACTGGCTGATATGTTTATTTGTTTTTCCTTAAATTGCAACTTACATACTAGCATTCGGAGTCTTTTTTGTATTGGTAATTATGTATTTATAAGTCATTGAGTGAAACATTTTTGGGTTTATACTTAAGAAATCCGGACCATATTTAGAAATAAAGTAACATAAGAGATTATCTAGAATGTTTGACATCTGACCCATGCATGTTCAAGACATTGTATGTTCATAAATTTGCGAGACATACCGAAATTTACCGATGTGTAAATATTATTTCGCATTTTTCGTCTTTTAGTGATCTTATGTGGTATGAAAATACGTAAACTATTATTTTATTGTCAAAGTAAATGGTTTGGGGTCATTAATCATGTCGGTGTTTCATTGGTACTAACATCTCCTTTTATTCATATAAACCAAATTATTTTCTCTGTAAAATGCTTGTACCAGGTAACGAATTTGATCACATGCTGACTTCTTTATGTATTTTTATATTTATTTTAGGGTTCATCTTGTTGTTGTTTCATAGACCTATACTCCACATCCTATTGTAACCGGTTCCAAGTGTTCTGGTGCTCATTTTGGCAATATGACTGAAAGTTCAACTTGCAATGGATTGTAATGAAATTAGCGTTCTTTTTTAATGTACAAATGTATTCTAACAATTTCTATTAATTCAATATGCCTATTGGTCATTATAATATATTATATTTCGAACTATGTCTGCTGTTAGGAATGTAATATGGAAGAATTAAAACCGTCGGTACCTTTGACAACATTCTACAAATGTTCTTAATAGCACATTACCACCTTGAATCTGTTCCATGAAGAAAATAACTTAAAACAGGTATTTTACAGGGCTTAAAAAGTTGAAAATGTGTTTCCATTACCTTTTTTGGCTAGAATTGACACTGCATCCCAATTTTTATCTGTAACTTTCCTTTTAGATATGAATCTTTTTTCCAGGCCAGGATATAAGCTGCTAGGATCCTCTTCTATGACAAATACCTGATTTTCGAGAACGGAAAATGGTTTGAATTCGCCATTGAACAGTGGAAGAAGCTTTATATCGGCCAAATCATCGTAGTTTCCGTCCTCAAGTATAAACGACAATAGCGATTGTTTTCGTTCTGAAGAGTATTTACTCCACACCTTATGGTTTAACTTGAGTTTCTGACGTATCAATCCTGAACTTATCGGGCAAGGTGACTGGTCTATGTATTCTAGAATCCTTTCTACATGTCTTGGTATTTTCACCAGATTTTCACCAATATCCAACAAAAATGTTTCTACGTCATGGAGAACTCCTCCATCAGAATTGTTTTCAAATAAGGCAAATAATGAGTCTCTTTTTTTTACCCATTTACCATGTTCTTGTTTTGTATAAAAAAGATTTTCTTCAATAATTTTTTTGTACAACTTTTCAGCAAGTGGTCTCCAATCTGATTCCACTTTTTGTGGGTCTGGAATACACTCATACACATCTATTATACTTTTTGACTGATTGTTGTTCTTTATACAAATATCCCTCAAAAACAGCACCAGTGTATAATATGGATATGGTAATAGTTCTCCGATCATTTCTGCATTCCAAATTAACGATGTGTCACTTTTAAACGACTCGTTGTTTGCAGCAGGCATTTTTATGGACCTTCGATTATCATCTAGATCAAAGAATCCATTTACATGGATAGGGAGTCCAGTCAAGCTCTTAGATGTCATTGGTAAAGGCAGAAAACAAAATATATGTCCTTGGTGTTTTTCCTTTGTGTCGGAAAAGGTGCAATAAGCCACTCCAGTATACGGGCTGTATTGCAGCTCCTTATTATTACAATCATTCAGTATAGTTCCTATGTTCTCTGGGAAATTCTTCCTTCCTGTCAACCAATTAACCACGACAAAGTGATCCTCTGTAAATGCTGATTTTAAAATGACGTCATATTTTGAAACAATATCTTGATCTGGGTGCTTATTGCCAAGTTTTAGTAGATCTGTTCTGAACTTTTCCCGAGTCTGCTCCAAATGGACTTGCTGTTTTCCATGCATTTCAATTTTGAAGTATGGATCTTTGCTTTGGTTATTACCAACCTCGATTTTCTCTAAGTTTCTCAGAAAAAGTAGGTCATATCTTGCTTCAGTAATGAAAGACTTTAGAAAACCATTTACTTCATCTTCTGAATATTGAGAAGCAGTTGGTTTCAAATCACTCCCCTTTTGTCGAAGCGGAATCCAAAATAGAGTTCCTTCAAATTTCCCCCTTTCTAACGCAGTTTTGTCAAATCCAAATCTATTGTATAGGCAAGCAAGAGTTTTTTCAGGTTGATAAAATGTTTTTAGATCCTTTAATGATACAGACCAAGTTTCCGTCTCAGACAATGGGTCTATGATCAGTAGAGTATCGCCACTTATAATTACTGGATTATCTGCAATAATCATCAATGTTACAAATTATTTAAATCATTGTTACAGGAATACATGAAACAGAAGTTAAACTTTTTGTTGTACATTTCACACTATTGCTGATGTTACAAATTATTTTAAAAGGAGTTACTTATGTTACAGGAATACACGAAATTAACGTAAAACATTTTTTGTACATTGCACACTGTGACTGTAGTTGCAAGTTATTTTTAAGAAGGAGTAGCTATTGTTACAGTAATACATGAAAGAGGGTTAAACTTTGTGTTGTTCATTTAACCGTTAACAGTAAAAGTCAATTACGAAGTGACATTTTAAGATTATTGACTATTTATAACATATATGTGTTATATATACAATGACCCTTTCAAATCAAATCCTTTTGACCGAGTAAAATGTATTTTGCAGAGAAATTTTTTATTGAATAAAAGAAATAATTTAAAGTATTGATATTTTGTTGTTGTTGATAAACTGAGTCGTATTCATTATTGGCCACTAATTTGGGAAAACAAAAAAATATATTTTTTTATTCTTGTTATATAATTGAAAGGATTGTCGATGTTGTAAGAAACAGTAGGATAAATAGCCGACTTATACATTGGATTATATCCCTATCTATTTGCTATTTTGCTATTTGAATATAATAATGATCCGTGTATATTTGTGTCTATTTGTTTTTCGTTTTGAGAAATCAAAAACGAAAGTGTTTTTGATTTTCGTATTTGATATCTTAAAACCAAAAATGAGAAACGAAAGTATATTCTTTTTTTTGGTTTTCGATATTATAAAGCGAAAAACGAGAAATGAGAAACGACATATTGATTCAATTTCTCTTTTCGGTTCTGAGCATTAGTCTTTTGAAAAGAAAATAATATGTTATTGTTTTATAGTCATCGAAATGGAAAAATGTCAATGTGGTTTGTTTTAGGTCCGTGTATACCCGGTCCAATACTTTCGTTTTTCATTTTTGGGTTTTAAGATATCAAAACCGAAAAACGAACAGTTGTTTCATTGGCAATCTAACCACATCTTCTTATTTCTATTTTTGTAAAGAAAGCACGTAAAATTATCAAATCTCCATAGATTTTTCATTAAAATTGATGAGAAGATATTATACGCTGGATTCTGGCTATGAAGATATTGTTATTTTCTAAAAAAAAAAGACTGTGACATGATGAAAATATGGATACAACAAAATGTAATTTTTGTTCATTTGTAATTTAGAATAATCAAATAAATAAGCAATATATAAAACGTATAAAAGGTGTGTACACAATTTGGCATTCAAGTTAATGTTGAACAAAATTTCTAAGAGTCAGAAGTTTGTTTAATCCTCATTGAAATATTATTCATTAGGAATAGTTTTGTTAATCCAGCTTCAGGTTAGCTCCTTTAATCAAATGTACTTAATGAAATATGACTGAAATATCCAGAGCATAATTATATGCAGTTCAACAAATATCCATATCGTGTGATGCTGTAAGGCATCTTGCTTTCTGGTAAGTATTTACATCTTTATCTTATCGCCTTATAAAATACGCTACCTTGTTTTTAGAGAGTAAAGATCAGTAAACATTTTTGAAAAATATTCAAGCAAATAAACATCAGTGACCAAAATACTAGTACATGCACTTAGCACATTTACATATATGTGTGTTCATTATAATAGATATAATTAATGGATAGCAATCACAACTATATACATACCCGTCATGTGAAAGACAGATTTAAATCCAAGTCCAAACTTTCCAACTTTTAGTGGTTCTTTTTCTTTTACACTATTGTAAATTGTAATGATACCATCCCAGTCCTCTGGTTTGAAACACGCATCGTTGAATATTAAAATCCCAGGTGACTACAATCAGAATCTTTCTATTAAACATTTGAAAAATTACGGTTTCTTATTTTAGTCCTAAACGAAATTCTTAACCCACTGTATTTTGAACAGATACATCATGTTAAGGGGTAAAACGCACAACTGATCAAGCGTCTCCGCGAGGGGTAAAAAGGCATCTCATATGATGGAGATATAATCTTTCAATCAGTTTAATTGAAGTCTGCAGCTGGCATGTCAGTAACTGCTAGAAGTCCTTTGTTAATTACTGTTTATCATTGTCATTTTGATTAGTTTCTTCTGTTTATAGATATAAGAAGATGTGGTATGAGTGCCAATGAGACAACTATACCTATTCTATCATCGGACTCGGACTTCTCTTGAACTGAGTTTTACTGTGCGACCTGCTGTTTGTTTGATTATTCCACATTGGCTAGAGGTATAGGGGGAGAATTGAGATCTCACAAAACATGTTTAACCCCGCCGCATTTTTTGCGCATGTCCCAAGTCAGGAACCTCTAGCCTTTGTTATAGTCTTGTGTTTTTTATTAATTTTGGTTGTTTTGTATGCTTCGGAGTTTAGTGTGCGTCCATTTCGCTGAACTAGCATACATTATCGTTTATGGGCCAGCTGAATTCTACCTCTGGGTGTGGGAGTTTCTCGTTGCGTTGAAGACCCATTGGTGGCCTTGTTCTGTTTTCTGTTCTTTGACGGGTTGTTGTCTCTTTGACACATTCCCCGTTTCCATTCTCAATTCCATCTCGTTTTTGCAAATACCACGACAAAGAGTGTTAAGGCATATCCTTGTGGACTTACTCCAGCCAGTGGCGGATCCAGAATTTTTATAAGGGGGGCCCACTGATTGCCCTAAGAGGGGGCCGCTCCAGTCATACTTCAGTGATTCCCTATATAATCAACCAAATTTTTCCCACAAAAGCCCCCCCCCCCCCCCCCCCCCCCCCGTCCCACCCCCGGATCCGCCTATGCCATCGGCGCTGGAGTATGAACGGTATTCATTCGTCTATAGAAAATACAGGGAAAATACACTAGCTATCAACCAATCAAAATACAGCATACATATGTAAGGCGTAATTATGTAGGTAAAACAACGTAACCCATATAAATATTGTTTGGCTAAATTTCAGACGAAGTTGATTGTGTTAGATATGGGTCCCGTATCTGATGGAGAATGTCTGTCGCAGAGTTGACACATATTTTTTAAAGGACGTGTAAAATTAAAACATATTTTAATATGTGACTGCTTGGTAAGTATTTTCCTCCTTTCTGTCGGACAAAAAATACAGCAGATGGTCTACAAGGTATTCCATCCAGATCGAAAGTAAGAAAAGTTGAATTCGTAAATAAATCAAAACGGTCAAATACAAAAGGGCATGACAGGTCAGCTTAAATCATCTAATGTTAATTTTATCTCTTTCTAGAGTTTCCATTTTTGCTTTAGCAAAAATTATTTTCTAAAAAAATTTACAATCCTTATTAATGTACATGTATTCATTTAAATAAACGGACATTATTTAGAATATTATATACATTTGTATTATAAATACCTTGAAATAATGCTTAATTTCAATAGAACCATTTGGTGTTATGAAACGGTTGTCGTAAAATATCTTCATAATTTTTGCACCAGCATCCTCAGCATTTTGAATCATCTCCTATATGAATTAAAAGTCAGCATTTTAAAAAAGCTAACAATATTTCATAATATCTGAAACATGCTTAGTCCAAGGAAATTGAGAAGCAAGTTTAGGAACCGACCATAATTACAAGAAATCTTAAAAGAAAAGCATTGGTTTTGCTCGTTTGAAAGTTGACACGCATGGGAAACAACGCGTTCGTTTGTGGGAATTCGTCATACGTTTGCGCTAAAGATTTTCCACTTTTATAATACGCTACGAAACTCATAACGTTTGTGCGAAATTTTCCTGTTGAAAAGTAACTGCGTTTGCGCGAATTAATTTTATTTTATTCAATAAAATAAGCAAAGAATTGATAAAATTTATGATTTTTAAATAAAACAAAATAGATTATAATTCTAAAAAGATTAAATTGAAATGACAAGGTGATAATCGATATTCAAGATAAAGATAACCATCTCTGAGACAAACAAAGGAGAAAAGTCCAAGAATTTTGATGGATATACTTCCCGTGTAGATGTCCCAGAGATGCACTAAAAAATGTACAAATGTAGAATTAGAACTGATCGCGATGGTTAAGTTTTACTAACGGGAACAAATGGGTACAATCATGAGAGTAATGAACAACCAATTATGTTGATTATAATGCACGTTTAGGTGACTATGTACACAAAAATACCCAATAGTGGTTTCCCAGCTCTTGCAATTGTATAACGCACATTCAGTTCTACGTTGAACAATTAAATTTTTAAATTGGGGAAATTGTACGCTAGTGTTACTTAAGTATCTTAAATCGCTGGTGTACAAGTAGCAGACAAGTACTGACTATCGAGAACAAATATACACACTGTATTTAATTCAAGACTTTGCATTTACATTAATTCAATTGCTTTTTAATGTTTATATAAAGAATAACTTAAGATTTCTCTGGTTATATAACAATCAGTATAATTAATTTTGAACAAAAAGTTTACGTCATTTTTTAAGGATTAAAGCACAGGTTTAAAACTCGGGTATATTACAAGTAAATTCATTATGATTGATTGATTGTTGGTTGCTTTACGCCGCATTAGCACAACAAGGCTATATCGCGGCGATAAATTCATTATGTCAAATATTCTTAATAAACTGCATTAATTTTGTTATTTTCGAAAATATTTACTCACCCGAAGAATTTGTGCGTCATTTGGATATTTTCTAAGTATTGACTGTAATTGTGTCAACAGGCATGGTCTGTTTATTTTACGCCCTCTTCCATGGTGAGTTGGTAGACCTATATAAGATGTAGGAAAAAATGTTTGAATCAATAGGCATCATAACTCAATAAAAAGGAATCAATGTGTTCTCCTTGTAGTCTTCTTGTTGTCATATGTGTGCATCTGTTCAATGAGAATTCCTTTATTTTTATAATTCTAAGTTTAGATTGTCTTTGTGATTTTTATATGAGCTAAATAAAACAAAAAATATCTAAATTTTCACTTTGCAGTGCATTTTTTCGATAACTCATGATCGATAAGTTGTTGGTTGCTTAACGTTCAGCGGCAAATATTTCATTCATGTTAAGGACGATCAATTAATATGGAATGCAGATAATTAGGTGAATCGAGACTTGAAAAAAACGTTACCGAACAAAGAATTGAAATGATTACTGCTGAGCGTTTTTTATCGTAATTGCACATATGCTATCTGTCAAAGGGCAATAACTCCAAAATTTGTTTTTATCAGTATATTCCATATAATTTCTATTTCCAAGGGCATAACTGCTGTTAAAACAGTTGATAGGCACTGATTTTCCAACACGTCCAAAACATTACTGATACAAACCAAACCTTTGATACAGATTTCATAAAAATCTGACAAGAAGTGTAGGCCCGAGTGCACTTACAATGCAATTTTCCTATGAATAATATTTCCAAAGGCGTTATTCCATTAAAAGTAATTGATATGCATTGATGATCGGAGACACATTGATGATATCATTATACCTCACGTTAAAACGTCCGATTTTGATTGGTTAATTCTTGTTATTCTTCCCCATGATTGAGCGGGAGACAAATTATTGAATATCACCCTCTCTTGCACACCAATCAAAAATCGATAATTTAAAAAGTCAATGAATTGAATTTAGTAATACATCAACAATTTTAAAGACAATGCTCAAGTTCAACGTTTTGGCCTCAGGCCCGTTTCATAGTGCCAATATAAACTTGAGGCTCCAAAGAGTCTGTGTCGCTCACCTAGATCTATGAGCATCTTCAACAATGGACTCTCTCCAACATTTTGGACTAGAATAGAATTCATAACATAAATTTTTTTTTTTTGTTGATCTTATATTGCTGATATTTTTTTCTGTATACTATTTCTCTCTTTCTTTAGTTTTTGCCAAAAACACATAAAAAACGGTAAAAAATATCAATCAAGGAAATCCCTCCAATAAAGAGTAAACCAACAATTTCGACAAAATTTTACTTATTTGTAGCTCTTGTTTTGCTGATCATTTTTTCTATTTAACGTGTCTATCTATCTTTTATGGTTTCAAGATAGTAGGCAAAAACGTAAAATATTGGTAAAAATCGTCCATTAAAGAGCAAGTACTCCTACAATAAGTCGACTGATGATTTCGACTATTTGACTTATTTGTAGATAAAGTCTTGCTGATATTTTTAGCTTATTAAAGTTTCTATCTATTTATTATAATTTTTCAGATATTAGGCAAAAACGCAAGAAAATGGTAAAAATCTCAATAACTCCAATAAGGGGTCGTCAGACGATTTCAAGATTGTACACTTATTTGTACACCAAGTCTTGCTGATCATTTTTGCTGAATTAATTTTCTATCTATCTATTATAATTTTTCAGATATCAGGCAAACACGCAAATATTTATAAAATCGTCATTAAAGGGCAATAACTCCAATAAGGAGTCGTCTGACGATTTCGTCCCTGTGGACCTATTTGTCGACCTTGTCTTGTTGATTATTTTAGGTATGTATAAAGTTTCTCTCAATCTATTATAGTTTTTCAGATATTAGGCAAACATGATTAATCGGTAAAATTCGTCATTTAAGGGCAATAACTCCTATAAGAAGTCGTAATAGACAATATGTAGAACTCATCATTCTGAACATTGTTTCCCTGACAGATTTTCTCCATTCATAGCGGTTTTCAAGATAATAGACCAAACTTGCATTTTACCCGTATGTTCTATTTTAGCCATGTCGGCCATGTTGATTGGCAAGCTGGGTCATCGGACAAATTTTTTATACTAGATACCCTAATGATGATTGTGGACAAGTTTGGTTAAATTTGGTACAGTAGTTTCAGAGGAGAAGATTTTTGTAAACGATAACGACGACGACGGACAACGGACGCCAAGTGATGAGAAAAAGCTCACTTGGCCTTTTAGGTCAGATGAGCTAAAAATACATATTTCTTCACTTTTTTTACTTTTCAAATGAGTGTTACGTCGTTATGTACACGAAGTCATAGTTTTTTACTTTCAATTTAAAATGTATGTGATGACAGAACATTCAGTATAATAAATGAAATAACACACAGATAAGAGGGTGATAGAGCAGATTAAAAGCCCTTGAAAAAAACAGCCAACCTTGGCTTCGCCTCTGTTGACAATGTTTTCTCAGGGTAACAATCTGCTCTATTACCCTCTCAGCTATGTGTTATTTATATATTATTTCATGGCTCACGGCGAGAGACAATTTTTTTAGTGTCTTCCTTTCTTGCCGACCAATCAAAAATCGATAATTTAAAAGACATAAGACAACGTATTGAATATACATCAATAAGTTTAAAGTCAATGCATTGAATCTATATCAATAATTTTAAAGACAAATGAATGCTCAAGTTCTACCTATCGGCCTCGGGCCTTTTTCATAGACAGTTTTATGCTCAAGTTCTACGTTTCGGCCTCGGCCCTTTTTCATAGACTGTCAGCATAAAAAATACCTCTTTTCTATTGACTATAACGTTGTTATGTACATGAAATCAAAGTTTATTACTTTCAATTTACAATTTAAAAGACAATAATGAAAGAGCATTCAGTATAATACACGAGATATTACATAGCTGAGAGGATGATAGAGCAGATTGTTACCCCTCGAGAAAAAATTGTCAACCTTGGCTTTGCTTCGGTTGACAATGTTTTCTCGGGGTAACATTCTGCTCTATCACCTACGTGTTATTTATATATCACAACGGTAAAATGTCTCCCTCGTATTGACCAATCAAAATCGGGAATATTAACATGAAGTATAATAAAAACCTTTGATATATATTTCATTAAAATCTGGCAAGAATAGTACACGTGAGACCGCTTGCAAGACTAGACACATGGACGCCCGGTATTTCTATGTCTACCGTGTTAAATATCTTAACTTGCATAGCCCCTAATTCTCTAAAACCAATCCAGACCCTTCATCAAGTCCGTGCACGTTATATGACGTTGGAGATTATTAGATGTCAATGGAATTTCAATTTATCCTTACCGACTTTTTTCTCTTCGCCTTCGCCTTCTTCTTCATCTTCAGATTGCATCATATTTCCTCCAGATCTCTGTCCCAAAGATGGCTGGAAATTTCCATAGCGACCAGATTCGTCGTGACGTTGCTTCCTCTTCTTTGAATCATTGACAAATTTCTCCTTTGAATTTCGTTTGTTTCCTTTTCTTTCCATTTTTATTTAAAAAATGGTTTAAAACGGTTTACAATAATAACCTATAATCAGAAATACAAAACCATTTTCATAAGTGTTCATAAATTATTTCTATTGTTGTTGTTCCTAAAACATGACAGACATTTTAATCAATACTTTAATTAAAACAAATTATCAGTCTGCGCCAATGACATAATAACTAATATTGAGGCTATAGAATAGGATTCTTTGTTTGGCTGTTAATTATTGTCTCTATACATTATACCGTGAGAGTACTATTCAATGTAGATCTTCTATGATTATATCGACAAATTCAATGTTAACAACCCTTAAACATTTTTTTTTATTAAAAACTTACTATGAATTGCATAACAAAAAAAGTTCAGTGTTTCTATATAACTGTGGGTCACTTCACTTAATTCTTTGTACAGTGGAGAACGCATTGCTCCCATATTGTCTCTGTGACACATTTCCCCTTTCCATTCTCTATTCTATCTCTTACCTGGGACTATATATTATGTCCATGCTCATACCAAGCATTCTTTTGCACGTGATTGTTTACTTTTGTTGTGCCTGTACTTTTGTTTTTGTTATACGTTTTTTGTTTGTTATTTCACTGTTCAGGATTATAAAAGTGGAGGGTTTGAGACGTATACACTACAAGGTGTCTTGTGTTATTCATCATTGAATTTCATTTATGTTTCAGCTTTTTATGAATATATATAGAATAATATATGGCAAAATCTGAATAGCATGCTGTATCACCACGAGGAACCAATATCAGTCCCGAGGGCCGAAAGATTTTGCAATGTATTATTCTGTTTATCATATACTAGTATTTTAATAGAATCAGATTCATGGGATATCCTTTTTTTAAATCATCCGAAAATATAAGAGAGACAAGAAAATTATGATTTTTCTGTAGTTTTCCAGCTGACTTGGATTTTTTTTATAGACTTTCTTATTTGCGTTTCGTGATAGTCATAACAAAATTGGGATCGTTCATACTGGACGAGACACCCACATCGTAATGTCTCTAACGTGACGGTACCCTAATTGCACCTATTTTGGCAGTTTTCTCACCTACGTTTATTTATGATCCAGACAAAAGTTCCCATTTCTATTTTGTAGATGTATCATTTTTTTTTCTATATAGTCACGCCAATTTAATTTTGAATCCATATTGAATCATAGAAAAATGGGGTTGAACCGACCTCCAAACGATCCATGATTCTGTAATGAGGAGTAACCAAATTGCATCCATGCTTAAATTCACATCCTTAAAAATCGAATATCTGTACAAATGTTTTGTTTTATTTCTTCAAATATTTAGAACAATTTGACATTGGTCTATGTTTAGAATTCATTTTTTAAGAAATTGATGCTTGTAACATATTTTATTTGCCCGTTTTTAAAAGATGACTTTTTGTGGACGTCGCACGGCGACGTTTCCGTAGATTTTACTTTTTCCAGTGAATACTTCATCTGTTGATATATACTGTGAACGTTTTGTGTATATCTAAATATATTTACCTATTTTGAAAGACGTGTATAATGTCAAATCATATAAATACAAATTGTTTAGTCTAAAAAAAAAATTGTAAGATTTCCGCTGCTTTTTTTGCTGAATAGGTGCAGTTGGGTACTCGGTGCAATTTGGGTACTGTGACGTTAGAATCAAATGAAATTTGGAAAACTTAAATGCAACTCCTCTACTCTGAATTACAAAAGAAAGAATAAAATAATATAATAAATTGTTAACTTGAAAATTTGTATGATTTAAAGGATTTACCAAAACAAAATTTTTATTTTTTTCCAAAACTTTTTTTCTTACTAAAACAGAGGAAGAAGATATAAAGGGACAATGAAAACCATAGTACAAGAAAACAGAAAATATGGCCCATTGAAAAACGACGACAAGACAAACAACAGTCCACATAACAATAAACAGAAAACTAAATATAAAAAATAACTTTAAAAAACGGGATATATTTAGGCACCAGTAGTTTAACGTGTTCAATAATTATCAAAGGTACCAGGCTTATAATTTGATACGCCAGACTCGCGTTTCGTCTACACATGGAAGTAAATTTAAATATTACTGCCATGGTCTACATAAGACTCATCGAATAGGAAGTTAACAAACAGAAACTGAGGGAATCGAATGAACTCCTTAATGAGCTAGACCAGATGCGTTGACAGTGTCCTGCTATGTATGCATCACCCGCCAAGTGAATCCTGAAAATATCACAATCGGTAACAGGACACAATTGGTAAAATTACAAATGAGAAGACTAATCTGATATCTAAGGATCTAAGACTGAGAAAAAGAAACCAGTTCTCCGGAAGTGTCAACAGTTCCTGCTCAACAAGTGACACCCGCAATCCTGTTGTTGTTAAACTACGTTGATGAGTGTTTAGGGGCATCTTACAGTATCGGATAATTGGGGTCTCTTGTCTAACCCATTTAGACATCATAAAATTCATAAACCATCGGTACATGTAAAATTTTAACATTAACACTTAACCAAAGGTGACAGTTTTTTCTTCAAATTTCATAATATATTAATATGCATGAAAAATTATGAAATACTAAACTGTTTTATTTGAAAACCTTAATTTCACCAGAGACATGTTACACCAGTATGTGTTTTCAACAAGGCATCATCAGCATGAAATCTGGAAAAGTTGATACTTTTCCAATATTTGTGTGCTGTGTCATACGATTTTTTTTGGTGATTTTTTTTAAAAAGTTGGTTTTTATCCTCATTAATCTTTGCACTACCTTTCCATTGAAAAGAATAAATAATACTTAAAAGATCTTTGTCATCTTTGCCACAGTCGCTTTGGGCATGGACCTCCTACTGTTTAAGATTTATGGTAAATTTCTTTTATATTTCAACTTATCTTCCCTCATTTAATGCGTACTTGCTCCTATCAATACAATCTTACAAAGACAGTATAATGTAAAATTGTAAGGATAAGAGCAAGTACACATCAAATAAAGGGAAATAAGTTTAAATCTTAAGGAAATTTACTAAAAATACTAAACACACAAAAAAACGTGGTCAATGTTCAAAGCGCCTGTGATCTTTGCGCGTCAAGTTTTCTTCCACCCGACCAGCGAACTATATACAAAATATTTGTTTTAGCGAAAAGTAAACGACACACAAATTGGCCTATCCGTGTTTTTCTTCTCATTAAAGTTAAGTTATACCTGCAAATATGATTGCTAAATACAGGTTTTTTTTAACATAACACCTGAGATAAATATAAAAATAAGAAGATGTGGTATGATTGCCAATGAGACAACTCTCCACAAGAGACCAAATGGCATAGAAATTAACAACTATAGGTCACCGTACGGCCTTCAACAATGAGCAAAGCCCATACCGCATAGTCAGCTATAAAAGGCCCCGAAATGACAAATGTAAAACAATTCAAACGAGAAAACTGACGGCATAATTTATGTACAAAATAATGAACGAAAAACAAATATGTTACACAGCAACAAATGACAACCTCTTATCTTATATTCTACGCCTGATCATGATTATTTTCCATAAAACTGAATTACTTATAGTTCTCAACACCTGTCATTTGGAATTGCAAAAAAATGAAGAGAATTTTGACAGTTTGAATCCTCCCAATTTTTGTTTTTAGAATAGTTCTTTGGGTCAAAATTCTATTAATTTATGTGCTCGTTTGATTTCTCAGAGCGCTGTTGATCCTAGTTCCTCATAGGTATACACTTACAGTAAGCAGTAAGTTCATTGCTGCATACATACAGACAAATAACAAGATGATCCTCTTATAGCCGACTATACGGTAAGGGATTTTCTCTCATGCCAAACGGTTGCTTCTAATTGCTTACAACTGTCTTATTGGCAATCATATCACATATTATTGTTTCTATAAAGATAAAAACGCGTGTATGTTGTTGTATTGTATCTTTTCTTTGTATTTCATGATTATTGTCCGTGTTCATCCAATAATGCCCTTATCAATTAATAGTAAAATAGATATTTCTGACTGGGACATACTTAGATAAATCAAACAAGCAACTCCTATATGTGTCATAAAAACAAACTGTAAAAATCAGAAGAAAATTGCCTCACTAAACAGATTAGTACAAAGCAAAAAACTAACATAAAAACAAAAGACACAATTGTTTAAGTACCGATCTACTAAGTACTCACAGAATTCACAAAATAAATCAATTTAATTTTTAGATATCTCGCAAAGTATATATACTATATAAATCATTTTTCGATATGAAGATGCTGTTCAACGAGGTCCAAATGCTCGCAAAATTCCATACAAATCCGAAATACCGCCAAATTACGATTGATTGATTGATTGAGCTTATTTAACGTCCTTTGGCTTATTCGGGACGAGAACGTATTTATAATTAATGTAATTAATGCATTAATTAGGTACAAAATATAGGTCATGTAAAGGCGACCTGGATGGGAAAGAAACTTGGAAAATGAAGGTAAGTTTGATAAGAGCAGACATGTTTCCTTGAAAAGGCACTCTCTGTCTTCACGGGCATCGAATTCAATAGATTCCGACCGGAGGTGATTGCATATTTATACGGATGGACAGACGGACAAACGGACAGAGTGCAAACCTAAAGTCCCCTTCGACTTCGTCGGTAGGGGACTAAAAATCTACAATAAAAACATGTCAGTAGGAAAGTTGCTTCTCTTGAAATATTGTTTGTTTCATTTAATAAAAGTTGCAATTTTTGTTGCGTGACCATAAAAAAACTGTTGCTTTTTGCAATTGCCCAAGTACTAATGCACAACGCGAAGTCTGGTGGGACATTTTAAGTGGCAAATATCCAGTGAAGCTTTACTTTGAATTAAGCATGTATGACGACAAAATATTGTTTCAAATTTTACTCGGTCGAAAACCATGCATTGAAAATTTTTTCAAACCTAGATGAATGGGTTCAGTTTCTCAAGCTGTGTCATGCACATGTTATGTAGTGTGGAGCAGAATATAGCGGTCAATCTCTTAGACAGAGCTATTATGTGTGCCAATACATGATAGGTCACTGCATCAATACTTTTAAGATTGCTTGTATAAACAGTCATTTATCTGTTGTGTTTTTACTTTATATTTTTGCTCTCATACTGATATTTTGTTTGTAATTATGACGTTTACATATAATTATTCACTAATCGTATGTTCATTTCATCTCATTTATGAACGATCCATGATTCTGTAATGAGTAGTACCCAAATTGCATCCATACTTAAATTCACATCCTTAAAAATCGAATAACAGATGTTTTGTTTTATTTCTTCAAATATTTAGAACAATTTGACATTGGTCTATGCTTAGAATTCATTCTTTAAGAAATGAATGCTTGTAACATATTTCATTTGCCCATTTTTAAAAGATGACTTTTTGTGGACGTCGCATATCGACGTTTCCGTAGATTTTACTTTTTCGAGTGAATACTTCATCTCTTGATATATACTGTGAACGTTTAGTGTATATAAATATATTAAGCTATGTTGAAAGACGTGTATAATGTCAAATCATATAAATACAAATTGTTTAGTCTCAAAGAAAACTTGTAAGATTTTCGCAGCTTTTTTTTGCTGAATAGGTGCAATTTGGGTACTCGGTGCAATTTGGGTACTGTGACGTTAGAATCAAATGAAATTAAGAAAACTTAAATGCAACTCCTCTGTTCTGAATTACAAAAGAAAGAATAAAATAATACAATAAATTGTTAACTTGAAAATTTGTATGATTTAAAGAATTTATCAAAACAAAATCTTTATTTTTTTCCAAAATTTTTTTTTTCTTACTAAAACAGAGAAAGAAGATATAAAGGGACAATGAAAACCATAGTACAAGAAAACAGAAAATATGGCCCATTGAAAAACGACGACAAGACAAACAACAGTCCACATAACAATAAACAGAAAACTAAATATAAAAAAAACTTTAAAAAACATGATATATTTAGGCAACAGTAGTTTAACGTGTTCAATAGTTATCAAAGGTACCAGGCTTATAATTTGATACGCCAGATGCGCGTTTCGTCTACACATGGAAGTAAATTTAAATATTACTACCATGGTCTACATAAGACTCATCGAATAGGAAGTTAACAAACAGAAACTGAGGGAATCGAATGAACTCCTTAATGAGCTAGACTAGATGCGTTGACAGTGTAAGCGTCTCCTGCTATGTATGTATCACCCGCCAAGTGAATCCTTACTTAGTGAAAATATCGCAATCGGCAATAGGACACAATTGGTAAAATTACAAATGAGAAGACTTATCTGGTATCTAAAGATCTAAGACTGAGAAAAAGAAACCAGTTCTCCGGAAGTGTCCACAGTTCCTGCTCAACAAGTGACACCCGCAATGCTGGTGTTGTTAAACTACGTTGATGAGTGTTTAGGGGCATCTTACAGTATCGGATAACTGGGGTCTCTTGTCTAACCCATTTAGACATCATCAAATTCATAAATCATCGGTACATGTAAAATTTTCACAATAACACCTAACCAAAAGAGGATGTTTTTCTTCAAATTTCATAAATATATTAATATGCATGAAAAATTATGAAATACTAAACTGTTTTATTTGAAAACTTTAATTTCACCAGAGACATGCTACACCAGTATGTGTTTTCAACAAGGCATCATCAGATGTGTCACGCGACAGCATGAAATCTGGAAAAGTTGATACTTTTTCAATATTTTTGTGTTGTGGCATAAGGTTTTTTTTATGTTTTTTTTTTAAAAGTTGGTTTTTATCCTCATTAATCTTTGCACTACCTTGCCATTGAAAAGAACAAATAATACTTAAAAGATCTTTGTCATCTTTGCCACAGTCGCTTTCGGTATGGACCTCCTACTGTTTAAGATTTATGGTAAATTTCTGTTATATTTCAACTTATCTTCCCTCAATTAATGCGTACTTGCTCCTATCAATCCAATCTTACAAAGACAGTATAATGTAAAATTGTAAGGATAAGAGCAAGTACACATCAAATAAAGGGAAATAAGTTTAAATTTTAAGGAAATTTACTAAAAATACTAAACACACAAAAAAACGTGGTCAATGTTCAAAGCGCCTGTGATCTTTGCGCGTCAAGTTTTCTTCCACCCGACCAGCGAACTATATACAAAATATTTGTTTTAGCGAAAAGTAAACGACACATAAATTGGCCTATCCGTGTTTTTCTTCTCATTAAAGTTAAGTTATACCTGCAAATATGATTGCTAAATACAGGTTTTTTTAATATAACACCTGAGATAAATATAAAAATAAGAAGATGTGGTATGATTGCCAATGAGACAACTCTCCACAAGAGACCAAATGGCATAGAAATTAACAACTATAGGTCACCGTACGGCCTTCAACAATGAGCAGAGCCCATACCGCAGAGTCAGCTATAAAAGGCCCCGAAATGACAAATGTATTTTAACAATTCATACGAGAAAACTAACGGCATAATTTTGTACAAAGTAATGAACGAAAAACAAATATGTTACACAGCAACAAACGACAACCTCTTATCTAATATTCTACGCCTGATCATGATTATTTTCCATAAAACTGAATTACTTGTAGTTCTCAACACCTGTCATATGGAATTGCATAAAATGAAGAGAATTTTGACAGTTTGAATCCTCCCAATTTTTGTTTTTATAATAGTTCTTTGGGTCAAAATTATATTAATTCATGTGCTCGTGTGATTTCTCAAAGTGCTGTTGATCCTAGTTCCTCATAGGTATACACTTACTTCCCTTTTCACGAATGTGACTTACCGAATTAGACTATTTACCGGATTTGTAATAACATAAGCAACACGACGGGTGCCACATGTGGAGCAGGATCTGCTTACCCTTCCGGAACACCTGAGATCACCCCAGTTTTTGGTGGGGTTCGTGTTGATTAGTCTTTAGTTTTCTATGTTGTGTCATCTGTACTATTATTTGTCTGTTTGTCTTTTTATTTTTGGCCATGGCGTTGTCAGTTTGTTTTCGATCTATGAGTTTGACTGTCCCTCTGGTATCTTTCGTCCCTCTTTTACATTAAGCAGTAAGTTCATTGTTGCATACATACAGACAAATAACAAGATGATCCTCTTATAGCCGACTATACGGTATGGGATTTTCTCTCATGCCAAACGGTTTTCTTATAATTGTTTACAACAACTTCATTTGAACTCTGATGGAAAGTTGTCTCATTGGCAATCATATCACATCTCATTGTTTTTATAAAGATAAAAAGTTGTTGTATTGTCTCTTTTCTTTGTATTTCATGATTATTTTCCGTGTTCATCCAATAATGCCCTTATCAATTACTGGTAAAACAGATATTTCTGACTTGGACATACTTAGATAAATCAAACAAGCAACATCTATAAATGTGTCATAAAAACAAACTGTAAAAATCAGAAGGAAATTGCCTCACTAAACAGATTGGTACAAAGCAAAATACTAACATAAAAACAAAAGACACAATTGTTTAAGTACCGATCTAAAAGTACTCACAGAATTTACAAAATGAATAATTATTTTTTTAGATATCTCGCAAAGTTTATATGCTATATAAATCATTTTTCAATATGAATATGCTGTTCAACGAGGTCCAAATGCTCACAAAATTTCATACAAATCCGAAATACCGCCAAATTACGATTGATTGATTGAATGTAGCTTGTTTAACGTCCATTGGCGAATATTTCAAGCTTATTCTGGACGAGAAAGTATTTATAATTAATTTAATTAATGCATTACTTAGGTACAAAATATAGGTCATGTAAAGGCAAACCGGGATTGGAAAGAAACTTGGAGCAGACATTTTACCTTGCAAAGGCACTCTCTCTTCACGGGCATCGAATTCAACAGATTCCGACCGGACGTGATTGCATATTTATATATCCCGAACAGTCAAACGAACCGTATCAGCCTCTTGTGAGAGACAGAAAAATGAGACCAATAATTCTATATCCCGGTTATCCTTGGGGAACGACCAATTGCGAAACTTCGTCTAAATAAGAATCATGACCACATCAGTAGAATGATCTTACCTCACTGGTCTGTCAATTGGAACGTTGCCATTATTTCCGTCGTCTGAATGCATATATGTTAGTTACTGTGCACTCTTACTTGGTCATGCGCATTTCTCAAAAGGACCGAACAAAATATGTATCCGGTGGTTTATTAAGTAGTATTGTATTTTCGCTTTCAATTCTAATTTTCTGAAAACTATCGAAGTTCTAATAGTTTGTAGTTCTGAGAAATTTATCTTTCGATCGACTGTTTTTAAAAGGACAAAGCCAATGCCGCGAATCCCACACACAATTTATAGATGTTTTAATGGTCATACATACGTGCAAATACAGTAAATATTGTACTTTCATTTTCAATTCTAATTTTCCGAGGGAAAAAATTATCACGGAAGTTCGTAAAATATATATGTATATTTTGTATTTGTCCGTTCACGCATTGTAGTCCCTTTAAACGACATTCGATCGATAGATAAATAAAAATCTATCTTCTGTGTACTTCAGTCTGATTTTTTTAGTTGGCTTTTGCTTTATAACATCTTTTGAGATAAAGGTTAAATGGAAAACTTGATAAACGATGCATATGCTTCTCGTTACCACAGCAAAGACAAATATACTGCAGAAATTGATTTTCCCCGTGAACTATTGAAACGTTGCCCTTTTTTCATTTGTATTTTTCAGTGGTGCCATAACGGCGTGACCTGACGTCGGTCAAATGAAAAATGACCATATGCATGCATGTGGCAGAGACTGTTTTCAGTCACGGGTATATTTTTTCTAATGTTAAACAAAAAGTTATGTAACTAAGATTCAAAAACAATATTTAGTTGACTAATTTTATCATCGCTATAGTAACTTTCTTTTTTAAATTCATTTTATACTAAATTTAAGCAAATTGTAAATTGAATAGATCTTTGATAAAGTCAGTGTTCATAGCCAAGTGAACGGAAGGTGCTAGTCAGCATGGTCTTACATTAAATTTAGGTGCCAATAAAGCTTATATTCAGTATGTATTTTCCCGCCAAAAATGACAAAATACATATAAATATTGTCTAGCTTTAAAAGTGTAAAATATATGTTTTCCAGGAGTCTACCATATTGATAAAGCCACTGGTTGATGTTCAAAGGAATATAAATAAGCGTACAATGAAAAGCTATCCAATGTATGTAAGTAAGTAGATTATTTATTATAGTGACTTGTGTTATTACATAATTTAACATAATATATACATATACACCCGACCAAATGCCATTAATAATAATAATGATAATAATATCTTTATTTAAAGAGAGTAACTCATTTGGATTAAACCAATTTTCAATAAGGCTAAATACAGGTTTTTTTAACGTACCACCTAAGATACATATATATAAAAATAAGAAGATGTGGTATGATTGCCAATGAAACAACTCTCCACCTATAGTATACACTGTGGCTTAACTTATAAATTTCACACTTTTAAAAATATAATGACTTGTAAGAGTATTTGAAAGCAGATATAGTTTTTGATTTTTTAATTTCACTGGATAGTGAATTCCACACTTTTGGATCACTAAAAGAAAAACTTGATTTGTATAATTCTGTTTTTGATTTAGGGAGAATAAAATTATCTGATGATGAAAGTCGAGTATTGTACGATTATTTACTATTTGTAGGCACAATAAGATTTGATAAATAATTTGGTGCCAGTTCATGTTTTGATTTATACATTAATAATGACTTGTGGTAAAGTATTCTCTTGGTAACGGGAATAATTCCAGAATCCTGAGATAGTTCAATAGATGGTTTACGGATATCGTGTTTGTTTTAAATAATTCTAGCTGCCCTTTTTTGCAATTTTAGTAAACTGTCAACTAAAAAATTGTTACAGTGTCCCCATTCTGAACAACAGTAATCCAAATGTGGAAGAATATACGCATTGTAAAATAGAATTCGTGCATCACGATTCAAGTATTTCTTGATTCTTTTTAATAAAGCTAATGAAGAATTAACATTTTTGATTATATGATTAATTTGATCATACCAAGAAAGAGTGGCTATATATAAGTCACCTAATATTAAAGTTCATGTTCGATTTGTATCACGGATTTGATAAAAACTTCTCAATAATCGATTTAGCTAACCAGAAAATATAATGATTAAATTAGGATAAATGTTTATCAATAAAGTTTTAGATTATAAATTTAACTCGTCCAAATACAACTTGACGTCGTTTCTTTATGGCGTCCACCAGATATTAAGCAGTTTTTCGAGGAAAATTTATTAACACATGGTAAAGTTTTTCGTCATTGCTCATTTGCATGTAGTTGACATCTGATATGATATCTTCGAAATGTTCACTTCTAAGTTCAGTAAAAAACGAACAGTCAAGAACAAAGTGTGATTCGTCTTCAATGCTGTTTTCGCTACAAAATCTACAAATGCGTTCCTCTCGTTGTTATCTATAATGTACCTTCCCGTCTCAATTCTTAGCGGTAGAATCCCACACCGTAATTGCATGTATGTGCTAGGCACGATTGCTGAGATTCAGTTTACTGACGTACGTTTTGAGCTTAGAAACGTTAATAATGTCCCTTTTCCACATAGAAAGGTAGTAGTTGTGTAAACGTGAATCAAATAACGACATATTGATGATTTCCATACGTAATGACTGACTAAATCTATTTTATTAAGAATGTCTTTAAAATCAAAGCACTAGTTGTTTCGGCATTGCTCATAATCATAGTCGAAAGCTAGTTTAGTTATCCGATCATCGTCGAATGATATAAGTCTATTCCAAAGACGGACCATATTAATGTTATGTCGGTAGTGACAAGGTAGTCGATATCGCCATAAATCGCCAACAAGGGTGCAAAGCGATATACTCCTAAACAATAACATATCGCCTTATTTTCAATATTCTCCAAAGCTTGGAACTTACGGCATCCCCAAACTCCATAGTCTAAAATAGACACTACACAGGCATAAAACAGTTTCGTACGATTTAACTCCAAACTCTTTAAACTGATGAATATTTGATAATATTTTCCCCATGCAATGCTCGTCCGGATCCCTTTGATAATGCTTCAGTGTGCGTTAAAAAGTTTCCATTATAAGTAAACACGACTCCTAAATATTTGTATTCATTTACAGTTTCAAGTTTATTTTGACCAATGCTGACTTCGAAGTCTGTAGGTTTAGCTCTATATTTTCTAAAATGGACGCATTTCGATTTATTTGTGTTTATCAAAACTCTCCATCGTTCGCACCAGTCCTAAAGTTTGTCTAACATTTGTTGTAAATCTTTCTCATTTTTTGCCAAAAGTGCAATATCGTCAGCATAAAGCAATATGGAGAGATTGCTGTCTTTTAATCCAATTCCAAGATTCATATCGTTAACTCCACCACCTGCAGTCCTTTTCACAAAAAATCTTAAGAGTAAAAATACTCGTAAGTCATACACATTTCAGTATAACTTACGATCAATTTTAATCGTAAGATTTTTTGTGAAAAGTGTCGCAGGTCATTAACAAATATCGAAAACAATGTCGCAGATAAATTGTCCCCTTGTTTTAAATCCGTTTCGCAACAGAACCAGTCGGTAAGTTTCCCGTTTAATCTCACACACGATTTAGAACTCTGGTAAAAGTTTTTTTATAGAATTATACACTTTTCCATTGATGTTATATCGCAGTAGTTTGTACAACATCATCTCTCTGTCGATGAAATCAAAACATTTTTTCAAGTCTATAAAGGCAACGAATAAGTTCTCATTACTGCGGACTGCACTATTGAGGGTGAAAATATGGTCCTCAATGTGTAGAGCTTTCGGTCGTGCCATAAATTCATCATAGATACCAGGATTAAAATGATTGTACGCCAGAAGAGCGTTTCGTCTACAAAAGACTCATCAGTGACGCTCGAATAAACAAAAAGTTTAAGCATATTTGGCTGTCAAAAGTTAATTAAAAAAAATCTAGCAAAAACTGCGACATTACATTAAAATTTACAAAATTGAAATTTATCGGCTGAAACTTCATTTTGACTTATCGCCCAGAAAAACTGAAAAGCAGACAATATATTTCTGTACACTGAAATAGGTGAAAAGGACTTCATTGATAACAAATATCAAAGGAAATTGTGATTTTAAAAGGTGACCGATTTTAGGGGACGGAAGGATATAAGAGGGCCTGGGTGTGGAGTTTCTATTTCTGCATTCTTTCATTTTTTTCCCAATTTTTTTCAATTCTTTGTACTTTAGCGCCCCATTATTCTCTATTTTTACGGTCCATTTTCTCCATTCTCTGTTTTTTTACCAATATTCTCTATTCTGTAAACCTAATTCATACCTTCTCATAATTGTAAGTTAAAGAGGTAGGTAGGGCCAATTTCTCCAGTATTTGTTTCACTCACAAGGCCAAAAGGAAAGAAAGTTATTTTAACCTGTTAAAATTCGAATATTAAAAATACTTGGAAAAAAAAAGGATAAAAGCAAAATGCCGCATGATAAAGGACGGTAAATATGAATTTATAAAGATTGGAGGACTTTCTAAATTAGCGCTGGTTTGGAATAAGGTCAGATGAGATTGGTTCTATAACTTTGTGGCATTGGAATCTTTGGATTCAGGCGCGTTTACAACAGTGCTGGTGGCCAAGTCGGACCGCTGAAACGAAATTATATCCTTTATAAAATTATAGCGGCTAGGATCAAGCTGGAAATATAACAAGGATAGTTAGGACGATAACATGTTTAAAGGATATAACGATTACATGTTGATTATGGCATTAGGTTAGGGGGGATGGTTGGCGCCTTCAAACTAGATTAACCTCGCCACGTTCTGTATGTGCCTGTCTCAAGTTAGGAGCCTGTAATTCAGTGGTTGTCGTTTGTTGCTGTGTAACATATTTGTTTTTCGTTCATTATTTTGTACATAAATTAGGCCGGTAGTTTTCTCGTTTGAATTGTTTTACATTTGTCTTTTCGGGGCCTTTTATAGCTGACTATGCGGTATGGGTTTTCTCATTGTTGAAGGCCGTATGGTGACCTATAATTGCTTTGGTCTTCCTGATTTGAACTTTGGTGGATAGTTGTCTCATTTGCAATCATGCCACATATCCTTATTCTTATATTGTATAATTTTTCAGGGTTTCTTTTCATCTCCATAAATAGTGATGCTGTTTTGATATTTTTTTTGCTGGTTGATCTGTCACGAGCTTTTTCTGTCGAATCATCTTTAACTGATCGGACATGTAGCGGAGAAAACAGTTTATTTATTATGGGTTAAACAGTATACAAGCAATTAACCTGATTAGAAATGTTTATTCTGACAAAAATCACTAGTACATGTATCTGTTGATCGGTGTTGATACCGTATATTTTACCATAACTATTCCGTATTAGTCTCTGCTACTATTTATTCTAAAACCGGAAGTGAAAGATTTTGCAGTCGACAAAGTTTGGGACAGACAATTCCAACACAATTTTGGCTTTTGTCGAAGGTATGGAGCTTTTTTGTTTGTTTTTTTAAACATGAAACAGTAGGACAGTAAAGCTATGACTGCCACATCTGTGCATCATTATTAGCTACAGGTGTAATCACCCTGGAGCGTGGCTGTAACGTGCACTTTTAACACGAAACTAACATAGTCTGAAATTTCCCTCCTTTGACTTATACCCTGCTTCGACCAATCTTATACTTAAGGATTTTTATTGATTTAAAAAAAAAAAAACCCACCCGTGACTTATCAACTTCAACGACTTATACACTGCTATAGTCTGAAAATTCAATATGTGTGCAAATATGAAAGTCTTTCGAAGGGACAAAAATGATTAAAATTGATAAGTTCAAACATAAAATTATAATTGCAATCCCATGATTAACCATATTTAACCATTTTCCTTTTAATTTATGACATATTTAGAAAAAAATAGTTTCATTTTATGGCAAATTTGATCAAACTGAAAAAAAATTTTGCTGCACATCCTTGGAAGTCTGTAAAGTTCAAACTGAACTGTATTTTGTAGTATAAAATCCGCCCAATATTCCAAAATTCTCCCTAATTTTGGACACACATTACACAAAATCTTAAGGGTGAAATCATACATTAAGAAGATTTCATGAATTTCTTCACAATCTATTATCTGATTATTGGTTTTATAAGTTTACCAAAGTGAAGCCAAAAATCTTAAGGGCGCTGATACACCAGTGGCACCGTACATCAATTTAAATGTTGAGCCCTGAATTTGCTAATGACTTACAATCAAAGTATTAATCTTTGCTGCATATTGATCAATTTTGTTCATATTTTTCTTGAACATCTCTATACATGTACATGTATATATGATGATTTTTCATATATATATATATTATATGGATGTCCTGAAAATTTGCATGTTGCTGTGAAAAGTACATGTACAGTCAGTAGAGAAATTAATTAAGGTTGATATGTTAGGAATTTGCTGTTTTCATCCTTTGCTATACATGTATTTAAGGAAAATTATAACATTATATGAAAAGCCCATTTTTTATTACAATTTACTAGAACATGTACATGTACAGTACTATTTATAATCAATTGGGTCCTTATGCTTGTGGGGATGTACATTGTACCAACACTTTAGTTCCTTTTTGCCAGGGTGATAATTTTTTTTTGAAAATTTGTATCTTTATATAGATTTTTTGTGTGTATTTTTGTCTCATATGAATGAGTTTGTGGAGCCAAGACTAAAGGGTGCTGTGTTAGCCCCAGAGACAGCATCAACAGTTTGTTCAAGTTTGTGATTATAAAAAAATAGGAAGATGCGGTATAATTGTAAATGAGACAACTCTCCACAAGAGACCAAATTTATGACATAGATGTTAACAAATATAGGTCACCATACGGCCTTCAACAATGAGCAAAACTTATAAGTCAGCTATAAAAAGCTCTGAAATGACAAAATTGATTTGTTTTAAGGAGAACACCTAATTGTACATCAATAGTAATTGGTATGTAGTTGTATTTGCATCGGCACATCTCATTTCCATGGAGTTTATATAGCCACACCCTCTTGCTTATGGTCATCTATTGAGTTTGAAACTTTTGCTTAGTTTACATGTTAAAGTTAAAAGTTTATGATAAGGTCAGTTTGAGGAGAGCCTTTATTGGTAAGGCAATGATATTTGGTATGCAGTTGTATAAGAAATAGCACATCTCATATATTTGGCCTAACCCCCGTAGCAATGGTCTATTGACTTTTAAAGTTTGCATACATCAGTCCTACATCTATCCCCAAGAAATCGCATCTGTACAAATGTGTATATTTAGTTAGTTAAATCTATTATAAAAATTGTTTGTAGTTTTATAGGAAGAAAAATTTAATTTTCAATTTCTTTTTGTTCTGTGTAGAGCAATTTTATTATAAACTTTCATTCTTTCTTTTTGATATTTAATTTTTATGATTAGGTTATAAAGATGTTAAAATAAAAAAACACAATAAATTAATAGTTTCTTTCCTTGAGTGGTAATAACAGGAACGGGACACACTCACATCTACCATGTTTACACACTCAGATTTTCAACATCTGTTAAGTAATATTAACTGTCCTTTTGTCAGCATAAGATGACAGATTTACAGCTCTACTTACATGACTTAACATTTTATAATTGAGAGAAAATATAAAGTTTTCACTCTGAACAGGTTTAGATGCATGACTGTACATGTAGTTTACATGTTGAACATGTTGAAGTTTGTGATTAGTTTAGTTTAAGAAGAACCACTAATGGTAAGTCAATGGTATTTGGTTTCCAGTTGTATTAGCATTGGAGCATTTCATTTCCATGGATGGCCATGATGGCCTCCCCAATCAGACATGGTTTATTGACTTTGAAACTTTTGCATAGTTTACATGTTAAAGTTTTGTTATTGGGTCAGTGTAAGAGAAACCACTTATCATGCTTATTGTAAGTTAGTTATAATTATGTTTGGATTGCAGTTTTATTAACAATGGCACGTCTCATTTCAATGGAAATTATTTGGCCCTCCATCTTTAGTCATGGATCATTGACTCAATTTATATATATTTTGCGTACTTTACATGTTAAAATATTGTCATTTTAATTTCAATATTTACATTAAGCAAGGTTGGCAAAAAAGCGGCAGTAAATACCAGTAAATACTGGCAAATACTGGCAAATAGTGGTCAATTGAAATTTTGAAAGGCCATTAACCAGTTAAAAGCAGGCAAGCCATATCTGTGTCAACAGTTTATGAAAAAAAAACATAGCTTATAAACATTTAGAATAACAAAAGTAGCTTTTATATTTTCTGTCAGTTGTCTGTTTTAGAAATACTTGTCTTACACACTGTTGTTGATTAATTTTTAGATTGTATAATATTGCATATTGTATAGAGAATACAGCAGAAACTCCAGATGAAACTGAGGTAAATATTTGAATTATAGTTTTATTCTACTTTGAAGTTTGAACATTTTTAAAACAATTTTCAGATGTGAACAAATACAGGTCACCGTATGGCTTCAACAATGAGCAAATCCCGTTTAAGTTTTATGTGACTAAATTTTGTAATGTACAGTTGTGCAGTAGAAATTGACAAATTTTACTGACCAATTCATTAATAATTGTCTGCGCATTACAAATTGACTTTGATCGGAGTCCAATACTAAAAGGTTGGAAGTTGCAGAAGTCACTGATAAATGGATGTTAGAATTAAATCTAATTATGTCAATAGATGAAAAAAATGAGATATGGGGTAATAATAAGTTATAATTTGGCTGAATTATTAGGAAAACATGTAGGTTTAATTTGCTTATTTTATGAATAAAAGAGATGTAGGGTAAATGTCAAAAGGACATAAACCTAACAAGAAAGCAAACCAAAAATAGACACATCAATAATGCACCACCATCTATACAATAAATGTCAAGCTTTACAAATCCCTAAAGTCAATGAAAGTCAGATAGACAAGTCATAAAGTTAATTGCTGCAAAAAATAAATGATCACGTTTTAAGTTTTGATACATTTTTTTGTAGCAATATTTTTATGCATCTTTCCCTATAATCAAAATAATTAATATTTCATTTCTGTGGACTGTTAAACAAATGCATTTGCAATGACAAATGCACGTAAAAGTTTCTGGATTGACAGTACCTTATATTGAGGTTCCTGACTTGAGGCAGATATATTAGAATGGGGAATCTTGCAAATTTTTTGGTTCAATAGGGCTTATAACTGCATTTTATTGGCACAAATGCTTGTTAACAACATAGCTTTATATTTATTTTTTGCCAGTGTGACTAAGTGAATTCCTTTAATGACCGTTAATCAATATTAGACGGTACCAATTTTCTATAGCCTTAGTTTTATGCATATTTTTATGTACGAAAATGATTAAGATGTAAAAAATAAGGTTGTCTCCCATGATCCTATAAAGTGTATTCCCAAACTATGATCTTATTAGGTGTATTTCAAAACTATGTATTGTCCTGAAACAGAAACAGACAATACAAAATGTCCTTGCTGATTACATTTTTTTTCAGCATTCCATTCATCTTGTTTTGACAAGGATTTTAAAGTTTGAGATGAAACATCAAAATGTTTTTTGTAGCAGCTGCTGCAGGGTGATATAAAATATTTATACATTGTATTACAAATGCACTTTCATTAAGGGTCATGTGAACAAATAATTATGAAGGATTAACAGTTTGTTTTGAATACATGTTCTAGTGTTTACTAAATTAGAATAAGTTCAGTATGAAACAAAAATTTTGCATACCTTACATACAGCCTATATTTAAAATAGGGTTGACATTTAAGATCAACTAAAAGTGAAATCGTAATTGAAAAAACCTTTACAAACTTACTTTTTTAATTTATATTATGTTAAAATATTCTAAATTATGCATTGGTTTATTTTTGTACATATTAGTTCAAAGATACAAATTGTATAGAATGCACGATAAAATGAATGATTGAAAGGGAGTTAACTTATAAAATGTCATCCTCTGTACAGAAATTATCATTAGTGATGTTTCAATGTATAAAAGTTAAATACAATACTCCTCATTTCTAAATTAATATAAATGTCATATCTAGATTGCACTTCAAGATCAACACATAGTTTTAGTCCCCTACCGACAAAGTCGAAGGGGGACTTTAGGTTTGCACTCTGTCTGTCTGTCTGTCCATCTGTCAGTCAGGCAAAACAGTTTTCCACACTTTTTTTCTTCATGCTTGAAGATATTGATTTGATAATTGGTACATAGTTTTATCATGATAAGTTACAGATCAAGTTCGAATTTTGTTCCGGTTTGATGATTTGGTCCAGAGTTATGTTCCTTTGACTTAGAAAATTAACTCAAATAATCAGTTTTCCTCACCTTTTTTCGTCATGCTTGAAGATATTGATTTGATAATTGGTACATAGTTTTATCATGACAAGTTACAGATCAAGTTCCAATTTTGTTCTGGTCTGATGACTTTGTCTAGAGTTATGGTCCTTGGACTTTGTCTAGAGTTATGGTCCTTGGACTTAGAAAATTCACCCAAATAATCAGTTCCCCCCCTTTTTTTAGGGGCTTTTCTCATCACTTGGCGTCCGTCGTCCGTAAACTTTTACAAAAATCTTCTCCTCTGAAACTACTGGGCCAAGTTTAACCAAACTTGGCCAATATCATCATTAGGGTATCTAGTTTAAAAAATGTGTCCGGTGACCCGGCCAACTAACCAAGATGGCCGCCATGGCTAAAAATAGAACATAGGGATAAAATGTAGATTTTGGCTTATATCTCTGAAACCAAAGCATTGAGAGCAAATCTGACAAAGGGTAAAAATGTTTATTAGCTCAAGATCTATCTGCCCTGAAATTTTCAGATGAATCGGACAACCTGTTGTTAGGTTGCTGCCCCTGAATTAGTAATTTTAAGGAAATTTTGCCTTATTCGGTTATTATCTTGAATATTATTATAGATAGAGATGAACTGTAAACAGCAATAATGTTCAGCAAAGTAAGTTCTACAAATAAGTCAACATGACCAAAATGGTCAGTTGACCCCTTAAGGAGTTATTGCTCTTTTATAGTCAATTTTTAACAATTTTTCGTAAATTTTTGTTATTTTTTACAAAAATCTTCTCCTCTGAAACTACTAAGATGAATTTAACTATAGTTGTAAACAATCATCATTAGGGTATGTAGTTTAAAAATTGTGTTTGATGACCCCGCCCTCAAACCAAGATGGCCGACATGGCTAATAATAGTACATAGGGTAAAATGCAGTTTTTGGCTCATATATCTAAACCCAAAGCATTTCTAGCAAATCTTTAAAAAACAAAATTGGTCATTAGGTCAAGATCTATCTGCCCTTAAATTTTCAGACCATTCAGGCAACCCGTTGTTGGGTTGCTGCCCCTGAATTGGTAATTTTTAGAAATTTTTTCAGCTTTTGGTTATTATTTTGAATATTATTATAGATAGAGATAAACTGTAAAGAGCAATAATGTACAGCAAAGTAAGACCTACAAATAAGTCACATGACCAAAATGGTCAATTGACCCCTTAAGGAGTTATTGCCCTTTATAATAAATTTTTTACAATTTTCATAAATTTTGTAAATTTTTACAAAATAATTTCCACTGAAACTACAGGGCCAAGTTCATTATAGAAAGAGATAATTGTAAGCATCAAGAATGTTCAGTAAAGTAAGATCTACAAACACATCACCATCACCAAAACACAATTTTGTCATGAATCCACCTGTGTCCTTTGTTTAATATGCACATAGACCAAGGTGAGCGACACAGGCTCTTTAGAGCCTCTAGTTTGTCATACTGGAAGATATTGATTTGATAATTGGTATATAGTTTTATCATGACAAGTTACAGATCAAGTTAGAATTTTGTTTCAGTCTGATGATTTTGTGCAGAGTTATGATCCTTGGACTTGGAAATTCCCCCAAATAAGTAGTTTTTCACACTTTTTTTCGTCATGCTTGAAGATATTGACTTGATATTTTTTATATAGTTTACACCATGACAAGTTATAGAACAAGTTAGTATTTTGTTCCAGTATAATGAATTTTTAACTGGTAGGGGACTATGTATTGCCATGCAATACTCTCAGAATGCTTGTTAAACTATGTTTTTCAAGTGTAAAATAAAACAAATAAATTTAGCATGGCCTTGTATGCATATGCCTTATTGTTCTATATCCTTGTGTAAACCTTAATATCTTTGCTATCATGTAGAATGTATTGTCAAACTGTACAGGTTGTAATGTATTTAAGTATGACGCTGGAAATTTGTATACATATTAATAGTTAAAATGCTTATATTTACATGTATATATTTCAGATGGTTTGGATGAAGGGATATGGTTTGATTGATTATCTTAAGTATTAAACAAACAGCATTCCTTATGTCATTTCTGGTAAGAGTTGATTATTTTTTAATTTTTCAAATTTTCTGATTTATGTTTTAGTATGATTAGGGTACGTCATGATAATTGATAATGATTTATTACAGGATCTGTTTACTAAGACATGACAAAATACTTAGATTACTATTATATAAATCTGGAGGAAAAACATATGAAACGAACCTAAAACCTTGTTGAAAAGTAAGCAGTAGGAAAGAAAATCATTTTATGTGATTGATTAGGAAACAGAATTTTTATGCTTTTTCTATTTAATTTTACTATTAGATATAAATGCAAACTTGTTTATCCAAGTAAATAAAATACAAAAAAAACTAATGATTTGGAGATATTAAACATTTATTTAGCATGTGTTGATCATAGGCGTTAATACATTGGGATTTTATAAAAAAAAAAGTTTTCTGATACAGTTTACAGTTAATTTTTAACTATGGAGGCTTTACATTTCAATAGAACTCTGTGACTACTTGAAAGTGCCTTAGATTAATCCTTTGCTAATGACACAGAGTTCGATCCCCAGCTACCTTAAAACTTGAAATGGCTTGGAATTTGTTTTCAATTGTTCCAGGCTTGGGAATGTTCTTGAAATTTGTAAAAAATGTAAAATTTCTGGAAAACCCTTAAATATCAAACATTTGGATGCATGCTTTAAAATTTGAGCCATTTTATACGACCATAAAAAAAATTTTGGGATGGTATAATGGTATGATGTCGTCATCGTCCGAAGACACATTGGTTTCCGGACAATAACTTTAGTTTAAGTTAATGGATCTCTATAAAATTTTTTAAGAAGGTTCAATACCACAAAAGGAAAGTTGGGATTGATTTTGGGGATGATGATTCCAACTATTTAGGAATTAGGGGTCCAAAAGGGGCCCAAAACAAACATTTTTCTAGTTTCAGGATAATAACTTGTGTATAAGTATTTCGATTGCTCTGAAATTGTACAACAATGTTAAGTACCACAAGTAGAAGGTTGGGATTCATATTAGGGGTTATGGGGCAAACAGTTTAGGAATTAAGGGCCTAAAAGGGTCCAAAAACAACAATTTTTGTAGTTTCCGGACAATAACTTGTGTGTAAGTGTATGGATCTCTCTGATATTGTACCATAAAGTTCCATATCACAAAGGGAAAGCTGGGATTGAGTTTAAGGGTAATTGCCTCAAACATGTAGGAATTAAGGGCCAAAAAAAGGCCATAAACATGCATTATTCTAGTTTCCAAACAATAACTTGTGTTAAATGTGTATGGATCTCTCTGAAATTGTACTACAAGGTTCCATACTACAAAGGAAAGAATTGGATTGAGTCTTGGGGTAATTGCTCCAAGGGGGGATTCCAAAAGTCGCGGGGGGGGTTTCCAATTTTTTTAAGGAATTCATATTTTTTTCAAAAATTTTCAAATTTCAAATTTTGTAAAAGTTTCAAGAAGTAATCTTCAATTGCACAGTATTGCACAATAGATTTGTAAGATCTTTTACCACATTTATTTTGTGTCAGAAACCTATATCACAATCAAAATTCAGACAGTATCAAGCTTGAATATTATATCCAAATTTGCCCCAACTGTTCAGGGTTCGACTGCTGCAGTGGTATCAGGCTGCACTCAGCGAAGCATTTTATTATTCACATCCAATGGAGAAACTTGACATTAAGCAAGCAAAAATCAATCCAACGGAATTACTTTAATAGCCTTTCATGTGTTTTGAAAAACATTGTAAGAGGTTGGATTTTTATGCCACTGCCGAATCAGAAGGGGCATTAAGTTTCACTCTTGTATGTTGGTACGTCTGTTCGTACGTCCCAAAATTAGATTCCGCTCTCTAACTTTAGTTTGCCCCAACCAAATGTTATGAAACTTATACACAGGGCTTATTACCACCAAACACAGATCAAGTTTGCATTTGGGTGGCGTCACTTTCATAGTTCTTGAGTTATGTCCCTTTGTTAATTGAAAAATTGCAGAATTTGCCATATATTTACAAGTGAGGGCATTCTTCATTTATTTTTACCTCTGATTAAAGCATTTAGTACTGGCCATCAACAAAATTGTCATTTTCTTCATATGTCTTAAGAGACCGCTCTTAAAAATTGATGAATTTTAATTGCAAAAAGAGTAGGAACTCTGAAACTATGATTTCTGTTACTTTAAAATCAATAAAAAATTATTAAAGTTTTTTCCCTTGAGTCAATTATATGAGTCATGGCTCTTTAATTATGAATCCTTTTTCAATTTTTTGCCTTTTTAACATTTTTATCATACACAAAAACATTTTAAATTCAGTAAGATATAATAAATATGGATTTAAGAAAAAGAATATACAGGAATAAAAAGATATGGAAGGGTTCTGAAAATTTATAAACAAACATAATTCTGAGTTATGTTTGAACACTCTGATACTCTCGATTTATTATTATTTGTGGGATACCAATTTTAGTGGATTTCATGGGTTAAGTTAAACCATGAATTTAAATGTTCAACGAAGTACACATTTTTCTGTAGGCTTAGATGCAGAATTTGTCTAAACCATGAAATCAAATATCCATGAAAACACAATTTTTCCTCAATCCACAAAAATTAGTACCCATGAAAAATAAATGAATTCACAGTACTGTAATTGATTATGATATTATTCCAAGAGAATTTGAAAATTACAAATGAACACAAACCGTAGAAGAAAAATAACTTATGAAGGCCGTACTTTGACCTATAATGGTTTACTTTTACAAATTGTGACTTGGATGGAGAGTTGTCTCATTGGCACTCATACCACATCTTATATCTATTTATGGTAAAAAGAAATGAAGAATGGGAATCACCACTAACCTTATCAGTTCTTTCTTAGTATGTACAGAATATTATTTTTGTGTATTGCTCTAGCATGTTTATCCTGCTGACTTTAAACTTTGTTGTTTTCCAAAGTGTATGCAATGGATGTGGTATGTATAACTTGCACTATAGTTACCTACCCTTATAAGAATTAGTATTTGTTTTCATATCATATATGTCAGTCCGTGATAAACTTGCAGAACACTTACATGGCAAAAGGATTTTTGACCTTGTTTACCTTCAAGTGTTATAAATAAAAAAAATTGTTCATGTCCTGCAAGTGTTCTGCAATGTTCATATTTGCTGGACATGACCTAAACTGAAAGGTCATTGACCAAAATGGTAGATTGAGATTTAGGTCAAGAATTTTTTTTACAAAATTAGTTTCAGTCATTTCATTTAGATCCTCAATTGATGTCCTGGATAAAGCCAGAACTAGTTTGTGTTAGCTTTTGAGTGAAATATCCTAAAGTAACATTTTAATACATGTAGTATTTATAGTCATTCCAAATATTGATGCTATAATTATTAATTTTATTTGTTTGTGGAAAACTTAGAATTTTATTAGCCACATCACAGTTCTGGTAGAATTTTTTTAAACATCCTTCTAATGCTACCTTACCTAGATAAATGTCTTAACAGTGGACTTGCAATCTTGTCTGAAGCTGAAGCAAGTTTAATTTGGACTGATCATAAAATGTTGTTTCGAAAGAAAGTTGTCTTTTTATGTTGTACAGCTTTCATTATTGTTACAAATAGTATTTGTTTTCCTTATATCCAAAGCTGCTATAGTAATAAAGGTTATTGAAAGGAATATGTTGATGTATAAACTTGGCAGAATCAGTCTACACTGAATGAAGTATGAAGGCCTTTATCTTATATTTGTAAGTGAAAGGTCAATGTTATATATATACATCAATGAATTCTATATAAAAATCTTTATTGATTTATTAAAATTCTAATAAAATCCTCTAAAAGATATATTTTCATATAGAAATTAATGGATATGCATATTATTTTGGCTGATATAAGAATTCATACTATGTCACAAGACAGAATTATCAGAGTGTACATTTTAGGATATTCCTGTCATGAAATTGACCAATAAAACTTAAGCAGTATGTGATATATCTACTGCTTATTTTTACAATAGGGAAGCAGTTTTGAATTTTTCCAATTTTTTATATTACTTTCAGTTTTTTCTGTGAATTTACTGTTTTCTGATTTTTAGTTGTTTCTGTATTACATGTTTTTGTATTTATTTTTTTTTACTATCATTCAATGTTTGCTAGAACAAATTGAAGAAAAAATTCACTATAGATACTCAAAAAGAATTGTTTCATGAAAAATTTATGAACACACTTAAGGCTGGATTTCTTTTTCTTTTTCCCTTCATTTAATGAAAAAATTGCACAGGGTCTTAACTTGTAAGAAAATGTTATTGATCAGAACATAAATCAGATAGAATGAGTTCAGCTTTTTTAAAAGCTATATCCATATGATTTAAAATACACCAAACAAAACGTTTTACTAGAATATTGCAAACAATTAGAACTTTATACAAGGTCACTAAATTGATTTAAAAAAACAAGTTGAAGTGAGTTCTTCAAATCTTTATTAAGTTTAACATGACAACCTTTGTGTGACATCTTATTATTAGATATATTATAAAACTAAGAAAAATGGAATTATAGCCAGTTTGTAGTTTGTTTATATGAAGCAAAATCTTAATATCAGGCATTAAACGATTTATCAAAAATTAAATGATGACATGCTTTTAACATCCCGATATGGTCACTTCATAAATCTTAGCTTCCTTTGCTGTACTACCGGCTTGTCTAGTACAACCAATGTAGACCTGTCCTGTTGGAGTAAGGGCAAGGGAGAATGGATGTAGTATTCCTATGTCTTTAGTGTTGTACCATGATATTAGGCAGCCATTACTATTCAGAATATGTATGATTTCTGTATCCAAATCAGTCACCATGACATTGTCTCTTGATGTTGTTACTATTCTTTGTGGTTTAAATGATTTGTGTTTGTTGATTTTTGGATCTCCGTTATATGAATGGATCATATCGCTTCCTTTAACCAACACTACCACTCTACCTTTTTTACCTTTGTGAAAATCTACCAGCTGTATATTCCCATTACTGGTACTGGTGATACTCCTGGGGTAAGAAAATAAAGGTTGATTATGTTTATCGTGTTCATACACAGTTTCATGGTCTCCCTTGTCGTTTATAAGAAAAACCGCTTTTCTTCGAAGCTTCTCGCTAATACCTACTACTATAACCTTGTTACCACTGGTAGTGTGGATACTTATAGGGACCAGCGGATCCACGTCAAAATCGGTATCTATCAGTTTACCAGTAGTAATATTGAGTTTTTGTAGTCTGGATTTACCGTGAACAGAAAGAAGGATATCGTTAGATTGGGTTATTGCCATACCATAGACAGTCATTTTAAAGTTAGATACCACAGTGAGTTTTCTCCCTCTTGGTTCTGCGTTTATAATACAACCATCTGAACTTGAATTTATCCAGACCGCATTGTCAACACATGGAATGATTTGTGAAACTCTAGAAAGTTCTGTCTGATATTCTTGAAGGATTTTAAAGGCAATGCTTAATTTCTCTGGACTCTCTTCACTTTGTAGCACTCCAACATTAGATTGAGTGATCTCCCCTGGAAAAAAGTTTGGTATGGAATTATATGAAGAATGTGATTTTGGTAGTAGCACTTCTTTTGATTTGTAACTTCTGCCGACTTCTGAAAAAAACTTTGCGACATCTTGAGTTTTGATTAAAATCTCAACTTCCCTGTTTTTCTCATTAGCATACTCCATGGATTTTGATAAGATATGAAGGTCTGTGTCAATTGATTTCAAAATAGCTTTCAGATGTTCGTCAACTTCAACTTTAAGTTCTTCAATATATTTGTCAATTGCCTTTTTCAATGCATTTCCATGATTCAGAATATTAGGAATAACTTTGTTATACTTCGCATTTTCAGCATTCTTACATTGTTCCAAATGCTTTTTTCTGGTAATTGCTTTTTCTTTTTCCATTTTAATATTACTTTGTCCTTCTTTCAGTCCATCTAATTTTATATTATATGCTTCACTGATCTCAATAAGGTCATTTGCATGTTTCTTATGAACTTTAGACACACAAGTCGGACACACTAGACTGTCACATCTCTTGCAAAAAAGACAGCAGGATTGTGCAGAGTGGTCGGTGCATTTAATATTTGTAAAATCCAAATTTTCACTGTGCAGACCAACATCTTTAATACTTATGACCTTATGATCCTGAGCATTTTTAATTCTAAGATGTCTTCCTTCTTTACACTTGTCACAGATAAAAAGTCCGCAGTCTACACATTTCCACTTAATATTTTTCTTAGAATCACATAAATGACAGTTTATAGGTATCTGACTTTTATGAACAGATTGAAAATACGCCATTTTATATTTCCCAAAGTATTCCACTTCAATTTTTTATGTTATTGCACTATGTTACATAACTTATTTATTCATAAAAAGAACGGATTATATTTATACCCCTAATATATAACATGCAGGTAACTAAGCAATTAGAAATCTTTCGCATGATCAACTTGACTTTTTCCTGATAAATCTAATAGGTCATGTACTGTATATAGCTGCTGACAGATTAACGAATTTAAACAATGTAAATAATCAATCCTATTGTTAGGTAATATTTCAAACTTTAGAGACGCTATGTTGTATATGATTCATGGATTTAGTGTTTAAAGGTGAACCACAAATTAAAGTTTTTCAACAAATTACATATTTTCTTTACACTTCTGTGCAGTTTTTGTTCATACCGTAAAATCAAGTAACCATGAAAAATACAATTTTCCGTAGATTTATAAAAATTGGTATCCATTCAAATGAATAAATCCGTACTATAATACCTGTTCATAACAATAGTGCAGTCAAGTAAAATGTATAATTAAAATTTTGTAACAAAGCAAGGCTGACTAATTAACAAAAAAAAGTACCGGTAAACAATTTTATATTTAGTCTTGATTGTCATTCATTATTCAATTACCTGATTAGACCTATTTGAAATATATATTTGGTACACTATTGCATGAGTACATTTTTTCTAAAGGGCACAATTCTCTCACCCTCTTTTCGTTAAGAATCACTTTCAGAAATCAAGTATAAATCTGCAAATATTAGGCTGGTATTCTGTGAATAATCTCAAGATGCATACTTAGATCTCAGTATTTTAGGGATCATGTTAGTGGTTAAGTTTCTTGTTGATTATATTCATTTCAGATCTTGATGATGTCCTGTGATGTCTGTTTGTTTGTACAAATGTAGTTATTATCATTAAAGTCTTTTGAAGGTTAAAGTTTTGAGATGGACAGTTTATCTTTCAGTAGCTTCTGAAATAATTATTTGTTTTAGTGGGATATATGTAAAAAGTAAAATCACAAAAATACTGAACTCCGAGGAAAATTCAAAAAGGAAAGTCCCCAATCAAATGAAAGAAGAACTGTTCAAAGCTGCTAACCTTTCCAGAGTATCTGAGTTTTCTTAATTTTTAGTATTTTATTTAGTTATTTTGTGGATGGTAGATTAGGAGGTGGTAGAGGGCCTAAGAAAATCAATTCTTTTGCATTAAATTGTAAAAAAAAAATTTGGCTGTCTACGCTAGACAATTATTTACAGTTTTGCACCATTATTCCCCCCTTTCCTCGGACTCTTGGTCCACACATGGTTGTTTGATATTTTTGTTTTTAGCTCACCTTAAACAAAAGGTACATATGAGCTATTACCAGTACTTGCAAGTGTCATAATGTAGTTAAAGCATATTTTATCATCTAAATTAGAATTAGATTATACAAGAGTAATTTCAACTCACTAGAACTCTCCCTAAACTAGTATAACACATTCAATGTAATTAAATTATTTTTATTAAACTTGCTAGTCATCTTTCGACTTATTGAAATGAATTAAAAAAAAAAAATGAATATGAGAGTTTTTTCTCCAATCGTTTTGAAAAAAGGACTATCAAAGGAACCTTCCAAGCTGCAACGTCATGTGAATGAGATCAACACACTAAATAAATGTATTGATGTGTGAGGTATAATAATATAGGTGCACGTAGCATGTTGTAATTTTATTGTAATTCATTACTTTCTCTATTTCATGTTTATCCTATTTTCAGAACTGTGCTTGTACCAAATCTCACACTCATGAATCTCCAGCTAATGCACCTTATTCTAGAAAACCTCATCCTCTGGTGAGTGGAGCATGATGGGTAAAAAAATCTTACCTTTCTCATGAATACAAAATAGATAATTTTCTTTCAAGTGTAATTTTGATGTGAATTGTGTAATTTGTTGTTTTTTTGTCGAGCCTGCGACTTTTGTCGCAGAAAGCTCGACATAGGGATAGCGATCCGGCGGCGGCGGCGGCGGCGGCGTTAGCTAACTTCTTAAAAGCTTTATATTTTAGAAGATGGAAGACCTGGATGCTTCATACTTTGTATATGGATGCCTCATGTTACGAAGTTTCCGTCAGTCACATGTCCAATGTCCTTGACCTCATTTTCATGGTTCAGTGACTACTTGAAAAAAAAAGTTCAGATTTTTTGTAATATTAAATTCTCTCTTATTATAAGTAATAGGATAACTATATTTGGTATGTGCGTACCTTGCAAGGTCCTCATGCCCGTCAGACAGTTTTCACTTGACCTCGACCTCATTTCATGGATCAGTGAACAAGGTTAAGTTTTCGTGGTCAAGTCCATATCTCAGATACTATAAGCAATAGGTCTAGTATATTCGGTGTATGGAAGGACTGTAAGGTGTACATGTCCAACTGGCAGGTGTCATCTGACCTTGACCTCATTTTCATGGTTCAGTGGTCAAAGTTAAGTTTTTGAGTTTTGGTCTTTCTTTCTAATACTGCATGCAATAGGTCAGCTATATTTGGTGTATGGAATGATTGTAAGGTGTCCATGTCTAGCTGGCAGGTGTCATCTGACCTTGACCTCATTTTCATGGTTCAGTGGTCAAAGTTAAGTTTTTGAGTTTTGGTCTTTCTTTCTAATACTGCATGCAATAGGTCAGCTATATTTGGTGTATGGAATGATTGTAAGGTGTACATGTCTAGCTGGCAGGTGTCATCTTACCTTGACCTCATTTTCATGGTTCAGTGGTCAAAGTTAAGTTTTTGAGTTTTGGTCTTTTTTTCTAATACTATATGCAATAGTTCAACTATATTTGGTGTATGGAAATATTTTATGATCTATATGTCAGTTACGCAGGTTTTATTTGACCTTGACCTCATTTTCAAGGTTCATTGCTCAGTGTTAAGTTTTTGTGTTTTCGTCTGTTTTTCTTAAACTATAAGCAATAGGTCAACTATATTTGTTGTATGGAAGAATTGTTAGCTGTACATGCCTGCCTAGCATGGTTCATCTGACCTTGACCTCATTTTCATGGTTCATTGGTCAATGTTTAGTTTACTTGGTTAATGTTAAGTTTATGTGACAGTTGTAATAAAGCTTTATATTTAGGACTATCAACATAATATCAATGATTAGTAAAGAAGGCGAGACATTTCAGCGTGTGCACTCTTGTGTTACTATGACAGGATGCATGATATTTTTTACAACCAAAATGATAGAAGTGTTAACCAATTTAGCAATTTATTGATTTTTTTATTCTGGTTTTGGATACTTAGATTTTAAACTCCTCCTGGTTAATCGTTTTTACTTATTCATTTAAGCAAAATGAAGCAGGATTAACTTATCAATGTATTATTTCTGAAAAAAAATACAGTTCTTTGACTATAAAATACTGCCATAGATAAAGGGTTGATTTTTTTTTATTACAAAAAAGTTCTTTTTGTTGTTGTCAGTAGGAATAAACTGACATTAAATTACTGAATTATTCTATCAACCTAAATATTTTGAAAGGTCTGTTGTGTTCGCAATAAACAATTATGAAAGGTCCATACTTAACATAAAACATATTTAAGGGTCAAGAACATTGGGCTTGCTTTATTTTTAGCTCCTTTACTACATTTTCAATTTAATGTCAAAGTACAGTGAAAATATATGAATAAATTTTTATGCCTGCACCGTAGCGGAGGGGGCATTAAGTTTTACCCTTGTTTTTTCAAAGACTGGCTCCTATTCTTTTGAGTTTTGTGGAAAGATTTTAATTTCCTTAGCAGCAACCAATTTAAAGTTCCATTTATTGAATGTCACTTTCCCTGGCTATTATCATAAATTAAAAAATTGAAATGAATTTAAAAATTAAGTTTAGATTCTAGGTCCACAGTACCATATTAAAAATTATATGATTGATTGATGAACTTTTAACGCTGCATCATCACAATCAGGCTATGGTGTGGCCAAAAGTTTGTTAGAATAACATTAAAAATCATAAGAATTGTTAAACCAGTGGTGACTTGTATAGAACTTTTGTGTCTTAAACCTTATTGAAATTTTAGTGAATCAGTACCAAAACCCTCTGTCTTAGAATTTAGTCCTAATTTGCTTTTATTCAAAATTATTTGTAGGTAAATTATGAGAAATTTTTTTTTTGTATCTAAATTTAGTCATATATAGCATGATAATCTGACATTAGAAAGGAGGAAATTTTTGTTAATTTTGATTAGACACTGTTCTTCCCAGAGCTGTGTTAAGCATGCAATATTAGACTGTTTCACCCTTTTGCAAGAAATTGCCTTTTTCACAATTTTGTTAAGTTTGCAGAGGTGACACAGAGTTTAATTATTCCCCTGTTTAGCTAAGTTGTCTTCTTTTCAGAAATCAACAAACAAAGATGACTTAGACAGTAATGGGGATGTAGGAAGAATGATGGAATATGTTGCTGATCCATCATTATATGAACTATATACAGTTATAGGTATGTCAAAATCATTACATGAATTATATACAGTTATTGGTATGTCAAAATCATTGAATGAATTATATGCAGTTATAGGTATGTCAAAATCATTACATGAATTATATACAGTTATTGGTATGTCAAAATCATTGAATGAATTATATGCAGTTATAGATATGTCAAAATCATTCATTATTACATTGGTTGGAATGAAATACTGTCATTTCCCTGTCTAATATAAACAGAAAACCTATGAATTATATAGTACCGGGTACTATTGTTACAAAATAACACAAATATCTCAAGTTTTTGGTCCTGATTGGATTACCTTTAACAAGAATGGCAAATGATTGGAATTTACAGTACCAGTTTTTAAAATGTTCTAGAAATTAATTGTACACAGAGAAAACTCAATCTTGTTGAATCTGTTATATTTTCCATACAGTTGATGTTTCCTTTGGTTATGGAATGATTGTTAAGGTGTACATGTCTATTTGGCAGGTTTCATCTGACCTTGACCTCATTTTCATGGTTCATTGATCAATGTTAAGTTTTCATGGTTGTGTCTGTTTTTGTCGCCTGCACAGTTTGCGAGATTTAGGTATTACTATCCAGCGGCGGCGTAAACTGTTTGTATAAAGCTTTATATTTCAGAAGATAGAAGACCTGGATGCTTCATACCTTGTATGCAGATACCTTATGTTACAAAGTTTCCATCTGTCATATGCCCATTGTCCTTGACCTCATTTTCATGGTTCAGTGGCTGCTTGAAAAAAAATTTACAGTTTTTTTGTCATGTGAATTTCTCACTTATTATGAGTAATAGGATAACTATATTTTGTACATAGGTTCCTTTCAACATCTACATGTCCGTCAGACAGGGTTAACCTGACCTCGACCTTAATTCATGGATCAGTGATCAAGGTTAAAGTTACGTGATTAGGTCCGTTTCTCAGACACTACAAGCAGCAGGTCAACTATATGTGGTGTATGGAATGATTGTAAGGGGTACATGTCAGACTGGCAGGTTTCATCTGAACTTGACCTCATTTTCATGGTTCGTTGGTCATTGTTAATTTTTTGTGTTTTGGTCTGTTTTTCAAGTACTGTAAGCAATAGGTCAACTTTATTTGGTGTATGGAATGATTGTAAGGTGTACATGTCTGTCTAGCTGGTGTCATCTGACCTTGACCTCATTTTAATGGTTCATTGGTCAATGTTAAGTTTTTGTGTTTTGGTCTGTTTTTCGAGTACTATAAGCAATAGGTGAAATATATTTGGTTTATGGAACGATTGTTATGTATACATGTCTGTCTAGTGGGTGTCGTCTGACCTTTACCTCATTTTCATGGTTCATTGGTCAATGTTAAGTTTTTGTGTTTTGGTCTGTTTTTCAAATACAAATAGCAATAGGTCAACTATAATTGGTGTATGGAGTGATTGTAAGGTGTACATGTCTGTCTAGCCAGTATCATCTGACCTTGACCTCATTTCCATGGTTCATTGGTTAACATTTAGTTTTTGTGTTTTGATCTGTTTTTCGATTACCAGCAATGGGTCAACTATATTTGGTGTATGGAATAATTGTAAGGTGTACATGTCTGTGTGATAGTTTTTATCTGACCTTGACCTCATTGTCATGGATCTTTAAGAATGTTAAGTTTATGTGATACTTGTGGTAAAACCTTTATCTTTAAGACTTTCAACATAAGATCAATGGTCAGTAAAACAGGCAAACATTTCAGCGTGTGCACTCTTGTTCAAATACTATAATCAATATAGGTCAACTATATTTTGTGTATTGAATGATTGCATGGTGTACATGTTGTCTGGCAGAGTTCATCTGACCTTGACCTCATTTTATTGGTTCATTGGTCAATGTTTAGTTTTCATTATAAGGTTTGTTTCTCATATGCTTTAAGCAACAGGCTAACTATATTTGGTGTATGGTATGATTGTAACATGTCCATGTCTGTCTGGCAGGGTTCACCTTACCTTGACCTCATTTACATTGATGATTGATGCAATCAAATTAGAATTAAATCCTTTAATTGTTTTAAGGCCTTGATTCACAACATATCAGAACTGGAGCAATTAAAGGATTTAATTTTAATTTGATTGTCATTGATAATATTAAGTTATTGTGAAACTTATAGGTTACAATCAACCATTAAATATTATATGTGCAGCCATTTTATGAAGATAACATGGTATTCAGAATTAAGAGGATGGGTAATCCTGATTGGTTGATATGTGCACCCGTTTTTTTTTATTATTAGACTTTGTGCACTCTGCATTCTACCAAAGGCAAGATAATATGTTTTCCTTAGCCCTAAAGGAACTGATCATGAGATGTCTTTTCTACGCTAGGATGAGACACATGTTTTTAAGTGCATAATTGATAGGCAAGGGAGATAAGTACAAATTACGTTAAGAAAAGCCACGGGAACCTATATTTTTTGGACCAAAAAATACTGTCCGAATAATTTTTTATACGACCGCAAAAATTAAAAATTTTTTGGTCGTATATTGGTATGACGTTGGCGTCGTCGTCGTCGTCGTCGTCTGGCGTCGTCCGAAGACACATTGGTTTTCGCACTCTAACTTTAGTTTAAGTGAATGGATCTCCATGAAATTTCACCATAAGGTTCAATACCACGAAAGGAAGGTTGGGATTGATTTTGGGGGTTATGGTACCAACAGTTAAGGAATTAGGGGCCAAAAAGGGGCCAAAAATAAGCATTTTTGTAATTTTCAGACAATAACTTGTGTGTAAGTGTATAGATCTCTCTGACATTGTACCACAAGGTTCCATATCACAAAGGGAAGGCTGTAATTGATTTTGGGGGTAATTGCCTCAAAATTTTAGGAATTAGGGGCAAAAAAAGGGGCAAAAAACAAGCATTTTTCTAGTTTCATGACAATAACTTGTGTGTAAGTGTTTGGATATTTCTGAAATTGTACTACAAGGTTCCATATCACAAAGGGAAAGCTGGAATTGAGTTTGGGGGTAATTGCCCGAAACGTTTAGGAATTGGGGGCCAAAAAGGGGCCAAAAATAAGCATTTTTCTAGTTTCCAGACAATAACTTGTGTTCAAGTGTATGGATCTCTCTGAAATTGTACTGCAAGGTACCATACCACAAAGGGAAGGCTGGGATTGAGTTTGGGGGTGATGAATCATAAGGGGGTTAAAAAAATTTGGGGGGGGAGATTTTTTTTTTTTTTTTTTTTCTTTTTTTCCTTTTTTTTTTCTTTTAAAATTTTCCATTTTAAGTTGATTATTTCTGATTTATATTTAAAAGCAAATAATAATGATATGGTAGGAGATACACACCAAACAGGATGTGTAAATTATTATATAATAAGTATTGTGCAATAGCAAGAAATTTTCAATTGCACAGTATTGCACAATAGCAAGAAATCTTCAATTGCACAGTATTGCGCAATAGCAAGAAATCTTCAATTGCACAGTATTGCGCAATAGCAAGAAATATCCAATAGCACAATATTGCGCAATAGCAAGAAATTGTCAATTGTACAGTATTGCGCAATAGCAAGAAATATTCAATTGCACAGTGTTGTGCAAAAGAAGATACTTCGTATAAATTGCTTATTTCTTGATCAATTTCAATGGGGTTTTATTCTTGAATTCTTGGGGTTCTTTAATATGCTGAATCTAACCGTGTATTAAGTTTTTGGATTTTGGGCCCCGTTTTTAAATTGGTCCACATTGAGGTCCAAAGGGTCCAAAATTTAACTTTGTTTGATTTCATCAAAAATTGAATTATTGGGGTTCTTTGATATGCCGAATCTAACCGTGTATTTAGATTTTTAATTTGGGGTCCCGTTTTTTAAATTGGTCTACATTAAGGTCCAAAGGGTCCAAAATTAAACTTAATTTGATTTTAACAAAAATTGAATTCTTGGGGTTCTTTGATATGCTGAATCTAAACATGTGTTTAGATTTTTGATTATGGGCCCAGTTTTCAAGTTGGTCCAAGTTGGGGTCCAAAATTAAACTTTGTTTGATTTCAACAAAAATTGAATATATGGGGTTATTTGATATGCAAAATCTAAACATGTATTTAGATTTTAGATTTTTGGCCCAGTTTTCAAGTTGGTCCAAATTGGGGTCCAAAATTAAACTTTGTTTGATTTCAACAAAAATTGAATATATGGGGTTCTTTGATATGCTGAATCTTACCATGTATTTAGATTTTTTATTTGTGGGCCTGCTATCAAATTGGTTCATATTGAGGTCAAAAGGGTCCAAAATTAAACTTTGTTTGATTTCATAAAAAATTGAATTATTGGGGTTCTTTGATATGCCAAATCTAACTGTGTATTTAGATTTTTAATTTTGGGTCCTGTTTTTTAAATTGGTCTACATTAAGGTCCAAAGGGTCCAAAATTAAACTTAGTTTGATTTTAACAAAAATTGAATTTTTGGGGTTCTTTGATATGCTGAATCTAAACATGTGTTTAGATTTTTAATTATGGGACCAGTTTTCAAGTTGGTCCAAGTTGGGGTCCAAAATTAAACTTTGTTTGATTTCAACAAAAATTGAATATATGGGGTTCTTTGATATGCTGAATCTAAACATGTATTTAGATTTTAGATTTTTGGCCCAGTTTTCAAGTTGGTCCAAATTGGGGTCCAAAATTAAACTTTGTTTGATTTCAACAAAAATTGAATATATGGGGTTCTTTGATATGCTGAATCTTACCATGTATTTAGATTTTTTATTTGTGGGCCCGCTATCAAATTGGTTCATATTGAGGTCAAAAGGGTCCAAAATTAAACTTTGTTTGATTTCATCAAAAATTGAATAATTGGGGTTCTTTGATATGCCAAATCTAACCGTGTTTTTAGATTTTTAATTTTGGGTCCCGTTTTTTAAATTTGTCTACATTAAGGTCCAAAGGGTCCAAAATTAAACTTAGTTTGATTTTAACAAAAATTGAATTCTTCGGGTACTTTGATATGCTGAATCTAAACATGTGTTTAGATTTTTGATTATGGGACCAGTTTTCAAGTTTGTCCAAGTTGGGGTCCAAAATTAAACTTTGTTTGATTTCAACAAAAATTGAATATATGGGGTTCTTTGATATGCTGAATCTAACCATGTATTTTGATTTTGGACATTGGACCATAATAGGTAAATTAAAAAAATTGAAGTTCTTAGACCACATTCTTTCTGTGTCAGAAACCTATGCTGTGTCAAATATTTAATCACAATCCAAATTCAGAGCTGTATCAAGCTTGAATGTTGTGTCCATACTTGCCCCAACTGTTCAGGGTTCGACCTCTGCGGTCGTATCAAGCTGCGCCCAGCGAAGCATTTTATTTTTAATTGTAGCAAGGTTTCGTTAAAAATATCAACTTTCTAAAGTCTGTATCTCGAAAAAGGCTATCATTGTCGCCTATGGGGAAATTAATTGTTTATTGCAATCTGTAGTAAAATCTTCATATTGCAGACTTTCAGCAAGTAAAGCAGGCGAGAATTTTCAGCGTTTGCACTCTTGTTATACTTGATAGTATTTGGTCTTTATTAGCCAAAATAGATACTAAGTATCTTATTGTGGTATCTGTATACTTAAACTATATTTTTGCTAATTGTATAATGAACACCTGCATGAGTTTATATATAAATTTATTATAAATTAAGATAGTCAATTTTATATAATGCTCATCATTTTTAGATACAACTTATATTTGACCTTTTTGTTGTTGTTTATTACAGGTAAAGGTTGTGAAGAAGCCATTACAATTACATTTACTCGGTACACACCCACAGGAGAGATTGTAGCTGTGAAGAGGATTGACTTGGATCATTATCCTCATGATGTCTCAGTATTACAGGTAAGTCATACCGATGTTTCAGTATAACAGGTAAGTCATACCGATGTTTTGGTATTACAGGTAAGTCATACCTATGTTTCGGTATTACAGGTAAGTCATACTGATATTTCAGTATTACAGGTAAGTCATACTGATGTTTCAGTATTACAGGTAAGTCATACTGATGTTTCGGTATTACAGGTATGTTAAACCCGATGTTTCAGTATTACAGGTAAGTCATACCGATGTTTCAGTATTACAGGTAAGTCATACCGATGTTTCAGTATTACAGGTAAGTCATACCTGTTTTTAAAAGACTTTGTGTAAAGTGATCAACTTATTTAGATATAATTACGAATGAATTTAATCATATAATAGATAAATACATAATTCTAAGCTGATGTATACTTTTCTGGATACAGTTATGTTTTTTTTTAATCAACTAGGATCAGTTTCCTCAGCTCCTCATTGGTCCAAACGTCATAAATAAAAGAGGCCGTATATCTGATGGCATAATAAAGAAATATGAATAAAAGCAGATGCAGGGTATACATTCAATGAGACAGCAACCCAACAACACAAATAAAATTAAAAAACATATTATTATTCTAGAATCATTAAAAAAGACCAGTTAGATCAGTTGACATGTTGTCTAGAAACTATTATAGAAACAGATTCTTTCACTGGATTTTGTGCAAAACAACATTTCTGCATTCTAAACATTTAATTTTCAAATATTTGATTATTGGAAAAGCATCACATTTTACACTTGGAAAATTTAAAGGTCTGCTGAGGATAAAGTTTGTATCTCACTAGAGGCAATAGAAAGATTCTATATATGGATGTATCTTATGGGTAATTCCTAGCTCTTTGTTTTTATGTTTTTATGTTAAATGTTTTTATGAATACAATATACTGAAACCTTATTTACCTTCTAGTTATTGTCTCTGCTGCGACGAAAATTGCAGAATATGAACATTGAATCAAGACATAGGCATCCTGTTTCTGACAGATGTTTACTGTGTATAGGATTTGTGTACAGTGTATGAATGTATAGTCTGGCAATAACTTAATTCAAAGTTATATATGTTCTCAGATCTGCCTTAACCTCATGTTTACACATGATTGTACGTGAAAAATAAAATACGAAAATGCTGAATGTTTAAAACATGACTTATTATTACCAAAGATACAGCTATTTTATTAATCGTTATTAGTTTTTTGCATAACACTTTCTGAAAACAACACTACAGCCTAGGTTCTGACCTGTTCCAACTTGGGATGAAAGAAAGCATCATTATCATTAACAAATATAGTTTAGTTGAATACTGATAACATAGATTTATATACAAATATTTTTCAGAATGAGATAATCCTGTCCAGACAGCTACACCATGAAAATATTCTACCAACTAGAGCAACTTTTGTTACAAATAATGAAATCTGGTCAATCTTGCCAATCATGGCATATGGTTAGTATGTAATTAGTTTTTATAATGCCACATATGTGTGCTCATCTTAGGCACACACATTTTTGAAGGGCCCAAAGCACTGAAGGGATAAATCATCACTGCAGTGGAACTTTTTATCCTTTTTTATACCTCATTCCCTGTTTTTCTTCAATGGACAGTACTGTAATTCAGAATTTGACATTTATATGTCGGAATCTTTTACAACCAACAATAATGCAGATTAATTGATGTGTTTCTTGACATGGGTATCAAAGAAATTTTTCAGGAGTAAATGTTTTTATAATTTTAAAAGACAGGAAAAAAATCAGAAATTTCACCAAATTGTTTGTGGAAGATGTATTTGTTGAAAGTGAAAAATAAAGAATATTTACAATCCTATTAGATTTGATTTCTCTTGAATGGTTACTATAAAATGCTTCTTATAATTTCTACACACATTAAAAGATATAAGTCATTGGAAAAGTAAGGTAGTGATTTTTACATATTATTAATTTTCTCTGTTTAATTTTGAATGAACTGTAAATTGTAAAGAGGACTGCTTGCAATCAAGTCACAGTAAAAGTATTTTTATATTTTTTATTTTTGAGGAAAGATTTGTTTCCTGTTAATTCAGAAGTTATTGCATGCATTTATTATTGCGATTTTTGAACAATAGACAAAAATGTGAGATAAATTATTGCGATTTCAGGAAAATTTGCATATTGATATATATGTATCAGATATCAGAATGCGAGTTTTTATTATTGCAATAATCACCAAGTCACATTATTCGCATTAATAACAACCTTGCAATAATATCTGAATTTACAGTATATCATTGGTGGTTGGTTGAAAGGTATTAGCTGAATGCATCATCTGACATCATGAAAACTTTGCATCAATCTAAACTATAGAGTATTGCTCTGAACTTAACATGGAGTCATTTACACTCGGATGAAATTAGTATCTTTACCTGTTTTCAAATATATATACCAAAAGGTGAAGCTCAGAAGTAATATTTGACCTATGCAAAAAACAAACAAGACCCTCTCATTATCAGAATATTATTTTACAGGGTCTTGTAAAGATTTACTTCATGCCTATTTTGGAAATGGGTTATCAGAGTTAGCAGTAGCCTACATAATGAGAGATGTAATCCAAGGTATAGAATATTTACACAGCAAAGGTATTATACATAGGTATGTTAGTACTATAAGCACTGCTCAGCTTTTTAGAGTTCTCATTATCTGTTATTTATTTTGGCAGTTTTTCATTGCTGATTTAGATAGTTCCCACCTAACAGCAAGAACATTACAGATTAAAGCATTGAGTTCAGTGTTATTCTTTCATGTCATTTAAATGCACTACATGCATGTATTTCAAGAAAAGTATGTAAGGGTAATCATATAATAAAAAAAATGTTGAATTCTTTCTACAAATAGTGTCATTATGATAACAATATGAAAAATAGTACCAGAATAAAAATAAGAAGATGTGGTATGATTGCCAGTGAGACAACTCTTCAACCAGAGACCAAATGAAGAAGTAGATAACATATTTTAAGGAAGACCACAGGTAAAAAATACAATGAATTGGGACAATAAACATGGAGACTCAACAAATAATTGATAAAATCTAGTGTTGATTTAGGCACATTTAGGTCCGTATAATCAGTCAGGGGCGTTACTTAAACAAGTAATTTTTTTAGTTACTTATATAGGTCATTTTTGTTTTTAAGAATTATAAAATAACTCAATAGAGTTATTTTAAATTTCAATAAAAGCATGTTCTAAATGTAGTTTTCGTGAATTTTTACCTCATTTAATATCATAAAATTAAGAATTTATTACTGTGACTTTACTGTTAGTGTTGCTCTCCACCTATTGCAATTTATTAAAAATTCTGACCAAATTGCAATTTGTTTTATAAAACCAAACTGTTCAACTGGTCAGAAATTTGAACAAACTGCTGTAGAAAACCACAGTCAAGTCGTGAAAGTGCAAGGTGATAAAATAAAGCATACTTACAATCCTATAAGACTTTAATTCCACTTAATGTTATTCATACTTGCCAACCTCTGACAATGAAAAATCATGTCATGACATGACATGACATGTCAAAAAGCGTGTGAAAACGTGTGATGTAGTTGCGTACTTTTTAGTATGAACATTATACATTTGTTGATATAAAACAACAATATTCTACTGTAAACTTTTATTGCATTCAACAGTGGCCTGTTTTTGCTGCTTTCAAAAAATATGATTTGAATACCATTGAATGCTTTATCAAATAGTACATCCTCTCACACATGTTGTTATGATTGCAAATGATTGATAATGTTTGAAGATGACCCAATATAAATATGAGAGTAGCATAGGGTGCACAATGCATTGTTTGGCCCTCGATCACTTTCTTTTTATTTTAACACGGACTCCCCAACTTTTTTGGTACGTACACTGGTATCGTTTTCGCTTAGCACTCGGCTCTTTAGACGACAGTACAGGTCCAGAAAGTGACCACTTTCTGCTGGACATTTCCCCACAGTGAATTTGAGAGAAAGAGGTAACAAAATCTTAAAACCTACTTACAAAGTTACCTGATCTGAAGGGCTTTTGTTGTTCATATTGCAAATAAACAATGGCGACATATAAGTTTTTTTCGAAATTATCGGTATTTATCGTCTATTAATGAAAACACCTGTGAATCGCAATCTCACTAACGACCAAAAAATCAAAACAACGAAAAAGCGTGTAAAGTGGCGAAAAGCGTGTACACGCCATGTGACTAAATCCTCGCGTGTAAACCGTTGAAAAAGCGTGTATTACACGCGAATATCATGTGAGTTGGCAACTATGATGTTATTATGAAAAATCAGTCTTACAGTTTGTATAGAAATTTTATTGTTATTGTCATGCTAAAGGTGATGGGTTGTAATTTTGAATTGCTATAAAAATGTCCAAACTAAGCTTTCATACAACTTTTCTTTCGAAAAGTCTTCTATATTCATAAGAATTAAACATCATTTGAAATAAAACATCTTACATTCAGTAAAATATATGTGAAATTACAATATGTTGTTAATAAGTTTCCATGGGAGATAACCTAAAACATTATTCTTTTGAATATAGAAGGCTTTTCGAAAGAAAAATTGATTATATCCCATGGAAACTTACTAAAAATGTATTGTAATTTCACACATATTTTACTGATGTCTGATTCTAATGAATATAGAAGACTTTTCGAATTTTGAATAAGTTGCAATAGGTTGAGAGCAACACTTACAGTCAAGTCACAGTAAATTTGAGAGGAGTATAGAGATAAAGGGTTACTTTAAATATAATGACAAAAATATTACTTGAATAAGTCGTTTTATACATCTTTGAAAGAATTTGTAATAACACTTATTTAAGGAACATATGTAATTGTTTTGGGTTACAAATTATAAATAACTTCAAGTCTTAATTAAATCACAAGTTTCTATCTATTTATATCTGTCTACCTTTAAGACTTCCAAGGAAAATGATATTTTAATAGTCTTGAGAGACCAATCTTTGACCCAGAAGCGTCGATATGAAAGATAAGTGCCGTCAGAAAGGCAGTTAATGTTTCAGAAGGATTAGATTTTATATTTCAAGGGAAAAATAACCAGATGACTGTGAAAATTTGTTAAAGATAGTATAATCTGTATAATTAATATTTGAAAATAATATTTAGAAAAGTTACTTATATAAGTAATATTAAAAAAAGCCTCGTTTTCAACATTACTTGTATAGGTAATTTTAAAAGTTACTTGTTTAAGTAATGCCCCTGACTGATAATAGAAGTTTGAATATTGATGTTAAGCCTTTTTTGATACTTCTGTCGCTGATATTTAGGTCTTCATTTTTTTCCAATCTTCAAGAATGAATAGTAGGCCACAGACCACAATTAATTCCCCCTATTAGTTCTTTATAATGTTTTGTCGCATTAAAAAAAATTTACCTGTTTTTTTTGTCAAATCTTTTGTGTGTGTAATGTACAGTACAAGTCCAAAAATATATCCAAGTTTCAGAAAAATTGAACATTTACATCTTACAAATTCAGCCAATACACATCCATACCCCTATGGACAACTCAAGAGATGTTCTGAAAAACTGTAAATATTACCTTTTTGCACCTGGCTTAATCACTCTTTCCATATCAAAATCAGTTAAAATAAAAAATCCAAAAATTTATTTCAGCTCTCTTCTTTCATTTTCACCTTATAAAAACTAAGAAATGTATGAGAAAAGGAAAGAAAAAAAAAATAAAGACAAACTACACTTTAATTAAAGGGAACTATATTCGTGGACAACGAAAAGCGGGATCATTAATTGTGGTCTGGGGCCAGTATGAATTAAATATATCAGAAATTTTAATTATATTACACCTGGTTCCTACTAACCAAATCCTTTCTTTTACAATGAGCTGAAATTTTTCACTAATTGCCTAGTTTTATGGATGAATTCCTACTGCAATTTGAAAAATTGTTCAGCCCATTCATTTCTGAAAGGTAAAAGCCTCAATTATATGCATGGTAATAAGAGATAAAATTTATTTATCATAATCCCATATTTTACAGGGGCATTAAAGCTAGTCATATACTCCTGTCAGCAAATGGACATGTGTCGTTGACAGGAATACGTAATGCATATTGTATGATAAAGAATGGGCATCGACTAAGGACAGTACATGAATACCCAATCACATGTGTGTCCATGTTGAAATGGTTTAGTCCTGAAATTTTAGCACAGGTAAGTGTAAAACAGCAGCTTATTGTGTATATTTTTTAGACATCCTGAAAAGTAAACATACATGTGAACCTCCCAACGGGAGTACAATAATCCCGTTTTCAGGGGTCTCCTCCCGACCTCCCGTTGAAGAAAAAAAAATCCTGTGTATGAAATTTTGCCAACATATCATCTCAGACATCTGGTGTAACTTACATTACCTGAAGTTATATTTTACCTGTAAATCAATTAACATGCATAATTATATGGCTTCACTTGTCAGCTTGGGTGTCAAACATACTGGTAATCAACGATTTTTACCTCAGGCTTACTGCCGTTGTGTAATAAAAACTTTGTGTATTTTGTAGGTAACTTCCCTTGATTTATCCTGTTTTAAGTTACTTTCCTTTAAATAATGAAAATTTTTAAAAGAATATAAATAAAATAAAAATTGAACAAATAATCATAAAAGGATGGTAATTAAATGATTTTAAATGTCAAAGAACACATAAAAAAATGATAATTTGAAAATTATTTGAGGGTTCTATACTTTCTTTCAAGGCTTAAATTGAAATTTATATGACAATTATGACCCTCAATTCTAGTTTGAACTCAGTCACGTCTCAGTCATTACAACTAAACGGACGTGCTGGGTCAGTTCTCCTTTACTCGCTATCTTCGATGAGGGTTTATTGTTAGATGGATCAATGACTTACTATTTGATGACAGAAACCAATCCAACGCTGTACAGACTACCTTAGGCTATAATCTGCGTAGGGCTAATTCCCGCGTCAACATACACTCCAAAACCCATTATGGATGGGGGAGTGGTATGCCGAGTGACGTCCGAGGGCTGTATCCTAGGTGTTAGATGATGGACCACCATTTCACTGTCTCACGACTTTGGTCCTGATAATGCTTCCTGTCATTGTTAATACTACGTCCGAGACTCATCTACCAGTACTCCATCATCGAGGTTAGCGGGCTGCCAAGCTGACCAATCTGGCCCTGAAAACAGCCGTTGTGAAGACATAACATCAAAATAGTCAACAAAAGTAAAACCAAAACAACTCACAAAACCAAGATGGCGGCCTACCAAAATGGCGTCCTCCACCTGTTCCTGACCAATGGCACAAAATTATTTAAACGCTCAAGAACGCCTTCGGGCACTGAGCCGACCGTGCGAGGGATGTATATCCAGTCAAGGTCGTTAAAAACTTCCATTTGTTGTCTAGTTTGAATGAGTTTCTGAATAATCAAATAATAACTAATTGCAATTGCAGATAGTTAAACAAATGTTCTGATTGTAATGATTGTTCTATAGAATAATGATTTAAAAGATATGAAGTAAAAAATTTAAATAACATACTAAAAAAAAAGAATGTTAGATTGAACATGTAGAATATAAAGATAGAGAAACTTTATAAGTACAAGGGTACTATAAACATAATACATTGGATGGGAAGTTGAAGAAAACACACTTTAAAAGACAATTTTTACAGCACGGGTACATTTACGACAAAATTTATGTCGATTAAAAACCTCCTGATCTGAGTCCTAATCTCCTGACCAAAATTTCCCAATCTCCTGATCTGAGTTTCACAGTCCATCACATGTATGAGTAAAATACACAAATTTAACACAGAAAGGCAAAATGACTTACTGGTACATGAAAAAATATATACAAACTTCATTTTTCAAGTCAAGTTCATAGAAAAAAATTAGTATTTTTCTCAACAATCTTTGATCATTTTGCAAATACTAAAAGATGACTATTAAGATACTTTTTTATTTTTAAATGAAATAAAAATACTGTCAGACAAGAGGGTTGTGTAAATTTAGTAAATAATTCATGCAAGCCATAGATTTGTTGGAAATTTTCACATGGCCTGTGCTTTTGTATTTGAATTTTATTCCAAGCAGTAGCGAGGGATAAAATGAATAAATATAATGGTCCAGGCTATGCAAAAATGACTCCAAATCAATGGCTTGCAAAAATTATTTTGATTCTAATAGGACATACAATACTCGGAATAATTTCTTCCAAGTAATATGTAAACAGTGATCCACGTGGTAATTATCAATTTTTTTAAATTCAAAAATTTCACTATTTTTATATATGCTTAATTCTCACTGTTTAATTTTGAATGAACTGCAAATTGTAGAGAGGAATGCTTGCAATCAAGTAATTTTAATTCCAAGCAGTAGCGAGGGATAAAATGAATAAATATAATGGTCAAGGCTATGTGAAAATGACACCAAATCAATGGCTTGCAAAAATTATTTTGATTCTAATAGGAGATACATATACTGTTTTTTTAACGACTGAAGTGATGATAAATGTGTAGAGAAGTAAGCCTCCATATTGACTTGCTGAAATTCATAAATGTGCGATTAATGCAATAGAATTGAACAACACCAACCTCAAAAAATCCATTTTGATGAGATATCAGCTGAGTTTGAAGCAAACAAATAACTGAATAACCTTCAAGCTTGAGAGTATTCATTCATATGACTTCATGTTTTGACATGGCGCTTTAATATGCCAAGATTCATTAATTAAATTTATTTTTTTTTAATTTTATACATTTTTCCTAGCTCCAATGCATTAATTCTTTTTATTATGCATTAGAATAGGGATAACAGTTCTGTTCATTTTTTTTTTTCAATTTCAATTTTCGCACAGTGAAATCGACATAGTGTTTACATAGGTATTGATACATGTGGATTTTTGGTGAGCTATAAACTGGAACAGCCATAAATATGTACATCTGTAAGTCTGTGCTAAATGTATATATATCAAGAATTTATCACACTGTTGTTTACAAGACAAAAGTAGCACATCATATTAGAATTGATATTTTATAATAACCTGTATCTATTTTATAACAGAATTTAACTGGCTATGACACAAAATCCGATATCTACAGTATAGGTATAACAGCTTGTGAGTTAGCCAATGGGGCAGAACCGTTTGCAGACATGCAGTTAACTCAGGTTTGTAATTCTTATCCATATCCAGCATAAACTTTTCCTTATTTTAAACATATTATCTTACAATTGGTCAAATCTTATTAGAATTTTGAAGGAACTGCTTACAAATTTGAAAGCTGTGAAATCAAATATTTCTGATACTTATTAGATGAATTGAGGGATTTCTGTATGTTTCAGTGGTTACTTTTTATACGCCCGTCAAAATTTTGACGGGACGTATTATGGTATACAAATGTCCATCGTCTGTCTGTCTGGCGTCCACATGTCGCACAGTAACTTGAGAACGACTTATCCAAATTTCATGAAACTTAACATAGTTGTTTCTTATGATGGTCAAAGGATCTGTATACTTTTTGGTGAAAATAAGATTAAAACTTTTTGAGTTACGGGACTTTGTAACTTAAACAGGGGGTGTTTTTTTCACATGTTGCGCCGTATCTCAAAAACGATTAATGATTATTGCTTAAAACTTTACACACTTCTTTATAATATTAATCTAAAGATCTGTATTATTTTTGGTGATGATTCAAAATTTTAGTTTAGAGTTATTGAGCTTTTTGTAAAAAAAGGGGGGGGGGGGGGTGTTTCACATGTCGTGCCGTATCTCAAAAACGATTTATGATTATTGCTTAAAACTTTACACAATTCTTAATTATATTAATCTAAAGATCTGTATACTTTTTGGTGATGATTCAAAATTTAATTTTAGAGTTATTGATTTTTTTTATAAAAAAAGGGGGGTTTTCACATGTCGTGCTTTATCTCAGAAACTATTTATGATTATTGCATAAAACCTCACACACAAGACGATGGGCGTATCATGCGCTTGTGGCGCAGCTGTTTATTCATCTGTATTTATTAGGAGAGCATGCTAATGTGATATGAATTTTATTTGTACTGAAATGACATGTGATGCCAGATTTTGAATGTGCTAGTTTACAAGGGAACAGCCAACCCTGACTCCAAGATGACCACTCTTAAAATATTTCCTATCACCCTGCAGAAAAAAATATTCCTTATGATGAGATGTTTTCTATACCACTGCAAACAAAGTTTTAAGGGGTATTTTGGTATTACTCTGTCTGCCTGTCCACCTGTCCACCTGTCCTTGTGACAAATAAAAGAACATGACCTCATATGGACATTTGTCTATTGTTAAAATATTTGTTGACATGTAGATGGGGTTTTATTGTTTTATGTGTTGTAATGTTTGTTTCATTGAAATATTTCCCACATTTTCTTTAATTGGAGATTGGCAAAAGTGGCAATGTTTTGATTTCTGATATCATGTTCATTTTAATACCATTGTTTTGAATGCCCTGGATATATAGCATTTTGTGCTATGGAAATGGCAATAGATTGGTGTTTAATGTATAGTGGCAAATATTACTTATAATTACATATCAGGACGAGAACATTTTAATGTGATTTGAATATTAGCCCTGCTTTTATTTAGGCTGACATGCTTAGCTAAAATGCTTATTCGGAGGGTAACAGTCTGCAGGAAGACTCTGAGCTGACCAGTCGTTGCTTTTACTTCATTAAAATGTGGCATGCTAAGCAGAGAAACAACAAATACTGATTCTCAAATCTTTGATTTATTGTGGCCAGGAATAGAATCCACAATCTCCTACATTCATGTCAAGCACACTACCATGGGACTTTCAAATTTAATAATGAATCAAGCTTCTGTAATTATTTATGTTTTGTAGATGTTAATGGAGAAGATGCATGGTACAAAGCCTGTCCTTATAGACTGTACAACCATTGCTGATTTAGTTGGAGATGATGATAATGCAACACAAAGTAATAATCTTCATTTTGGCATCTATAGGCGAATAGAAAAAAAATTGATGGGGGATGGTTTTTTTTCCAAAGAAAAGTTTTGGAATTATGTAGGATTTTTAAAATTGAATATTTAGTCATTAAGCAGATATTAATGATTTTGCTAAACCTTTCGAGTATATGATTGTTGATGTATTTATTTTAGATAAGAATTCAAAAATTGAAGTTTACACAGTGGAATACTTTATTCTATATAAGGACAAATTATTTTGTTTTATTTTTACCATTTATTCTATAAATTGAGAAATATTTGAATTTCAAACTATTATTCTTAGGGATGGCAATTTAAATGCAGTGAAATATTTACCGCTTTTATACTTAAAAAATAGGTTTATGCAAGTATATTTATGCATTTCTATGATTTAGCTTATGTAGTTTAAATCATACAGTTTCTTTGTGTATGGTTATTTTGAATATGATATAACAATATTAAACAAGCTTTTTTTTAAATTGCTGTTGTTATTGAATATACTCGTGCACTATAATTAATAGTTGTTGATGTGTTTATTGCTACAGGATTTATTACTCATAGCTTTGTTTGTCAAGGTGCTGGATTTATTTTCTCAAAATTTTTGTTTATGTTTATATCTGCAAAAAAGTCAATATAAATGTGGGTTCTTTGCAATTACCAAGTGTAAAAAACCCAAAGCATATCTAGATGTCACCATCATTGGGGTAAGAACAACCAATGACAGAATGTTTTCATACTTTGCCAAATGTACTTTATATCATACCATTTTAAAAAATATAATAAAAAGTATAAGTAATCAAGCTTGTTTTCAAGGTACTGGTTGTGCAAGATTGACATATTTTGTATGGATTACAGGGGTAAAAAACTATTATGTGTATAGGAAGAAAACTACATGTTAGAATATTGAAATAAAAAATGAAAAGATAGATCTTAGAAAATGTTTTTAGAAAATAAAAATATCAAATTAGATCCCAGTACTTGTATCTACTATAAAATAAAATAGATCAATTTAATTACTGTACATTCCCTTTTGAAAATAAATTATCTGAGTTATATCCCCTGTAAGACCTCATAATTCAAAGTTTTTAATTTCTGTATTTGTAAATAAAGTTCTCATAAGTTTAAATCACTAAAATTTCTTCGTTTAAATGAAAAGACTCACTATTAATAAATTACATTCGTACAACAAAACTGGTTGATTTCATTAAAATTTCTGGACAGATCATTTGGTTTAATTTGTGATTCAAGCTATCGTAGGAGCATTATGTTTTCTGGTCTGTGCATCTTTCTCTCCATTATTCTGTCCAGTATAAGATTAAAATTTTGGTTTAAGGAAGTTTACCATGACGTTGTCATCACATCAATTTGAAACTTAGTACACATGTTTATTTTGATGTGATCTTTTTAAAAATATATGCCAAATTAGGATTTTCTGCCCATATTTGGTAGTTTACTTAACATGGAAATGGGATAGTGTGAACTTGGCATGGTGTTCTATGGACACTTAATCTTGTTTTTTTTCCATGTGGTAAATTGTAAGGTGTTACAAGAGCTTACTGAAGCTTTTTAGGAAGTCAAAAGATGCTTTGTTTAGAGAAAGCAGAATTGCGGTTAACTCAATGTTGTGTTTCTGAGATTTACAGTTTACATATTTATGCCATTTACTTGTCAAACATGGTTTTCCAAAGATTTTTTTTTAAAACCAAGAAAATGGTCACCACAAAAAAGATAAAAATGTATTGTAGTATTAAAATAACCCTTCAGATAAAAAGAATTAATTTTCCAATGGGGCATTTTTGACAACAGAATCTGCACCATTATGAACTAACAGTCTTTTGTCATGCTTTCTATATAGATGAGCATTGTACATTTTGTAAGTGTTTATTCAGAGAAATATACATCAGTATACAAAACATACATATAGACATATATATCAATATACATTGCATCATATTATATTCAGGTTATTAATTATTATTAGATACATGTCCGTCTTAATAGTATAAAGTTTAGATGAGGTCAACAGATTCATTGTTTTCTTGTTTATAGATTGAAAAAAGTATCAAAAGAACAAAATAAGCATAATTTTATGACAGATTAACACTGGTTTTTTTCCATGCATCATTCAAACTTTAATGATGTAGAGAGCAAAAAATGTATCTGGTAACCCTTATATTTCACATTATTAAAAAAAAATGTTCACAGCAATATGTTAATAATTTATAACAAAGTTTAGTGGACAGAATTTATCAAGAATTCACCATTTAAAGAGAAAAAAATGTATTTTGCTGCAAAAATTTCGTAAAAATTTCGAATACTGCCAAATTTAATTATTTTGCCAGGATATACAGTCAAATCATTTAATCAAGACTTAGCTTATATTTACATTTACTGAAAGTCTTTGTCCTAAAGTCTAGAAAATTAGCAAGTGACATTAATAATGATAGCATACAAATTTTTGTTTAAAAGAGGATTTTGCAAGAGATAAGTCTCTAATTGTACCTTCTCTTTTGTTGGTTTTAGTTAAAGTCTGATGTGTTGAAATTTATTTAATGTACTAATTATATATTTGGGAGGTCATTGTGACTGATGAACAAACATTGCATTAGAATATTATTATCAGGCTAGTTTTTGCATCTATCGTCATTTAGAATATCAAAAGATGCTAAATTTAATTCAGAAGCAAATCTGACAATCCTGCCACAAAACATTTTGAAACTAACAAGATTTACTGACATCAGTGAATCTGCTATGCTATAATGTTTTATGGATACAAATATATTTCATAAAAAGTAACGTTTAAACATGATATAAAAAAAGGAACTGGTCATTTTTTTTTTAGGTCAGGAGAAATTGACATGAAGTTATGCACAAGAACAACTGTTTCATGATTTTTGGATTTGCTTCTAAAATAGATATACATGTATATATAACATACTACATGAAAGAATTTTTTTTTGAAAAGTTATTATTTTGCTTCAATTAAGATTAAGTGTGTCTAAAATATTATGTATTATATCTAAAGCTTCAACTTATTAATACTAATAACAGTTGAAAAGTCTTTTTAAAATTCACAAATTTGAGCAAATAGACAATACATGTCCTTTGCAAATATATAGTTGCAGGTTGAAGATTGAATTATTTAGTCACAGAAAGGAATTCTGAAAAGATTCTTGATGGTTTACTTATTATATACATCCTAACTTGATATTAAACAAGATAAATTCAACTTTTTAGCTTGGTCTAAAATAATTGTGGCCAGATTGATGAAATGAGTCATAATTGAACAATGTAGCATGGACAAATTTTATATAAACTTTTAATATTAGCAATATTTGTTCAAATGTTCTTTGCTTTATGTTATGCTTAAAATGATAGATTGAACAAATGCAAAATGATAAATTTTGTATCATGCATTATTTTTTTTTCCATTTGAATAATTGACTACAATATGATTTTAAAATCATCTTTATTTCTTCTTTTTATTGTAGTTGCGCAAGATTCTGGAATAGATGTAGACACAGCCAAAAGTAGAGCAGAAGTTGTAGATATTGCCAGCCGTAGGAAATTCTCTCAACACTTCCATAACTTTGTTGATGTTTGCTTAGAAAAAGACCCTACTCAAAGGTCAGTAGGTCAAAGAGTCAGAAATTTTCAAAACAAAATCTTTGACAGTATTCAATCTTTTGTTTGTTACATACCACTTTAAACTAATATGTTAAATATATCGACATTAAAGACAACAACACTCATAAATTACTGCAAAGAAATAGTTTTAATGGTTGACATGTTTCGCCAGCAAGCGTGGCATCTTCAGGACAAGTATACATATGAAATAAAACAGTGAAGTACAAATTTTGTGGTTATTGTGTTTAAAGGGAAGTAATGTTACATTTATTGTTGTATGACAACGTTAAAGATAAAAATAGAAAGTAAAAGTGAAAAAAGAATAGTTTATTGGTTTAGTTAAATAGATTGTGAAAGTTAGTCAAGAAAGTTATTCGCAGTGGTTGGCTGCTGTTCACACACGTCTGTATACAGTCTCATTGGAGATTCCTAGTGGTATTGCTATAGAGATGATGAAAGTGGGTGATAAAATGTTCGGTTTAATTTCCCAAATGGACAACACAGCATCTCACTGGTAATTCTGTACCAATTCAACTGGCTTTGCACTAGGAGATACTGCTTCCAATTGCTTCGGGAATACTTATAGAATAACTAATCGAAGAATTCAAATAGAGAAAAATATTCAACGAGTGACCGAACAACACATTAATTCACGAATGCGCGTAGCGCATGAGTTAATTATCAGTGTTGTTCGGTCACGAGTTGAATATTTTTCGATATTTGCATTCTTTGATTAGTTATTCTTTTTATTACATTGGCAAAGAGCTTTTTTAATGAAATTAATGTAGAAAATGTAAGGAACTATATCTTTATTCTACGCATTCACAATTAGTTTTGATCCGACGTTATCGACGTCTTGACAACGCCTATTGTTGTATGACGTCAGAGAGTGAAATAACCACGTTTATTTCACATGTGAAATTATCGGTTTTTATTTGACTGGGAAATCAATGTAATTCATTGCTACCAATGTAATAATATGAGATGTATGATCGCCACTGGTATTGGGAATTATAAAAATCGTGGTAGATCTTTAAATATTTAATTTGTTTGTAGAGTGTCCACAGATCATGTTTGGCTTCATAAATTTATTGTGTGGTGCCTGTGGTTCATTCTGTTTCTGTTTCTGTTGTCTTTTCTCTAAATGGGTTGTCTGGTATTCCAAATAATTTTACCTATTTGTACTTATGTGTTGTATGTTAATTTTCCATAATTAAAGGAATCTTGTGTGTATTTTCCTATGATTGCTTCTGTTTTCATATCTCTCCTTTCTTCTGATGGTGTGTAAAATGTTGAGATCATTTTTGGGAAAGGATCGACAATCTTCGAAATTTTCTGTATTTGTTCATGCTGGTTGGTCATATAGTACAATGCTAGTGTGGCATAGGTAGATCCTTACATATGCAGGGGTTCACAGTCCTAAAGTTTAACTGTAACTGTTTAAGTGAACCAGCACCTGAAGTGTTGATCGTGCAGTAGGGTAAAATCGATTGGATACCTGTTATATATAATATGTTAAATATTAGAAATGTGCACAATAACAATTGGAATTTATTTACATTATTATAAAGATTAATTTACGTGTTGAAAATTGAACTCTTCTTTACTTGGAAATAACAGAACACAAAGAAGTAATTCTAAAATTCCAGTTGAACAAGTTATAACAGAAATAACAGAATGAATGATAGATTGAACAAAAAGAGAAACATGAAAAATAAGTTACTCTCTGGTATAACAAAACTTAGAGAGGAAAATGAGTAATGATAACAGAATGAATAAAATATTATACCAAAAATAAAAGATTGAATAAAAACTTTCAAGAAATCACAGAATAAATAGTAATTTGGACCAATATAAACAGAATTATTAGTAATACAAACAAACAAAAAAACAAGACAAAAGAAATCTTTTGGTATGTGGCTTTTCCCATAAATTTTGAATGAAGAATGCAATATTTCACATTTAGTTCTATTTCAGTCAGTGATGTGTTATAATATTTAATTACTTTTTCAGGCCTACTGCATCATCACTATTAAATCATTCATTTTTCAAACATTTGAAGAAAAGGTCATGTGATTTTTTGCCAACATTAGTTCAGCCTGTTACCCCATTGAGAGCAGACATGTTACAATCAGGTAATTAGTTCCCTAAAAAACAAGACGAAACTGAGTTTCTGTCATGTGTACTGAAATTTATTGTCAAAGCACTGGCAATGTCTGATATATTAGCAGTACATAATTTGCTGGCAGTGCAAGTAAGACAGTTGATTTGTATCGATAGTAAGGTCTGTTTTATTGTTTGGACTTAACAGTAATACTTAACATACAATACAAAACTGTTTAAACCACTCTTAATGAAGTTGTGACATGGTTCAGTACAGAAAAATTGAGACTTGATTCACACACAGTCTCAAACAAGTATAGTAATTATTGAATTTTTAAACAGGAATTTTTATCTACTCTTCCACTAAGTGTGCTCCTGCTAGGCAACTTATGAACCAGTGTAAATGAGAAGCAATTTGGTTATGTTACATCCTACAAAGTCTTACCAAAATTATTTTACAAAGAATTAAGCTCAAACCGGTGCTAGGGGCCGTCTTAGACTTACAATAAGGTGAAAGTTTTTTTGCTCTGTGTTGAAGGCCTCATTGTGAATTTTAGATGAAGACCAGCAATAAAAGTGCTGTTCCTTTGATTTTTGTCTGTGCATGTATTGATTTTGTGTCATGGATGGATACCCCATATCTGTTGTTTTTCTACTATATAATAATTGAAGCTAAAAATTTCTTACTCTTGTAATATCTGATGCTAAAAATCTGTCCATACTTGCAAAAATTCTTCTGACAAATTCAAAAGTAAAATGCTGACTGATTAATGTATCCATCAGACATTTATGTTTTATTTGTCTGTTTGTGATTTCAGCAACACCTTCTCCTGAAGATGAACTTGTAGCTGATCTTCAAAATATTAATGTGGATGATTGGGAATTTTGATGAAAGTTGCTGGTTTTTGTAGAGGATGTCAGAATATTTATGTGGATTAGGTGGAATGTTAATGAGGATGTACTAAAGGATCCAAAATGTATGCTATTGATTTGTACTGTTTTTCATTGTTGGGAGTGTTTGGAAGATAAAACTGTTTTGTATTTGATGTAAATAAAGCATACCCTTTTTAGAATGTATTTTGATGTTTGGAGTATTCTCAAACAAAATTGCAAGTTAAATTAAACTTATAGATGTATGATATTCTTGTTGAAGGTCAACAATTACCATGTTTTCATTAAAATGCATTTAGATGGCTATACATAAAAGCAGAATGTAATGTTAGTAAGACTGCTGAAAATGAGGTGGAGGACATTGTCAGAAAATAACTGACAATGAGGGTGTGGTTTTGTTAAGTGTATTATTGCAAAGGAAATAAAACCTTTCCCAGAATAAGTTGAAGTTGACCTGGCCATTTAAGTTTTTTTTAGAAGGAGTTTAAATTGCCTTAGCATACCAAGTAAAATGAATATCCTGATTTGTTAGAAGTACATATCATGACTAAAACTGGGCTATAACATTGTATAATGTTTGACAATTTTTTCGTTCATCTGGAAAATTTTTCAAAATTCAAAATTCTGAACCTTTGCAATAATAAATAAACAAGTACAGTTGTACCGGTATACTTTTCTGATTTTTGGATTAATGACAGTTTTGCACTAATATTCATTGAAAATATGAATTGATAAATTTCTGTCTAGTATCACTCTCAAAATATATTAATATGTATATATACAATTGTTGATAAATAGAAAATGTTAAAAGTATGAATGTTGTCTGTATTTCCTTCAAAAGGAGATAATCAGTCTGTGATATACTTTGTATAGGAATGAAATGAGATGTGATAGTCAATCTGATTGGAATCAACTGTTTGTATGGCTATGATTACTGTAAATTCAGAAATTATTGCGTGCATTTATTATTGCGATTTTTGAAAAATGGACAAAAATGTGAGATTAATTATTGCGATTTCAGGAGAATCTGTACACAAATATATGTATATCAGATATCAGAATGCAAGTTTTTATTATTGCGATAATCACCAAGTCGCATTATTCGCATTAATAAAAACCTCGCAATAATTTCTGAATTTACAGTAATACTTACTACACCATGAAGTAGAAAATTCTGGATATCTCACCTTCTTATGCCTTACTTATATATACATTACAAGTCTAATTCAAGCAATTTTCTTTGTTAAAGAAGCAAGACATGTTTGTTTTGCCTAATTAGAAAATTTAAACCTTATGTAACTTCTTATGTACAATATAAGAATAAGGAGATGTGGTATGAGACAACTATCCACCAAAGTTCAAATGAAGTGGATGTAAGCAATTATAGGCAACCTTACGACCTTCAACAATGAGAAAAAACTATATGTACAGTCAGCTATAAAAGGCCCTGACATGAAAAATATGAAACAATTCAATGGTGAAAATGTTTAGATTTATGTGATGTTAATGTAAAATGTATATTGTAATATTACTTGTGTGTCATTTTCTACTATATAGTAATTGGAGCCAAACAAACAGCTGATTTTAATCTGAATTTGTGATTGTATGTATAAATTTTGTGAATCTGAAATATCTTGTGTACTGTTAAAGTGTTAAGATGGGATATATTTTTCTGTTTTTGTTTCTTTTTTCTGAAAGTAGAAGATATTTTCTTCATATCACATTATATTTAAACTTTTTGATGGTGAGATATGTTGTAGAACATCTTTTGAATGTTTTTCTTGGGGATTTTATCTTACTTACTGTTGAGAAATTTTACTTCATACAAATTCATTCAATTTTATGGTGGTCAGTTTGTTTACTTGACGAAATTGGAGTGCAAGGGGTAAACTGCTGACCTTTTGCATTTAAAGGACTGAATGAAAATATAAGGTCACATCATTGGTTGAGTTTCTTTTATTAAGTCTCCCAAACGAAGTTTGGGAAGACTTATTGTTTTTGCTCAGTTCTTATTATTATTATTATTCTTCTTCCTCTTCCTCTTCCTCTTCCTCTTCCGCCGCTTTTAAATTTGAACTTGTCCGCACCCGTTCTCCAAAACCGCTTGTCAGATTAACTTAGGATTTCACAATATGTTAGACTAACATGTCTAGTGGTGCAATCAGGGTTTTGTTTGTGCAATGGGGTTTATAAAGGGGTACTTTGAGGGGCAAAAGAAAAGAGGGTTTTACTATAGAACCCTATGGGATTTTATTTTTTTAAATTTTCAAATGATTATAAATTGAAAACCGTTTGTGATAGACACAATCTTTTTTATTGAAAATGTTCTAAATGATAAAACCCATTAAATGAAATACAGGGTTAGTCCCCAGGGGTCATCCCGACCCCCTGCCATTTAAGAAAGTTCTAATACCTTGTAAGTGGTCAAGATCCCCACCCCTAAACCATATATATTCTGGTTTGTCATGCTAAGATGGTTTGAATGATATTCATTGTTAGTCCCCAGGGGTCATCCCGACCCCCTGCCATTTGGGAAAGTTCTAATATCTTGTAAATGGTCGAGATCCCCACCCCTAAACCATATATATTCTGGTTTGTCATGTTAAAGCACATAAATTGAAATACAGGGTTAGTCCCCAGGGGTCACCCCCACCCCATGCCATTTAAGAAAGTTCTAATATCTTGTAAGTGGTCAAGATCCCCACCCCTAAACCATATATATTCTGGTTTGTCATGCTAAGATGGTTTGAATGATATACAGGGTTAGTCCCCAGGGGTCATCCCGAACCCCTGCCATTTGAGAAAGTTCTAATATCTTGTAAATGGTTGAGATCCCCACCGCTAAACCATATATATTCTGGTTTGTCATGATAAAGCATATGAAATGAAATACAGGGTTAGTCCCCAGGGGTCACCCCCACCCCATGCCATTTAAGAAAGTTCTAATATCTTGTAAATGGTCGAGATCCCCACCCCTAAACCATATATATTCTGGTTTGTCATGTTAAAGCACATAAATTGAAATACAGGGTTAGTCTCCAGGGGTCACCCCCACCCCATGCCATTTAAGAAAGTTCTAATATCTTGTAAGTGGTCAAGATCCCCACCCCTAAACCATATATATTCTGGTTTGTCATGCTAAGATGGTTTGAATGATATACAGGGTTAGTCCCCAGGGGTCATCCCGAACCCCTGCCATTTGAGAAAGTTCTAATATCTTGTAAATGGTTGAGATCCCCACCGCTAAACCATATATATTCTGGTTTGTCATGATAAAGCATATGAAATGAAATACAGGGTTAGTCCCCAGGGGTCACCCCCACCCCATGCCATTTAAGAAAGTTCTAATATCTTGTAAATGGTCGAGATCCCCACCCCTAAACCATATATATTCTGGTTTGTCATGTTAAAGCACATAAATTGAAATACAGGGTTAGTCCCCAGGGGTCACCCCCACCCCATGCCATTTAAGAAAGTTCTAATATCTTGTAAGTGGTCAAGATCCCCACCCCTAAACCATATATATTCTGGTTTGTCATGCTAAGATGGTTTGAATGATATACAGGGTTAGTCCCCAGGGGTCATCCCGAACCCCTGCCATTTGAGAAAGTTCTAATATCTTGTAAATGGTTGAGATCCCCACCGCTAAACCATATATATTCTGGTTTGTCATGATAAAGCATATGAAATGAAATACAGGGTTAGTCCCCAGGGGTCACCCCCACCCCATGCCATTTAAGAAAGTTCTAATATCTTGTAAGTGGTCAAGATCCCCACCCCTAAACCATATATATTCTGGTTTGTCATGCTAAGATGGTTTGAATGATATACAGGGTTAGTCCCCAGGGGTCATCCCGACCCCCTGCCATTTGAGAAAGTTCTTATATCTTGTAAATGGTCGAGATCCCCACCCCTAAACCATATATATTCTGGTTTGTCATGCCAAGATGATTTGAATGATATACAGGGTTAGTCCCCAGGCATCACTTATGCATATAACTTTACTGGACCAAACCAATTTTCACTGGACTTTGCCCAATGTCAGGCGACCTTGGGAATTACGAATTATGGGAGCTTCGTTTGGGAGACTTCGTAACAGCATCCTGTTACAATCATTTCTTGTTTAGGATGTTTTTAACCAATCAACGTTTGGTTTACACTTTTGGAATATTACTCATAATAATAGGTTCTGAAGTGATAAATTGATAAACTCTATAACATACCAATTTACTTAGTGCATTGGTTCATCTTGCAAATGAACTTGGCAAAACTTAAACATTTAATGTGGCTCTGAAATTCTAAAGTGATTGGTACAAAGATATTTTAGAAACTAGCTAGACTGCTTCATTGACTAAAAAGAAAAGTAAAGTAAAAGAGAGAAAATGGAGAGATTTTCTTAAGGGATGGTTTTTACTTGCCCCTAAGGAGAAGTTTCTCATAGGGGTATTTTCCAAATTTAAAAAAACTTGGGAGGCTCCCACTAGAATATGGAGTCTTGTCTCTTATGTTTCCTTTGAAAGGTTTAGGGTATATAAGCATTATTTCCTTATTTCTAGGGTTTCATAGAATGATTATAACTATTAAAAAGCTATGACACTTTATAATCTATCCCTGAATATAAAATGAGGTTAATTTTGGTAAACTTGACATTTGATTTTTCTGAATTGTCCTTCCTTATTTTGGTGAATTAAATATTTGATATATGTGAATTATAGCTGTATATTAGCTGAAAGTTATTTACAGTTTAAACTACTTTAAATTATTAAGAAACTAAGGTTTCAACTCCCTCTGGCAAAGTTTACCTTAGATGGATTTAGCTATTATTCTGAGGTCTTTTTTGGTCATATAGCTCTTCAACTCTTTCTGTTTTTATACACTTTTGGTTTTCAAATATTCCGCTTTGAACATTCCTGATGAAGGTAAATCCAGAAAAGTGCTTCTGATGCATGAAATTTATAAAGTGTTGTTTTCATTTTTTAACAAATGATCCAAAATTGTGGTTTTGTATTTAATTTCATTAATAAGTTTTCATCACCAGTAACAAAAGTTTATATTAGTTAAACATATCATAATTCTTTGTATTTATATTGTATCTACCCCCAAAAAAAATCCTCATCATTATCATTGTAGCTTAATTTATTTTAAACAGTTTATGTTCTTTTCATGTGTCAATCACTGTATATATATTTTTATAAGGTTGATAGATTGATCTTATTTACTAAGTGCATCTATTTGCTATTATTACATATACTCTCTGTAAACATGTATCTCTATTCATGCAAATCTAGATATGTATATTTTTTCTATTTACTTTATTAGTTTCGATAGAAGGTCACACAAAATTTAATCTTACATGTAGCTTCACAGGCCATACTTTTGTTTGTTTTTGATTTAGCAGAACATCACACTCAAACTTTTCTACAAGTATGACCTGAAAATAACACATACTAATTATCATATTGAAATTTTAATTCATTGAGCAGTGATTGAGTTTTAGATGAGAAAAAAAAAATGATTCAGCATGGATGTTTGAAATTGGAAAGCTATAAATTCCCTTGGCTTAATTTCTAATATAAAAAACAAACCATAGTGTAACATTATCCTGCATAAATTCATATTTTTAAAAGTGTCCCTTTACAAATCACTTCAGGATTTTTTCCTATAACATATGCCTCTTCTCATGAGAAAAGTTATTATTTGACTTATAGTAAGTTTTAATGATTATACCCCATGGAACAAAGTTCCGTAGGGTATAATGTTATCGAACTGTCCGTCAGTCTGTTCTTTAGTCCTGTTCTCCAACTCCTCTGAAACCACACATCAGAATTTCATGAAACTTTGTAGATAATTGGGACATAATATGTAGATGTGCATATCAGTTGTTGCAAACATGACCAGTCAATTTGCATTTTTTTTTTTTAAATGTACCCAAAAACTTCAACCATAAGTTTTGAATGGTCTTTAATGATAGGTTTGAATTGTGTGATTGATATTTTAGATGGTGATTACAATTTATTATTATATACCGGTATGTTACTATGGTAACGTTTGTTCATTTGTTACTCTTTTGTTTGTTGCACATTAAATACACAAAAAATATACATATGTAAATAAATGAAGTCTTGGCTTATATTATATTCTGTGCAGTCAGTTTTTTAAACTAATTTAATGGTTTGACTGATATTAAGGTAGCATTAAACAGATTTTGATGATTTTTAAGTACCAGCAAAAAATTGTTTTGTATCACTATTAGTACTTAGTGTGGTTTGAGATTTTTTACTTCATATGATTTTTCAAGAGAAAAAAAAAAAAGCAGTATTGTTCTGAGAAGCAAGGTATCTGTTTTTACTTGATATTCCTTTTGTTATATTACTTCTTGTTTGGTAAACATCCAGTGGTAAATATTTCATGAATAATCAGGATGAGAACAATTTAGTAGTTTCTCATTTTGCAACATGACGGGTGCCACATGTGGTGCAGGATCTGTTTATCCTTCTGTAGCACCTGAGATCACACCCAGATTGGTGTTGCTCAGTCTTAAGTTTTCTATGTGTTTTTTTTACTTTTAGTTGTTGTTATATGTTTTTTATCATGATATTGTTGGTTTTTCTTTGATTTTAATTTTGATTGTCACTGGTGTCATCTGCCTTTTTTTTTAGTAGAATATGAAATGGATGTAGATCAGGAGGTTGCAGAATTTTGACTGTCACTGGAAAGCATTGTGCAGGATAAGAAATTAAATCTTATAACAAACAACCTAAAAAAGTTATCACAGTTCTTATTTGTGTAAAGAGCATAGAATTATCAAAACATGTGCCTTTAACTTCCCTAATCAAATTTGATGCTTTTTCCTTTTGAATTATGTTATAGACAGTTTAAGTTATTCTTTCTTAGGTCTCTTTTGGTGAACCTGCTCCTCACATTCAGGTAACGATGTAATGATGTAAATAAGTATTTTGTCATGCTGGGCTATTTACATCTATGCATGATTGGTTTTGTTCATTGTTGAAGGCAGCACCTTGCCCTATAGTTGATTAATTCCTCATCCTATGGTCTCTGGTGGCAATCATACCACATCTAATTTTTATATAGTCTCTGGTCTTGAACTTTTATAATGGCATAATAATATTTAAGAATAAACCAGGTTTAAATAGAACTTTTATTGTACACATAACATGGTATACATAGATCTCTATAACTAACAAAAACAGTAGAAACAATGATGGACGGAATATAGAACATTATATCACATTTATATAAAAAAAAAGTTTACTGGACCATTTCAAAAGACTGCATTTTAGTCAAGGTACTGATTACTGGTACTCAAGGTAATAAAATCTAGAATAAAATCAATTTGAACAATGAAAATTTATTTTGGTTGTAAAATCGGAAATTTCATTAAAGTTGACTAGAACTTATCTATAAAACAGATAATGTTATAAAATCTGGAATTTTATCAATGCATACTGTCATTAATTATCAAAATATTGTTTCATAATCACCCTCGAAGAATTCATTTTAATTTGTCAATGGAATGTGCAGATTAAAAAAAAATAACTTAACATTTTTTTCTTAAAATATGGTTGAAATTGCATACTTCATATACATAAAAAAAATAAATAACTGGAATTCAAAGTCACAACAAAATATCACCAACTGCATAGATAAAGATTAAAATGGTATCAAAGCACATAAAATATTTATTTTTAAATCAATATCCGTCTAAAACATATAGAAAAAAAAATTTAACATGTAAAAATAAAATTTCACAATATAAGTATCACATAATGACGAGAAAGACATCACAGCTGACACTGAAGATTTTTGATTAAATAAATAGATAAAAATGTACAATATATAAAAAGACAATGGGTAACTGGACTGGTCAACAATTGAACAAAACATAAGTGCATTATGATACTATTTACAATTATTATAACCCAAATACCACAAATACCTTTCAACAATCTGTAACATAGTTGCAATCAATAACTTCAACATTGGTACAGGGCCAAATCTTATATCTGATAAATCATGATCAATAAAAATTTCAACAAAAGTTCATCAACAAATTCAACAATGGTTTGATCACGATCATGATCATTGAAAACTTTTAAATCTTATGAATCATGTGATAATCAACTAATGTAGGGGTGGGGTAATTAAATGATAGTAAAATTTGATTTTTGAAAAAAAAAATGAGTTAAATTTGACTTTAATTCTGTCTTGTAGGAACATTTTACTACATAACATACGACTAATATGCCTTTGTAACTGAGCTTTAACAGGTATATGAAACAGATGATAAAAACATAATTTATTGAAACAAGAATTATGTGCACAAAGTCGTTGCTTGAAAAATGCTTCTCATAAGTATGATGCGAAAAGTGAGAAGCGAATCGGGCAAAGACAAAAAAAAAAACTTCAAATGTAACAAACAAATTTAAAACAATGATTTTTCATGCAGCAATCCACAATGATCCTTTTTGTGTAGATGATACAGCTCAATGTATCTATGAATGAAACATCAAAAGAGTCTTTTAAATATTCCTCATCGTAAGTAATATATATTTCGCTCATATTTTAATTTTTTGAAATTTTAGGTAGTTTATTGTCCCCTTGTATTCATTCAAGAAAAATGTGAAAATTAAATTGACCTTGAAAAGGTATGACCTTTGCAAAAGGCTTTCAGATAATGGAGACCACTATAATTATCAATTATAAAGATCCCCATAAAGTTGCATAATTTACTTATAATCTGAACATGCTCTATACAATAATATAATACTTTATAAGTAAAATGAATAAGACATCTGACAAAAGATTGTGCAATACTGTCTGTTCTCCTGAGAATCACATCATTTCTATTTCTATGGTAACAACAAAAGTCTTTTTTAATAAGTGGCATAGGGTTCACTCAGTGCATAATTTTTGTCCTGGAAATAAAAATTAAAGAAATATTATTTCATTTTGTAAAACACATTGTTTCTTTTTGTGTACTAAACATCTAAATTTTAATATTTAGTCGAGACTATCTTTACAATGCAAGATACTAACTCAAGGTACAGTCTCCTAAGAATGTGTTGTTTAAAGGACAAGAATATGAACTGTACTCCCTTAAACAATGAGCAAAACACAAACCTTATAGTAGTTAAGCTATTAAAGGCCCAGGGATGACAAAATGTGAAACAAATCAACAGAGAAACAAACAACCTGATTATACTTGAACAAGAATGTGTCCATAGTACATGGATGCCCCACTGGCACTCATTTTTTATGTTCAGTGGACCGTGAAATTGGGGTCAAAACTCTAACTTGGCATTAAAATTAGAAAGATCATATCATAGGGAACATGTGTACTAAGTTTCAAGTTGATTGGACTTCAACTTCATCATAAACTACCTTGACCAAAAACTTTAACCTGAAGCGGGACAGATGGATGAACGGAAGGACGAACGAACGAACAAACGGACGCACAGACCGAAAAACATAATGCCCTAGGTGGGGCATAAAAATAAACAAAATCCAAAATTGGCAGACAACAACCAATGACAACCACTAGATTACCTGCTCCTGGCTTGGAATAGGCACATAAAGAATGTGGCTGGGTTAAACATCTTTGTGAGCAATCAACCCTCTGCTAACCTGAGACAGACAAAAACATTTGAGTACCAATCTGAGAGTACTTGCAGCTACTGAAAGCCCAATTTCAACATATGTTGTTCTTCTCTCATTTACATATTGTTTATTCAAAATTGGCATAATACAAATAATGAATAAACCACCATCAACCAATTTTTATACGACCGCAAAAATTAAAAATTTTTTGGTCGTATATTGGTATGACGTTGGCGTCGTCGTCGTCCGGCGTCGTCGTCGTCGTCGTCGTCGTCATCTGGCGTCGTCCTGCGTCGTCCGAAGACACATTGGTTTTCGCACTCTAACTTTAGTTTAAGTGAATGGATCTTTATGAAATTTTACCACAAGGTTCAATTCCACAAAAGGAAGGTTGGGATTGATTTTGGGGGTTATGGTAATAACAGTAAAGGAATTAGGGGCCAAAAAGGGGCCAAAAATAAGCATTTTTGTAACTTCCAGACATAACTTGTGTGTTAGTGTATGGATCTCTCTGACATTGTACCACAAGGTTCCATATCACTAAAGGAATGCTGGGATTGATTTTGGGGGTAATTGCCTCCAAATTTTAGGAATTAGGGGCCAAAAAAGGGGCAAAAAACAAGCATTTTTCTAGTTTCATGACAATAACTTGTGTGTAAGTGTATGGATCTTTCTGAAATTGTACTACAAGGTTCCATATCACAAAGGGAAAGCTGGGTTTGAGTTTGGGGGTAATTGCCCTAAACGTTTAGAAATTTGGGGCCAAAAAGGGGCCAAAAAACACATTTTTTTCTAGTTTCCAGACAATAACTTGTGTTCAAGTGTATGGATCTCTCTGAAATTGTACTGCAAGGTACCATACCACAAAGGGAAGGCTGGGATTGAGTTTGGGGGTGATGAATCATAATGGGGGTTCAAAAAATTTTGGGGGGGGATTTATTTTTTTTTCCTTTTTTTTCTTTTTTTCCTTTTTTGTTTCTTTTAAAATTTTCCATTTTAAGTTGGTTATTTCTGATTTATATTTAAAATCAAATAATAATGATATGATAGGAGATACACACCAAACAGGATGTGTAAATTATTATATAATAAGTATTGTGCAATAGCAAGAAATTTTCAATTGCACAGTATTGCACAATAGCAAGAAATCTTCAATTGCACAGTATTGCACAATAGCAAGAAATCTTCAATTGCACAGTATTGCGCAATAGCAAGAAATGTCCAATAGCACAATATTGCGCAATAGCAAGAAATTGTCAATTGTACAGTATTGCGCAATAGCAAGAAATATTTAATAGCACAGGATTGTGCAAAAGAAGATACTTCCTATAAATTGCTTATTTCTTGACCAATTTCAATGGGGTTTTATTCTTGATTTCATGGGGTTCTTTAATATGCTGAATCTAACCGTGTATTTAGTTTTTGGATTTTGGGCCCCGTTTTTAAATTGGTCCACATTGAGGTCCAAAGGGTCCAAAATTAAACTTTGTTTGATTTCATCAAAAATTGAATTATTGGGGTTCTTTGATATGCCGAATCTAACTGTGTATTTAGATTCTTAAATTTTGGTTCCGTTTTCAAATTGGTCTACATTAAGGTCCAAAGGGTCCAAAATTAAACTTAGTTTGATTTTAACAAAAATTGAATTCTTAGGGTTCTTTGATATGCTGAATCTAAACATGTATTTAGATTTTTGATTATGGGCCCAGTTTTCAAGTTGGTCCAAATCGGGGTCCAAAATTAAACTTTGTTTGATTTCAACAAAAATTGAATATATGGGGTTCTTTGATATGCTGAATCTAACCATGTATTTAGATTTTTGATTTTTGGGCCCCGTTATCAACTTTGTCCACATTGAGGTCAAAAGGGTCCAAAATTAAACTTTGTTTGATTTCATCAAAAATTGAATTATTGGGGTTCTTTGATATGCCGAATCTAACCGTGTATTTAGATTCTTAATTTTTGGTTCCGTTTTCAAATTGGTCTACATTAAGGTCCAAAGGGTCCAAAATTAAACTTAGTTTGATTTTAACAAAAATTGAATTCTTAGGGTTCTTTGATATGCTGAATCTAAACATGTATTTAGATTTTTGATTATGGGCCCAGTTTTCAAGTTGGTCCAAATCGGGGTCCAAAATTAAACTTTGTTTGATTTCAACAAAAATTGAATATATGGGGTTCTTTGATATGCTGAATCTAACCATGTATTTAGATTTTTGATTTTTGGGCCCCGTTATTAACTTTGTCCACATTGAGGTCAAAAGGGTCCAAAATTAAACTTTGTTTGATTTCATCAAAAATTGAATTCTTGGGGTTCTTTGATATGCTGAATCTAACCATGTATTTAGATTTTGGATATTGGACCATAATAGGTGAATGTCCAATTTAAAATTTTTAAGTTCTTAGACCACATTCAATCTGTGTTAGAAACCTATGCTGTGTCAAATATTTAATCACAATCCAAATCCAAAGCTGTATCAAGCTTGAATGTTGTGTCCATACTTCCCCCAACTGTTCAGGGTTCGACCTCTGCGGTCGTATCAAGCTGCGCCCTGCGGAGCATTTTATTAGGATTTCTTAAGGTAGAAAAATAATAAAATGGTTGAGTCATATGTAGCTATAGACTGCAATCTCCAAAAAGTATACTGTGGATTCATAATTATTCGTGGGATACCAATTTTCGTGGATTTCGTGGGTAAAGTTGAACAACGAATTTAAATGTTCAACGAATTACAAATTTTCCATAGGCTTGTATATAGACTTTGGCAAAACCATGAAATCAAATACATGTATCCACGAACATACAATATTTTCTCAAACCACGAAAATTGGTATCCACGAAAATAAATGAATCCACAGTAATTGAAAATAATGAAGTCCATATAATGGCAAGGGAAGCCCCAAAAATCACACAGATCAAAATACAAATTTTAGGTGCAAGAATAGCATTTTTGAGTCAATTTGGTTGAATTCTGTTGAGCCATTTGAAAGGATAAACTAACTATTATATGCAGATATTGCAAAGTCCATGTTTTGGTTTGGGAACCCTAATTATGACTGATCAAAAATCAAAATAGCAGGAACACAACTGCAATATAGTTGAATTCTGTTATGCTGCTTTTAAGGAATTGCAGACTAACAAACTTAAGACACGGACAAAGATGACAACAGAAGTGATCCCTATTTGCACTCCAGCTGGACTCTGTCAGGAGACACAATTAACAAATCTGAATTGTAAAATCAAATAAAAAAAAAAAGGTTAATGTTTGGTTTTGTACAAGATACCTAAAATATACTTTTTATAGCATTTCTTTATAGAACAGCAGATGAAGGCAAGAAAAAGAGAGACTCCTCAATCAATTTTCAGGAGGAAAAAGTTTTAAAACACTAAAAGAACAGATATATTAGTCTAAGCATTGATTCTGAATATACAAAAAGAACATGCGTACCAGAATTCTTGCTATATTAATTTAAAACAAAGAAAAACAGGTGCACCCAAATTCATACTGTTTAAACAGAATATCTTGATTTTCACCATATTTGGTACTAACATCACTTAAATTGCTGGAATTTCCATGCTATTGTCTATATATATATAAATAGTAATTTCACAATCACTTCTCATTTCTGATATTATTTTCTTTTTCCGAAGACATTCATAATATGCTTCAATATGTGCAAAACCCAACCACTTTTAAATTTTTAAAGGACATAGATGTTGTTGCATCCTAAAACCTTGTGCAAAAGTTGAAATACAGAAGAAATCTACGATGGAATACATTTTAGATTGCTACCATTCAATCGACTAACCTAAATCATAGTGTAAGCCTGGAAATAAAAGAATACAAATGGTTGTATAAATTGTTTTAGTATATCATAATTTTGAATGGGCAAAATATACATTTTTGCTCCTGTCCCAAGTCAGGAGCCTCTTGCCTTTGTTAGTCTTGTATGTTTTTTTTTAATTTTGGTTCATTTATATGTTTCGGAGTTTAGTGTGACATCCAATTTAACTGAACTAGTACACATTTTCGTTAAGGGTCAGCTGAAGCCCGCCTCCAAGTGCGGGATTTTCTAGCCGTGTTGAAGACCCATTGGTGGCCTTGGGCTGTTTTCTGCTCTATGGTCAGGTAGTTTGTCTCTTTCACACATTCCCCGTTTCCATTCTCAATTTTATTGTCGGAAAAATAGTAAAATGGCTGGTTGCAGGAAAATATAATTAAAATATAGGTATTTATTAAAAGGGTAATATCCAGTGAAATTCAGAAGACCCCTATATAATACCAATGGGGCTTCTGTTACTGACCAACTTAGTTTTACAAGAGTTATTTCTCTTGGTAGTAGCCTGATACTAATTTATGTTGCACAGAAAAAAAGATTTAGTGCATGACCTAAAAAGCAATCAATATCATACGGAAACTTGCAATCTTGCTAAATCTTGACTTAATTTACTAGCAACAAATCTATGCTCTTTGCTCAAATTACTGGTGTTACAATGTACAACTTTTATCTTTTTCTACTATATTTCATCCTAAGGTTATAGTTAAAGATCATATCAAAATACTACCTGTTGCATGCTGAAGTACTTATTGTGTTATCAATACTAAAGTAACATTGTATCATACGTAAAACCTATCTAGATTAAACTCCTATAAGACTGAAAATTTGGTTCAGATATGATAGTTATTTAATGTATACAGATTAAATTACTTAAAATTTCCATTGTATGTCTTAGTACACCATTAAGAGTTTTTTCCAGAAAGATTTATATTAGTAGATATCAAAATGCACAATTGCTCGGGCCAATCCAGTTTGTAAGGTAATATTTTGATCTTCCTTAACGATAGAATTTTATGCTAAAAGAATTTTTGCACTTTTCTATTTAAATTGCATAATTAGAGAAAACAAACCCCTTATGAAATTTCACACTTTACAGTATACATTTCCAGTTTACACAGGGTTTGCTGTAGACAGGTTTCACTGTATTGGTTAATGTACTAATCTAATTGTACAGCTGTACAATATTTTTAAGGGAACTAAAGTCATATGACTATTAAAAATGAGTTTTTATTATTGATTATGTTTATTAAATATATTAAACAACACAAATTCTTCCATAGTTATCTTATCACAACAACTTGTTATACCATCAAAAGAAAATTACATGCATTTACGTGTGGTTTCATGAATCAATTACAAGTCCTTTTAGACAATCTCCTTGATAGCTGTGTCCTATTGAATAGAATAGTGTTGTCTTGATGTCAGAAAATGTTTACACTTGTAAAATTCAAACTGGGCTCAAACTGTCATCTTTTTAAAAAATTAATTCAAGAAATCAAAATCTATATCACTGTACCAATAAAATCATTAAAACAGACCTAAGTATCGCACATGAAACTCTAAAAACGTCAAATTTTCAAAGTCAATGTTTTGCTATAAAAAATATCTATCTTGGGATTCTCCAAAAGTTTCACTAAAATCTATTCAGTTATTTAGGAAGATCTGTTTCAGCTCATTGATTGAAAAACACCTTTCAATAGTGTTTAAGCCAGGCTGCTACATTACCAACATTACTGTGAATCAATAGAATTTGTAATATATGTGTATGGTCTAGTTCACAGGGAATAAAAGTTGACATATCTTCGTGTGTCATCAGCTAAGAATAAGAAAGACATTACTAGCAGTTTTCATTGGCCAATGCTCAAGTCATGTGACTTATAATCTCACAATGCACCTTACCTTGAGATGTTCTGGATATTCATATAAATTGGCATGAGTGCTTTGTATGGTGCTTCTAACATACTTATTAGGTTGAAATCTAGGACTGTAATTATCATCATTTTGACTAAATGGATTACCCTGAAACACAAAATATGGTGACCATGTTCACAAAGTGTTACAACAAGCATGCAGTGAGTTTAATACACTATTACAGACGGGTAACTGATTTTTGTGTGGTACAATAAAATTCTTATTTACCATTTTGACAATGTTGATTTAAAATGGAAGCCTTGGTATAATTGTTTTGATAACTGCATCTTAAACTCTTGTCAAATTTCAAGAAACAAACCAAGGTGCTACTATTTCAGTCATATTTAAAATAAAATGTGTTTTAAAACAAAATACTTTGGTTTTGTAGGAATATTTCTTTTCTCATTTCTTTTTCCATCATACAAGTTTAAATCTAGGAAAATAAAAAATACAGAAGACTTTAAATTATATTTTCTATTTTGATTGAGTTCTGTGTAATTCAGCTTGTTCAACTGTTCTAAAAGAGAGTGAATTTCAAAACTATAGTATGATCAATTTTATCATCTCCAATGAAATTAAGTCGATGCAGTATCTTTTGAAATCTACATTGAACTATTATACTTAATTTTGTCAACCCCTCCCAAGTACATTCAGTGAATGCTGTATAATTGAAGTACAGTGAGTTCATTCAAGGGAGGTAATATTGTACCTGATCAAATCTCTTTAATAGTCATTTCTAGTGTCTTATTGCCATAAACCATTAACTTATATCAAAGCACCATTGAATTAGCAAGAGTCACTTCAACAAGCATTTAATTATGTGTTTTATATATTTTAGATAGTTATATAGTTATAAAATTCGTAAGGGTTCCGAGGAACCCAGTGTCTCGCCTACTTTTGGTGTTAATCGCAGGGCAGGCTCAACAAAAATGAGGAAAAAAATTAATAAAAATATTCCTCTCTATACTATCTTTTGATTGTAAGTAGCTTCTGTCCAAGTTTGGTAAAAATCCAGGATAATTTATGAATCTAATAAATGTTTTAAAAACTTAAACTGCAGAATGTATGTAATGTTGACTGGAAGAAAAACTAAGTCCATTTATAAGTAAAATACTGAAAAAATGGAACAGAATTTTATCAAAATTTCCTTCTAGATACTAGCTTTTGATCATAAACAAGCTTCTGTCCAAGTGTGGTACAAATCCAGGATAGTTGAAGAAAGTTGTTAAAATTTTAAAAACTTTAACCACAGAGTGAATGTAATGTTAACTGGCAGAAAACCTAAGTCCATTTATAAGTAAAATACGGAAAAAATGGAATTTTTTTTTTACAAAATTTACTTCTGGATACTATCTTATGATCATAAACAAGCTTCTTTCCAAGTTTGGTAGAAATCCAGGATAGTTTAAGAAAGTTATTAAAATTTCAAAAACTTTAACCACAGAGTGAATGTAATGTTTCCTGACAGAAAAACTAAGTCCACTTATAAGTAAAATACGGAAAAAATGGAATTTTTTTTTACAAAATTTACTTTTGAATATAATCTTATGATCATAAACAAGCTTCTGTCCAAGTTTGGTAGAAATCCAGGATAGTTTAAGAAAGTTATTAAAATTTCAAAAACTTTAACCACAGAGTGAATATTTGTGGACGCCGCCGCCGACGGAATGTAGGATCGCTATGTCTCGCTTTTTCGACAAAAGTCGAAGGCTCAACAAAAATTATACTTATATAAAAAGTGTCATGCTGAAAACACAGTATTAGAACGGAAACTGAAGAAGCATACAAGTTAAGTTGGTTCTGAAAAATAGACCACCTGAATTAGCTGTAAATGCATGTGTATATCTATATAACCCAATTAAATATATGAAATGAGGTTTATAGGATCTACGCATCCCCCGATAAAAAAAAAAATTGTCAGCATTAAAAGTAAGCTTGGCAGTATTTTTACCATTAAAGTCATTTATGCACCCCTTTTCATTGATCCCTGGATCCGCCCCTGTCAACACTATACACATTCCTTACTATTGGTCAAACATGTTTGTATTTCTAGCTGCAATCAAAACTGAATGAAGCTAATATTAAACCAACTTGAGTTTCAGTGATTCACATAAGTAATCATGATTTCAACACTATAATTTTTCAAATAGTTTTCATTTAAAGTTTTAACATCTGACCAGTTGTTAGAAAATATGTTTCAGATCAGAATGTTTCCACTATAATATTCTTTCTTTGTCTTATGCATTGTAAACAACAAAAACAATGTGATGAGTCCATGAAAATTTAAAAAAAAATGCAACTTTATTTCTTCTAAATAGATATTACCTATGTCTAGCTTTACAAATAATTCCCTGTACATCTGTATATCAAGCTCTAAAGACTTCCACATAGTTACCAACTAGTGGTGGTTGAGGTTCACAAAAAAAGCCTCCTCACTCCAGTAAATATGATTCACAAGTGGCAGCAAATTAAAAACAACCCCAAACTTACATTGCAGGAGGCATTTTTTTACTGAAGAATCTTTAAAGTTCGAGCACATGTTATGTAATTATAAACTAAACTAGCTTCATTCATTAAACTGATTTTATTTGACGTGTTTGCTATGGAAAAAAATAAAAAAATGTATATGGGCATTGTAAAAATTGATTAATTTGAATTTAGAGATGTGGGTCGATGTCAATGAAACAGTAACCCCAGAAGGTAAATAGACCAGAAAAGACACTAAAGTTGGTATATATGGTCCAATAAAACCACTGCTTTCTTTCTAGCTTATGTAATTATCTCCCTTGACAACCATTCCGAGGTAAAAGAAGTTTTAGAGTATTCTAATATTTGTGGATCCATTTACCGTAAATGGTTATTCTATGTTATTCTATGTTATTCTTTTGTATTTTTTTTAATACATAGATTGTTTATTGTGTGTGTTTTTTTATTTTAAACATGTACATCAAACTATATTGCACTTTTTGTGTTTCCTCTACGTTTTGTTTTTATGTTTGAATACCATTTACAAAGAAAAAATTCAACAAAATTTGTTCCAAATAATTTTGCTCATTTAGCTTTGATCTCTTATGATACTGTATTTTTCTACCTGAAGCCATCTAGTAACTATACTTATTTTAATAGTTGTAACGATAATCTTGTTGCATTGCTTAAATTTGCAGGACTTAAATTAAAAGTAATTTAGGAATATATATCAATTGTTCAACGTTCCTCTAAGGGCTTATATATTTTTTGCCTGATACTTAAGTCCTTGTTTCCACTAAATCTGCCGACCGTGCAAGACCTTCATGGGTAGTCAAGGTCGTTGAAAACCCCCCTCGTCACTAAATTTTTACTTCACAGCAGAAATACTGAAATCTTTACATATTTTCTTGCAACTTGTCAAATGTATTTATAAATTCAATAACAGATATTTTAAAAAAAATTAAAAACTGATAAAAGCTTGAAATCAAAAATGGCCAATGAAACTTAAAAGAACTCAATTTTTTGTCTTTTGTTAGACATATTATTTAATACAGCTATCAATTTTTTAAACAGCTTTTACTGAACAAAGAATAAATCTGAAAAGTTGAAAGAAAATATGTTTTAGAACTGATATTTTCCGCTCTAAAGTAGATACACATTTATATGGTAGTTATCCCTCAAATGGCACAAAGACAAATATTCTGGCTCTGAGATAATATACATCAGTTCTAGCAATCTATTTGTTTTTTTGTTTGTTTTGATTCTACCTCTTGCTTTTTAATTCTGTGTTTTAAATATTTCAGGTAAGGGTCCTCAGTCTTGAAGAACTAAATAACAAAATACAAGAAACAGAGATACAATGGAGATATTTGTTAAATAAATTGTTATCTTGATCATTAGTTTCAATTACTATCAACATTTGTATAATGGTATTTGTAACATACAAAGGTGTCATTTTTTATTTGTATGTGAGTAAGTTTTCATTATATTTGTTTTGCAATTTAATTTTTCTCAATTTTGATACATAATTCCTATGGAATATTTTTTGTCTTGTCCTGTTTATATTGAATTCTGATATGTTTTTGTTTGTTTGTTTGTATGTTTGTTTGTTTATATGTTTGTATGTTTGTTTTGCTTTTTGTTGATTTACAATATTAATGTCACAATGGATTTGAGTACCAGTAGTACACTCTTATTTAATCTGATTTCACCAATCTAAACCAGAATCCATTTTTTATCTTACCAATTAGTCTACAACAGTCAATTCTAATTTGATTGAAAAAAGATATTTTAAAAAATTGTTAGCTGTTATAACCAAAACTGCTCTGGAAGAACTCTTGTAAACAAACTTCTACATCATTTGGTCTCTGGTTCATAGTTGTCTCATTGGCAATCATACCACATCTTCTTATTCTTATATGTTTCCCTTGAGTTATTTTGATATCAACAGCTAACAATTTTTTGAAAAGTCTTTGTAACATTTTAATTAGGACTGACTACACAAATGATTTATGCTATAATTGGGTCATATATATATTATTGTTTATTGCACAAGTGGTTTTTGGGTGATATTTCTTGGCTGCCTGACATAACTGGTACCTGTATTTACTTTGGTAACAGTGCAAACAGTAAAGTGATGTATAATACCATTCTTGATTATTATTAACAACCAACCACCAAAGTTAGGCACAACACAAAACCAAGGGAAAGTATTTGTCAACATGTTAAATATGTTTTAGAAATTCCTCTGTAAATCAGATTCGGTAAAAAAAAATAGCATGCAAAACAAAAATTTTAAAATGACAATCCATGATTTACAGAATATTTTTGAAACATATATCACATGTAGTAAATCAGGTATTTTGGGGAAATATTGGTTAAAGTTAGTTTGGAATTTTTAGAAATGAAAAAAAGGTGAAACCATTTTTTTTATTGCAATGGCAGTTGTTTAAGTGTAACAACCAGTATATGAAAGGAATGTTTGTGAATGTTTGGGATATATAGAAGCATGACCGCATGCACATCAAACACCAATACACAAGTGTAACCTTCACCAACCTCTTGTGGAACTTGTGACCAGTCCTTCTTTTTTATATATTCTTCAGTTGTCTGCTATAGAAACAGTAGAAAAGCATGAAATATCAGATATATAGATGTGAAATCTGAGAAAAAAATCTAAAGTGTGAAATCTGAGAAATAAATCTACACAGTGTGAAATATGAAAAACATATCAGCAGTATGAATAATCAATTCATGAGAAAAATATCTATGATGTTTATTCTGAGAGACTATTATCTGAAAGAACTAAAAGCATAAGCTAAGTGCATGAAATATAATTTTTTTTTATTAAATATCAGAACTGGAAGTTTCAAGTTGTAAGCACTAGAAATGTAGATCAACAACTAAAAATAAGAATTTTTATACCTAGCAATACAAGTGCATGTAATACCTAGCATATATTATATTGATACATGTAGTATAAATTGTGAAAAAGTACCAGCATGCGAAAGAAACAAAAATATTACACAAGTCTACTCTTTTGGTAAATGGCAAGTGGTCTCATAATATTAGAGGTAACCTATGGATAGGATTGAATAGACAAGAGCAAAAACGATGCAGCATTATGGGAAGTCAATTGTTCTGTGTGCTAATTGTTGAGGCATTTTTTACGAGGATGCTGAGACTAAACAACTTAATTTACAAGGACAAAAGTTTAAATTCTAAATTGGTACATAACATAGATGATATTTTTATCAGCAATTGCCAGAAAGAGTAGCCTCTTATACATTAAAGTTGGATCATTAATCTAAAAATGTTTAATAACTTTTATCTTTCAGTCTGATTTATAATAAATATTCTAAAGAGATAGAAGGGAGAAGGTAATTGTTGTCTCATCATATGCCAATTAAAAAGATTTTTTTCTTCAAAACCCTAGCAAAAGTTTACTTATTTCATTTGGGATAGGGCAGACAGTCTGACACTAAATGTCCTCAAGTTATTAAAACTTCCGGGGTTCACAACAAAGAAAGTATTTGATTAATTTCACCTTTAAAAAGTCCAATGCACTACAAAATGCAAGCAAAATGCCATAGATCTGTATTTCAAATCAACAGGAAACCAGAGGCGTTTCCCTAACTTCTGCATCTAAAGGGTTCTATTCTAATAAATGCTGCGGAAATATTATGAATATTTCTACATGTAATCTTATCTAAAAATCTAGTGTTCTGTTGGAAAGCTAGAATAAGCAATTAAATTTTACAAACTTATAATATTAGCGAGTTCATGAAGATCTCTTTATTTTATGAAATGATACACCTTAAAAAGAAAATCTAGTTTGTTAGGTTATAATCTATGAGCCTAGTTCAATTCTACAAAAGTAAAATGAAGACACTGTTTTCTTGTCAGTATATAGGGAAATATACATAGATTTTGACTTTCACTGTTGTGTATATATTGCTTATCTCAAAAATTAAAATTTTGTTGCTGAATTTTGTCATCACTATTCTGAATAAAAACCAATCTATTTTTAAAGTTAACAACTTCAAATGTAAGCAATGAACAAGTTGCTTTTTTTAAATTAGAGGAAGTGTAAGAATTCTACCATTAAGTTTGATCTACAACTAGTATAGTTAAGATTTTTCCATATTGTTTAAGTACTGGTCAAAGGAAATATGAGAAAATGTCAGGACAAGAAACAGTTAAATATGTTTCTATGACAACAGACCTATAGCATTATTCTACAACATTTTTGAGTCATGCAATTTTAACCTGAAAGAATAGACTAAAATCATACAGCATGCAACTAAATCCAGAAATTAGGAATACAAAATGTAAAACTAGCAATAAGGCCACATAAAATAATTTTTTAGTTTCTTAGGCCATTTGAGACTGAGAGTCACTTTTATCATTTCAACAAAAACAATATCAAATAACTGCTATTCATATGCTAATTGATAAGAATTTTTCAGCCTAAGAAACTAAACAATTTTTTTTTGGCCAATTTGAAACTAAAAGACAAACAAGAAAACTGAAATATACATATTTAATCTCAAAACATATCACAGCTCATCATTATCACAGTTTTTTTTCAAATATCATATCACAAAATAAAGTTTAATACATCTGAGAAAAAAATCGCTTAATAAAAAAAAAAAAAATACTGCAAAAATTTAAGATTTATATAATGAGGTAAAGTTGATACACTGACTAAATTTAAAAAACAAAACAATATATTTATATATAAGGGAAACTTTGAGAAATTTCAAAATATTTTTTTTCTAATAGAAAGAAATGTGTTTTCATTAAAACATGAAATATAACATAAACAATGTTACTATATCAAAAAAATCTTTATAAGAGGAGAAAAAACACCTTTTTCGAGCAAGGTTTTGATTATATATTTTTTCATATTCTTTAAAACAAAAATTTGCATAAATAAATCTATGTAAAAAGTGTATTTGTAAAATACTTTGGTATTAGAGAACAATTGTACAATATGATGACATAGAAAAATATGTTAGCACATGCAGAGTTGCGTATTCTAATATGTAACATAACAAAGATTACACATAAAAGTTCTTCATAAGACACACAGACAGAATTGTAAGTTCTAGCATTAATGTCAGCCACACAGAGTTAGAGAAAGGCATTATGGGTATGATCATATGATGATATTGTGATATCTTACATCTTTTGTTGGGTGATGAAGTGTGGATTCCAGATTGAATTTGCGGAGATTGTATCCCTTCGGAGCTCCGCCTCCCGGTCTTCCCCACATTGCGTCCATCGTATGTTGATGCTGAAAAAATATCAACAGTCAAAAATTAACATAACTCCATTTTTTAATCTATGAATCAATGCTGTAAAGCATTTTGTTTTAAACAAAAAGCAAGCTAAAAACTTTTTCAGAATTTATTTATAAAAGCTAGCCTAAACTCCAGTTTTATATCAATGTGAAATACAATATGATGCTACATTTCCTTTAGTTTCATGCAATTTGAGAGTAACTTGATTAAAATTTGGCAAAAGGTGAAGATTGTAGAAATACACACAAACATCCGTTTTGTACAGATAACAATAAATAGAAATATTTAGACAATTATAGATGTGAACTTCACACAACATTTATTACATGTGACATTAGTTTACCTTTATTGTTGTTTTCATCCTTAAACTGTAGTAAACAATCAAATTAAAATAAAACTGAATTATCTCCCCTGTTCTCTAACCAAATTATTTTCCCTTTCAAGCTGTGAATTCTTCGTGTTTTATGGTAATATTCTTGAACAATGAAAAACTGAAATTATTATCTAAAATCTTTATCAATTTGAAAAGTTTCATGAAAATAGGTTTTATGTCGCAACGATGATATATCTGGATAGATTAGTCAGAATCATATTTGATGCAGAGCTCTGCATTAACTCAGGGCCAACCTCATTTAAGTGAAAGTGGTAGAATAGATTCAAGATTAACTGATATTAACTATTTTGAAATAAAATTTTATCTAACTAAGGCTTTTAAAAATATCCAAAACTAATTCTCCATGTTTTTTTTTGAAATACAAATGTCTTACCAGCATGCCCTCCTGATTTTCCTTTAGCCTGTTCAACTGTCTGTATCTCATTCTCTCATCTGCTAACTGTGACAAATCTTCATGATATTTCTTCTTTTCTGTTTCAGCTTTTGGTTGATAGTTCATTTTCTGTTGAAATATGGAAATTTTTTGACCAATTAAATCATTTTAACTCTAAAAACAGCTTTAATTTTTTTTTTAGCTTGACTTCAATAATAATTATTTGCTTGTAATTCACTTTCAAATTACTATAAAACACTTGTTTCAAAGCTTTAAATGACAAAACCATTACCGAATCATTAAACTTGGAAAGATCTTGCTGCATTTAAGTTCATATCGTAAGAATGTAACAATAAATCACACTTTTACATTTTTTCTTAGCTTACGGTATACATAGTCAGACAAATAGCCCTGACTGACTCCTTACATAACCATAAGTATTTCACAACAGTTATACAACAGAAATGCAGTGCTAACCTTACATGTTGTTTAAAACAAGATGGTTTCATTGATTGTTAGTAATTAACACCACTTTCAGTAATCTTGCCTATATCATGGCGGTCAGTTGGTATTGGTGGAAGAAGCTGGAGAACCACCAAGCTTTGGCAAGAAAACTGGCAACCTTAGCCAATAAAGCAGGTTTAAAAAAAAGGGATATTTGACTTACCTGTAATGTGACATCAGAGTTACCCAGATGATGATTTCTAAGTTCACCTGTGTAGGGGTCTTTAACTGGCTTGCCTACATTTTTAGACCCCATTATAGAAGCTAATTCTCCAATCTAAAATTAAACAATCATGCAAAACAATAGATCATGCTTGTGGTACAATGACGTGCAAATTAGGTAAGCTTTTTCTGAATTACAGTGTTTTTGAAAAATCTTAGGAGGATCTCATAGCAAAAGTAAGGAAGATCAGTCAAGCAAAAAAATAAAAAAAATGGTTTGTCAATAATGCAAAACTAACAATTTGTTTATAATTTTTAAAGCCCCTTAACACAAACTACTATAACCAATAACAGAAATTTGGAAAAATAAGAAAATTTATTTCACTAATTATTTCATTACTCTGAATAAGACTGGTTAATGAGAGAAATTCATTAGACTAAGATCACTGAATAAAAGTAGTATCTAAGAAGTAACGATATACAAAGACAGGTTTAGAATCTTAGCAAAAGAAACCATATGAAAGTTTTTGGCTAGTCAGCTAGGGATTGTAGAAATTTTTTTTTCATGGTCAGTCATACATACTAAAATCATGCATCCATAACTGTGATACATATTGGGGAGTTTATATGACTGTGTAGTGTAAAATGAATACAACATAATACATTCTTTTTGATTGTTTGAATGTTTACAACAGTTAGGGTGTGTTTGATTGTGTCTGCTTTACCTCATCACCATTCTGTTTTTAAAACATTGTATATAAAAAATATATTCAATTAGAAAAAACGAAGAAAAAAAACTCATTGGAAAAGCAATTATAGTAAAAAAATACAAAGATATTTTTTTTTTGTTGCTTCATTGAGTTTCTGTCCCATTACTGCAAATACTGGTACCCTACATCTTTTTAATTCATAAAGAAAAGTATCCTATGGAAAAAAGTAATGTTTATTGTATGTATAAATTGTAAGAAATAAAAAAGTTTATATCATTTATGAATCTCTTCTAATTTTTTCTTTCTTTCTTTTTTCTAATGGTGAACAATGATTTAATTTTAGGAAATCTAGAAACTAGCAGGATTGTGCATTATAAAACTTACAGGGGCTTTCATGTGCCATTCTATCTCTTGCTTGTTTCTTCTTTGTTCTTCTTCCTGACCTCCTGTGAAAGCAGATAAAATTCAACTTAATGAATGGCAAAAGGATAGCAAAGTTTTCGATCACATAGTAAATATAACAAAAGTATATAATTTACAGATGAACTAATTGAAAATATATTCAACTTCACTTCAACTTTTAAAATAAAGTTGAATATTAAAACCAAGTCATGCATAACTTTTTTTTCATTGAAAAGGATTCACAAAAACATATATTTTAATAGTTCGACAATGCTCTTGTATATATACTTTGCTTTAACTAATAATCAGGAATATATGATACACATCTATTCCATGATTACTTTTGTAATGTTGTAATCCCATATACTTATGCAGCATCCTTAGTGTTTGACAAATTCAGAACTTCATCATCTTTTTGAAATGGATTAAATCAGTACAAAAATAATAAGATGTGGTATGACTGCCTATGAGACCAAATAATAAAGGGAAGGAACAAATACCAATTTTCAAGTCTGAGGTTTGACCTTGCTGGGGATTGAACTTATGACCTCCAGTATTCAAGGCAAAAACACTACCGCGAGATTGAAAAAAGAAGATACATTATTCAAACTTACTCAAGAAGTCATAGTATTCTTTAGCTCTTGCCCTTTTTCTAGCATTATCATCATACGAACTCTAAAAAAGTGAGGGTAAAATGTTAAATCTGAAATCTGAAATCTACAATTATAATTTTTTCTATAAAAAAATGGACCTATAAGCATATAGATCAATAAAGTGACAAATCTTAAGCTTAACTAATAAAGCAATAATTTTCTTATAATCATCTTAAATTCAACTATACTATATTCAACTACCAGTAACTGAAATAAAAGCAATATAAAATTGAGAATGGAAATGGGGAATGTGTCAAAGAGACAACAACCCGACCATAAAATATACATGATAGCATATATTAATCTTTTGTTATTATTCAATGAACATTTAAAAAAATCTATAAATTGTGCACCGTAGACATAACAAGTACTTCATTCATTTGTGTACAACATTTAAAATGTGCCATTGGTTCATATGTTACATATAAAATATTTCAATGTTACTCAGAAAGATTATAGGTATCATGCAAGGGAAAGGATTCATACGAACAGTCAGTATACTGAGTTTAAAAATATCATGAACATTTCAACATTATATCAATCATATTAGGATAATTTGATCTTATTATGTATTACATTTTTTAATGCAGTTATCAATTGAAGAAATCATCTAAACTACTTCTAGAAATGTTTTGGATTGTACAAATGAATTGTAAAAGTGATGGTGAGATGATTGATTTATTCTTGGGAAGTTTTCAAGATATTTTAAAACCAGTATCACTGCCTGTTGTCAAGTACAAAGGCAACTATAACACAATTAATAGATGGTCTTTATATACAGGCAATAACCACTTCATAATACAGGTATATAGCCCAGCGCTTTAGTGTTTTTTCCCTTTAATATCTATATACATGTACATATATTGTATTTGTATTTTATCAAAAACATGCACCAGTCATGTGTTTTTGTTACCTCCCTTGAATAATTAATCCAATATCCTCAGATAGCAAAAGTAGAAATAATAAAAATAAAACCTTAAGAATTAAAAAGAAACAAAATACCAAATGTAATTTCTAAAATTATGTCAAACCGGTAATGAATGTTTAATACAGATTTTTTTATCTACTTTCTTATTTTTTTTATATATTCACCAAAAATATAACAATTGAATTTTTTTCAATTTTGTTTTTGCAGAAAATTGTGAACTTAGTTCAAATTTTGAAATAAACTCCAGAAATTAAAATTGCTCAAATGAAACAGGGAAATATATTGTCATGAAGAAAAACCAATGAGTGTTTGAATGATGTAAACTTTAATGCATCTAATAGCAATAAAATTCTGATATATAATCTTTCATAAAAACTGCAATTAGCTAGCTCTAAAAAAGGTAAACTGCTGATATAAAAGGGGTAAAATTGGATTAAGACAGATAACTCTTTAAATCACTAATGTGTTTGTAATAGTCAGTTTCATTGATGCTTTTTAAGCACTTTTGTGAACCAGATGTAAAATAATCTGTGCTAATTAGAAGCTTACAATATATTTATGAAAATAGTTTACTCAAACGTTAGTGATTTTTAAGAGTTATGTCCCTTATCCTAGATAAACCACCTTCATACAACTACTACTTGATAAAACTAGAGGCTGTAAGGAGCATGTATCTTTCATCTGGCATCAGTGCATAATATTGCATCAACCTTTTTTGAAGTTTGGTTCTAATTGACCCATTAGTTTAAAAAAACATTTGAAAAAGTTTATAACAAGCAACGACAGATGTCAAGAACTGATCAGCAAAATATAAAATAAAACTATTTTAAATCTAAGGCAGTAAAATGCTTAATTCTTAGGCATTTCTAAAACTTGCTAAACTATTAAAATTTGAGCATCATTTTACTTTAGTTGACATTTGTTCAACCCAGACCTGATCTATCACTATGCTCCTTTAGATTTGTTTGACGTGTGTAGGCTGCGACAAACAAATTTTACGGAGCAGTAGTGAAAGATCTGATTTTAATCTGATTGGAGTACAGTTATACAAATACATTATGAATAAGAAAACTGTAAAAAATGAAGATAGAATTTCAGGAAAATAAGTTAGAACATGAAAATGGTCAATAATTTATCAAACTAGTGACATGCAAAAGAGATAAACCATTATATGGTATACCAAAAATATTAATTAGGTCAAAGGTTAAATAAAGCATGGAGAAAGTAGAGAATTGTCTAGCAGAAATTGTCATGGTAACCAATGTTGTAGAACTTACATCCTGATATTTGTAATTCTGTAAAAAATAATAATACTCCAAAATATAATAAAATTATAGAAGTGTATTTAAAACATTTTTACTGGTTTTTTTTTCCTTTTTGTTTCAGATAAGCTATGATTAGAGACAAATAAACCCTATAGTTTTACTAATCCAAGCTTGAGGGATATGCAAAATACACTATTTCAAATAAAATTAGTTTAAAGTGTGAAAGCTGTTTGCATAATGTGTAAAATCTTGTAATGGTTTTGCTATTCTATTTATAGAAAAAATATAGACATAAACTTGTTTTACTACAAAGAATACTAAACTGTTGTTAATATCTTACACATATACTGGTATTTCATATATCCATCTGGTATATTTCCACACAGTTTACTAGTATGTGGAAGAAAACTTTCATTTTTTTCAAGGAATTCAGACCTTTGATATTTTTGTAAAAATTCAAATTTTCATTGCTTGTTTATGTCTAGTATTTTGACTTCTACTTGAAACATTTATAATTCATTTATATCGACTTTTCCAGTGGTTCTCTAAAAGAAGACATTTGTAAATATTTCCCATAGGGTCCTATGTTAAACTAAGTCCCCCACTGGTGGCCATCTTGGAATATGGATCAGCTTCAAAGTAACAACACTTGGTCAGCACCTCATAAGGATTTTTAAATAAAATTTTCTTTGATCCTCCTCCAAATAAAATTGGATTGGTTGTGTCTTAAAAACACTTTAATGAATAGACCATTTCATGTTACTTATCATTTTTTTTGCACTACTGGACAACCAATAAATATACATTCCAGCAAACTGACATTTAAAAACATTTCCTTGTGATTTTGACATTATGAATTTTGTATTTTAATAAATGTGTATAACTCTTTTTGATAGAAGACATTACCTCCATTAATAGATTTCCCTGTAGCTGTGTAACAATTTTCCCACGATTATCTTTGACTGGAGCACCTCCTCCTGACCTACCAAATGGGTGGTATAAAGGCAGCACCTCCCTGTTGACCCTCGTTAACTTTTCTGCAGCGTTCATTGATCTGCCTATATCATCATAGCTGTTGTTTCTATATGTGGCCGGAGCTGTAATTCAAATATTCATAAGGATGATTGACAGGTTAGGGTTCTCTGTAGACAGGAATTTAACTATGAGCGGAAAGTGTTTACGACCTTTGAAGTCTGCTGATAAAGGGGTTTCCATAAGGCTTTATAAAAATTAAACAATATGGGTTAGATCTAGATTTGACAATACCCTAAATTCAACTTTAATAAAATACAGCTTACCGTAGCATAAAAAACAAGAGAATTGAAGAACAATAAAAAAAGATGTTTCAATAAATGAGAAAAAGGAGCTTGGAAATACATATTCAAGTCAATGGAAAATTGTAGTCAATCTGGTAATCCTAAATGAAAGGTGTACAGAACACTTAAATGAATTCTTATTATAAGATTCAAATCAAATTATTAATAATATTTTCAAATGAAATTAGGTTTGCTTTACATTTTAATATTAGGCAAAATATCAATTAGTATAAGAGTGAAAGTGTTGATTAGAGGAATAACGAAGTTAAGTATGACAAACAATTAGGAAGAAAATGAATGTACGTAGCTATGGTTTAGATTAAGAACAGCAGGAAATTTTCCTACAGCCAGGTTAGCTAAAAGCTATTAAAATTTAGTTGGTGATTTGAAAACTTCATCATTCTTTTTTAACATTTTCATAAATAAATGAAAACAAAAAGCAAAATTTTCTGTGTTTATACAATGATTGAAGTTTCATATCAAAGTCAAACTTTTTTAAACTTGTGCTCATTTGTTCAAACCTTTTCATGAAAAGAATATTGAATGGTATGATATTTTTTTATTTCACTGCACTTATCCTAGGCTAATAGCCTTTCACTTAAGCAATTGGCTAAAATGTTTCACCTATTGATCAGTGTGAAAAAAGGAATTTAAACTGAAAGTTAGAAATATGTTTGGTCAATTGGTATTGTGAAAAGCCAAAGTTTGTATTATATAAACACAGTACATTGTATATCATTTCATATAAGACACTGAATTTGAAAATCAGGAACTATATTCTTTATCATTGTCTCTCAGTTTGTTAAGCAAAATAGGGTAAAAATTAACTAAATCTATGTGCATCAAAAGTATGCTTATTAAAAGTAGAAACAAAAGCATTAGGGGAGATAATCTTGTCATCAAGAGGGGATAATCAACTTGGTGAGTAGGTCAAATGGTTACTACAAAGAAAACATTACAAGCATAGGATTAAGACAGCATTTCTATTAAAACTCATAATTTTATAAATTTTGTAACTAGTATCCTGTGTAACTATGTTCATTGAATTTTTGAAGTGCTGAGAGTGAGATTTAGAAATTAACTTTTCTTTGAATTTTTTTTGTGTAAATGTTTTTTACTAAGATTCATAGATATCAAAGGACACCAGTTACAAAAGGTTAGCTCAAAGGAAAACATCTTACCAGAAATATAATTTGGTACTAAAATAGTGAGATAAAATGAAATAAATAGAATAGGGGATAATAATTGGTAAATAAGGGAGATAAAAATTAAGAGATAAATAAAATTTGAAGATAAAAGGAGGTAAATATGCATGCATATTTTTAAATTATGGGTAGCTATAACTAATCACATGCAATTAGCAGAAGATAGGAACTAGGGGTGAAATAAAACTGTCGTCTATCCATTAATTATCAAATACAATTTCTTCTGTAAAGGATAATTTTTAAGCTTTCAAACATATTAATTTCAAATTAAAATTTGTTTTCATACATTTTTTTAATGTTTGAATTTCTCTACCAGAAGATCCCATATTTTTGTTACCTTTAAATGGTCAATATGACATACACTGATTAAAATGATTTTTGAAAATAATTCAAACAAATGAAAACTGAAATATATGAAGTACCATAAAAAAGAAGATGCTTAATCTATTTTCAATCTAATTTTAGACCCACTCAGATGACAGTTAAATTTCAGAGATGTTAGCAAAAGCAATATTAACCTGTCCAATTACCTCTTCTGGGTGACTCCATACTTGGCATTGGCTGTAAATAGACATAAAAATATAATATCTCAAATATAGTACAAATATTAAATTCAGATTGATGAAGAAAAAACCAGATGAGAATGAAATGAGAGCAAGAAAAGAAAGTAGGTGGCACCACAGAAACTGTAAAAAAAAAAAGATTGTTTTTTTTTTCTCTGCAAAGTGTTATTTTTACAACTTTTATCATATTGCCTGAATTATTGTAAAAAGTTATTAATTTTTACAAACAAATTTGTTTATCTTCCTGGTCCCAAAGAAAAGAAATTGAATATATTTTGAAAATGTCTGCCTTTTCTACAAAATATGAAAAGAACACAATGCACAATAAGAAAAAAGTTCTGTTTACATAGTCTCTATTTCATAAGAAGAAAAAAAGACTGAAGAAAAAAACAGTTGATTGTTTTAAGAACCTGGAATTAAACAGAAAAGATTGACAGATTAAGGTCAAGTTTGAACTTGAACTTGGAGAAAAGTAAAACAGAATGAAATCATCCTGCTACAAAACAGATATTTTTTCCAGCTTTTCATTGGTCCATTGCTGTATTGTGATATGTCTGAAACATTAGTTTTCCAGACATTAACACCAAAGTACCATGGAAATACTATTAGACTTTAAAAAAAGATAGTAATCTTCAAGTTAATATTGTATGAGAAGAAAGAAATTATATGATGGCCAGTAAAAAATTATCAAAAATTTAGTTTCATCTTTTCATGATTTTTTTATCCAAATTCTGTCAAATTATTTCAAATTATTTTCCCAATCATTCTATTTCTCTCCTATCGTTTCAATGATGTTATTTTGAAACATTTTAACCTTTCAACTTCTGAGAGTATCAGAGAAAAAAAAACATCAAAATATTTTTACATTAGAGCAAAACACTCAGTAACAACATTGTAGATACTGTCTTGCAACCAGGCAACTGTTCAAATATATTCCATTATCATCAGCCCCAAATGTACACGTATATAACATATCAGATATCTTTGTAGATATTTACTGTACATTTGTATTCATTTACTGATTTTCAAAAACTATCAATTTTTCAAAATAAAAAAAAAACTTGTGTAAGGTTTGTTTCCTAAGCAAACATTTGACATTTTCATGTACTTCTTTCAAACTGATGCCTCAGTCCACTCAATTCTTAATACATAACTACTTGAACTCACCTCTCTAGCTGTTTGGCTATAGTTTGGTAAATAATATTTTTCATTTTCATGGTCACCATAGCCAGGTAAATACCTTCTTTCCCGTAAACGTTCAGTTTCACCATACCCTGGACTATGATTCTGTTCCCAATCATTTTCATAACCATTGTAAAAGTCACCCATTTTTTCTACTACATGTTTAGTAAACAATTTCAATTGTTTGCAACTAGGATTTTAAAACATGTTAAACTATAGTAACAAAAACTATCAAATTACAATCACCTTCTTTCATTGTATTCAATACACAAAGTTCATGCAATATTAATTTTCTTTTTGAGTTTAAATAAAATGTTTAAAGTATTATGACCATTCAGTACATTGTAAAAAATAAGTGAACGAACAATAGAGTTGTCCATGCTACAATTATGATAAACTATTTATGTACTTTTTTCATACATATCACATTGACCTTTCTAAAAAAAAAAGTACACAAAAGTATATACAATAACACTAGCTTACCAAGGGACATAACTAAGTGTGATATAAATATAACTATGTATCCTTGAGAAATTGCATTTTAAAAACAAGAAATAACAATTGCTACAACCTTCTTTCAGTATAATTTAAAAAAAATATAATGAGGCCCTATATAGTGTTAAATCTTCTATCAAAATTTGATAAAACCTGCATATTAAAGACCACCTTTCTTATCATGACAAAATTTAAACATTGTATACAACAACAAATCATATTTCGGGATATAATTGTGTCTTCACTTTCATGCTGCTATAAAGTGGACACTAATACAACATATGATTATGCCCCTTTGCAAAAGATTTAATATCAAGGATCATCTTTTGGAAGATAACAGATCATGCATATAAGTTTCAATCAGTCAGAACAGTGCAAGAATGGATTCAACATTCATATTTAACATTCACATCTAGAATAGTGCAGGTTATCAACATCCATTTCATAGTGCAAGGTCACCTCTGACGGGTCAAGGGTCAAGGTCATTGAATGTCTGACCACATTTCCATCCTCATCATAAACAGGATTTCCTGCCCCTTTGCCAAATCTAAAAGGGTCAGAACTTCTACCTCCACTTGAAATTCTAGTGTCACGATCCATGTTTGAATCAGGTGTTCTGTTTTGTGTTCGATTTCTATTCGCCATAAAGGATAAGTCTGACATAGGTTTTGGATGTCTAATTGGATTCCCACTTTCATCAGTCATACCGTCTGGTGGCTTGTAATATCAAAATCATTTATTACATTTCAAAGTACAAAATCCTTCACAAAAAGTACACCAGCATAATGTAAAATTATTTTTATCTTACTGACATTATAAAAAGCTCTTAAATGAGCAAAAAATATTTCAGTTCAAATTTTATTTAAAAAAATGTATACATGTATAATATTTGTATCATGCACATTAATACATTTAAACACTAACCATGCATTTACAAACACATATACCAATACAAATATACAGTACAAAATAGAAAAGCTTTTATTCTGTATCTGGTTTCAGAGGCTTTTTTAATCATTTTGATAATGATTCATATATTCATAGATTGCATATAAACTGTTTAAGCTTTGATCTTTAAATACTTCTAAAGCCTTAATTTATTGACACTTGGAATTTTTATTTGTTACATAATATACTTAAAATTTGTGACTTTTTCAAAAATACATAAAACACCATATCCTTTCTTTTCCATTAAATATTGAAAATCCACACAATACCTGCTAAAAAGGGAGACATATGTTGCAATTAAAAAAATGACTAGCAACTTTTGGAATTAAAAATATAAGCTACAGATATATATATTGACATTCATGCAATTGTAATGTATTCACCCTTCTGCTATCCAATGTTGAAACTTTCTTCTTTATGTTTCCTGTTTCATCATAATTGGGGTTTCCACCCCCTTTTCCCCACGGATCAAAATCTCCTTCATTGCTAGGTAACTGACGGTTGAAATTAGGCTTGATGTCAGGAGTCTGAGCTCCTCTAGCTGATGGTTGGTTCCCTGATGATGGGTCAAAGAAAGTCTTTTTCTTTTTCTCTGTAGGTCCATTGTCTACAGGCTAACAGTATTAAGAATGATATCAATACATACTGGTACTTTAATCATTTTCTTGTTTTATCCTAATCATTTACTATTTTTGGCTCTTTAAATGCGATATTAAAACTGAAAACTTTTTGAGAAAAATAGACTTAATATCAAAACCAGATCATAATGATTTTCCTTTACCAAAATATATTCCTATTAAGTGATCAACATGCCTAATTCCTGCATTCTAGTATCTCAAAAAAAAATATCAAGCTGTTTTAATAATGATATTCTTATAATATCATTTACATTAAAAATGTTTAAACAATAAGAATTTTATATATTTTAACAGGAGCTGTTTTAAAACTGACTTATATTCAACTTATGTTGAATAACTATGTCATGGGTGAAAATCTTTACATGAGTCCAACAATAGTTGATGCCAAAAACATTTTCAAATTTGAATCCAATTTCTGATACATGTATATGCAAATTTTTCTTTTCAATTTTTTCAAAGGCAAGAGAAACAAACATTCACAAGATCAATACAGTCAAACCTGTAAGTAAAGGTCACTTTTGGGACCAGAGAAAACAGAGAGGTAACCTTAAAATTAATGCTAAAAATTAAAAGGTATTACTGTGGGACAACAAGAGAGTGACTTGACTACAGAGGTTTTCTATGTATAGAGGTGACGTTTATAGACACTTAGGTTTGACTGTATCATATATACCAATTTTGTGATTTTTTTGGTGGGAATATAGACAGTTGAACAATCAAATAAAATTATAAAAAGGTAATGCAGATTCAAAGTTTCTTTGCTACTGAAGAATTATATATTCAATAAAATAAAATAATTTACAGAACTTTATTTTTTAACCACAAAAAATGAAATCAAAAGAATTAGAATTAATTTTTGATGGTATCCCAAATAGTTCAACAACAGGGTTCAAGCATGAGCAGAATACATACAAACATATCACATTCATGCGGATTGATCTACAAATACCAGTATAGAAACAATTGACTTAGGGTTACTATAATCAGAATGGTATATTCCATACAAATTAATATACAAGTAAGTACAAATAAAGTCAGAAAAACAGAGAAAAAAAAATAATTAAAATTACAATAATATAGGAAAAGAAATCTGAGTAAACAGAAAAGGAAATAAAACTGTCAACAGGAATGTCATGCATTTATCAACAACTAATAAAGTTTACAGCAAACAAAAATTCAACCAAAATCTAATAAGAGGCTCTTTTGAAGCTAAAAATAAATACCCCAGTATCAAACTAAAAGCTGGAATAGTCAAGGAAGTAAGCAATTCATTCAATCAAACAAAAAAAATAGGGATTTCAAAACATGCTTATTTAGTAATCACCCTTGTTGCATCCAATGTTTGACCTCTGGGTTGAATATACCCGTCATCATCTCTGACAGGATTTCCACCACCACTCCCCCATGGAGTATAATTTTCATCATAGCTAGGTAGCTGTCTATTTAAATTTAGTTTTATATCTGGTGTTTGTTTTCTCCTTGGAGAATTGACAATACCTCCTGCAGTTGGGTCATATGGCTTCTTTTTCTTTTCTGTGCTTGGACCGTCTGCTGGCTGTTAAAGTTTTGAAAAAATTGCCTAGTATTTTAATCTCTTAACCTTTAAAATTTTAAAAACTGTACGCTACACACTCAGGAGTTTTATAATGCAAAAATTGAATGCATTTTAATTCAATAGGTTTCTTTTCTAAATAGATGTATTAATAATCTATAAAAGAATCAACTATTTGCAATTTAACCACTATATATAAAAAAAAATAAATTTACTGGTAAATATTTACTTGTTCTATTTTTTGCCTTTAAAGCTTTCTAGTGAACTTGCATATATCTTTGTATGTAATGAACAAAAAATGTCAAATATATATATACACATCTAATTGAAAATAATTCAAAAAGAAAAAATAAACCAAACGAACAAATAAAGATTTTTTTCACCAGCCACCTCGAAAAAAAATTATACAGAATAGAAAATGTGACTTCATTTCACACTCACCAGAATTAACAATGAATACATGAAAAAAAAAGAGAAAGGAGGAGTCCATTAAGATCAGAAAGATTCCCCAGAATACATACAGATTTACAAAAGACAGCCATCACACAATCGTGACAGAAATCACATGTACAGAGTGAATAAGAAAATCTTATCATTCCTACAGTCTCAGAGCTGCATATTTCATTAGCAGACAACAAATATGATTACATGTACAGTGAAGTGATGAAAGATGTGTCTACAGTAACCTTGTTCTGAATTTGTAAAAAGACCAGAAGTAAAGTTCATGAGAAGCAGCTGGATCATTTAAACAAGGTTTTTTGAGACATATAATACGATGTAAGTGACATCTAGTGTTGTATCAATGCCTGGCAAAATAACCTTTGTGAACGAGATTATAGTAAAAGAAAGATAGAAAGATTTTTTCAAATCATCAGTGACATTAAGTGTTGCTTTACTGTGTATTAAAGTAACCTTATTGGTATCCAATGTTGTAGATTTACGGATTATAGTGCCATCAGATGCTCTCTGAGCATTACCATAACCTTTTCCCCATGGACTCTGAACACGTTGTTCAGGCATCTTAACTTCCCTATTCAGGTTAGTAATAACGTCAGGACTCATTTGGTCATCTTCTGGTGTTGTTTCACCTCCATAGACAAGTGACGATGGCTCATATGGCCTTGTTGGTCCTTTTAAATTCCCTATAGGCTGTTATAAACATAAAAAGCTTTTTTAAATCGAATCGATTGTTAATCTGATGATATGCTTGCCTTAACAGCAAATTTTGAAAAAGTGTAAAATGTGTAGATTTTTGAATGGTTATAATAACCTCAACAACCAATTAATTTATAAATTGATTAGTTAATAAAAAAACATTTTTCTAAAAAAAGTTTACCAATTAACAATTTAATCACAGAGAAAAATATGACCTTATCAATGATGACTATAAAGATTTTGACTATGAAAATATGTCATGCAAAGAACTTTTATCTGCATGCTTCCAATATGAAAAGTATGATAGTATTAGTATAAGAGAAGGTTGAAAATATCCATGCAGACATGAATTCTGTCACCTTATTCGAATTGAGAGTAGCCATTTTTCTAGGAACATTTCCAAAGTCATCCCTTTTGGGATTTCCATAACCCTGTCCATATGGAAAGTAGTCTTCTTTGTTGTTAACAGTCTGTCTGTTGGAATGCAGCTTAATTTCTGGAGTAAGGTTTCTCCTTGGAGAAACAATGAGTCCTTGAGTTGGATTGTAAGTTCCCTTTCTTCTCTTCTCTCCAGTGAGACCATTTGCATCTATTGGCTATTTGAAAATTGTACTGTATTATTGAAAAGTGTTTTTTTTTTATCAATGCTTAACTTTTTTTCACTTCATAAATAGATATTGATTACAAACTGAAGATTTACAAATGTATACTCTTACAGCAATATACAGGTATTTATGAAAAAAGTATTGAATTTCAGAATATTTTTTGGGATTAAGTAACATAATAATCATAATTTTATACATATATATATTAAGGTTCAAGGTTTTTTTTGCCCTATTTTTTCCAAGAAAGTGCATGACCAAATCCAGATGATCAAATTTAACACAACTTACTAAATTGTGTATAAAACATTCATGCAAAGGTCTTATTTCTTGAAATAATCCCATCATGCAAAAAACCTTTTCTTGAGTCATCCCATAATGCAACAAAAAAATCCACAAATGAAAATAGATATATATTCCATTTTGAATTCATCCTCAAAATGAAAAAGAAAATAATCTCTTAAAATAATTGAAAAAAAAAAAATAAATAAATAAATAAACAAAAAACAATAACAAATAAACAAAAAACAATAATAAATAAACTAAATATCCTTGAACTTAAAACAAAAAATACAATCCATGCCAAAACATAAGTTGCTTTTCACCTTATTTTTATCAAGTGACATTGATTTCTTTGCAATAACATTTCCTTCACTGTCGTACTGTTGGTTACCTATCCCCTTCCCCCAAGGACTACCAGGACGAAATGGTATCCTCATGTCTCTGTTTATGTTGGTTTCTGGGGTACCTTCTCTGGCTGTAAGCTCTCCAAACTATATAATCCAAATAATATTTCTATATATATTGTAAGGCTTTTCTCCTTTAAGCTAATTTAAAACAAATTACAAAATCTAAGACCATGTTTTTAAGTAAGTGGAAATTTTACATTTTTGTTGAACACTTTTTTTCAAATTTATGAAAAATATCAAGTCAGTAATTTACAAATTCTAAGTTAAAACCAAATATGTTTCATTTTGGTCTTGTAATACTTATATAAGTGCAGTTTTATGACTAAAGAAAAAATCTAAAGGGAAATGATCGAATCAGGCAAAACAACATTGAAGATGGTGCTCTATTTCACCTTTTTCTTTTCTAGCATAGATGATCTAGGTTGTAATTTTCCATCGTCATTCCTCTGTGGATTTCCAATGCCATATCCCCAACGAGGAGAGTCAGAATTGTTTGACCAGTCAATCTTGTTTTCTCGGTTCAGACTGACTACAGGTGAGGCTGTCTTATCACGATTGCTGATGTTATCATTAGGAACTATATTTTTCTTCATTTTTGTACTAGAATCTGTTTGATCTTTAGGCTGTTTTGTAGCAAAGGTATCAAAATCATAATAAATTATCAGTTATCAATACTAAATTATTTCTGCATATCAATATGATAGCTAAATGATTATTCATTGAAAAATTATGTTTTTAAAAAAAAAATTTTCTATTTTTACTAAAATCTAACTTGTAAGAGGTTTCAGTTTTTAAATTTAATATTAATTTATCCTTTATCAAATTTTGGCAAAAAAATTATAAAAGATCAACCTTTTTGAATTTCTCAGAAAAATCTCAGCATTAAAGATTCTACAGCCAAAATTTACATGTGACAATACGCTATTGCTTTTCCTTAATTACTCACTATTTAAAGACAGTATTTGTAATGAGATAAAGTTACTCAAAAGAAAAGATTTTGTGACAGAAACAGAAAGTGTATTTAAACAATCATGCAAGTATGAGGTAATGAACTTTTTAGCATGATGCATTATCACTGACACCAAATACCAAGATTACTCTGGCAGATCCTCGATAGGTTCTCTTACATTTATTGTCACATTCAGCGCTATTGGCTTTTTCATGACTATATCATGGTGGCTAGTTTTTATTGGTGGAGGAATCAGGAATATCCTAAGAAAATCAATGACCTATGCCAGCAAAATTTGCAATCTTTATCAATTAAGATGGGATTCAAACACACCTTGCCATGAGTAGAGTAAATCCAACTCACAACGTTAGTGTTATTTATTTCAGACTGTATATCAAAATGCTTAAAAAGTTAAGATTATGTAACAGGTCCAAGATAACTGACAATATTTTTTAAGTTAAAGGGTGACAAAGATAGAAAAATATTGTGCAAATTTACAAACTTGCAAAACAACAAGTTATAGGTACAGACTTAGGTTATGTACAGAAACTGTGCTTAATCTAATTTGCATAATTCATTCAAATAATGAGGATTGTTTTTATAATCAAGAGGCTTTTTTTCTCCAGGAACATTTTCTAGGAGAAATATTAAGATGTATTTTAATTTCAAAACAGATAATACTGAAAAAAAGATTGTTGAAATTATGGAAATTTAAAAGGCTAATTTAGCCTGATTTGACAATGACTGGAAGTTTTAATTTCAACAGCAATTTTTTTAAAATTAACTGTAACAGTTATAGAAATAAGAATACTTTTGAAAAGTAAAAAAAAATGTATAAGGCTGGGTAATTTCTCAAGTATAATCCAGTTTGTATTATCTTATTTCAGTCAGGTGCAACATTTGACATTCTCCGATGTACAAAACAACATGCTTACAATGACAACATTGTCACCTTATTCATATCTAAAGTCATTTTCCTCCCCTTAACATTCCCATTTCTGTCCCTCTCTGGATGGCCGTAACCTTTGCCAAATGGGCTATAACGTCCAGTAGAAATACGAGCATCTCGTGTAATATTTGTTACTGGTTGCCTATTTTCCTTTGCTTTAACACTATTTGGGTCATTGTGCTTGCTACTTTTATGGATAAAAGGGCCAGTAAAGTTGGACTGCAAAACAATGAATTTGGTAAATATGTTGATACAAAATATTGATATGAAAAATCAATCACATATTATTCATAAAAACATGTTAGAAAAAATATCAAATGAAACTAAACAATATAGCAATTGTTACCATTACGTGTACCTGCATACATTGTATATACTTCATTACATTCATAGTTCATATTTGTACAAAAAAGTTTACATTTATACAGACAACATACACAGTATTATAACAAAATAGTATACATTGTGTATACATTTAACAACATATTTAAGTACTATCATGTTCATTCTATAATCCATTTCCCTTGTTAAAAACAACAAAAATAGTATCGGTTTGGTTATACAAGGTTAAATCATGCAAATCTATGTTAAGATACTAATTGTCCCATATTATTTCATGTTCAAACATCACGACAGCATGCAATGTATCTTAATTACAACTTTTCCCCTATTAACTAACACTTTTCGCCTATTAACTAACACATTTCCCCTATTAAATAACACTTTTCACCTAGTTTGCCTCAAAGCAAATCATCCCCTCAAACACAGCATTAATTTTGCTTGATATTTAAAAGATTACAAGCTTTTTTCTCCCTATTTTCATGCAAATCCAACCATTAATATCATTTAAACAACAAAAATGTGTGCATTTTTCACCTTTTTCTTGTCCTTTTCTAGTATATGTGGACGTGGCTTGACCCTTCCGTCAGCCAACCTGTCTGCATTCCCATACCCTTTTCCCCATGGGTCATATGTGTCCTTCTGAATGACAGAGTGAAAGAAAGAATAAAGAAAGAGACAGAAAGAAATAGAAAGAATGATATAATGATATTCAACATACAAAATAATCTTGTGAAAAATACATATATATACATGTACTTTTAAAACTTCTTACATGTTCATATGTTTTTGTAAACTAATGTCAGGGCACTCATTCATAAATCTTTACTCAGTACTGGGAGTACAAAATTTGTGCTCGAAAACCAAATACTGTATTTTGATTGGTTGAATTCTGAGTATGAGTACGATAATCATACTCCAAATTTTTATGACCGAAAGGCCTGATCATTCTTATCTTGTGCCATTGTGTTATGATTTTAATTCATTAAAATATTTCAGTAGGAACCAGTATTAGCCTATTAGGATTTAAGCTAAAAAGAACAAAAATGTTATTTTTCAAAAGCATGCTTTTTAGTTTAGTTTTAATTTTTATTAAATTTTCTGTGTTCAGATTGAGATATTATTTTCCAACTTCTTAATACTCAATTTATCTTATAACGACTTTATTAGCGCTACACAAATTGTCTCATGCATTGTATGAGATATTATCTCATGTTCTTACCGATGACAAGGAGGTACCACCAGAAGTCGAAACGATGCTTAGTTTACCAGAAACACTTGTTTTTGAAGAGGCAGCACTAGATTTCTTTGATGCCTAAACAAGCATTTCAAATTTTATGTTTCTGTTATAATAGTATAATTTGTTAACAATTTCTACAGAATATTTAAAATCAACAGAAGATTTCTAATATAAGATTACTCCATTAATTCAATTATATATATATTTATAAAATTTATAATAACTAATGATTACTTGCATTTTTTAATTTATAAAAGAATATAGTAATTTTCTTTATTTAAATATTAATCAGTATTTTATTTAAAATTGTTATAAAAATTCCAATATTTAATAAAAAAAAAGTTGATTTGTTACTTCAGTTAATTATCATAAATGAAACACATGCTTGAACTTACTTTTTGGGGTGATGATGATTTGCTCATCTTGGGTGATAACCCACTGATTTTCTATATAATCAATAAATATTATTATTCACTTGTTTGCTAAGTCCTAAGGCAACTTAAGTTTTCATGCTGAGCAAGTTCTACTTTAAACAGCTAATTTATGCATTGAATTAAATTCAAAATGAAGTTAAAGCAATGTTATTTGAGACTTTTGATTTTCTTCCCTCAAGATACATTTCCACTAAACTTTTAATGAGCATATCTTTAATTTATAGGTGAAAATGCTGCAATTACCCGTGGAAGTACTTACTGGGCATGCTCTAAAATTTTTAGCACAAAAGCTAGGGTCTATTTCATGTTTCAATTAGGATATAAGGGCTAACTTTTGTAATCTAACCCAGTACAAATATAAAATATATAAAACTGTTCTACATTACCTCTCTTCTTTCTGTGAATGAGTCTGAAAAATGTAAAAAAAAAGTTAATATATAAGCCTTGCAATGTCTAAAATAATCTAAAATATTTACATGAAAGTAAAAACTGTTTAATTATTATATCTACAGTGCTAATCCCAGAACAGTTTTCTCTTACTGAATGACAAACATGGCTAGTGTAAATAATTAGTTAAAAACCTGTTATTTAGTTATATACATATGGGTAACAAAGAAATGCTATAGTGTGATAAGCTAATAAATACATTATTTCTTTTAACCTGTATGATTCTAAATTTGTTCCTACGCTTTAAGATTTTCTTTTCGAAAATTTTTCATCAATCATTGGTGAAATCATAAAATTCCACTGAAGAAATCAATTTTAAAAAGACAGCAAAAAAAAGAAAATCATTTAAAGCTTGCTATGCCATATAAGTTTTGCTCATTGTTGAAGGCTGTCAGTAACCTATAGTTGCTTACATCTATGTCATTTGGTCTCTGGTAGATAGTTGTCTAATTGGCAATTATTACACATCTCCTTATTTTATACAGAAATGAAAAAAAAATACAAAAGTACTAGGAGTTTATCTTAGTATTTTGGAACGGTCTTTTAAGGCCATTTTGGGAAGAATTTACTTAAGAAAATCTAGAAACTTAGAATTGAAAATTTATGGGATTAGGAAAAAATGAGACTTTAAACACCATTCTTCAGAGAATGACAGCAGAAACACAGGTATTTCTTATGCTGCGTTCACACGTAATTCGAATTCGATTCGCATTAACTAATTCGAATTAGTTTAATTCGCATTCGAAACGTTTGACGTCCAAACGTAAATTCTAATTCGAATTGCAATGCGCGTCAAATTCGCTTTACTGTCCTAAAGAAGAGTGTGTGAACGCGATTAGCGAATTCGATTCGCATTCAATTCGAATTAAATGTACGTGTGAACGAGGCATTAATTTAACCTACTGTAGTAATGAATTTTAATCTTAAACAGCCATTTTAATCTTCACATCATCTGAAAAGTCTGAACCTTAAAACGTTGTCTTGTTAAAGGTTTAAGTTATTGTTCAGATATTTTCTTATTGTAAATTAAGTAATGTTCAGATATTTTACTTGCAGTCAATACAGTACTGTTCAGTAGATTTTCAAGCAATTCAGTACACAGGTAAAAATACACTGAACTGATCTTAATAGGCTGCCAGCAATGTGTCCTAACTGTGCTAACTTTACTACAGTGAATAAGTCTGAAAATTGACTGAAAGAACTTCATAATATTGTTCAACTTCAGTCTTTTATGACCTGTTGAGGTCAAAATGGCCATTTCAGTTCAAAATTGATTTACTAGTAGTCCAGTCATTCTAGCCAAAATATGACCAAACCTCAAACTAATTGCAACAGAATGTTCTTCTAGTTTTCCTAGCTGATTTTGGGTTACTGTTGAACATATGAAAAATCGAGAAAGTTTGGATGAAGGGAAATTGTTAATTTTGGGTGAAAACCTTGGATTTTGTTGAAAAATCGCTGAAAACTGGAAATTTGCCGTTATTAAAAAACTAAAATAGCAACGTACATAATTTTTAATCAAGTCAATAGATCTTATTACAACAATGAATTTTTGAAAATATGATGAACTTCAAAGTACAGGAAGTTGAAAATTTTGGGTGAAAATGTTGGATTTTTAGCAAAAAATCGATAAAAACTGGGAATTTATGTTTTCTTAAAAAAACCAAATTCAAATAAGATTATGAGTCTTCAAATTTACTTTGTATATGTTAAATATTGAGGGAGATCAAATAATGATAAATTCGTCAAGTCAATAGATCTTATAACAACAATAAAAACCGATTGACCGGTATGATACTTTTTCTTGAAACCAAAATAATTACGTTATAGGATAACAAAAACATGTAGTAGTTTTTACCCAAACCCCTTAACTATGCTAATTACGTTTTTTTGTGTATTCTACATAGATCTTTTGAAGTTAATTGTCACTTAATCGTCCATGTCAACTGTTTTGTTCGAATTTGTACAACCAGTTCCTTTACATTCGCCACATGCTACTGAACATTCAAGTCCGTTTTTTCTACAAGTACATCTTTTAGTGTCACAGTTTGTCTTACAATTGCATCGAATAATGTTGAGTAATTTAGAGGGAGCTGCGTCCATCGTACACTTAACTGGAACAAGGTTTCCATTAGCGTGTTTCCAACCCCATTCACATGGATTTAAATTGTCCTTGTCCATCCACATTTTCATTTGAAGATAAGCCCTCTGGCTATGAAATGAAGCCGCATTTGATGTTGGCGGCAAAGTATGAATTTGAACGCACGTTTTGTTTGTCAATACTCTTGCAGCAAACTTTCTGTAGCGAAGAACGTTCAGTCCTTCATACGGAGCACCATTATATAGAGAGGAAATAATGTTTTCACCAGCAGAAATTACATCATCCTTTGTGTTTGCATTGCATAATAACTGTGCCTGAGCCTTTACAAAGTCTTGTTCTCCGAATTTCTTTAAGGTCGCTGCTTTACTGACACCGAACATTCTTGAAGTTGTGTCACAACCACTGATAGCATGAATTAAAGGTAACAGTGTACATAGCTCCTCACCAAGAAGCGATTTGGTCTTCAAAATATCCCATATTTTAATATTTGTGTTGAGTTTTGACACATTGCCAGATTTGAATATCAGCGAATTTGATGTAACGTCCGCATGATAAAGAAGGAGTACCAGAAGATCAGTGTCCTCTCCTAGCAAAACAGTTGGTTTTGTTTTCGATGACTCGATTGCAGTAAGGGCTATCAATACATCAGCATCGGCATCTGAGTGTTTAGTTTCAATTCCCTTTTCTACCATCTTTGCACTCAAGAGATTAATGAAGTTTTGCTTGTTTTCGATGTTTGCTAGAAATATTTCTTTTTTAGATTTGAAAGGAGTTCTATCCGTGAATGAAACTTTTGTGCCTATGATTCCTTTGGTGCGTCGCTGGTGAGTGGCATCTTTAGTATCTGGACCCGAGGCATATCCATCAAATACAACTATAGCATTACTGTATTTCCGTTCTGCGCTGTCAACGTACCTCTGGCAAATTTCACCGAAAGAAAGTCCGCTTTGCCAGTGTATACGATGGAGAAGAGAGCCGCCATCAATAATATACTGAGTTTTGTCGTTTTCGTTCATTTCAAATGCGCAACAATCGCCCTTTCCCCAAATAGCATCTGCAAGACTAGACTTTTGTGCTGTTCGCATGAGCCCATTTGGATCAAACATTGAACTGGGATGACTACATAGTTCATAGGTGAATATTTCATACTGATCTTCATATATGCCATTTGATGCAGCAAGAAAGCGCTGAAAGAGAAGCTGTGAATCAACAGTAATGACATCATCATCAACTTTGATAGCCGATTTTGCACTTAAGATAATGGCCTGTTCTTTCCTTTTAAATGAAAATTCATCAATTTTCTGTCCGTCCATGGACTTTAGAATTTTAATCCCTAATTCCTTCGAATTATCAACATTGACAAATTTGTCCGCCGAGACCCCTGTTTCTATATTTCGCAAACTGGTTTCCTCTACAAAAGGATTTCTGCTGATAAGAAACGATAAAAATGTTTTCAAATCTTGACAGTCTCTCGATCTCCTTGAATCCCCACCTTTCTTTATGTTGGTCACTTGTTCCATAATTGACTCCAGTAAACTCTTGCAAAGCATTGTTCATTTCCGCGCAGTCTGGCATAGATAAAATCCATTGGGCTCGCTGACCCTCTGACATACCTCTGCCCCGAGTCATACCGCCTGTCGTCTTTAAGCTTCTCATTAAAACCTGTTCTATGACCAAATCAGAAGAAAGACCTGCCCAGAATTTATCACTCCTTCTTATAACATGATAACCTGATTGTAGAAAAGCTAATACGTCAGGATGTGTTGTTTTCAAGTTCTGCATTTGTTGTAAGTATACTCGTGATGATTTGACATACAGATTGTGTCCCGAAGCTGCAAGATACGGAAGCATGTCTTTGACTGTTTGTAAATGTAGACCCCAGTTACCAGTCCTTTCAGCTTTGATGAATCTACGGAGTATATCTATCATATCCATATACTGGAACCATAGTTGTGAAGTACGAAAACTTTTGTGTGACACCCGAAAGTTATCTATCCTAGATTTTATTTGATCTAATAAAACATTTTCGCAAGCTTTTTCGACGGATATGTCCCCTTTCAGTAGTTCATCCAACATCGAATCTGCTTCATGCAACTCATCCGAAAGGTCCTCAGCGTTCATATCAGTAATGTCGGTATTTATGTAATTTGCCGGATTAATATCATTGGTTCCACTCTCATTTTCGATTTGATCTGGAAGTGGTATGCCGTATATGTGTGACAAGATTATTGACGTGAGAGCTGTGTCTATCAGGAAATGTGCCCTTACTGCTCGTGCAATAGCCTTTCTACTAGTCATATGAGTTACTGCATTTGGTGCATACACTGTTTCAAGTAGCTCAGTAATTCCAGATCCTTCCATCAAGTGACCAATGCCGCCTACAAAACTCATTTCTAAATGAAAGCCTCCAAGTCTCAAGATAACTGACTTTAAAGGACTAGCCAATGGTTCATCTTTAATTATGTTCATTGCCTTCCAATAGAGGGGTTGATCAAATGTCAAAATAGGTGAACAATGTTGAGCCTTTGCTTGCTTGCTTATGAAGTTAAGTGTTGAATTTATACATGTGAGATCACTAGGATTCATGTCTATCATTGGCAAAAAAACAACAGATGATTTTCCTGGATAATCACCGTCCATCACTTTGTGCATAATGGCTGACCAACTAGGTTGGTTGCATGTCAAAGGCCAGCATACTTTTGACAGAAGGTCTAACTTCCACGTTGTATCGACCATATTTGGCTCATAATTCATGGTTGCGAACTCTGCCTGTAACGATTGTTTAGATTGCATCTTATAATAATCTATGTTAATCTTCGCTAAGTCAGAGACTTCCTTTAGTGTGGGAGACAGCCTAGGGACAGTTTTGTCAAGTCTAAATCCTGGAGTTACAGCTGCAATCATGCCCATACCATGAAATGTTCCATGACCATCTAAAGTGCGCAGGTTATGGTCAGCTATATACTGAACGAAAGTGTCATTCCCAAACTGTGTGTCGGTTCTGTCATGAGAAGCAGCAGCAGCATTAAGTTCAAACCTTTGAACCTCTGTGTAAGAAGAAGCAAAACCAAGAGTGTTCAAAGTGTCCAACAAAAACCTTGATCCAAAGTGATGATGCATTTGTACACTGAGGGCAATTTGTAGCGGTGCAATAAGTGTTCTTGGTCGGGTTGCCTGAATTATAGCTTGACCAACAGATGCAACTTTAACAGTAGAGTCGTTTTGACTAAATAATGCACTTAGAAATGTTCGTAACGAATCTGGGACAAAGGCAGTGTTTTGCTGTGAGTTTATATCAACAGAAGACGGATATATAGATTTTGAATCTTTAAGGCTCATAATATCTGCTTTTATTAGCTTAGCTGCTGTTTCTATCATCGACAGCTTTTCATCTTCTGGACTCTTAGATGATGGTCTTCTGTAAAATTCGTTCAGTATAGATGATGCTGTTCTCCTAAATGTGACTATATTCGACTTTCCGTTTACTTCCGTGATGATGATATCGGATCCAAAATGAGTTTGCAGTCTCTTTTTCATGTGCACCACACTATACGCCTTCTCTCCGCAAATTTCTTCCATAGCCTGAACAAGATCGCTTACGGTTGCAGGTTCGTCTTGTGTTTCTTCTAATTGTCTAACTATTTGCAGGAAAGCTTTCTCTGGTAAATCTTCTTTTGGTCGTCCTGGTGTCGTTCGTTTGACCTCTTTGTTTGCTTGCTTCGAAACGGGGATTTGCTTACCAGTTCTAAAATTAACACTACATGTTTGGTGGTATGTTGCATCTGCAGCGTGCAAATCGGATGGCGCAATGTTTAGCCTCCTCAAAACGTTTTCGGACCATTCATCATTTCTTTCTTTGCAGATGTTTCTAAGGGTCTTAGAAAAATCTGTTGTCCTGACAGGAAACACGTCGATTCCCCTTTTGCTCTCCGAAAATTTTGCATAATTTCCACAAAATAAACAGTTCTTCTGGAACTCGAAAACAGGAGTGGAAGAGCGTAAGTCACGACTTAGCTCGGTTGTCGATAAATTCTTGTCTCGCAAGTCCTTCTTGATTGAATTAGCGTTTATGTAATCACGTCGACATTTCTGATGAACTTTTTGTCCTGGAGTTGTGTCGATCGTATCATTTCTGGTTTGGCTGGTCCTATTAACTGTGTTACATCCTTTTTCTCTTAGTTGTGTTATTTCTTCACCATTGTTTAGAGACACCCGACAGAAAACACAAGCATCCATCATTACCTAAAAAAATGATAAAACTGTTAAGACGAGATTCAATTAATTTGGTTTTGCTTTCATATTATTTTATCAAAAGATTTGTTTTGGATACAATATTAAAAAAGATCTATGTTGACTTTTTTTATACTATAAAATAATTCATATGTAGTGTCTGTACTCATTTTGATTCAGGATTACAACAGTTATTTTTTTCAGTTTGTTAATAGTTTCTATTTGTCGATATTCTGGTTCTATTTGTACTTTCCGCCGTAGTTCATTGTGTTTTTATTACTTTATCATGTTAACGCTTATACAGAAACATATGACATTAATACAAGTATTAAGTGGCGCCCATCCTCCTTTTCGGGTAAAATACCTGCTTGATGTATGCACAGAAAAACAACAGTAATAAAAATTGCCCCAAAATGTAATATGAAGTTTGATAGAGTGCCTTTCCCCTGCTTGGTGCATGGTAGCTCAGTTAAATTGTATAATGGTAGCTTTGTTAAACTGGACAATTCTAATGTCCCTCTATCATTTGATTAATAAATATTCATCTTATTTTGGTAAAACAATTTGTCTGTATCGATTTTTAAATTTTATTATCAGTACAACTTCCTTTTTCCATGAATTCAATTTTGTTGGAATGTAACCTTTTTGGCACTAACGGCGTTCCATACTTTTTTTTTTTCGTCAGCAACTCCTGGCAGTAGACTATAATTTGTTTTTTACGGGGCGATTTATATATGAAATGTATATAATTTAGTCCAAATATAAAAAGCAGAGCTGTTTTACACGTGATTTGTGGTTTAGAGACCTCGGCAAACCGAAATGAACTCATTTCTGCCCTGTACTACTTTTTGCCGTCTCCCGTGTATTTACGCCTTTCAAAAACACCAAAAATACCTTGCATGACAGCTTTTACTCTTAAGAGTGCTAAATACATATAAAACTTTTATATATAAGTCTTATATTTACTTACCAGAATGAAAAGGATGGACACTAGATGCGTCGTCTGCAGTTGACCATTACGAGTTGTCTCCCATATCGTCATTCTCAATCTACGGGCGCCATATCTTTCCATAATATTTGAAGTAAAATCTTGATTTTTTTTTCGCCAAAATTGACGACTTTCCCCTATTTCGATTTTTCTCGATTTTTAATATGTTTCTTATACGTTATATCTCTCACGAATTCCGCAAAAAACATTTCTGTTGCAATTAGTTTGAGGTATAACCATAGAATGACTGGACTATAGTGAGCTAGTCAGTTTATTACATGGAGTCAGGTTATCAGACTTACTTCTTGCCTGTATTCTCATCAATTCTAGCGTGTTTGTGCAATGGTACATCTTATTTCTAGTTATAATTCTACCTGTACATGTGGTTACAGAAAGAAAGAGAAAAAGAAAGAAAGAAGAACAAGAAAAGAAATTAGTAATGATTAGTACAGAATGAAAGAAATATAATGACTTCTGGTAGATAAATACTGTTTCCAAAGGTATTTAGGAATAAATCACATGTGATTCTAAAGGCATTCCAATGTAATTTCAATCATAACTCTATTAAAAGTTTGTCAACCAGATTAACATACAGACTCAATTTACAACTCATCATAAGAAAGCTACATCGCAGAAATCAGCTCATTATCTGATCATTGCAAAAATACAAACAGTATTGACACAAAGAATCAAAGATATATGATAAGCATGTGACTCAATAGTCTTGATCTTGGTATAGTTCCAAAACTGAGAGAGAATAAAACGACTGTACAGTTATTTCAAGATATTATAGGATAATCAAAAACTGTAAGTTTACACTGTAAAAAAGAAATAGATGGAAAGGGAAGCAATATTCTACAAAACACCATAATACACAGAAAACTAGAGATTGAGCAACACAAACACCATCAAAAAATCAAGGGGCAAATTCAGAAGCTCTCGAAAGGTCATAAGCTCCAACTCCATTAGTGACACCTGCCATTGTTACTTCTGCTAAAATCAGTGAACGAATTATTTGATCTAGTGATTAAGGATCATACTACAGTAGCAGATTAGTTAATGTCTCTTGTTGATTCCCAAGACTTCACCAAATTCATAAACCATAGATTTATATGTAAGTTCTCCTACCCTAAAACTTAACCTAATGTGATAGTTTGAAACAAAAACATTTTTTTCAGATCAAAAGGCAGACAAGATTTTGAAAAAATAAAATAGCACATAAAAGCATAAATCCTCAGCAAACCCAACTAATCCCTTAACAACAGAATTAAGGATGAACTCTGGTTCACCAGAAGGGTAAGCCATTATCAATTTGTGTAATCTTCTAAAGTGTATATGTAATATTAATAACTGTATCTCACCACTTTTATTCTTTCTATATAAAACTCAGAATAAAATGTTGTGCATAAACATAATTTCCCAACAGTGATGTCAGAGCATAAAAACTATTGTAATGGTGTTCAAACAGTGATTTTATGTGGTCCATTTTGCTGAAATGTTACCCTTTATTTTCCATTAAAACCGACCAACAGTTTCTAATCAGAGGCTCTCTGGTTGCAGAATAGAGTTAGATGTGAAGTACAAAATAAAAACTGAAAAAGACTAAAGAGGCAAGCTGAGCAGGAGAAAGATATAAGAAGACCTGTTTCAAAGAAAACATGTTATATCATAAGACAAAGAAAGTGCCCATTGTCGAGTAGCATATAGTATAAGACATAATTGCAGATTTTTTATAACTAACAGAAATTCAACATTTATTGAATGTAAAAGCATAAATACATTAATGAAAAACTAACCAATAGAAATAAAGCTGTGGAGAAAATGAGATAGGTATACATCGAGTAATGAGGAAGCGACCAAAAAAACCAAAACGAGACTTAAAGTTTTCATTAATGCAACACCCATCTTGTCCCAATTTTATAAATAGAGGAACATGTTTCAATAATTTCTAAGTTAAAAATATATAAATTGATTGGTTTTTGCGCATAACATATATGTAAAGGTGTATCAAAATACCCAGTATATTTATAGAATCTTTTAGATCACATAAATAAATTTTAACTGATATTAGAAAGATGGCCAGCGCTGTTCCTCTAGTAGAATCTGTTTTAATAAGATTCTAAAATTCTTTTACAGCCGATTTCAATGAGTGTGTAGGCAAAGGTAATATCTTTGGTTAGCTTGCTTGCTAGCTGAACCGTGAAGTCATTGTTAGGTTAGGTAAACTACCCTCTTTTAAGAGTAGACTAGTCCGACAGATAACCAATCTATCTGTCTGTAGGACTAGGCTACTTCGAAAGGAGGGTAGTACATTGTATACCTTACCTAACAATGACTTCACGGTTCAGCTAGCAAGCAAGCTAACCAAAGATATTACCTTTAGCTACACACTCATTGAAATCGTCTGTAATTTTCAAACCAATGTACTCACTGTACATCCAAAAATTAAGGGTCAAATTCTAGACCTCACCAAAAACAAATTAAAGCTTAATGATGATCTTATTTACAATACATAGAAACAGTTATAAAAAAAAATTCTGTACCTGAAGTATTTCTATTTGGAGCTCCTCCTCCTGGCTTTCCAAACTGGTCAGTTTTCAACTATAAAATAAATAAAAAGCTTCATTTCAATTTATATATAAGTACATTGAAATTATTGTCATACAAATGTTATTTGCAGATTTTGTCCATTGTTTTATTTTTGTTATATTTGTCCAAAAAATCTTAGTATTGAGTATATCTTTATATTTGTAACAAACATACTAAAACTATTATATTACAATTACTTTCCGTTTTAATTTTCCTTGGAGTTTGGTATTTTTGTTATATTACTTTTTATAAAACAATTACTATCCACACTGTTTTGTGTCCACACTTGTATTTGTAAAAACACATTTTTTTCTCTCATAATCTTGAAGTAAGGAATATATGGGATAGATGTGCCTGAGACAACATTCACTCAATATACTAAGAGATAATTATCTCTGATATTTTCTGTAAAGTCTTAAACACTATGTCAAAGACCTGACAACTGAACTAAAGATTTAAAATGTGGTTTAAAAAAGGGGACTGTACACATCAAGAAATTTTAACAAGTATTAAATGTTAGTTTTACTGCAAATATTTATTCCAAGAATGCAAAAAAGAAACTTAATAAAAAATATAAACAATTAACCTTTTCAATTTGTAGTACATAGACAACTATCTGTTTCATTTTTAGTGTAAATATTAAATCTAAGTTTGAATAAGGGAACTGGATCAAGAAATATAAACAAGTAACCATTTCCATTTCCAATTTAAATATTAAATCCAAGGACAAAAAGGGGATAGTATCAAGCAAAATAAACAATAAACTGTTCCTTTTTTACTGTAGATTATAAAAAGGGATGGTATCAAAAATATAACCAATTAATCCTTTTTGTTGTTTTTGTAAATATTAAAGTCAAATGGCAGCACATTAACATAAATGAAAATAAATCTATATACATGAAATAAAAAAAATAATCATATTTTTATATCAATAATTTACTTAAAATGTTCAATAAACACAATACCTTTGTTTCTGGTTGCATTTTAAGAGAATATTCCTATGAATTTTCAAGGCTATATCCCAGTGAACAACACAAACACACTAAATATTTACTGTTAATATTTTGTTATTATTAACAAACATTATAAAATAACTAAACATGTGCTGACATGATTAATCTTTCGTTAAATCATTGAGATAATCCCCCATTCAACTAATGAAATTAATTTCACAATTATGCAAACCAGGTAATGTATTCACTAAGTTTAATTAATGAAGTCTACTGACTTTTTTCATTAAATAATATATATGTAAAAAATAGTTTTAAAATATATCCTACTTTTATCAAGTTAGTTTGCATTAAATTTTGTAAAAAACCATATGTTGGTTTAAAATCTGCATTTTTTGGCACACATAATATAAATTTTTAGCAAATCTTCACATAGTTATAAGTGCTTGTAAATATTATGTTTAGTGTTAAAGACCCTTATTCCAAGGTGGGAGTGCTCTTATAGACAATGGAAAATCATACCTTTACAGAACATAACCGATACAATTTTCAGTAACGTTTTAAATATTTCATATTCATCTTAAATGGATTCAGAAGAAAAATATAATCAGCATTTTTTTTTTATCAAAATCACATATCTATAGCCTTAATCTATTCTTGGTCTTTGAATGGATCTACATATTATAAAATTTATCGAGCATAAATGACATATATGTTTTTGTGTATTAAGGGGAGAAGCACAAAAGTAAAGAGGAGAGGATTGAGGTTTGACAACACTTTTTTATTTGATCTCACCATGCATAAAACCTTAATTGACTTTATCATACAAAACAACAGTTAATAATAAAGCCTTTTGATACCCTTCTGCACATTTCTGGAAAAGCTTGAATTGCAATTAAAAAAGAAACATAAAACTTTTGTCAGTATTTCTTTTTGTGTCAAAAGTAAAAAGCACATACCTTAGATGGCACACCATGCATTTAGAATGTGAAGAAATATCCTAAAACTGCATCAGTGCTGTTAATTGAGGGTATATAAATCACACATCTATGTTTTTATTAAATGAATACCGTACATTTACCGTTTCCAATTCTCTCTGTAAGTTATCTAATCTATCCTCTTGTCTACGTAATTCTTGATCATTTCTCTGTTTTGCTGAAATATAATGTCAGATTCATGAAAAATATAGAAAGGAATAATTTATGTGAGTTAAATATCAATGAGATAGCAACCAGACGACACAATGTTTCATTTTTTTCATGGTACATGATACAAAACTAATGTGATACATCATTTCAAAATCTTTTGGTGTAAGAAAATGGTCAATATCAAAGAGTGCAAGCCATGGTTTAAAGAAAATGCTTTCTGGATATTTTTTAAAGTTTTTATTTTAATTTTGTAAAAAGCCATTGGTTCAGAACAATGTTTTTCATACCATAGATTGTTGATCAAAGTTTTCCATCAACTTTTTTAATTGTACATTCAACGACCAAACGTAAGTACTTAGAACTCAGATAAAATAAACATAATATTAAAGTTATGACTAGTTGTATGACCTTTTCAGTATTCTCGTTGAAATCTTGTTGAACTTGCACTTAAGAATCTTTTATAAAATTGAACTATGTTGCTGAATTGGCATTTAAAGTCCCAGTGGCAAATATTTCATGTGTATCAATCAGAACACTTTATGATCTCTGACTGAGCCCCTGATTCATTGTTAAGTTCTCCCTTATATTAATACTAGAATAATAAGAATTTTTTTTTTTACCACAAACATTATAGCCTCTTACCTAATTCTTGATGGTATCTTTCCTGCTCTCCCCTGTCTTCATTATACCGGAAACGTTCCTCTACTGCTTGTCTATCTTTTTCCTGAAACCGGATCAGCATATCTCCAATAATTGATGTTTTTATATTACCAGACTTAGTTCTTAAAGGAGCTCCGCCTCCAGGTGTCCCAAAAGAATCAACAAAGGGTCGATAGATGGGTCGATAGTAACGTGCATGCTGAGGGTGAAAGTAAAGCAAAGAAACGAAAAGAAAGACATGAAAATGAAATGATAGATGTGCTGCAAAAAGAAAGACATAGTGGTTAGTAAAGACAAAATGGGCAAAAGAACAGCAAAGCAGAAAGAGAAAGAAAGTGTTGAAGTAGTCGTGGTTTTGACAGTTTTTGTTACAAAGAAGATTTTTCATTTTTTTCCCATGATATTTCGTAAATATATAACTTTGATAAAACATCTTATTTTTTCTGAACCAAATAAATTTCACTGGATTTTTTTTTCAATGTCCAAAGAATTGATTTAGAGTTGGAACTTGTAATAAAATACATTCAAAACAGTGTTAATTCTTTTATCTATTTTCAATATTTTCAATGTCTGAAAACTTAGTGAAAAAATATATGACAGCTACATTAGTATTTCTTTTCAAAAACAACCACAACTACAGTCATACAAAAGTATTAAGAGTTGGTGTTAATTAAGTCTGAAAAAACAGCATGAAGTCAGTGCATAAAGAGAAAGTTCAGATTTTTAAATTGGCAACAAGAAATACCAGCCACTTGAGCTCCATTTGCAAACCCACAAGAAATACCAGCCCCCTTGAGCTCCATTTGCAAACCCACAAGAAATACCAGCCCCCTTGAGCTCCATTTTCAAACCCATTCTTGGAAAGAATTTTGTTTTGTTATTCTATAGTAAACTGAATATTTTTAAGAGAAATTATATTGATATTCATTGCTTTTATAAATTTGTTTTCCTGATAAGGAGTGATTTTCCATAAGTTCCATGTAAAATATAACTATTCTCTGTGAATTTTGAATTCATGTAACAGTAGATCTTTTATAAAAAAATATTTATCTACCGGGTACATTGAAACAAAGAAGTAAATGTTGTTGAGAAAAATTATCTAAATTCAACAATTCAAACTTGATATAACAAAATCTTTTCGTTATAAATTATAACATTGTAGCGGTAACAATCACCTTGGTTATATAAACTATGACATAAAGAAAAAATCAATATTAAAATAAAAGACTACTATAATAATTCCTCTTCCAAAAAATTTAAGTAAAAAACCTCTCAATTATTTCTGATGTTTCTTTGTCAAATACTGCCACATATACTTGGATTCTGAATATTATTCCACAAAAATATCTCTTTATTTTTATATATTTGTCTGACAGAGGAAAGCAGGATTTGAAATGAAAATTTTGTTGATTTCAAGTAAAATTGTGAAGAATTTTAAAGATATATCAAAAAGTGTAAAATTGAAGAAAACAAATTGTTGTGGAGAAGGGATTAAAATCTAATTTTTTAAATTTTATATGTGGCCTATACTAAATGGAAACTTTTTGAAACTATGCTGATGAACCGATTTTTTTTCATGACTGAAACATCAAATATCATTGATGTATCTACTACGTAACACAACCATCCCTTTGATATAGTAATCATTTCAAACACTAAAAACTAACGTTAGTATATAAATGAAAAATGTAATTTTACCAAAAATGTCTGAAAAATTCTATGCAAATCTTCTTTATTCATAGTAAACAGGGGGAAGCATAAGCTTTTACCAAGTATACAGCCTTGTTAGTTATTTGTGCCATATATCACTGACTTTGAAAATGTTCCATTGGCAAATTTTTTTAAATGCTAGATGACCTGAAATTTGGCTGCCAAATTATTTTGATCTTTGAAAAAATATGAGAAATCATATGAAAAGCTGGGTGAAATTTAGTCACTCATGCATGATGCAAACTAGACATTGTGATGACTAAATATGACTAATGTTTGATGGACCTTGTCAAGCATATCTATTGGTGAATAATTTTAAGAAATATTATGCTGAAATTTCATGTTTTTCTAACAATGATTTAGAATTTTTCAAGCATGGATATGCTGAAGGGACCTTTGGCTGGGCATAAATCTTAATCTGGTGGTGTAAAGAAATTATTTAAGCATGGTTTTTGGCTATGGTATATGAACTCTGGAAAAAGCTTAATTACAAATGATGTTGAGCATGTTAGACTGGTTCGTAACTGTTTTGCCAATTTCAGTTTGGAAATAAAGATGGAAAATGTATGACTATATTGCTAAATGAGTATCTAAAAAGATATGACTGAATTTAAATAATGGAATTGTCTAAGTAAAATAGTTCAGTCCATCCCCGTGATCCACTCTCCCACACCCAAGGGCCAGAACTCTCCATATGATAAAAAATGTCATGAATCCAGGATTTAAATTGGCACTCTCTAGATGGAGAGAGCCAATCAGATGATAGCTTAATGCTATCCAGCTAGGTTATTCTCGAGCTGATTCTGAATGATTAATTGATAATTTTTCATTTATTAAGCCTTCAGGCATTAATGTAGCCATTGTAGAGCAGTAGAATATAATGACTGAATTATTCAGGTTAGGAATCATCATGCTGCAATATCACAACATGGAATAGTAATTTATTTGATGGCACCCAAGCATTAAAGTTATAACTTGCATATCAAAAAATGATCTGCATAAAGTGTTATGAATGCATGTTACATATTATTGAATATGATCTGCACTAATATCAGATGCAAATGAGCTGACCTACAGGTTGATAAATATGATATGTCACTATATGAAATGTCTATATAAGTCATGAAGTAATTGCTACATTAGTCCATTTGAAGTGAAACTAATTCAAACAAATAACTATCTGCAGTAATACCAAAGCTTCTTGAATTTTAAGCTCCTGTTGCTGTTTGTATCTAGTCATGCTAGTTATCCAATCTAATTCTCCTGCAGTCAGTGATCTACTGATCTATGTAAATAGGCAAATTTCATCATGATTGAGGCACATTTAGGGAAAGCAGTGACTGGAGGGAAAAGGAGGGGGCATCACTTCAGCAATGTGAATTTTTTGTGGGTTTAAAAAAAGTTTAATTTGAATTTTTTTTTCTCTTTTATAATATACTTGCTTGTAAAATATGTTCTAAAATTCCTAAGAATTTTAATGGATGGTTAAAAAAAAAAACAAGGAAATTAAAACAAAACTTATGTTTACCAAATATTACAAAGTACAGTGAATATCTACTAAAAAAAACTACGCTAAAAGAAATTTCTGTTTATCAGTTTATAATACAAGTCACTTACAATGGAGGTAACTGGTAATGTTCGCTAATAAAACATTAAATTATTTAAAAATATTTATATAATACAATAGTTAACTCTCTTTAACAGAATAAATAAATGAAAGTATATTTATTTGAAAAAAGTATTCTGAAAGACATTGAAAATATCTATTATATGATCTCAAACAGATTAAACTAGCTGGAAAGATGAAAAATATAAAGAATAGCTTCCTGTTAATAAAATTTTTTTTAAAGAACATTCTAACTCTATTTTTTTCCTTTCCTTAAACTATTTTGTTTCTCATTACATACTCTTACCATTCTTTCTCTATAACTTGGTGTTGGACTTCCTTCAAAATCTGTTTCTAAAAACTTCTGTTTTCTGTTATCAGGCTGCAAATTTACAATAAGATAATTTTATGAATCAAAATAAGTTAAAAGAGTCAGTGTTCAATGCATCTGCTTGAATCTTTAATGAAAAACAATATTTACAATGATTTGAAAGATTTTGATAAAGTGCATGTGTTTTTACATGCAAAGAAATAACATGCTTGCAACTTTTCTTAACATGTGCTATATGGCGAAATTATTCCTGAAAAAAACATATACATCTAATCCTTATTATAAAAATATATATGGTGTTTTTGAAGAATCTTTTATTTATCTAAATCACTATAAAGTATCTAGTAATATTTCATCAATTAAATTGATATTTGAATTAGTTTAAATTTCCATTGAAAGTATTGAAATTTTCTTAAATATTAAATTCATAATTAACTGCTGCACAACACGGAAAGCATTTATTATGAAATAAATTTGAATGTGGCATAAAAATCATAATAAAGTAATAAAACAGTCAACTTAAAAGTTTAAAATTTAGATATTTTTGTTAGTAAAATATTCATAGATCTGTTCAATGCTAAGTGCATTGAAAGGAGATAATTTTATTTTGTGATTAGAAATCTATAGACAGGTAATTTGTATATATAAATAAATAGTAGAGTATCTAACTTCAAGAAAAATATAACAATTAAACAAACTTTTTTTTTTACACCAAATAGAATTTTTCTACAAAGATTTGTAAATCTGATAAGTCATTGATGTGCGTCCATAAACACACTGGTCAAGAATAGTTGAAGACAGCAGGTTGGATGATCCTCAAGGATCATTTGTGTGTTATGTTTAATTAAATAAAATAAATCTTAGTTTTCTTGTTTCCTTGTTAAATAATAGCTAGTATTACAACCATAGCATAACTAAATAATCAATATTTTGGCAATTTTGTATTTATTCTTGTGTTTGGTAATTGAAAAAACAAACAACTACTTTTCATTAATATATATTCGAGTATACAATCAATAAATTTCCACAAGTTCAATAATCCTTCTTAAGATTACTTCACTACGTCATATTTAAAATTCCAATTTAAGAATAGTTATGGTCAATATCTAGATCTCTATTTGATGTAAAAGTTTAATTTATCACAGTTTGTTAAATCAAATATTTCTTCTGGAATTCAATCAATTAAATAATTCATAACATTCAATTTAATAATCAGCCAAAATAAGAGGTACATCTAATTTTTATGGTGATCAAGTTTAACCTTCAGACAGTTCTATTTTATGATGATAGGTTTTCAGTCTTTCGGTTGATTTATTCCAGGCACATTTCAGCTTGTTTTTTTCAATGTTTTTTTTAAAGAGTTACCTTTCCTTTAGACAAATTATTCAGTTAATTCTGTACAAAAAATATCTTCGTTGTTCAACATAGATTTCCCAATTCAAAGAGATTACAATTTTTATAAAATAATTTGATATTTTCATATTTAGAATTAGTGGTAAAAATCATATCAGACATTTACATTCGTCTTATATCATATATAGTTTATAGCTTGCTGTTCGGTGTGAGCCAATGCTCCGTGTTGAAGGCTGTACCTTGACCTTTTATAAATTGAAACTTATATGGAGAGTTGTCTCATTGGCACTCATACCACATCTTTCTATATCTAATTATTCATTTGTGAAAACCACCTGCCAAATTCAACATTAGATGATATTCTTTTGAAATGTAAACAAACCAGAAAACAAAACAAAACATTTTCAATCTGAACAAAATCAAAATACATTCACAACAAAAAAATAGTTAGTAAACATGTAGTGTATATTAAACTATGACTTGGATTTTTCTAGACTTTTTACCCCTCTCCAATGTATGACAAATTAAATATAAAATCAACTTAAAACTGTGATTAACATAATATGATTAGATAAATCCAAGCTAGCTAGTTTGACAAAGTGATGCAAAAGAGATGTCATAATAATTCCTTTTTCAAATTTTATTAATGCAGTAATTGAAACATATTATTCTAAAATTAATAATTCGATAAAATGAAAAACTTGAATTTATTGTCTTTTTGTTGGTATTGTGACATTTTTTATCATCACTTTGTAGTCATGGTAACAAATGAAAAGTATTTGAAGATGAAAAATGAACAGGATGAAAAAGAAAGTCTTTTACAGCTCTGATACATCAATTCAATTATTGATCAAAATTTATCAATTATGTTCACTTTAGAATAATCAGTTTTGTGATAATCAGTACTTTCAAATTTCTGTTGAAATTTGCCATTTTAAGATCTCAAGAATGGGTGGGAATTGCAATGTCCATACACTAAAATGAAATAACGTCACACCTTTGGATGGTTAATCATTGTTAAAAATCTAATTGGTGTACATTGCAAAGAATACCATATTTCGATTCTTAAATGGTAATTGGATAACCTTAGAGATATTTTCATCTTCAAACACAATTAAAATGGTTAAAAATGATAAAAAATGGAAAAAAAACCCTGGATAACATTGAGTGTAACCCCAAAACATGCAATATAAAAAAATTCTGATTAGTATAAAAACTGAGTAGTAAGAATATTAATACAAAATTCAAATGGAGGGGTTTCCATAAACTTACTTTCGGTGCCCCTCCTCCCGGTTTACCCCATGGATAATAGTTTGTTAACATTTCCTTATCCTGAAAAAATTAAAATCACATTTAAGTGGTGAACATACATATACAATTAACAAGAAGAAATAATCAGGGGCTACTTAAAGTTGTAGTGCCAGAAGTTGAAAATCACTTCTGTGATCTTGTAACCACACCCACCTTGAGTGGGGGAAGTTCACTCCCCAATTGTATAAAACATGTTAAACCAGGAGTAACATGCTTTTTCACTTTTGCATGCAGCTTTAGAAGTAACAGCAAAGACTGGTCAGCTTGGAATCAGAATATGTCAGAGGGGGAGTGTCATATCTTAAAATGATTTTTTTTCATTATGAGTTACCATTTAAAAATCCAGTAAATAAGTACAAAAACAATGTTCATATTCATATCACATTAACATGTTCTTTTCTGAATAAGGTTTAAAGAGTATCTTCTGTAAGTTAAACATGCATTCAAAAGAAGAACTAAAAGCCTTATTTACGAAAAATATAAGTTCATTGCTGTCTTTTTTTTTAGATTTTTTTTTTTTTTTTGAGGGGGGGGGGGGGGGAAGAAGTCAGTAAAGGGCACGAGCTGACATGACCTGCATATTCAGATGCTGGTTATTTTTCTACATCATTTGGCAAATGATGCCCTCTTTATCTTTTCATTTCTCTTTTTCATCCATGACTCAGTATGGAAATCAGTCTTTCTACAAACTACATCATTTATAGCTAAACAGGTCATCATGGTCATGAGGTAAAGATAAAAGTTTAAATCTTGAACAAAATGTTTTTAGAAATTGTTCTGACACCACAAATTTAAGAAAGCCCTTTTAAATTATAAAAACAAGACAAAATTCAAATTTACAAAAACTTAAATTAAATAGAATAAATACAATGAAGTCAGAATCAAGAAATATATATAAGTGTGAAACAATTTTAAAAAGAAAAGGAAAAAGAAAACAAACACAAACAAAAACGGTAGATTGAACAGACTGAAGAATGAAAGAAGATCTGTGTAGAATAAAAACAAAGCAGTATATATTTTGTCTTTCATGACCTATAGTTGTTAATTTCTGTGTCATTTGGTCTCTTGTGGATAGTTGTCTCATTTGCAATCATACCACATCTTCTTATTTTTAGATTTAACTGACATATTTTGTTGGCCATCTATATTTCTCTAATTTTATTTTGAACATTATATTACTTTTGTAAACTTAAAAAAGCTTCGACCTATAGAATATCACAGACAATGCAACATGACAAAAATCTGTTTTTACCACCATTTTTTTTAAAGCTCCTTTCAAGTGAAAATTGGCCGTTTAGGCCTGTTATAAATTGGAAAGTTCTTATCTTACATCAACTTAACCACACATTTTGGATTTGTTATTATTTCTGCAATACTAATTTTCATGCATTTCCTGTTTCTAAATGCAAATTATCTATCAGCTTGCATGCAGAGGTTGTTAAAACAATGAAATCTCAAGTATCCATGAAAATACACTTTTTTTTTCCTCAATCTTGGAAAATTGGTACCCTGGAAAATGATTGCATCCGAAGTAATCAATTCCAAACTATATCTGAGATTGAATGGGTATTTAAAAGTGACACAATTCTAATTCTCTGTCAATTAAATTACTTCCCACACAATGGGTAACAGGTATGAAAATGCACCCAGGAAACTATCCCAGCAATACAGTAGAATGGAATAAACAAGCATATATAGGGATTGAAAGGCGTGTCTGATATAACAGAAAGCAAGTGATTAGTATGAGGGTCTGGGTGGGGGACCTTCATTTTTTGTTTTCTTTAAACTTCTAGGCCATTTTTCTCTTCTTTTTTATTTTGCCCATTTTTCTCTATTATATTTTATCACCAAATTATTCTCTATTTTTCTCTTATCTTTATTTTTTTGGTCCTTCATTTTGTATTTTATCCAGACCCTCGTTCATTCTATAAATACAATATATGACAGAGATACAACAAATTGCCATCATGTCTGCAGTGTTGCCACAACATTTCAGATTTACAGATAAATGATTGTCCTAGCATACAGTGATCTTTTTAGGTGTGTTAATTCCCTTTTTCATAATTCAAGTTATTTCAGAGTTACTTCCCTTAGGATTTGTAAGTTTTACATTAAAAAATGTTGAAAGTTATTTATGATAAGTATTCTTTTTAATCCTAGTAATATTACATTCAGTTTATTACTATCTGTTATCACATTCTCTTTGTTGAAAAGCATATTTTACTGGAAGTATAACCTTCAAGGGAAAAACAACGCTTGCAATTGCAAACAACTTTTAAGAATTTATAAGAAAACTTGGAATATACACATACCGGTACATATGTTTGTGCAACTCAAGACTGACAGCATTGTAAAACTTCTACAATATTACACATCAATGGCATACATTTATATTCTATTATGAAATCTTTGAATCAGATACATTATTTTAACACAAAAAATGTAAAGAATGGTTTATAATTCTAGTTTAATTGCTTTATTTTAATGAGCAAAAAAATCACTGAGTAACCGAATAACTCTTAAAAATCCCATATAAAGACAAATCAAAAATGAACTTAAGTGTTGTCATTAATTTGAGCAGAAATCCAAAACAACATTGTGAATGTACACTTGTAAGTTTATTTGCTGACTGAAAAGAAAAAAGGTCACCAGCCACATGCAATCACATCTCCATCAAAATTAATAATTCATGTCTGCATTTGAACAATCAAGATTTTATAAAAAAAATGAGGCAAAATGTACAATGCAACTATCTTATCACATTACTAAGAACTATCAGCTGTATCTTTTAAATGCTGTGTATGTATTGTTAATGTATTAAACCAGACTAATTAATTTACGGATTACATGGTGAAAACAGATATTCCTGAACATTTTGTTTACAAAGGTGTTTTTTCTATAATATATAATAATAATATATGTGAAATACTGAGAAAAAAGATAATATTTCTAATTCTTATTAGTCTAGCAAAAGGCTGAAATCAGAAAAAAAAAACGGTTAGTCTGAAAAAAAGGAAAGATTTCTTTAGACCTGTCTTTGTCTGTATAGATCTTCATAGAACTAAAGGGTGAGAAAGATAAAATTGCAAATATTCTATTTTTTAAGCATTGTATGGAATTATGGGAATGGAACATTCGTAGCAAGAAACTTACAACACTTATCTGTAAAAAACTTTATTCATTTATTTGTTAAAAATAATTAAAACAACAAAAATAGCAATCATTCTTTTTAATGATAATTCTTTAACCAGGTTATATTCCCTTTTTTGTTATTATACTTCAACTTAGTCCATATTTAAGTCTTCTCAGATTTTTTTAAAAGGTAAATTGTTGCTTAGAATAATATTATTCATGTAAAAGCAAAGTACCAAAACCAGCCTGCATACTTGCAGAATGCACATCACAAGATTGTTGCATGCATGCTGCAAGCAAACATCAAAATGATTTGCAAGCTAGATGCTCGCTGCATGCTTGTAGAAGATTGTGTCACTTTCTGTGAGCAAACTGCATGCACGCAATACTCTTTTTTTTTTATTCAATTTCAAACATTTCCCTAAACTGTGTAAAACCATGTCCTTTTTATGAACATATCATTGAAATAAATTCTGTGGAAATTTTAATGAACAGTACCAAGGAAAATCAAAATCGATTTAAATTCTCCGTTAACCTTTTAGATTCTCCGTTAACCTTTTAAATTCTCCTTACCTTTTGCCTCTCCTCTTGTCTTTCTTCAGTCCGAAGTTTATCTATGATACCTCTTTGTTTTCTATCCTCCTCAATATCTCGCATCTCCCTCTGGAGCTTATATTTATGTTCCTCCCTGTTAATGAAAATGTATAGAAATTTTGCAATTGTTTGTGTAACTTTACCTTACGTTATGAAACCTTACAATAATTTATTCCACTCTGTATGGAATAACCATATCAAGTTCCTCCTTATGCAGGAAAATAGAAAATAAAAGTCTTATTTTTGGAAAACGAAAAATTTTGTCAAGTTGAAAGCTATCAATTCCCTAATATATAAACAATACCATAATAGTAGGTTTACAACTTCAACACATGTGCAATCTTCCTTTGAAGTTTCAGGGATCTCGGTTGAAAACTGTAGGAGGAATTGATCACACAAATAAGGCACCCTTTTCCCTGCCCGCCTGATATCACCATACTATAGCTGATTTTGGACTGCGTCCAACTCAGCCAAAATTATGAAGAAAAAATTGCTACTTAAACAAAACTTCTCTGTCAACAATAGATTTGATTTTTATCAGAAAACGTGTCGTTATTGTTTCTGAAAGGTTTAATTTGGGGTTTCAGTTTATAAAATATATAAAAAAAAAGAAAACAAAAGAAACAATTATAATTTTACATAGCTCACTCCTTCAGGAGTCTTGAGATATATTTTTTTACTGTTGGTTTGCTGTCTCACAATATTTTCATATATCTCACTGAGATATCACTCATATTTCTTTTTATTCATATCTGAAACAAATTTGATTAGTCTTGTGTTCTTTCTAAAATGCAAATAAAAAAAAAACCAAACATTCAAATTCAGTTAATTTGTAGAACATTTTATTTGGTGCTAAAATTACATGATAACATTGATTAAAATCTGAATAAGGATGATACATGTATATGATACAAAAATTAAATATAATGTACAAACAAAATATGATAACTATGAAAAGGTAAAAATATAAAATGGTGCAAAAAATGTACAAAAAAAAAAATCGAATCCCTTTTAAAATGCTATATACTCGATTTACATAAAAATAAAGAAGAAAAAAATCATTACAACATTAAGTACCGGTATTTCAAAATCATAACCATGGAAATAAGCACAACCCTTTTACCTAGTTACTAGTATTAAAATATTTTAATTGAATATATATTTTTATTATTCAAATCGCACTTATAAACCATTTCTTTAGACAATATAAGGATATATTACATGCAAAGTAAATAATAGAGTTCTGTGTATGTATTTCAAGGCCTTTAAAGCATTCTCTCAAATCCAATTTACTTCCATTTTGGCCAAAGATAGTATCATTCAACTGACTGTAATACCAATATGCATATTCAGTAAAAAGAAGATCTAGGACCATCTCTCACTTGAGTCAAGTCTATGAACTGTAATGGAAACTTTCAATATAATAGGGATAAAAACAAAATATAGAAAGTGCACAATTGCATTATACGGTGTAGATTCTGAAAAAGTTTCAATTCCATCTAATTCTAATTTAGGTTTTATGAAGAGAAGGGGATACAAATGAGTACTGTGGTGTGGGGATATGACAATGTCAATATCATACCAAAGTAGGTAAACCCTAAATATTATAGGGATGAAGAAATGAAATCAGAGGTACGAAAGTACATGATGTAAGTGAGATTCTGTGGGAATTTTTCAAAATTTTGTGAAGTAGTACAGGAGCACTTGCTGATACTATAAGGGGACGGAAAGATAAATGGACAGACAGACTTGTTAGTCTCGACAGTTCAGGACTCTTTAACAGTATATGGAATATAGAATTAATTGAATATATATTATGTACAAACTGAGATAATTTAGATTTTTGTTTTTTAGTTTTATAGGGTTGCTGTCTCATGGATTTATGCTCCACATGTCAGTTTACCTTTAGTTTATCTAAAAATAGCTGCCTTAAGGAATCAATGATGCAGATAAACCTATTGTACTATTGCATACCATACAATACACATTTCTTGATTGTGCATTTAAATTTTGAAGGCAGAGTTCTAAAATTATGACATTGCGAACCTCAAAACTCCAACAGAAGTTGGTCGTAGAAAAGTCTAGCTAAAATTAAAAACTTCTCCCATCTCAAGTGGAGAAATATTACTAGTAAATATCACTATATGCTGATGTTGAATCTATATTAATTAAACTACTGTAAATCTGTTAATTTCTATGAACAAACAATAAAAATGAAAGTGACAACTGAACAGACTCAAGTGATGTGAAATGAACAAGGGATATTGGTGGGAAAATGTTAACATACATATATAATACGATTGAAATTAAGGATGTTCGCTCCTCTTGTTTTTGAATTTTTGCCAGATATTCGGAATCCTCTGGTTTTATCCATGTACTGCCATTAAAAAAATTTCCCCGCTAACCCCTACTTTTCTTTTCATAATTTTATTACATATAGTTTAAAAAGCCATATTTCAAAATGCTATAAAATCCTTGTTATTTTTTTCATAATTTTTTAAAGAAAAAGGGTGCCAATGTTAAATGTATGAAAAGTCTAGAGAGAATTATTTCCCGCCAAATTTTCAATGGTTTATATATCGAAAACAAGCACACGGACCCTTCATTTTTTTCTGCTTTTTTAGTTCCTTTATTTATATACTATCAATTTACAACAGTCTTTTAAAAAGCTTGTTATTTTGAAACAGAGTAGCGAACATCCTTAAATTGAAATTTAGACCTAAAAAGAACATGCATTCATATATGGTAACCTGAGGAGCATGCTCCTTGCTAAAAATTATATATTTGCTTTGTTTAATATATAAATTTCACTTTTGCCTATGGAAACTATCTATTCTCAGAAAAAAACTAAATTATACACTTGTTACAGAAATATGAACACATATTGTTACATATGAAATCAATACCTAAACTTGAAAAATTTTGCTGACAACATCCAGAGTATTTCGGTATTGAAAAATTGATGAATTTGTTAACAATACCTATTAAATTACTATACAGCCCTTTAAAACTGATTTTCGTTAAAAAAAAATATTTTTGTTATGGGATTATTTTTTATACAGTATTATTTTCATTTCCTATAAATCAATAAATTTTGTATATATACATAGCTTCATTAAATAAGCCAAATTTGAATATAGAAACAATCTATCAAGTGAAATTTAAATAAAAAAGCAAAGCATGATGATAAAAGGCAGGAAGTGCAACAGAACTTACGTCAAATCTCCGTAGGGATCTCTTATGTAGTATCTACGATTTTCAGAACGGTCCCTAGAAATATTGGAACACTTAAATAAGCTTAGAATGTTTCCAAATAATGCTCTTCATTTGCTTTTTGCACCAATTTGTTCTATTTTTACTGTAAATCTTTAAGATTTAAACTGTAGCTGTATCCATGATTATCATATTGGTCCGAAGAAATACTGGAACACTTATAAATAAGCTTTGAATGTTTTCAAATAAAGCTCTCTGTTTGGTAACTATGTTTTTTTACACCAATTAATTCTATGTTTTCATTAAATCTTCAAGATGTAAATTGCAGTGGAATTGATCATATTTTTTTTATTTATTTTTTAATTATTTTTTAGTACCAATTTACCAAATTTTATTGCATTATTTAAACAGTGCAATCATAAAAACCCTGTGATCATTAACAAAGTTTCCAAAAGTCCATTTAAATCATTGTTAATTTATATAATTTTATGTTAAGAGAATAACACTTCGGTGAATATTTTGATTCAGTGAATTTCTTATGATGGCAATTATAAAAAAAATATTAGAAACAAACAAAACTTTAATGAAATTGGCCCCCTACATCAATGAAAACATAGACGTGGTGAAATTTTTTTTTTATTTCAAATACTTACGTCAAGGTACCTAAAGGGTCTCTGATTGGATACTGTTCTGTTTTATCATCCACATGGGGAGATATCTTTAAGGGATTCTGTTGTGATGATTGATTTTTCCTTGCTGATAAAATAATAATATTGCAATGTTAGAAGATTTTAATATATCTTCATACAAAATAAAAAGAATATACTAAGAAAAAAAGAAATTTGCTACTGAAAGTCAAAGAGTATTGAATTTCACTTAATTTTCATCAGATTGAAATTTTTGTACTGTTTCATTTTAATGTAAACTATATACATGTAGTTTTTGATGGTTAGATACAACACTATTAATTAGATCCAAACTCATACAAATATTAACTTATTTTCTTGCAACTGGTCTGCTTAATTTGAATTTAACCAAGGTCTATTTAAAATCTAAAGGTATTGATATCAATAAGACTGAGTTGAAACCAAGTTTGTTCAGAAAACTTAAATACAGCAGCTCCTCATGAAATTAAAACAGAAATGACCAATTTAGGGGAAAAGATTTACACTTCTTGTAACTTTCTCGGATAAAGAATCTAAGACAGTACTTTGATCCTTCGTATTTCAAATTTTTTGCATTTATCAGAAAAACTGTTATCCAAATTACAATGGAGAAGGGCTTAGGTATTACAACAGCAACAAGGCCACTATTTCGTATCTTAAATTTAAAACTATAAATAACAAACATCTTCATTTCCTATAAACATAGATATTTTCACAGGTTGTTATTTTCATGTTTTCATTGCATAAATCTTTTGTGCTGGGGTTAAAAATAATGGCCTTTATCATATCTCTGCCTTTTCACTGCAAAGGGATTATTTATTTTTCATTGATTTATTATGTAAAGAGTCTGAAACCATCAAACTGACAGTACATGTATTTTAGATTTTTATGTTACTTGGTTGCAACTCATTGGTAGATACCCCACTTTATAAATGCTTCAGCAAAGGATTTTGTTCATGATCTCAAACCACAAAAAATTGAATCCTTTAACAATATTGTTTCAACATTTATTGTGCCAAAGACTAAAATTTGACTGACTCATCTGTTAATAAAAATTTTCAGTTCAAAATTTGATTGTGACAATGGTCTTATCTGAAACAATTTCATTTAATCTGTTACTATAGACAAAAACTTCTGGTAACAATTGCATATAATCTTTTTAAAACAATACAAAATCAGATGATTATTTTTTAAGTGAGATGAGAGAAAAAAAAAGCAATATAAATTCACTTCAAATAAGTTAATTTGATAAGTGGATTAGAAGTTTCAGGGGGAAATCTCTTTTTAAAGACATTTACATAGAGCGACAGATACATAGTAGTAAATAAGATGACTGAGGCACAAGCTTGTGTCACAATCCATGCCTATTGTAATATCATTTCATTAAAAAGACAAAATGTTAAAGTTAATAAAAAAATTAAACAAAACCTATATCAAAATTATTTAAAAACCCAAAAGAGTACAAATTAGGTCCATGCTATCAATAAAAAAATTCTGTCAAACAGATTTTAAATAAACCTGTTAATTATTTTGCATGCCAACAAACCTGACGATTTCTGGCTAAATGGGGACACATTTTCTTTAAAAGAGTGCCATGCCTTTTTAGGACTGGCTCTCCTTTCAAACTTAGACTTGTCTCCTTTGTAAGACTTTATGTAAACAATATCACTCTTAGCTACTTTTCCTGATTTTCTTTTCAGTAAATTATGTGGTTTGTATTCATTAGGTCTCCAAGTTAAAGCTCTGTTCTTCTTTGCTACCCAAGAAGGAAAATTTCTTATGTATTTCAAAAAAGTTCTAAAGTATAATTCTTAAGTACTTTCAAAATTCACACTTTTAAAATAACTTATTACCATAATATTTTGCATTCAAAACTTATAACAAAATTGTATTTCGTTATGGTACAGACCTTTCATTTTTCATAAATTTTTATTCTAAATATCAATTAATGATAAATGTCTTAAGTTTCTTCTGCTTGTTATTTCCCATACAACAGAAAAAGTGCTATCAAACAATACATTTTGGTGCAAGGAAAACTGCACATACCATATTGTTTTTTGCCAGTGCCTTGAAGAGATGGTCTGTCTATATATAGACAAAACACATAAAGAATCAAGATTACAAAGAAAAATTGTGTGCATTTGTGCTTGTACAGATATGTGACATTCCAAACAACAATATTGTGTCTAACTGGTCTCATATATCCATTTTTGTATTCAGCAGCAATACAATAATATTTTTAACTCTCTAAAACACATCATTTTCACTTCTGTACTATTTTACTTTGGGAATTACTTAAAATCATGTTTTTCTGCTTTGTTCATGTGAAACTGTATAAATCTAATCGGAAGTACAGCTGCTGATATTAGAAGGCATGATTTATATGCCAAAGTACTTATCTGCTGTATGAAATCTCTACAGAAGTATATCAGATGAAATTAAGAGTGTATAAGTATGATTTTTATATCAGCAGATTAAGTACTACTTTAAATTAGCTTTCAGTAAGATTTGAACAGTATTTTTTATATATTTAATATCTAATATTGTTTATTACTGGTAACTGTTTTTTGGCAGCTGTAAAATTGGTAGCATAGAGTAAAGTGCTTTTCTTTACTTATTTCATATTCATTCCTTGGTATGACCTTTTGTTAATCTACTGATCAAGATAAAAACAAGGAGGGTAGAGAACTAAAAAATATTGAACAGTTTACACTTATCAAAATATCTTTACTGATTTCGATAATAAAATTATCAAAATATTTTATGTCAGCCATTTTGGCAATGTGAGGTAAATTCGAAAATATTTTTTGTCAAACAATAATTCAGTATGACAGTAATTTTTTTCACCCATTGTTCAAGAAGTGGACAACAATGAAGATGTCTCTCAAATGTATGAGTTAACAAAATTGAGTGTGTTTTGATGGAATTAAATAGAAAAAGATGCCTATTCAATCCCTCCATGAAAGTAAAAGTTTCTGTTGACACTAAAGATGTGAATTCTAAGAAGATTTTTATATCTAGATAAAGTAAACCTTTAATCCAACACAATAAAGTCTAACCATTTCCCTATACCATTTATATATCTAGTGGTATTTTTGCTACATTTTGTACATGTATATTTGAATTTCCTCCCTTTACCACTATGGACATACCTGTAGCTCTTTTTAAGATTTGTCTTGGGTGAACAGAATATCTATCTTTTTTTGAAAATAACATAAACAGATGTCAGCAAAGAAATTTAGTGTTAGTGTATAGAAAAAAATCTATCCTCTGCCTTAAGAAATTTGTCAGAACTTATTTTTCCTTCTGCAGATAAACCTAAGCAATGACCTGAAGGTAATTTTTTTCTCCTTTCTGTAATTATTTTTTTCTTTTCTAAGACAAAAAACATGGACATCTCAGGCAGTAATTTATAAGATATCTTTTAAAATCTAATTTACTTTATAGCAGGAAAAAGGGGGTTGAGTGTTAAACAGCAAGGAGAACAGTTAAGATTAGTTCAGATAAAAGTACATAAAATGGGTCCAAATTTTACAAAACAAGATATCTTAACTTAGGGTTATTGAGCTTTTCTTTTCATGATAATCAGATCAAATTTAGCCCAAAAATATGGAAACTTAGTAAACAACACATATCTGACCACTTGATATAGTGGAATGATCTTTCTAGCCCTAGCTAGCAGTAGCAAGGGTACATCATGTACATAATGCTAACAACATCTAGGTTTGATTTTTTTCTCATGCAACATAAAACATGTTTTGCTTCATTGCTTTCAAACCTTTATTTACTGTAAACTTTCTGCAAATTTTTAAAAACATAAATACAATCATTCGGATCATTTATAAACACAGCACTTGCTAAACGTTATCAATAGAATGTGTATTATACCTGTTAAATCTTTTTCCAATAAGAAAATCCTATGAAAAATGATGAATATTAGAACTTCAGTTACCGATATATTCAATTTTTGAATCTTTCATTGTGTACAATTTATTTTCGATCTGATCACAGACCACCTCCAATTATATACTTTATTACCTGAACATGTTCAAATTCTAGTTTAAATCAAATTACGGTAGAATGTTAAATATTTATTTAATCCGAGTATGTGCACACTAAAGGACATACTTGCATGACACCAGGCATCTCCATAGCAAAGTTATTGAATATATGTATTTTCTAAGTTTACATTGTATGCAAGTGTGAGCTATATCAATAATTAAGTTTGAGGAGGTCAAAATACATTCATTTATATCTGGTTATGACAAAGTAGATTTGCAGGGTGTTCTTGCTGTTAACAAGATAGTATTTTAAAATTTTTTATAAGGATAAAATTGAGAATGGAAATGGGGAATGTGTCAAAGAGAAACCCGACCAAACAGCAGAATTTATTTCAAGACAATTGCTTCTAAAATAGCTAGCTTTAAGATTGACCCAAATTTATGACAATTTTACGACTGTCTATCAAATCCACTAGCTTTATATCAATATTAAAAGAAAAGGTAACTTTCAGGTAGAAGGACAGAAAAATGAGGTAGAAAGTATCAGAAATGTGATAGACATGAAAGAAAAAATGAGAAATATCCATTTTGGAATGAGGGCTGTTGTTTTAATGATTTAGCTATTGCCTGGGTGGTATAACAGCCATATAATACAAAAATAGCTACAGTCTATCAAATTAAGAGATATTAAAAAAAAAAAATAAGAGAAAAGTTATGGGTATTACTTATACTTATGACATAGACAGCACTCCAAACAAGTCTACACTAGGAAAATAGCAACTGAATCAAAATATTTAAACTATGATAATTTTGCTGAATATATATATCATAAAATATGGAGAATCCTATTTTTTCAACTTTATAATGGTTTTTCAGCCTTGTAACTTTTTGCCTATTCATACATACAAATATATATATAATTCTTACCTGTATCAAAATGTGTGGTTTTGCCAAAATACTGGTCGTCCCGTTCTGTATTCATTAAGTCTATTGACAGACGCTTATACTTCGGGACTTTAGGGGCCTGGAAAGATTTGTCAGGATAACCTTTGAACCTAAAATCCTGCCAGATAAGGGGCTGGGCAGGGGCTTGTCCTAAATTTCTTGGTGATGCTGAAATGAGAAATAATATTTGAACATTTAGTTTTAAAAGTTTATAACTAGTATATTATCTTTATGCCAGAGGGACACCATTTAATTTCACAATGAATATGCGAAAAAAAAAAATCACATTTTGTATCAAAGTTGAAAATTATTTGTTTTATTTTCCATTAAAAAATGATTTCAGTCTTGTAAATGATGATGCTTTAAATCAACACTATATAGGTATACAAATGTAACTGTTTGACAATTTTGTTCAGGTATTTTTGTGTTTTTGTGCACCAAATGATTTATAGTTTAGCTTCAACATTTGTTGGCCTTGAGAGTACCTTAGTTACAAGTAAAACACAAGTATATGCATCAATGTATATATATATATTTTAAGTTTCAAAATTGCACTGTTCTCAGCTGTTGAAGGTGATGTAAATACATATAAAAATATATGGTACATTCATATGTATACTTATAGAGAACTTCATTTGACTTTAAATTCACTAAACCAATAGTCAAAGTCAAGCATTACACCTATTTATGAATAAATAATAAGTTTTGTTCATCTCTTAATTGTTTCTAAAATTCTAATACTCAGATTCCAAGATCTTAATCTAAATTCATGAAATCCTATATAAGTTCAGTTGAGGCTATCTGGAGACTAATTCAGAAGGATTTGATAAACTCTGGATAACTTATAGATTTCCAATTGTTTTTCATTCATTTTGCAAATAACAGGGTAAGAGAGTTGAAATGGATTTAATCAACAGTCCATGAATCTTATCTCCTGCTTATATGATTGGCTATATTGATCTGTAGGTATTGTTAAACAATAGTCCAATTTCATAAGGATTAGTTTTCTCATTTTTATCAAGATTTAACACAAAACAACATATAAGTATTTGTATTTTAGGATGCATATATTTCCATGGTACCAGCTAAATTTCTTTTTTTTTGTTGTTAAATATTTGCTGATGCTTTGTCATTTAGCTTGATATATATTCATTATGGTAAAATAAAAAATATGTTTCTTTTATTTATGTGAGTGCCATATACAATACTCTCTTAAAGGGTGCAGTCTCAAATTAAGGAAATCAGTACTTATGAATAAAAGATAATAAATGGAGCACAATAAAAAACACAAGAAATATTAAGTCGAGAAAGAAGCAGCTCAAACATTCTCCGTAAAGCAAAACAGATGCAATGTCTGTGTAAAAACTATAAATAACACACAGTGATTGATTTTTAAAGCTTTCAAAACTTTGATTAGATTTTGAATAAGCTAAGTGACGAAGTAAATGCACCGATGGGTAAAAAGGATACCATTAACCAAATAGTTTTCCATTTTTAAATATACAGTCCTATTTATTTCACTCGTTGATACTTTCTGACTTATCTCAGTGCGGTATTCATTTACACATCAAAGAGTTATCCAATTACATCTGAAATTTAACTTTAAATTTTGTACATTCTTGACCAATTCTACCATTTAAATTTTTTTATGTCTAATACACAAAACAATTGTTACCTAAGAATATAAATAACATGAGGTGTAAACAAAAAAAAACAATACACATCCAATTGTAGAAAGATAATAAACACGGATAAGACAGATAAGCTACTATACTAATTAAAGGTGAGCTAAGAACGGGCTTTGTTAACTGACTAAAGGCCCAATGATCGTGTGGTAAGGTTGATATATAACTAACATATATGACCCTAAAACCTGTCTAGAAAAAGAAATATGTTAAAATATATAATATCATGCTAAATGTTATTATACTATCGGTAAATTATGAACATTGCCTATACCAAGGATTTGTATACTATAGTCTTACTATACAAATCCTTGCCTATACTATCAGTGGTTCACAAGTAATCTAATTTCTGATAGTCAGTGATACTGATGTAAAATTATCAACCCACAAAAAAAAGGACATAAAATAATCAGATATATACAAGTGACTTCTCTAATATGCAGGAAATATGTAATATGTATTTATTCCAGGAAAGGGTAAAAAGCAAAATCTATATCACCTAGATTCTTATCTAATTTTTATTCTCGATCTCAAGGAAAAGAAATTACAGGCAACATTTTGTTTTATTGAGAAAACAAATAGAAAAAATTAGTGTTTTTGCTGGATCTCATGTTATTTCACTGACACATAGTAGAATTTAATATGATGAATTTTTGTTTTATGTTCTTCACTTTGCTCCTGTGATGAGCACCATGTAAAAAAGGGAGCTTATTTCACAAGCCTTTTGAAATCAACTGCATGTAATATATTTTAAATCAAAACTCTGTATGCAGAGTTCTACATAGAACCAAAGTTCTGAAGAATTAGATCATTTAGTTAACTGAACATGCTATCCAATATTTTTTGAGATTCCTGCTATCCTTTTTATGTTTTATATGGTATAGACATCTGTCTATTACTTTTTCAAATCAAATCAAACTTTTATTGCCATATAAACCAACTTATACGATTTGTGACAAAAACAACATTAACATAATGACAAGAAAAAAGCATGTATAATCATATTAAACAAACTAATGAAAATAGTTCAAAATTCAATTATGAGTCCCCTATCCTTAGTGCCAATTACTTTTTAATAAAGGAACCTATGCTTTCTACCTGTTTTTGTGTTGATGGGCAAAGAATATTTATCATTTTTTCATTTTCATTGAGGCTATTAAAATTTTCTATACTTTTAGCCTTTGTTAACTTTTCAATAAAAACTTGTCTAATGGAAGCGTTTTTCCTGCAATACAAAAGAAAATGTTTTTCATCCTCAATTGTTGAAGACAGAATGTTGACCAGTTTATGTCTTTTCTGTTTTTATCTATTGATGGCTTTGCTGTCTTTTTTGTGTACCAAACATTTCCTCGTATTCCTATTCATAATAGTAATGATTCCCCACTGAGTGTACTGAAAAACTATTACACAGCAGTAGATATAGTATATCTTGCTATTTGTGGAAATGACTAGATTGAGATTAAACAGCCTTGGGTGATATGTATAAAAAGTGGATATTGTAAAACTATCTAGACCATAGACCATTTAACAACCAGGGACATCAAGGCTATTTGCAATATTATATCATGTTGAAAGTCTAGGTGATATTCAGGCTTAATTGATAGCAAGGAATATCCAAAAAGTGTTCATCCAATTGCCCCTCCCATGATCCCCACTATCAATTTTTATTCTATGTTAGAGGTTCTTATTACCCAGAGAACCTTTGAACACTTTCGTTAGTTCTATACCAGAAAAAATTAAAAGTGAAATATCTGCCTACTGCTTTGAAAACTTTCAAAAATGTTGGATGAGAATTGAGGTATATTTGTGTTGGGTTCAATTGAAATGTGTTTAGTTTGATTTGAACAGGAACATGTATATTGTTAGATATACTGTTCCCAGATTTGAATTGGTAAAAATCTTAATAAGATAGATGTGTTGAGTTCAATTGAAATGTGTTTAGTTGATTTTAATTGAGTTGGTAAAAATCTAAAGAAGATGTGTTGGGTTCCTTTCCCTGAACAGAACAGTCTCTAATACTGTAACAACTAATTTAAAATTAAAAGTGAAAATGTCCTACTGACTGGTACTACACAAGAATTACAATATTAAAATAAGCATAAGCCCTCTTTTCCTGAAAGCCATCAGCCATTCAATAATTATATATAATTTGTCTACGATAAATGTTATATGCTCTGCTCTAACCATGCCAAAAATAAACAACAATATAAAATTAAAAGTTCTGTGAAAAATACTTTATTTGGGTACCAATAAAAACTATGTATGTGTTCCATAAAGTTTAAAGGGGGAAAAAATTGAACATAAGGCAAATTATCAGAAATATTTTAGATAAATTTGAATGAAGTTCATATGTAAATACACTTATATATATATATATTAATAAATTCAAGGGCATTGGTTGAAACCATTTAACAGAATTTAAGAATTAATAGTAACCATTCATTTCATATTTCAAAAATATATATAGGTAAATAATAATATATTGACTTGATTGAAACATTACTGTTATATATATTGGCACTTATAGATAAAATATTTCCACAGATTTACCTAAAATTCCTTCAAAGTTACGTGTGCGTAGGTCCTGTAGATCCTTAAGTTGGTGTACAATATAGTTGTCAAAATTCTGAAGTGCAGAGAAAATCCAATAAAAAAATCAACAAGTGTTCTAATATCCCAAAAACAACAGGAAATGTGAAAACGGAAAATTTAAATAAATCCAAAAATAAATACTATGTGAGATTAGAATTTTAAATGTATAGTAACGGTCTCCAGTCAATACTTCTATACAGTGGGATTTAGGTATAATAGGTGAGATATATACCTATATTAACAAGTTTATGCAAGTCCTATGAGTACTTAAATAGATTTACAATTAAACCATCAATGGTGATGAACTCTTTTGTGTTGGAGGTTTAAATGAGGGGTTTTGTGGGAGTTAATTAGTTGTGGTCTCATAATCATGGATTAATTTGTCAAAATAAAGATTGATGATAAAATATCAATCATTCAAATGAAAACAAACTTTCTGTTATTAAAAAGAACAATAAAGATTAATATTTTTCTATATTTCAATGGAAACATCTACTTGGTACTTAAAATATATCTAGTACATATGTGATAAAATCTAAAACAATTCAAATTCAAAACATAATTAATATTATTAACAATGGCATTAAAATTCTGATTACACACCATGCGGTTGACATTTAGGTCAATATTAAAATCAGTACGTTATCTGGGTAATTTTTTTTAAATCTATACACTCAAACAATATTATCATTGGCATTGATTCATTGAGTTTCCAAAGATAAACCTTGCTTTTTTTCTTCATACATGCTTTATTATTTGGTAATTAAAAATTCTATGACCCCACTAGGTTTTTAGAGGTACAAGGATAAACCTTAATGCCCCTGCGCCTAGCGGCTGGGGTATAAAAAAAGCAACAGAATTCCCATGGCATAATTATAATAATTACAATTATAAGTTCAATTTGTGTTCATACGCTGGCAACAGTTAAATATAAAGTAACGAAAGTAAAGGTTGTAACTAGAAAAGTTTGGAACAAATTTTCCATGATGAAGTCAATATAATCACATCAACGATATGTCATCTGACAGAGAAAACCGTGCATGAAAAAACAATTGATCAGAAAAAATCTTCATTATATAACATAATTTGAACATAATATATTATGCATTTATTGTCAATTAATTGCTCTATACAGAATGAAAAATTGAATATTTAATGTGCTAAATTATGCAACTATAAAATGGATGCTTATGGGAAATTACTAGTTATAAAATCAGTTAAAAATTTATAAACACTGTGACAAATTGACCTTGTTTTTACATGTAATAGCTGTGTTTCTGATCTTTGGGATATTTCCTTGAGGATATTTCAATCTTTTGAATATTTTATATTATGTTTTTCTGAGGTTATTTAATGCCATACTAGAATGTGAGGCAACAGAGTCTCTTGCAAGTGAATAATTCATCTGCAATGTTTCTTTGCTTATTTTGACAAAATTGAAGCAAACTAGCTGCTTAAAGCGAATTAATTTTCACTATTCACTTTTACTAATGATGGATAAAAAAAATGATATTTTGATATTTTTTATATCTCGTAGCTAATGCCCATCTAAGAACAAAACTTATTGTAAAGTTACTTTTTTTTAGTTCAAACCATTATTAGAGCCAAAAGAGATCCCTAGATTTTATTTGTCTTATATTTTTTCCGCTCAATTTTGATCTTCCTTTAAAGATTAAATCTATGTGTCTGAGAAGATATTTTTTCAAGTTTATCATAATCAAGGAAAAAGTTAAAAACAAAATCCCTTGTTATACAGTAAAATATAACTTTGGTCATTTCTGATTTCCTAAACTTGAATAATTTTAAAGGCATCTGACTTCTCATATCAGTAAAATTCAACATTTTTGATTTTTTCTAGTGTTACCATAGATGATATCAATACATTTGTTTTGTTCAAAGTACTATAACCCAAGACAGTTTTTACTTCCAAAACTGTGTCACCTGACCTCAAGTGACTGAACATTATAACTCCCTTACCAACTACCTATACTGTTCAGTTCATAAACAGTCAATATTTGATTGTTGTTACATGTCAATAACGATATATAGAGTACATATTTGACCACCGTTTTAAAACTTTAGGTCATAGTTATAGATATTTAAATCATGTATTGATGATCGTTGATCTAATCAAACACAGACACAGTATATCCTTGAGACCAGATCAATCACAGTTTATGAAATGGTTGGTGTCCCCCGTAATTACTTGTCAAACAAAACATAAAAAGACTGCTAGGGTGACAGAAAAATGTTAGTTACCATAAAGTATTATCAGTATATGTATCTGTAATCATTGACAGTTAAATTACCGATAGAAAGAATATTATATCATTTGCACCACAGCAAATCTTCTTTAAAATTTTCAATCTCCAGATAAAAGAGTTTAAAAGGTGAATTTTACTCAGAATATCTATCTTTTGGAATTTTTTAGCCTTAGCAAATACTGATTACTCATTTGTAAACAGCATTATACCATAGATGAATGGACATGTTAACGAGATAACTGTCTGTGCTTATACAGCTCTTCAGGCAAAATGGAAGAACAAAATAGTTTTCTTCTCTTTTTTTTTTCTCACGTTTTGAATATTTATGATAATAATACATAATATAACAATAAGAAGATGTGGTAAGATTGCCAATGAGACAACTCTCTACAAGAGACCAAATGACAGAAATTAACAACTATAGGTCACAAAGCCCATACCACATAGTCAGCTATAAAAGGCCCCGATATGACAAATGTAAAAAATTCAAACGAGAAAACTAAGGCCTAATTTATGTACAAAATAATGAACGAAAAACAAATATGTTACAAAGCAACAAACGACAACCACTGAATTACAGGCTCCTGACTTGGGACTGACACATACAGAATGTTAAACTAGTTTGTTGGCGCCAAACCCTCCCCCTAACCTGGGACAGTTTTTTCTGTGTTTAATGACAATCAAGATGTTAGATTTAAAATATTAAAATCTTCGACCTTGACTTTGTTAAAAGTGTACTGTATAAATTCATCTTTTCTTATGCTTTCATAATGGTTTTAGCAAAATAAAGAGACAAACATAATCCTAACTAATTCAAAACTCTGGCAAGATATACTAAAATGTTTATCCAAATCAATGACTAACATTATACAAGGTGGATAAATAAGAAATTCCAAAATAAATAAATCTTTTAATCAGCTTGTCATTAATAAAATTTGATCTGAAAGGCTCAAAATTAAATTGTTTACAGATAAAATATATAACCTGCACTTAAATGAAAACAAAATATCTGCCAATTTTACAATGGTTCACAATCATTTCAATTAAATTTAGAAGGTCATAACAGGTGATTAGTTGTCTATATAGTATCATATAATATTTCAGATTTTTTTGTGCAACATTTCTTTTCATATGCCATTTTTTTTTGCACTTAATATATTTTTAAATTCATTACACAATATTTAAAGATCTAAGAATCTTAAAGTAAGACTTTGGTAGTAATCTCTATTATTTGTCATTTTATTACTGCATGGGAGATAACTCAATCTATTTTAAGTAGCACATGAGATTTATTTAGATTGTACCCAAGTTATGAAACAAAATATTTTGAAGAAACAAATAAAACCTTATAACTTCTTTAGGTGCTTAGAAATTGAAAAGAGGGAGTGCTCATTTAAATATTTAAATGGATCTAAATTTGGAATTTTGATTTCCTGTTTCATAATACAGATCGTTAAAATTATACAGGCAATTTGGACAATAACAATTATATTATTATTTTTACATTAATGAAGAAATAGTAACTTTGGGTTAATTCAGGAGTGTTCATTAATTTTTTGAATAAGAAAGAGGTTACTATTTTGGGCCAATATGATTTACCGTATCACCTATACATGTAACATACAATAAAAAAGTTGTGGGCGGTAAATTGTCAAATAGAAAGTCCTAATAATAACTATAAATCTGAATTTATCTTATAGTCTCAACCCAAAATACAGTTCTCATAATAAGTTCGTCTTCTGCTGAAGAGTATTTTTAAGTTCTGTTTGTTTTACAATTTACACACAGACAGTGAGATATACTTCATAAGTGGAACAACAAACAATTCAATTCATTGAAGTGGTTTAAAAAGATTATAAATATTGCAGTTTACTGGGATACGGATAATTATGTGTTATTAATAATCATGACATTGAGTTTTTCAGATTTCATTTTCTTTTCTTTTTCTCATCAATATAAATCTTTTTTCCATCAATAAAAAAAACCCTGTTATTCAGCAATTTGGCAAAAAGGGATATACTGACCATAGTTTTGGGGAAAAAAGGGATATACTGACCATAGTTTTGGGGGAAAAAGGGATATAAACTTACATCAGTCACTGACCCAAAAAATATGAGTCTAGTTTTACAATGTAGGCAGGAAAGACAGAATTGTCTGATGTCTGGTATGCAATTTTAAATTCTAGAAGACAAAATTTAAAAAAAAAACAAAAAACAACAACAGCAAAACAAAAACTTTTTTTATGCCTAATATTCTTTGAAAAATTTTAATCAGTAGCTATAGGTAGTAAAGACTTTATATTCTACATGGACATTTTGGGACTAATAATAGAGCTAAGCCAACATGTTCATAAATTGTTAGAATACCTTTATGGGCTCTTTTCATAAGAAATATTACAACTAAAATCTATCATAACTTATACTGAAATGTTCATGAACTTTTATTTGCTGGGATGGGGGTGGAGGGATAATAACTTATAGATTGTTATGTCATTTCAGGACCTTTAGGTTAAATGGTGTATTAAAGTGAATTTGTTCATTCATACGTTTTCTACTTCAGACTCCCAGAATAATCTAGTCCAAAGAAAAAAATATCTCTAAAGACTTTTTATAAAAGTTATCCCAAGCAGGTGTGTTTTTATTTCAACTTATTTTATTAATTGTATCAAACTTTCTTAACCTAATCATTTAATCATAAAATTGAAACATTATTGGCTGGTTCTAACCCAATCCTTGAAAATAAATATAATGTAATTATTTTGTCAATTTTC